GAGGCGGAAAGTGGAGAAAGTGTATAGAGTGGCGCGGACTCGCGTGGCTAGCTACGTCGTTACTCTTGCGGACTCGTAATGGCAGCAAAAATGTGCTCGCAGCAGCAGCGTTATCGGCAGAAGAGGGCTCACAAGAGTTTGATGATCCAGAGACGTGGTGGCGTCTGGTATCCTACCTGATGGTATCAGGGTAGCTGTCTGCCGCGATCGCCATCACTCCGCTCAACTGGAACGAGTCAAGAGCGAGAGTAAACGCGCCTCAGCTGGTCACCGACTCGAGCCCCGATGCGACGGTCTCGTGTTCTTTTATCTCCCAACTTTACTCGCGAAAGACACGGACTTCGCGCGACTCATAAGTATGTTGAGCTTCGCAGCTTCACGCTCGGAGTCGTAAAACAATTGACTTTGAATCGCTACATGAATTTGCAAGTCGCTGGAGTAGTAGTACGTACGCTATCCCAGCTCGAGATCTTCCGATGATTCTACAACTAACGTGTTCCGTATGTACACTCCTCGAACAAGTCTATTTAGGACGAGCCTTGCCCTTTCCCTTTCCACTGGGAGCTGGAGAATTTTGAGGGAGTTCGACTTGCGGTAGGGTCTCGATGAGAGACCCAAGGACGGCGCGAGGTTCGTCGCGGTCGGCACCTGTGCGCGCAGGCGGGGTGGCGAATATGGGTTGGCGAGATGGCCCGGCAGCTGGCATGGACACGTCTTCGTCGCGAGCGCCTCTCCTAGACGGGGTTGAGGGGGTCTGCTGCTCCGCAAGAAGGTCGTTTAACGCAAGCAGGGCGTCGACGGACTGCATGATCGTGTTCTGGAAGACCCCCCCACGAGGAGTCGATAAAAGCGGTGGGGACGAGGGAGGGGAAGTCAAGGGAGACATGGGAGCATCCTTCGAGACGCTCTTTTCTGCCCTTTCCTTATGATATGCGTCCCGTTGGGCCTCTTCGTTTTCTTCTTCTAGAGCTTGTAAGACCTCTTTGGCCTTCTGCACTGCTAGCTGCTTGGCTCGCGCGGTCTCTGCTAGGTACTCTGATCTCGTGCGGGAGCGCGTCTGGATCGGAGAAAATAGGGCCGTTCGTGCTGTTTTGCGAGGTCTGCCTTCAGATTGTGTGAAAGATGACCCGGCCGCTGACGATGCGTCAGGAGAACCCGTCGGAGTGGAAGCGGATGGTGAAAGTCTTCGCCGTTCGAAATTCAATGCACCCCAAACCATATCCCGCCCCCTCACCTGTAATCGACCACAACAAAGGCAATTAGGTACACTATGAGACTGCATAGTGACAGTAAAACTTACCAATGACTGTTCCGAAGGTTCAGGGGCATTGGGTGGGACACGGAACAACGAGGGCTCCTCAAAGTGGCTACGAAGCTTTGCTGAGGAGTCGGCGACAACACTGAGTGCCCGCAGGTACATAGGATTGAGACCTTGGCCAACCATGAACATAGGCACATTGAAGTATAAGACATCAGGGACGATAGAGATGGGATCTCCTATGTCCTCAAGAGCCCTTGCTTTGAGAGTAGAATCTGCCCTCGCTCGTTTTTGAGGAATGGTGGTCGGAGCAGGCTGTACATTGGGCACAGACCCGATTGGCCTAGTATACTTCAGAAGCGAGAAAAAACCGGCGACCATGACAAATGCATAGTGGACATCACCATCGAAGCGCTGAAAGGAGAATAATGCTTGTTCATTGACCTGGATAATTGCACCCATGAATGCCGTATCCGCAGCCGTCATAATAGTTTCCAGGGTATCGGTGGTGTCGCCGAGACCGAATGCACTATTCCATCGGTGTCCCAATATAGGCTTGACTTCTGTCCAAAACACAAGACTGGGAGGAAGGGAAAGTTCGGCGATAATAGCTGCAAAATCCGGAATCCTTCGGGAATGGAGTCTCTGGCTATCCTGTTCTCCTATGAAGTGTGAGAAGTATGGCTGTGGATGGCAGCTGAAGGAAATAGTAGGCAAGAGGGGCTTCCAGCCAGGGCAGTACGATGAGAGAGAGAGATTATGGAAGGCATATGAAGCTGATTCAAACTGATGACTGTTTGCTGCATGAGCAAGCAGAATGTGTAGATCACGCTCGATCCGCATCCGTTCCAAAATGATTCTGTCCTGTTGTCAGACGATCAGCCATGTGAGAGGAACGACAAGCCATGCAGCACATACGTCATTGGCTGTTGCCATAATGAAGTCGTTCGAGTGTTGGTGATGCCAGTGACGGGTGTCCTTGGAAACATTGTCCGATACCTGCTTTTAAGTGTTTAAGCCATTTGGGGTTGGCGTCTGCTTGTTCCGTTCTAGGATAGCATTTTGTACCGCTTTAGGATTCCGCTTTGTTCATTCGTATGGCGGGAACTGTTCGTCACATGCATTCCTGGTCATACTGTGCTAGAACAAGGCGACCAAGGACAGGCAGAGAAACAAGGGCATGTGTTCAGGCGACCAGACCGTGAGACAATAGGATAACAGGGTTCGGCACACAGACGATTGCAATCTTTTGAGTTGCTCAGCACCGGGGACTAATAGTTCAGCACTACAACGAGGACCATGTGAATAATATAACGGCGCAACACAGCGCAACACCTTCTCTGATCATCTGATCATATTAATATACAAGGTCAATGAGAGGAGACGAAGAGTAGACGAAGGTTCTTCACCGTTGAGTCACGATAGTATCACGATTCGTCCGCCTCTGTATATAAGTTCGAATCAGTAGCTGGTGGCCCGCGTGTGAGAAACCACAATACTCGCTTCACTACCGTCTTATCCGCTCCTACCCTTTCAAGGATGTTGATATCACGAGCATCTGTCCCCGACATTGAAGTGGAAGACCTTTCGGCCTATACGGAGGAGGTCGAGCAGAATGCTGACGGAAAGTCAGTCCTGACTCGGCGCGCTATCCTAGCCCGGGAACAGGTTCTTCGTTCTTCATTGCTCATCGATGCCTCAACGCATTTTGACCGCATGAACAGGAAATGAGAGAATGGATCAAACAATATCCTCCTATGCAACAACTTCCTGCCAAACTCGATGCAGAAATCACGCACACGGGCGCTCTCCTTTCCTTCGGCCTCGGTATCACTTACGAGCATCTCCTTGCTTACGCGGCAAAGCGCAACATCCGGGCTTCGTGGGCGCCCGATGAAGCCATCACCAGCCCCGTAGTCGCGTGGGTTCGAATTGCCAGGCTGTTCATGGAGAGGATCCCTGGTTTCCTGGTGTACTACCGTCGGCCGTTCTCGGTACACTACGAGGGGCTCCTCGCGCTCTACTCGAACCACTCGATGCGGGAACTGCAGCGCCGCGGGGAGGCACACGAGAAGAGGATTATCGAGTTCCTGCAGAAAGAGATGGAGCTCGACTCGACGCCAATGTGGTACTGGGACATGGATTATACTTCGTACTACTGAACTGCGTTGACAGTGAGTGGCCTTCGGTTATGTGCAGTCGCCTCTCTCATAGGATACACAGCTTTCACTCTATCGACGTTTGTTCTTAGTCTTCGTGACCGACTTCATACAGACTATAAAAGCTTCTCTCTCGCTCTTTCGTTATCGCTACCGCGCTTTGTCGCTGCTTTCACTCGCAGATTTGTGGCCTCTGTACTGAGGATCTTTGTATTGACTGTTGTGATGGATTTCAATGTCAAATTCACATAACTGACACCTCAGGCTGTTCGCGACTGTTGTTAAGACGTGCTTATGTTACCGAATGGCGCTCGGCGCATGTCTTGAGCCTCGGCACGACAGCGCGGTCGCGTGGAATCTGGGGTATAGAGGGGAGTGTCTCGATCGTGCGGGTGCGATGATTTCTGAAATCCTGAAGAGGACTCCTGCTCGCACGACGAAAGGATGCTTTCTGACCCGTCGCTGCTACTCATCATTACCGGCCCTCTCCGCGCTGGGTCTGTCTGCGAGGGAAGGACATGCCTCACTGACATGTTTCTCTCGGGCGAGTCGAATGGATTGTCACTCATGCCACTATATAGGCGAGGAGGGGACATAGGCAAGGTGAAAAACAGGGAGAAAACCAGCACAAGCCTGTTTCCCACGGCGTGCACTGCACCATGCCAGCGGCACGGACCCGCGTAGATACTCTCGCTTCCACCTTGGTGCTCGCGTCGTTGGTGCGGTTCAGTCACTTGCTCGAGGATGTTGATACCACGAGCCTCCGTCCCCGACATTGAAGTGGAAGACCTGTCGGCCTATACGGAGGAGGTCGAGCAGAATGCTGACGGAAAGTCAGTCCTGACTCGGCGCGCGCTCATAGCCCAGCAACAGGTTCTTCGTCCTTATTGCTCATCGATGCCTCGACGCATTTTGACCTCATGAACAGGAATTTAGAGAATGGATCAAACAATATCCTCCTATGCAACAACTTCCTGCCAAACTCGATGCAGAAATCACGCACACGGGCGCTCTCCTTTCCTTCGGCCTCGGTATCACTTACGAGCATCTCCTTGCTTACGCGGCAAAGCGCAACATCCGGGCTTCGTGGGCGCCCGATGAAGCCATCACCAGCCCCGTAGTCGCGTGGGGCCGAATTGCCAGGCTGTTCAGGGAGAGGATGCCTGGTTTCCTGGTGTACTACCGTCGGCCGTTCTCGGTACACTACGAGGGGCTCCTCGCGCTCTACTCGAACCACTCGATGCGGGAACTGCAGCGCCGCGGGGAGGCACACGAGAAGAGGATTGTCGAGTTCCTGCAGAAAGAGATGGAGCTCGACTCGACGCCGATGTGGTACTGGGACATGGATTATACTTCGTACTACTGAGCTGCGTTGACGGTGAGTGCCCTCCGTATACGTGCACAGTCGTGAAACCTCTCTAGCTAATAGACAGAGGACAGACGTTTTGTGTATACTCAGCTCACTGCTGTCGTTTACTGTTGCTCTCGCTCCAGCTGCCAACCAAACTGCGAATGTTCACTGAACCCGCAAGGAAGCACGTCCATAAATACCAATCATCGTAAATTGTCATAAAGTCTGAGCCTTACAAGACTGATCGTGGTGTCTCTTGGTCGCTATGCAATCTATACGTTCCATATACATTCCTAGGACGAATCCAGTTCTGAGTCGCGCAAGTGATTTACATTGCCCTCTCTTTGTCCTTTCCCGTATATGGCGTAAGTTCCACCGGCCTTTTATACTTCAACAATGTGAAGAACCCTCCTACCATCAAGAATGCATAGTGGACATCTCTGAAGTACTTGAATGAGAAAATAGCCTGCTCGTTGACCTGAATAATTGAGAAAACACATATTTCCTTTACAATGTATAGGAGAGTCTTATCACCGTCTTTGGCACCCTTGTCACCATAGTCTTTGGCACCCTCATGACCAGAATCTTCGGCACCCTCGTGACCAGAGTCTTCGGCACTCTCGCCACCTTTGTTAAATGCAATGCATCGATGGTAGTCCAAGGCCTTGACTTCTACCCAAAATATCAAGCTCTAGTCAAGGACCCCATCAGTCGTGATGAGGACTGCAAAGTCAAGAATCCTCCTATGGTGTCGTCTGGTGGAACCCTCTTTCCTCACATATGAGAAATACGGCTGAGGATGGCAGCCAAAGTTCTTGTGACTTGTCGAGCGAGGCTGCCAATCGAGGCAGTATGTCATGAGAGAGAGGCTATGAAAGGGATATAAACGAGATTCAAGTTGTTTTATCTTGGCTGCATTGTCAAGGTAGGTCCAAAGATCTGCATAGAGTTGTTGAGGTTCTATCAGAATTCCGGCCTAATGTCGAGCATTCAGTATGTAAGATTGAGAGGTAGCCATGCGTCACTTACACCATGATTCCTAGTGAAAATTCGGTATTGCAAAATCGAACGAAAACTAGCGAGATCGGACAAGTCGATGTAGTTAGAAAAGTCTCACTTTGATCGAACGTGAACGACTTTGAATGACTCTCATCACACGTAGCCAATGCTAGCTGATGCCCAGGCTCCTACCCACCACCGTGTCGAGGGCAAGGGTCTATTACTAAGAGGAAATAACATGATAAAATTTTACCCACTCACGAGGTCCCAAGTTCAAACCTGGCATGATTTCTCTTTTGATCAGGTATGCTCCCTTCTTATATGATTTATCAAAAGCCTCAGTGCTTCTATTCTCATGAGACAGAATTGATAGTTTAAATAAAACATATATAATCATGCCAGGCTCGAACTTGGAACCTTGTGAGTGGGTAAAATTTTATCATGGCAGCATAACCACTACACTAACACATCAATTTATTTATGTCCTCACCAGTGCTATATAACTAGTGATTATCGCCTTTTGCTCTGGCATTCACTTTGCCATCAAGTTATACCCCTGACATTTGGGGCCTGTAGTGACTTTGTAGAGCCATTGCATTGTATATCATTATTCAACCTTCAAATCTTTGGTCCAGAGCCCCAAGTGCAATTCAGTAAATTTCATGATATCATGCACTCGCATTACTAATGATCTAAATCTCACGTGCGGCCAGTCTTCTATGGCTGACACCGGTGAATCTTCCGGGTGGCGCATGTTTGTATATGTTCTGTGCCAGCCACCAATAGAGAGGGCTTGCGATTGCTCGAGGATTAAGGTTCAAAATGTTACTTCATTATGTCATTTATTTGTTATATGTTTTCTCATATGTTTTTCGTTATTTCCTCTTAGTAATAGACCCTTGCCCTCGACACGGTGGTGGGTAGGAGCCTGGGCATCAGCTAGCATTGGCTACGTGTGATGAGAGTCATTCAAAGTCGTTCACGTTCGATCAAAGTGAGACTTTTCTAACTACATCGACTTGTCCGATCTCGCTAGTTTTCGTTCGATTTTGCAATACCGAATTTTCACTAGGAATCATGGTGTAAGTGACGCATGGCTACCTCTCAATCTTACATACTGAATGCTCGACATTAGGCCGGAATTCTGATAGAACCTCAACAACTCTATGCAGATCTTTGGACCTACCTTGACAATGCAGCCAAGATAAAACAACTTGAATCTCGTTTATATCCCTTTCATAGCCTCTCTCTCATGACATACTGCCTCGATTGGCAGCCTCGCTCGACAAGTCACAAGAACTTTGGCTGCCATCCTCAGCCGTATTTCTCATATGTGAGGAAAGAGGGTTCCACCAGACGACACCATAGGAGGATTCTTGACTTTGCAGTCCTCATCACGACTGATGGGGTCCTTGACTAGAGCTTGATATTTTGGGTAGAAGTCAAGGCCTTGGACTACCATCGATGCATTGCATTTAACAAAGGTGGCGAGAGTGCCGAAGACTCTGGTCACGAGGGTGCCGAAGATTCTGGTCATGAGGGTGCCAAAGACTATGGTGACAAGGGTGCCAAAGACGGTGATAAGACTCTCCTATACATTGTAAAGGAAATATGTGTTTTCTCAATTATTCAGGTCAACGAGCAGGCTATTTTCTCATTCAAGTACTTCAGAGATGTCCACTATGCATTCTTGATGGTAGGAGGGTTCTTCACATTGTTGAAGTATAAAAGGCCGGTGGAACTTACGCCATATACGGGAAAGGACAAAGAGAGGGCAATGTAAATCACTTGCGCGACTCAGAACTGGATTCGTCCTAGGAATGTATATGGAACGTATAGATTGCATAGCGACCAAGAGACACCACGATCAGTCTTGTAAGGCTCAGACTTTATGACAATTTACGATGATTGGTATTTATGGACGTGCTTCCTTGCGGGTTCAGTGAACATTCGCAGTTTGGTTGGCAGCTGGAGCGAGAGCAACAGTAAACGACAGCAGTGAGCTGAGTATACACAAAACGTCTGTCCTCTGTCTATTAGCTAGAGAGGTTTCACGACTGTGCACGTATACGGAGGGCACTCACCGTCAACGCAGCTCAGTAGTACGAAGTATAATCCATGTCCCAGTACCACATCGGCGTCGAGTCGAGCTCCATCTCTTTCTGCAGGAACTCGACAATCCTCTTCTCGTGTGCCTCCCCGCGGCGCTGCAGTTCCCGCATCGAGTGGTTCGAGTAGAGCGCGAGGAGCCCCTCGTAGTGTACCGAGAACGGCCGACGGTAGTACACCAGGAAACCAGGCATCCTCTCCCTGAACAGCCTGGCAATTCGGCCCCACGCGACTACGGGGCTGGTGATGGCTTCATCGGGCGCCCACGAAGCCCGGATGTTGCGCTTTGCCGCGTAAGCAAGGAGATGCTCGTAAGTGATACCGAGGCCGAAGGAAAGGAGAGCGCCCGTGTGCGTGATTTCTGCATCGAGTTTGGCAGGAAGTTGTTGCATAGGAGGATATTGTTTGATCCATTCTCTAAATTCCTGTTCATGAGGTCAAAATGCGTCGAGGCATCGATGAGCAATAAGGACGAAGAACCTGTTGCTGGGCTATGAGCGCGCGCCGAGTCAGGACTGACTTTCCGTCAGCATTCTGCTCGACCTCCTCCGTATAGGCCGACAGGTCTTCCACTTCAATGTCGGGGACGGAGGCTCGTGGTATCAACATCCTCGAGCAAGTGACTGAACCGCACCAACGACGCGAGCACCAAGGTGGAAGCGAGAGTATCTACGCGGGTCCGTGCCGCTGGCATGGTGCAGTGCACGCCGTGGGAAACAGGCTTGTGCTGGTTTTCTCCCTGTTTTTCACCTTGCCTATGTCCCCTCCTCGCCTATATAGTGGCATGAGTGACAATCCATTCGACTCGCCCGAGAGAAACATGTCAGTGAGGCATGTCCTTCCCTCGCAGACAGACCCAGCGCGGAGAGGGCCGGTAATGATGAGTAGCAGCGACGGGTCAGAAAGCATCCTTTCGTCGTGCGAGCAGGAGTCCTCTTCAGGATTTCAGAAATCATCGCACCCGCACGATCGAGACACTCCCCTCTATACCCCAGATTCCACGCGACCGCGCTGTCGTGCCGAGGCTCAAGACATGCGCCGAGCGCCATTCGGTAACATAAGCACGTCTTAACAACAGTCGCGAACAGCCTGAGGTGTCAGTTATGTGAATTTGACATTGAAATCCATCACAACAGTCAATACAAAGATCCTCAGTACAGAGGCCACAAATCTGCGAGTGAAAGCAGCGACAAAGCGCGGTAGCGATAACGAAAGAGCGAGAGAGAAGCTTTTATAGTCTGTATGAAGTCGGTCACGAAGACTAAGAACAAACGTCGATAGAGTGAAAGCTGTGTATCCTATGAGAGAGGCGACTGCACATAACCGAAGGCCACTCACTGTCAACGCAGTTCAGTAGTACGAAGTATAATCCATGTCCCAGTACCACATTGGCGTCGAGTCGAGCTCCATCTCTTTCTGCAGGAACTCGATAATCCTCTTCTCGTGTGCCTCCCCGCGGCGCTGCAGTTCCCGCATCGAGTGGTTCGAGTAGAGCGCGAGGAGCCCCTCGTAGTGTACCGAGAACGGCCGACGGTAGTACACCAGGAAACCAGGGATCCTCTCCATGAACAGCCTGGCAATTCGAACCCACGCGACTACGGGGCTGGTGATGGCTTCATCGGGCGCCCACGAAGCCCGGATGTTGCGCTTTGCCGCGTAAGCAAGGAGATGCTCGTAAGTGATACCGAGGCCGAAGGAAAGGAGAGCGCCCGTGTGCGTGATTTCTGCATCGAGTTTGGCAGGAAGTTGTTGCATAGGAGGATATTGTTTGATCCATTCTCTCATTTCCTGTTCATGCGGTCAAAATGCGTTGAGGCATCGATGAGCAATAAGGACGAAGAACCTGTTGCTGGGCTATGAGCGCGCGCCGAGTCAGGACTGACTTTCCGTCAGCATTCTGCTCGACCTCCTTCGTATAGGCCGACAGGTCTTCCACTTCAATGTCGGGGACGGAGGCTCGTGATATCAACATCCTTGAAAGGGTAGGAGCGGATAAGACGGTAGTGAAGCGAGTATTGTGGTTTCTCACACGCGGGGCCACCAGCTACCGATTCGAACTTATATACAGAGAACAAACGAGCACAAACCCCACGAAAATCGAAACCGAAAGCACTATTAGACATATATCGGACAACATCGCCAAAAAAAGTAAGCAGGTAAGAACGATGGTAAGGGATAAAAAAAGGAAAGGCAAGGTAAGGGAGGGAAAGGAAAGGGACTCGGACACCACTACACGCCTCGCAGAAGGAACACACAACAACAACAATAACGACAGCCCGCTCGGATAGATATATAATTAGATAACCGCCACCACTCCCGTCCGTCCTGGTCATCCTACAACGCCTTGCTTACACCCCCCCGCTCGGAGGAGCGGAACAACGGAAAATAAAAAGAACGGTCGCAGGCCGGCGACCCCACAGAGTGAACGGAAGATGCGGACGTGAGGCGCGAGAGGCGCGGGCGAGACGTACGAAACGGCCGGGGCGGAGCGACCCCGACACCACATCCCTCGTCTATTTCTCGCCCATGTCGATGATTTTCTGCCCGAGCGCGTGGTCCTGCGAGGCCGTGTCGACGGACTGCGAGCGCCCGCGCGTCGAGGGGCGCGGCTCAAGCGGAAGGTCGGTAGAGCGCGATCCGCGCCAGCCGATGATCGCGCGACTGCGTCAGGACTATCAGCGACGAGAACGTGAGGAGGATGACCGGCGAAGCACGTACATCCATCCAGGGACAATGCTGCCAGGCGGGATGACCCAAGGCTCGGCAGAGCCGTATGTTGGAGGCACGATGCGGTCGTTGGAGACCTTGCGAAGAATCCAGGGGATGCCATTCAGAATGAGATACGAGATGATACCCGCGATGACTCCATACGCGATACTGTGTCGCGAAGAGACTTCGGTCAACGCCGAGCAGAGGAGGAACGTATGAGACGCGTACTTGTATGTCAACGGGATGATGATGATCGTTAAGAACGCGGGAACGGCGTCGCCGATGTAGTCCCAGTTGATATCGCGCACGTTGCGGATCATGAGCGTGCCGACGATGACGAGCGCACCGCCGGTAGCCCAGGACGGGATGGACGCGAAGATGGGTGCGAAGAAGACCGAGACCAGGAACATGATGCCCGTCACGATCGCAGTGATGCCCGTCTTGCCGCCCTCTTGAGACATCGAGCGCGTCAGATATGCTTCACGGGTCCATTTGCAATCAGGGTGGGGCACGCACCAGAGATACCCGTTGCGCTCTCGATGAACGCCGTGACCGGACTTGTTCCCATCAAGGCGCCCATACTGATCGAGAACGCGTCCACGCAATACGCCACCGTGCTCCTCTCAAAGTCAAGCGTCACAGGGTCTCTCAACCCGGCGAACTTGGCCATGGAGTACAGCGTACCGGTCGTGTCGAGGATATCGACGTACAGCATGGTGATGAGCGCGTACCACACGTGCCCGTTGCCGTAGTTGTAGTCGATGGCGTTGCCGATGCGGTTGAGGGGCCGGAAGGCGACGACCTGCTTGAAAAAGTCGAATGCCTCGTCGCCGGCGGACGTGTGCGGGAAGAAGGTGACCGCGGTCGGGCGCGGCCAGGAGATGATGGAGGTGAGGAAGATGCCGATCAAGATCGCACCCTTGACGCGGTACATCATGAGGAAGACGGTTAAGAAGCTAATCCGAAGGGTCAAGTCAGTGGGCGGGGAAAGAGCGCCAGGCGGCAGAGACCAACGCACCCGCCGACAAAGATGCCCAACCAGACCGTGGGGTTCCTGAGCACGCCGCGCGCACAGTATCCCGCAAGATCGTCGCTGACGTAGTTTTCGGGCAAGCACCCGCCTAGGCCGACGAAATTTGTGGTGTCACCGCCAACGACGCCAAGTCCGCCGGACGCTGAAAAAAATCAAGCAGTACGCAAAATACAATGGGCGGGAGAGAGCCTCAAGGTCAGAATGCGATAGCCGATTCTGAAAAATGGGTTCACGTACACAATCCGATGAAGCTGTGCAAAGGCGCGTGAGTATGGGTGTGGTAAAAGAGGGACGAGAGACGAGAGACGACGCACGCGATGAAGAGGCCGATGCCAGTGCCGACGGCCATGACCAGTGATTGCGGCATGACGCGGGCGAGCCATTGGCGGAGGCCGAGGAGAGAGAGAATGAAGAAGATCCAGCTAGAGAAGATCAGAACGGAAGCGTTAGCACGTCCGCTCGACGCAAGAACACGTGCTCGACGTCACGCGCGACGATCCAGAAGCCGCGTCGGAGACAAGCGCCATCCCAATCGGGGCAACAGCGTGCGAGACTAGATGTCGCCCAGATTGGGGTGGCGTGCGGGGAACAGCCGGATGAGGAACAAGACGCACCCTTCCATAAAGACAGCCACGAGGGCCTCGCGGTACGAGATCAGTCCCGTCCCATGGAACCCGACGATAGAGTATGTGAACTGCCATCCCCCAAGTCAAGGTCAGCACTCCCCATCGCGCGTCATCAAAATCCTGGAGCCCACACACGTAAGCGTTCAACCCCAGCCCAGGCGCCATCCCGACCGGCAGGTTTGCGAAGAAACCCATGAGCCCGCTCGCGAGGGCAGACACGGCGGCCGTCGACGTGATGAGGTCTCTCCGGACCTCGGTCACGCAGAGAGCATAGGCGGCATCCGTGACACATCCGTCGTTGGTCGCACAAACACACGTTCCACCAGAGTCAGAGATGATGGACGCGTTTACGGAGATCTGGCGGACAGGTTAGGGGTCAGAGAGGTTTACGGGGGATGCCGAAAAGGCAGGGGGAGCGAGACCAAGGAAAGTAGGAATGAGATGTCGATGAAGATACGAGGGGGGAGAGAGGGCTTCATGGTTGTTGTCGGTAAGGAGGGGGGGACTTACAATGTACGCCATCGCGGCCTGCAAAGTCATCATCCGTCAGATCGCCGGCGAGCAGTAGAGCGAAAGACGAGACGTACCCATGTTGTTATACCGGCGCGAATTTCAGTCTACATATATGCCGAGGTCAGCGAACATCCGACGACGCGACCACTATGCTTGTAGAGAAAGGGGGGACGAAGGGGGGGGGGGGGGGGGAAGAGGGGTTTCGGTGTGTGGAGAAAGAAATGTACGCACAAGAAACCGGGAGCCCTTGCGCTCCTTTTCCATGCCTGAGCCCTCCAGCTGAAACCACCGGCCGACAATCGAGTTCGCTACCTACGAAGCGTGCCGCAGCCCTCCCTTTTGCTGCCTCTCATTGCTTGCTGATCCTCCTTCTTCCAGGCCGACTACGCCTGCCAAAGGTGCACGACTGAGTTTACCACTGTGGCCTTTTGGTGCTACACGAGGTCTGGCCAAGTTTTGTGTACGAAGTGCTCCAAGGAGCAGAAAGGCTGCAGCTTCCAACCTGGGTGGATGCTGAACAAGGGAAAGTCCAAGGGGAAAGGGAAGTCGAAAGCGAAGGCGGCCGAAAAGTCGGGGGAGCCGGAACCATCGCGCCCGACCAAAAAGCACAAGGTCGAGGTAGTCGTCCCTGAACGATCTGTCGGTGAGATTATCGCACGGACAAAAGGTGAGTAATCGGTCGGACATTGCTAGAATATGGGCTCATTGTATTGTCTAGCTGTTCGGGCTCGGAAGCTAGTCCAGTGTCTTCCAACCTCCACTTGTACCGTCCTGACCCCTTCCCATCCCCACTCCTCTACTGTCCCCACTCTGTCCGACTCATCTCGCCTGTCTCCTATCGTCACACAAGGCATCGCGTCAGAGCTTCGGTACCGCATTGCTGTGGCCGAAGGTACGCGTGCCTTGCTGGCGCATTCAATCGCGATGTGGCAGGGTGAGTTGGCAAGTCTTGAGGCACGTTCGGGTGGCTCGGCGGTTTTGGATGTGGTGCTGGTGGAAGACTCGTTGGATGCCAAGGATTCGGACATGTCTGTGTTGGGCGACTTTGTGCCCGATGTGTGGAATAGTTTCAAGGTGTCTGTCGTACAGTAAAATGTAACATAATAGTGAAAGGGACTGTCCTAGTTTGAATGAGACATTTGTCAAAGACTAGAGGTGTTGTTCAGGAAATCAGTCGGTGAAATGACTGTGTGAATGTACTTGTAAGCAAAGCATTCGGCGGAAATGAAGAAAATAAATTGGAATATTAGGGGAAGCCTCAGTATGTCATCACAGGCATAAAACCCTATGGTTTTGTGCAAATCAGAAGAAGTCTTCAATGCGACTTGGTACTTGAAGGAATGATGGGAAAATGATGGGCCAAATATTTGGTTGGCGATGAATCGGTGGCAAAAGTACTAAAAAATGTATTAATGATTGGGCATCAGTCCATGTCTGTGACGAATAAATGAAAATAAGGAATGGGTATATCTGTGAATCCTCCTCCCTACTGAGATTGTGACTGTCCCCAGTCACCGACTGAAGAGAGCGAAAGGTGGCAGGGTGGGATCTAGTCGGAGGTCGCCAAAGCCGCGTCATCATCCTCCGCCAATCGGACTGAGCTGGTGTTGGTATCTTCATTGGTATTGTCGTCTTCGGTGACATTGTCTCTTGATCGGGAATCTTCCATGGCCTGAAGGTGTTCCTGCGAGATGTCGAGGAGGGCTTCAAGGTCGGCGAGCTTTAGAGACCTGCGAGCAAAATAAGGAATAACGCGGAATGCTGCAACTGGCTGATCAAAAACTGATCCATCGAGTTTGGCCAAAATATACGCTCCTCCCCGATTCCTAGAAATTACTAGCAACAGCCCTAAATACTGTGGATGCATCTTCTGATTGAGTGCCTTTTCTATGGCTGTGTTGCGCATCAGGACAAGCAAGCCTTGGTGGAAATTGAAGTTGCAAAGGGTGGCCAAATGCTGTTGTTTGAATCAGATGGCGGCCTGTGTTACGAACTGCTTGTTCGATAACCCCAAGAGTAGGAGGTTCTTCCCTAGGTCACCCGTAGAGAGAGTGTGGAACGATGGTCTCGACTGTACATGTAGCACAGGAGCCAGAGATGTATTGCGATATAGCAATGAAGAGTACTGTAAGAAGACAGTACTAGAATGAAGTAGACAGTGTGAAGACTGCCTAAGAACAAAGGGCTGTAGTAGGAAGACTACAGCGAACGAAGAGAATAGACTGAAGATCCTCAGCCTACTCTATGGGCCTTTTATACTACTTTGGGAAATAGGGCGTGAGAATACCATATATGTATCCATAGGTATTCTCTAAGTCATCTCTCTCAATAACGACTACTCTTGTGCTTCCTTGTTCATCACCTTCTGGCCAGGAAAGACTAGGAGCTTTATGCCCGGTGTGTGAGTAGTTTGTAAGGCGGCATTCTATGCCTGTCGCAATATGGCTCGTGATACTTGACCAACGATAAGGTGATCCGTTGGGAGTGGATGACCAAGGTTATTATCTGTACCTTGTTGTATGCCTTACCTTGTGAGGCCGCTTGATCTTTGTGATGATCATGTTGGAATAGACCGCCGTTAAGGCCCGACAGAACGTGATCATAATAATACCCCCTTTCTACGTCCTATTCGCCTGGTAGGATAGCGCCTTGCGCTTCATCGCCGCTCCATATACGATTTGCTTTCTTGATCCAACAATGGGTCTCCGGATGCGACTTCCGGGACATGACTTTGTTTTCTGGGAGGAAGACCGACTTACATCATTTGATCCTCTAGGAGTTTTCCATCTCCGTTGAGCTGTTTGTTTCTCGGCCATAACGCAGGGGGTTCCAAGCCCTGGGCCACTAGGATGTTCTTCCTTCACCCGTAAGGATTATTTTGCCGCGGTGATACGCTAGAGGTGGCTCTAAGTGCTGAGCACAACACTAAAACAACCTCTAATGCAGGGGTGCTGGAGCTAGTATCTGATACACAAGGAATTGTAAGTGATGACTTTAGAAATTGAAGGCGTACTGAGAAGCAATCGGGGAGTGTGAGATTATAGCACCCGAACGGTTTCGGGACTGCGCCAAACACCAACCGAATGTTCGGTCAGTTGTGTCGGCAATGCAGTCGGTAACGAGAAGGTAGTGTCGCGACTGACAACTACGTGCTTCAAGAGCCACACGGGACTCTGACAATATACGAGGGAGGATGGAGGTACGAGCGAAGAGACGAGTACAAATGCGAATGAGGCTGAATGATGAGGATGACAAGTTTTCGGAAGTCAACAAAGACGATTTCGATGGTTGAGACGAGTGCAAATGAGCTCTGAACTGTGGGGTGCGAAAGCTGGTTTATTCCAGAGTTGTATGTAGGTTTTTATAGTAAACAGAGCCCCTAAGTAAAATATTAAACAAGAAATGAGAGTAGATGTCGAATGGGCGCCAAGCCTTAGCGATCAGAGAAGATAAGAAGGTATGTGAGATGTCCATATGGGTTCCGAAGGTGACAAGGTAAAAGTTAATCAGCGATGGTGAAATCCCGAACGTTTGGGATCCGTCGCCCGAGCGTAGGTAGCCGGAACAGGCGTTGGAGAACCAATGAAAATAAAGAAGAGGTATCGTACGACCAGGGTGGCCAAGTAATGGTACAAAATCGTGTTTGACCGACCATGTGGAGGTCAGGAAGATAAGCGATAAGGACCGACCGACTCACGGAGCACATCGGCCAACACGGAAGACTGGCTCTGATCTCGTAAACACCTATTGTAACACCCCTGTGTGGTCATGGTAAGTACATGAAGTGTGGGCGAACTGACCCAAGTGCTGCCGAACGTCCTTTGGAGGGTTGCGGTCGGTCGGGTGGGGACCGACTGTGTTCGGTGCAAGTCGGCATCTTCGGTACTCGTCTAACGCTGTTCGGTATCTCCCCAAAGCTTCCCGAATACCTCCCTCGGACCCTAGCACGGGTACATGCTCATCACCGCTACATGAATTTACAAGTCGCTGGAGTAGTAGTACGTACGCTATCCCAGCTCGAGATCTTCCGATGATTCTACAACTAATGTGTTCCGTATGTACATTCCTCGAACAAGTCTATTTAGGACGAGCCTTGCCCTTTCCCTTTCCACTGGGAGCTGGAGAATGTTGAGGGAGAACGACTTGCGGTAGGGTCTCAATAAAAGACCCAAGGACGGCGCGAGGTTTGTCGCGGTCGGCACCTGTGCGCGCAGGCGGGGTGGCGAATATGGGTTGGCGAGATGGCCCGGCAGCTGGCATGGACACGTCTTCGTCGCGAGCGCCTCTCCTAGACGGGGTCGAGGGGGTCTGCTGCTCCGCAAGAAGGTCGTTTAACGCAAGCAGGGCGTCGACGGACTGCATGATCGTGTTCTGGAAGACCCCCCCATGAGGAGTCGATAGGAGCGGTGGGGACGAGGGAGGGGAAGTCAAGGGAGACATGGGAGCATCCTTCGAGACGCTCTTTTCTGCCCTTTCCTTATGATATGCGTCCCGTTGAGCCTCTTCTTTTTCTTCTTCTAGAGCTTGTAAGACCTCTTTGGCCTTCTGCACTGCTAGTTGCTTGGCTCGCACGGTCTCTGCTAGGACCTCTGATCTTGTGCGGGAGCGCGTCTGGATCGGAGAAAATAGGGCCGTTCGTGCTGTTTTGCGAGGTCTGCCTTCAGATTGTGTGAAAGATGACCCGGCCGCTGACGATGCGTCAGGAGAACCCGTCGGAGTGGAAGCGGACGGCGAAGGTCTCTCTCGTTCATTCTCCAATGCATCCCGAACCAGATTCTGCCCCCTCACCTGTAATCGACCACAACAAAGGCAATTAGGTACACTATGAGACTGCATAGTGACAGTAAAACTTACCAATGACTGTTCCGAAGGTTCAGGGGCATTGGGTGGGACACAGAACAACGAGGGCTCCTCAAAGTGGCTACGAAGCTTTGCTGAGGAGTCGGCGACAACACTGAGTGCCCGGAGGTAAACAGGGTTGAGACCTTGGCCAACCATGAACATAGGCACATTGAAGTATAAGACATCAGGGACGATAGAGATGGGATCTCCTATGTCCTCAAGAGCCCTTGCTTTGAGAGTAGAATCTGCCCTCGCTCGTTTTTGAGGAATGGTGGTCGGAGCAGGCTGTACATTGGGCACAGACCCGATTGGCCTAGTATACTTCAGAAGCGAGAAAAAACCGGCGACCATGACAAATGCATAGTGGACATCACCATCGAAGCGCTGAAAGGAGAATAATGCTTGTTCATTGACCTGGATAATTGCACCCATGAATGCCGTATCCGCAGCCGCCATAATAGATTCCAGGGTTTCGGCGGTGTCGCCGAGACCGAATGCACTATCCCATCGGTGTCCCAATATAGGCTTGACTTCTGTCCAAAACACAAGACTGGGAGGAAGGGAAAGTTCGGCGATAATAGCTGCAAAATCCGGAATCCTTCGGGAATGGAGTCTCTGGCTATCCTGTTCTCCTATGAAGTGTGAGAAGTATGGCTGTGGATGGCAGCTGAAGGAAATAGTAGGCAAGAGGGGCTTCCAGTCAGAGCAGTACGATGAGAGAGAGAGATTATGGAAGGCATATGAAGCTGATTCAAACTGATGACTGTTTGCTGCATGAGCAAGCAGAATGTGTAGATCACGCTCGATCCGCATCCGTTCCAAAATGATTCTGTCCTGTTGTCAGACGATCAGCCATGTGAGAGGAACGACAAGCCATGCAGCACATACGTCATTGGCTGTTGCCATAATGAAGTCGTTCGAGTGTTGGTGATGCCAGTGACGGGTGTCCTTGGAAACATTGTCCGATACCTGCTTTTAAGTGTTTAAGCCATTTGGGGTTGACGTCTGCTTGTTCCGTTCTGGGATAGCATTTTGTACCGCTTTAGGATTCTGCTTTGTTCTTTCGTAGGGCGGGAACTGTTCGTCACATGCATTCCTGGTCATACTGTGCTAGAACAAGGCGACCAAGGACAGGCAGAGAAACAAGGGCATGTGTTCAGGCGACCAGACCGTGAGACAATAGGATAACAGGGTTCGGCACACAGACGATTGCAATCTTTTGAGTTGCTCAGCACCGGGGACTAATAGTTCAGCACTACAACGAGGACCATGTGAATAATATAACGGCGCAACACAGCGCAACACCTTCTCTGATCATCTGATCATATTAATATACAAGGTCAATGAGAGGAGACGAAGAGTAGACGAAGGTTCTTCACCGTTGAGTCACGATAGTATCACGATTCGTCCGCCTCTGTATATAAGTTCGAATCAGTAGCTGGTGGCCCGCGTGTGAGAAACCACAATACTCGCTTCACTACCGTCTTATCCGCTCCTACCCTTTCAAGGATGTTGATATCACGAGCATCTGTCCCCGACATTGAAGTGGAAGACCTTTCGGCCTATACGGAGGAGGTCGAGCAGAATGCTGACGGAAAGTCAGTCCTGACTCGGCGCGCTATCCTAGCCCGGGAACAGGTTCTTCGTTCTTCATTGCTCATCGATGCCTCAACGCATTTTGACCGCATGAACAGGAAATGAGAGAATGGATCAAACAATATCCTCCTATGCAACAACTTCCTGCCAAACTCGATGCAGAAATCACGCACACGGGCGCTCTCCTTTCCTTCGGTTTCGGTATCACTTACGAGCATCTCCTTGCTTACGCGGCAAAGCGCAACATCCGGGCTTCGTGGGCGCCCGATGAAGCCATCACCAGCCCCGTAGTCGCGTGGGGCCGAATCACCAGGCTGTTCAGGGAGAGGATCCCTGGTTTCCTGGTGTACTACCGTCGGCCGTTCTCGGTACACTACGATGGGCTCCTCGCGCTCTACTCGAACCACTCGATGCGGGAACTGCAGCGCCGCGTGGAGGGGCACGAAAAGAGGGTCATCGAGTTCTTGCAGAAAGAGATGGAGCTCGACTCGACGCCAATGTGGTACTGGGACATGGATTATACTTCGTACTACTGAACTGCGTTGACAGTGAGTGGCCTTCGGTTATGTGCAGTCGCCTCTCTCATAGGATACATAGCTTTCCCTCTATCGACGTTTGTTCTTAGTCTTCGTGACCGACTTCATACAGACTGTAAAAGCTTCTCTCTCGCTCCCTCGTTATCGTTACCGTGCTTTGTCGCTGCTTTCGCTCGCAGATTTGTGGCTTCTGTAATGAGGATCTTTGTATTGACTGTCGTGATGGATTTCAATGTCAAATTCACATAACTGACACCTCAGGCTGTTCGCGACTGTTGTTAAGACGTGCATGGTGGCGCTCGGCGCGTGTCTTGAGTCTGCGCATGACAGCGTGGAATCTGGGGTATAGAGGGGAGTGTCTCGATCCTGCGGGTGCGATGATTTCTGAAATCCTGAAGAGGACTCCTGCTCGCACGACCAAAGGATGCTTTCTGACCCGTCGCTGCTACTCATCATTACCGGCCCTCTGCGAGGGAAGGACGTGCCTCACTGACATGTTTCTCTCGGGCGAGTCGAATGGATTGTCACTCATGCCACTATATAGGCGAGGAGGGGACATAGGCAAGATGAAAAACAGAGAGAAAACCAGCATAAGCCTGTTTCCCACGGCGTGCACTGCACCATGCCAGCGGCACGGACCCGCGTAGATACTCTCGCTTCCACCTTGGTGCTCGCGTCGTTGGTGCGGTTCAGTCACTTGCTCGAGGATGTTGATACCACGAGCCTCCGTCCCCGACATTGAAGTGGAAGACCTTTCGGCCTACACGGAGGAGGTCGAGCAGAATGCTGACGGAAAGTCAGTCCTGACTCGGCGCGCGCTCATAGCCCAGCAACAGGTTCTTCGTCCTTATTGCTCATCGATGCCTCGACGCATTTTGACCTCATGAACAGGAATTTAGAGAATGGATCAAACAATATCCTCCTATGCAACAACTTCCTGCCAAACTCGATGCAGAAATCACGCACACGGGCGCTCTCCTTTCCTTCGGTCTCGGTATCACTTACGAGCATCTCCTTGCTTATGCGGCAAAGCGCAACATCCGGGCTTCGTGGGCGCCCGATGAAGCCATCACCAGCCCCATAGTCGCGTGGGTTCGAATTGCCAGGCTGTTCATGGAGAGGATGCCTGGCTTCCTGGTGTACTACCGTCGGCCGTTCTCGGTACACTACGAGGGGCTCCTCGCGCTCTACTCGAACCACTCGATGCGGGAACTGCAGCGCCGCGGGGAGGCACACGAGAAGATGATTATCGAGTTCCTGCAGAAAGAGATGGAGCTCGACTCGACGCCGATGTGGTACTGGGACATGAGCTATACTTCGTACTACTGAGCTGCGTTGACGGTGAGTGGCCTCCGTATACGTGCACAGTCGTGAAACCTCTCTAGCTAATAGGGTTCACAGCTTTCTCTCCATCGACATTCGTCGTAAGTCTCCATGACCGACCTCAGACAGAGGACAGACGTTTTGTGTATACTCAGCTCACTGCTGTCGTTACTCTCTTACTCTCGCTATAACTGCCAACCAAGATGTGAATGTTCACTGAACCCGCGAGGGAACACGTTCGTAAATACCAATCATCGTAAATTGTCATGAAGTCTGAACCTTACAAGACTGATCGTAGAGTCTCTTGGTAGCTATGCATTCTACACGTTCCATATACAGTCCTAGGACGAATCCAGTTCTGAGTCGCGCAAGTGATTTACCTTGCCCTCTCCTTGCCCTTTCCCTTTTCCATTCTCTTCTCCTTCTCCGTTCCTTTCCCCTTCCCCTTCTCCTTCCCTTTCGCCTTTGCCTTTGCCTTCTCCGTCTCCTTTGCCTTTGCCTTTCCGCTAGGAGTTCGAGCTTTAATGGGTTTAGAGGAAGACCCAAGGGCGTCGTCAGCTGATGTGGTTGCCTCGTCCACGTGGCCATCCGTGGATGGACTTGAGGGGTAGAATAAGGGAGGAGTGAATGATGTGGTAGATGGCTCGCCAGGAAAATCTGGGGCAGGCGGTGAAGGTGAAGCAGGAGTCAAGAAAGACGCTGGGGCACTGGGTACACTTGCGCTAGGCTGGACTGCTGCAGGTTGTGCAGTCTCTATGCGTGTTTGGTAGCGCGTCCGCGTCCGCACCGGAGACTCTGTGGTGGTGGTTCTTGCACCCCTGCGCCGAGGGTTCCTGTCTTTGAATATAGATCCTTTTGAAGAAGGTGCGTCTGATGATTCGGGAGGGTCTTCATTGCCCTCGGACCGCTTCTCCATCAGCTTGACATGTATCAACTTCTGTCCTTCCTCCTGTCATATGTTCGGACACCAAAAAGTTAGGCATTGAGTAGTACGACTGCCCAAAAATAAGCGCACCCTTTGTTCCTCAGGAAATGGAGGGGCATCGGGTGGGATACCAAAAATGAAGGGCCCCTCAAAGGATTCCACAAGCTCCGTGGATGATTGGGCAACGTGATCCAGTGCCCTCAGATATAATAGGCTCAAACCTTCCTCAGCTCCTTCGAATATAGATGCACTGAAACATAAGACTTCAGGATCAATACTGATAGGATCAACCGCAACATCAGGAACCTCTGTCATTTTATCAGTGGGTGCTTCCTTCCCTTTCTTCTCGCGAAGTGGAGCAGGTTTTTCATATGGCGTAAGTTCCACTGGCCTTTTGTACTTCAACAATGTGAAGAACCCTCCTACCATCAAGAATGCATAGTGGACATCTCCATCGAAGTGCTTGGATGAGAAAATAGCCTGCTCGTTGACCTGAATAATTGAGAAAACACATATTTCCTTTGCAACGTATAGGAGAGTCTTATCACCATCTTTGGCACCCTCGTCACCATAGTCTTTGGCACCCTCATTGCCAGAGTCTTCGGCACCCTCATGACCAGAATCTTCGGCACCCTCGTGACCAGAGTCTTCGGCACTCTCGCCACCTTTGTTAAATGCAATCCATCGATGGTAGTCCAAGGCCTTGACTTCTACCCAAAATATCAAGCTCTAGTCAAGGACCCCATCAGTCGTGATGAGGATTGCAAAGTCAAGAATCCTCCTATGGTGTCGTCTGGTGGAACCCTCTTTCCTCACATATGAGAAATACGGCTGAGGATGGCAGCCAAAGTTCTTGTGACTTGTCGAGCGAGGCTGCCAATCGAGGCAGTATGTCATGAGAGAGAGGCTATGAAAGGGATATAAACGAGATTCAAGTTGTTCTATCTTGGCTGCATTGTCAAGGTAGGTCCAAAGATCTGCATAGAGTCGTTGAGGTTCTATCAGAATTCCGGCCTAATGTCAAGCATTCAGTATGTAAGATTGAGAGGTAGCCATGCGTCACTTACGCCATGACTGCTTGTTGTCATGATTGAATAGATGGAGTATTACACGGTAGGCAATAGTGTAAGCGCGAGCTGCGTGACGCTGGGGTTCCTCCGTGCACGGGTGCAGACCGGGAGTGAGGGCGTGTGGGGGACAGAAAGCAGTGCGGAGAGCGGAGGGTGGATGCAGACGACGAGAATTGAGGGCAGCTGGCGATAACAGGAAATGTTGGTATAGTACTGTAACATGCCGCGCTCGGCCAGTACCCCGCTTGGTAAGCAACTAGCTTGATTTCTATATACAAGGCTACAGCTGCCTTACTGTTTCTTCCTGTTTCCTTACCAGCTTTGACCTTGAAGATGCCTTCGCCGGCCGAAATCACCGCTCCCTTCATCGAAGACGAAGACTTGTCGGCCTATATCAACGAGTATGCGTACGATGATGAAGGAAATCCAATCAGCAGTTCCACTTGCGGCTGGAAAATGACTGCGCGTGGCGCAAAAGCACGAGAACAGGTACTTTGTCCTTGCTCGTCAATGCCCCGAATTCAAGTTGACTTGGTGAACACCATCACAGGCATACCTGGAAATCCTGAGGGAGTCGCCCCCCATGGAACAACTTCCTGCTGAATACGATGCAGAGCTCAGGCCGGATACAGATGCTGTCCTTGCCTTTGGTCTCGGTATCAGTTTCGATCAGCTGTTGCGATATGTCCACAAGAGGAACATCCGTACTCCTTGGAAGCCCTACCGTCGAATCACTCAACCTCTCGTTGCTTTTAACGAGATCTCCAAGAGGCTCAAGAAAGCGATCCCCGGCTTACAGTTGTTCTACCGCCGACCTGCCTCTGTCGAATATGACAGGGTTCTGGCTCTGTACTCGAACCATTCAATGGGGAGACTTCAATATGAGGAAGAAGATGAACAGCGTGTAATCGAGTATATCAAGAAGGAGCTAGAGATTGACTCTCCGCCATTGTGGTTCTGGGACATGGACGAGGAGGACACATTCTGAACCACATTCATCGTAAGTGGCGCCGCATTATAATCTTTGTAAACATGGTACCCAGTTGTCATCTCTCTAGGTTCCACAGCCCATCGGGTGCGGTGGCATACTTCATTCATTTTCTCCTTCTGTCTCCATTCATGATACCTATCGTCACATTGCTTTGTCGTTGTCTTCGCTCACAATTCTGTTACCTCTTTTAATATCCGTATATGTACTATCATGATGCATCTCAATCTCGAGCTTGTACCAATGTCACCGCTGGCCTTTCTCTTCTGCTCTGGGTACATGCATGACTGAATGACACTGGGCACGTGTTCCGAGTCTCCCGAGGTAGCGTAAGTGCACGCACGACGGCACGGTCGCAGGGACCTAGATCTAAGGTGTGAAGGCTGTCACGATCCTGGGGCTATGAAATTTTGCAGAGGACCGTTTGCGCAGACTAAGAGATACTCCCGGTCTTTCCCTAACCATGGGCTAACAAATCTTTGTTCCTTCCAGAAAACCAAGAGAGTACTGTGGCAGATATACTACGATTTGTCACCACTCCACCGCGTTTCATCGACGGAGCTGTGTCGAGTTCCGAGGTCAGTTATTTGTCTTCATTCGAGGCTATGTTCTGATACTTCGCAACAAATCGCGACGCGGTGAACAGCAACAGACATTGCTCATGACGGTCTGTCTACAGGTTGATTAACTCCCTGAGGAATCCCCTGATACTGTGCAGTCAGGGAAGTATGGCCGAGGTGCAACGCTACGCCAGGTGTAAAGCTCTCATCACGACAGATAGCTAAAGCTGAGATCATACAATTGGAAGCCAGCAGATTCAGCAATGGGCACAACAAGGATGGTTTCCCCGTGGCGCAGCCATCTGCTGAAGTTATATGATCGTCAATTGTCGAACCTAGTACTTCGCGGACACTGACAAGGCCAACTTCGACGCCGAGTGCTCAGGTATCAACGGGTAACATGATCGAGACTAGGGGAAGAGGGGAAGAGGAAGGCTGCTGTTAGGGAGGTCAACGGTAAGACTCGGGTGACTGCTTCGTCCCAGTTGGTCAATGCGAACATGGCGAAGGGACAGAGACGAGCGAAGAAAGAGGAGCAGAAAAAGAAGCGGTCTAGGACAGGGTATGGAACTGTGAGAAGGATGGACAATGTTCGTCAATCATTGTGACCTCGTACGACAGAGAATGACGATCCCGGGTCATGACAAGTATGGTGTCCCCTCCGTCCGAAGTAGTTTATGAGATCAGTGTGGCATCGCGTGTAACGTCAAGGGGAATAAATGGCAGAAGGGATCAGGGACGTACTTTTTTCCTGGTTATCTTTCCACTCTCTTTTCTCACCCGCTGTGTACCCTGCCGATCGACCTGGACAGTGATATGCCTATTGCACTGTCCTCGCTAGTGCTCGGATGACCTTTCTACTATTCTCAAGAGTCAGCTAGCTCCATCCTTGGATTTGATGGCGATAGTTACCTACGAGGTGCTGTGGTCGCTGTCATCAAGAACGCAGATGGGAGGATCCTTTGCTTGGAGCGATGTGAGGAAGAGATGAAGCGTGGGAACTCAAGCAATGCCTAGTGAGTCCTGCTTCGTCTCACTCACTTTCCCTCAAAGATGCCTTCGCCGGCCGAAATCACCGCTCCCTTCATCGAAGACGAAGACTTGTCGGCCTATATCAATGAGTTCGCGTACGATGATAAAGGAAACCTAATCAGGAGTGCCATTCGTGGCCCAGTAATGACTGCGCGTGGCGCAAAAGCACGAGAACAGGTACTTTGTCCTTGCTCGTCAATGCCCCGAATTCAGGTTGACTTGGCGAACACCATCACAGGCATACTTGGAAATCCTGAGAGAGTCACCTCCCATGGAACAACTTCCTGCTGAATACGATGCAGAGCTCAGGCCGGATACAGATGCTGTCCTTGCCTTTGGTCTCGGTATCAGTTTCGATCAGCTGTTGCGATATGTCCACAAGAACAATATCCATACTTCTTGGAAGCCCCACTGTCGAATCACTCAACCTCTCATTGCTTATCACGAGATCTCCAAGAGGCTCAAGAAAGCGATCCCCGGCTTACAGTTGTTCTACCGCCGACCTGCCTCTGTCGAATATGACAGGGTTCTGGCTCTGTACTCGAACCATTCAATGGGGAGACTTCAATATGAGGAAGAAGATGAACAGCGTGTAATCGAGTATATCAAGAAGGAGCTAGAGATTGACTCTCCGCCATTGTGGCTCTGGGACATGGACGAGGAGGATACGTTCTGAACGACATTGATTGTAGATAGATGTGAGCTCGAAGACAGATGGACTGAAAAGCCGAAAGAAAACTAGTAGCACGAGCCTGTCGCCCGCCCTGAATATCTGAATCATATCGCTACTATAGTGGTCCCAAATGCAGCAACATATCCTTCAACCTTCAACAGCCTTCAACATGGCCTCCAATCATGGACCCACCTGGCTACCTACATAGTGCTTACTCTTGTGGACTTGTCATGATTCCAGCGAAATGCTCACAGCAGCGGGGCGCGGGCTCGGTGCGGCTTGGCATGGATCGTGGTCGCGGTTCTCTCACTTTCAGTCACTCTCTCAAGGATGGTTATATCACGAGCATCTGTCCCCGACATTGAAGTGGAAGACCTTTCGGCCTATACGGAGGAAGTCGAGCAGAATGCTGACGGAAAGTCAGTCCTGACTGAGCGCGCTCTCCTAGCCCGGGAACAGGTTCTTCGTCCTTCCTTGCTCATTGATGCTTCACCTTCATTTTGACCTCATCAACAGGAATTCAGAGAGTACGTCAAGCGGTAGCTGCGCTACTTACTGCAGTCCTTCTCTCTCTGTATCCACAATATTCCATCGCCATGGCGCGTCGTTCTTGCTTTCGTCCTCAATTTGTGACTTTCTTCCCCTAGGAGAAGTACATGGCAGGAAGCGCTGCGCTCGATATATTTAAACTCCACGCCAGTGTGAGACACCACAACCAGCTGCGTCGTGTCCTCTCGGATGCATCGCTGTTACTTACTATCACGGCTTCCCACTCGCAGGCGTCAAGCGCGTGTGCGAGGGACGGACGCCCCTCGCCGCCAATGATGTCGAAGAGCAGGCTAATGCAGCCGCAAGGCTAGTGGTGCTGTGATTTTGAGCAGTGTATCGAATACAGTGTGCGAGAGCGCACGGCAGCGAGATAAAGATATGGATAGAGATTCAGTGTCCGAAAGAAATAAGATAGGCCAGAGCGAGAAGAGATAGATGAAATGAAAAGAGGTGAAATCAATACAAGGCTGTCCCCCACCCAATGAACCATGCCGCCACAGTATCCTACCGTGCGCCCCCACGGCGCGCACCACGACCCTTCACCACGGGTTCCACATCTCCAGGCCCTTGAGGCCGTACGACAGGTCCGGCGCGTGCACCGCCTTGGACTCGCGCGTGGACCGCCCGAGCTGCGTGATCTCGCCATACGGCGGCCCGCCTGCCGTCTGCCAGCTCTCCTCCGCGCCCTCAGGCCCAATCGCGCCACGCGCCACGCCCGCCTCCGCCGCCCCCCGCATGCGCGCCGCCACGCGCCGCGCTTCCTCCGGCCCCACGCCCGCGACAAACATGGCGATGCGATCCGGCGCGACGCCGTAGTCCGCGGTGTCGAACTCGGGGTCGCGAGCGGGCACACGCGCCTCCGCCGTGCTCGGGTCCTGCGCAACGGCTTCGACGAAGTTCGCCCAGCGCACAGTCCACGCCGCCGCGCGCTCGCGGTACCGCTCCTCGACCCACTCCATGCGCCACACCGCCCACTCTACGTCCGCCGCCTTGCTCGCGCGGGCGGCGCTGAACACCACCTCGCGCTGCATGTCCCGCTGCCCGCCCGCCGCGAGGACCTCCGACTCCGTCGGCGACCGCACGATCTCCTCGTCGCTCACCGTGCCCGCGTCGTCGCGGTCTGTCGCGGCATCGAGCTCGCGGATGCGCTCAAGATCCGCAAGCACTTCGCTCTCCCGGAGCTCCCGCTCTTCTGCGAGCTGCCGCTCCTCGACCGCATCGCGAAGGTCGCGGGCCTCGCGGAGCTTGCGGGACTCGCGGTCGGCCTGCGCCAGCGCCTGAAATTGCTGGGCGCCGTAAAATGCACCCTCGCGGCGCAGGTGCCCAATGCGCTCGGACTGTCTCTGCAGGGACACCTCGAGAATCGGGGTCACAGGGGTACTGGGAGGCCTCTGTGAAATCGCGTATTCGGGGAACATCGACTCGAGCGGCATCGATGTGAAATCGAGAGGTGCTGGCGGGGCGGGGGTGGGCAAGACGGGGCTGGGCTGGGGAGGTGCTTGGGGCGACACCTTTGGAGCCTGGTGGGTCGCGTCCTCTCGTTGGGAAGGACGCGGGCTCGCGGCAGATGGCTTGACGCCGTGGCGTACGCGCTGACCAGGCGAAGGCGAGGTCTCCAGGTCGTCTTCGTCGCTTTCCCTGTTTGCGACGCGGGTGGACAACGATGGGCGCGAAGACCGTCGTCGCTTGGACCGGCGAGGCCCCGCGTCCGCCTCGTCATCGGTGTCCTGGGCACGAAAGCGTTTTGGTCGCCCCCGACTCACACTGGTGGAAGAGGCAATGAGCAATGTAGAGAACAACGATATGGCAGATCATGCATACCGTGGCTGCTGGGTGGACGAAGGCCTACCCTCGGCGGCGAAGAGCGCGTTGAATACGCTCAACACATCGCGCATTCGTTCTTTCTCCCTCGCGTGTTCCGCCTTGAGGATCCAGGCTGCGTTTTTCAGCGGTTCTAGATCGAGCACCGCGTCGTCTACCTGGGACTGCGTGTGCTCCTCCTGCCGCCTGCACTCGGCAAGCATCTTCTCCAGCCACCTGGGGTCGTCCAGCCTGAATGGCGGCGGCGGTGGGTACACAAAGTCGGGGAAGGGCGGGGTCTCGTTGCGCACGGTGGTGTGCGCCTCGGTTGAGTCATCGATCCACTCGGCGTCGGGCACCACGGGCACTGGAGGTACTCGGGTGCTGATGTCAGTCAGCGGAACTCTGACCCCGCCGTCCGCCCGCGCTGCTGGCCCCGTAGGGTCAGACATGGGGAAAGGGTCCGCGTCCGCGGGGAGGAGGTGCGGCGAATTAGGACCTGCCGCGAAGGGGCGCGCGCTGCGGGGACGGGGAGACAAAGAGGAAGAGACCCCATCCTCATGAGTCCGTGCCACAGCAGGACGGGAGGAAGAGCCACCCTGTTGTGGCTCAGTGGCATCGAGATATCTGGGAGCCGACCCCTCATTGCTGCGAGGGGGAGGCAGTGGTTGCCGGAATGGACCATCCCGATAGATGGGTGGTACACGCCGACGACCGGCGAAAACCCTATCGAGCATTTCGTGACGCGATAGGGAGAGGTCAATGTTGAACGCCTAGACGTACCGCAGCGCCTGTCAGCAAGTGGCTACAGCGAATAGAGGGGGAGAGCATACCTGCGCGTATCGGCGAAGGCGGTGGTGTGGCATTGCTGCGAGGTCGTCGCGCTCGAGCCAGGGGTTGGGGGACTCCTCCGAAAAGCTGGACAGTGCAGGACTTCGTGGCGCGTCCTGTCGAAGGGAGGTGTTGCGCGGGGAAGAGGGAAAATGCAAGCCAGAAGATATGTTCGAGCTGGTGTTGGCGAGGTTGGACATCGTCGTTGCAGTGGATAGAATGTTCGAGGAGAAAGGTTGTGTGTTGAGATGTAGAGTAGAGTCGAGAATGGTTGCCACTGAGAAGCTCAATGATCAAGGTGCGAGATGATGATGGCAGGTGGAGAGGAAGGTAAGCAAAAGCAAGGCCTTATATACCACGAGCGGTGGACACCAGCGACAGGTGGCCAGTTTGCCACTGACCGTGGTGGCTCAAATGTCATTGTTATTTGTTCGTCATGTCTGCCAATACGCGCTTACGTACATGTGGATGGCCTTCGTCTGCCCTTGTTTCTACAGGCCTCCAGTTGTGTCGGTGAATCTTCGAGTGGTCCTCTTAGACCCATGGTCATAACCTTATTTCGAAGCCGACAGTTACGATGGACCTTGCCGTTGACAGTCCAAAACCTGCACAGGCGGACGCACAGCATAATCTTCCTCGGGCATCGCTGGAAAGAAGGCTTTGAAAGATATATTGGGAACTTGACCTTGAGTTATTGAAACATAATGCTCACCTCTGACATTTCACATGTGTCTAGACTCCGTTGCTGTTACTCATTGAGGTTGAAAACAAGAGTCACGATCAGTTGATATCTGGTAGCAATATCAGTCATCGCCAGGATCGCCTAGGTTGACCAGAGAAGATGGTCGCCTCTGCTGATCGTGCGCTCCGAAGAATGACGCCATTCAAGGAGAACCGAATGGTGATAAAATCAATGTGTTTTTTCCCGAGGTATGCCGACTTATATGAGGGTAAGATTGCAAGGTGTTCTCGACGAGGAGGAGAGCGCTCAGGCAGGACCCCGGTGCACCTATTGGGATGGTCGAGCCCTGGGGTCTTCGACTCCTGACCACGTCGTTCAATCATTTACTACCACAAGCTAGCATTCCCGACACAAACGAGTTGTTTAGTCCACATTATTTGTCTAGTCTGATCTCTAGGATATACTGGGGGACGAAGTCTATGTCTTCAACGTTCAACCTTCGTCGACCTCGTTCTACCTGCCCCCTAGGTTGTACAAGACGGCTTCCAGGCCCAATTTATATGATCTACATTGTGTGAGTAGTACAAGTAACCCTTTAACGTTTTGAAAACTACTATAGAAAGCGTCTCGCACACAGAAAGAAAGGCAGGGGCTTTGGGCCATGATGACGCGAAAAATGCAGCATCCTCATGAGCCAAAAAAAAAAAACCCTGGGCCATGCTCTTCGACAAACGATGTTGGATCAAAGAGCACCAAGGTCGATGGGTGTGCACCCGATCGCAACCAGTCCGTTCTGCAAAGAGGATTTGCGGTTAGGACCCATAGTGCCGTTCGATACCGAGTCACTCACGAAGTTGTTATTCTCACAACAAACGGGCTGTGAAGCGCAGCTGTTGCCGCCGAGGGCGAGGAGGTTTAGAGGGCTACAAGTGAGACCGATGGGCACGCTCAGGCCCTGGAGAGGGACTGCGATTCCTGACAGTATCTTTGCGACGGAGGGATTGCTCGACTATAATGAATATGGATTGTGAGTCGTTTCGGTGAGGAGACCGGCCGGTAAGCGAACTTTTTGAACGGAATTGCAGCACTGGACGGGTCCAGCGTCACATTGGCCTTTCCAGCGAGTCACAGGGGTGGCAGACGCGAAGAGCGAGATGAAGAGAAGGTAAAGAATGGAAAGGGTGATGCGGTGAAACATGGTGAATAATGAGAGATGGATATCGACGGGGTCTTGACGCAGAAATATGCAACTGTAAGTGGGGCCGGAAAGTGGTAAATGTGGAACAGGGTGAGCAGAGCGCACCTTTTATTGAGGCGCTGGGACCGGGCGTGCGGGAGACCACATTGGAGCGTTCGTCTCTTTGGGTATCTCGCTTTCCTTTCTCCTCCAAACCCTCTCGCCCGCTTCCCAAAGTGCTCTTTTCGAACGCTATATGTCAGTCTGTAGGAGGGGGGATTCTATTAATAGACGCGGATGGAAGGTGCGTTGATCCACTCGTTCTTGAGATCGGACTCAGTGTCTTGTTTCTGATTCACGTCATCGTCGTCCTGAACAGTCCCAACTTCGTGCCGGCTTCAACACGCTCTAGCTCATGCAAGAAAAGACACCACGCACCCATCAGTTCTCGAAATCGACCACCAGACAACGCATACTCTAGAACATCTCCACGCGTGCCCATCGCCTGGTAGTGGCAGATGCTGAACCTCTGGTGATGCGTCAAGCTTCAAGACGTCACGATCTCACCCCATTGGTGCTGTTTCTGCCATCATACGTAGGCTGTCCAATAACATTCCGTGTGCACCGCAATCTTGCTCCTGCATTCCAAATTGGGTGCGTATTCAATCCTCACTGACATCTCAAACTCGCTGCGAATTCGGACGCTCCGTAGGGGCTGCTTTTTTTGCGATATTCGGGTGTCCTCGACGCCATGGCAGACAGACCGGGCTCACAATCGAGAACCTGACTTGAGATGTGCTCACTACCGTCGGCATCTTGTCGACTTAGAATCACAACTGCTTCGAAACAGCTATTCGCAGAAGACGAGCTCTACCTGAGTTGCCATCCGCTGAGAGGATAATCTGACACAGATGTGAAAGCGCTTGACTGGCTCTCGTCCTTATATGCGTCCCCAAGGTTTGGGAAAATGCGTTCCTTCAAGTCCCATATTCACTGAGAGACAAGCCTTCTGATGAGGTTCGCTGCTACTTGCCTAAATAGAGAAGCACTAATATTCTTGCGTTCGTTGGACGAGGGTCATCAATAGCAACACTGCGCCTCTGGGAGCGTCATCATTGAAGAGTCGTGACCGATTTCTAGCTAAAGCTCGGCCGGGTCTGGAATAAAAACACAAGGTATCTACTTTGAAATTTAGCTTCAACACCAATGTTGTAAGCGCACACGAGGCTTGAAACAAATTTGTGTTCTCCCATCGTGATGTTCAAGCAGTGACCTTTTCATCAGGATCAGCCACCTTGGGCGTGTGTCCGTTCAACAACTGCAAATGGTCGTTTTCTAGAAGCCCCTCCTCCAGCGCTGATTCGCCAGCGAATTCGACGGATATCTGTGTTGGTTTTTGAGGGTGCATTTTCTCCTTTGTCAGCTGAGCGGACGTGTTCATCAATTGTGGCATCGTGCAGTTGGGGACGGGGGACTCACAGCAACGTATATAGCAGAAGTCAATATGACGATCGTGCCCGCGATGGAGAGCAGAGATGGGATGACGTGGAAGAATATGCGTTCCAGCGTGACGGCGAAGATGATCTGATTCAGTCGCAGTGGAAGTTGTTAGGTCGAGCGCGGCGCAGAGTGTGAGAGTGGGTTTACTTGGATATACACAGCCATGGTACCTCGACCAGCCGTCTCACGTTGCAGCCCCATTGTCAACAGTACCTGTTGTATCGCATTAGCATTCACATGCTCGGGATGATTTTGAGGCATGACGAACTTGCGCCAGGAACCCGAATATTCCTATCATGACCAGCATTGCGAGCCAGTCCACACGTGTCGGGATCACGGCGGGCGTACGCAGAGCGATCATGCTGACACGCCAGGATAAATGACTGTGACATTCGCTACCACGTTAGCAGCACTGTGAATGCTCACGCTATTGTTGAGACGACAACACATTGGAACGAGAAAGATGTCAGGGAATGCAGTGGATGTGCGCGTTTGCCTATGGCGCGGATGGATGTGTCTGGATGGAAAAGATAAAATAGCGAGCTCAGTGGATGTCCAAAACTCATGCAATTTAGACACACAAGCTCCAGTAGCACCCAACACCCCGATCAACGCGACTCTAGTGGTTCATGAAACAAATCTTCAGTCCAAGCGTTCAAGTATTTAGCTGTGACGAACACGAACCCAACGGCGATCAATCTTTGTTCCGGAGTCCCTCTCTCTGAAGGATCACCGGCAAGCTGGACAGCACTTCCTGGTGAAATCTCGGAAGGGTAGGTGGGCATATGGTCTGCCATGGTCCCGAACAGAAATCGGGGTCTGGCAATCAATAAGACACCGAGGAAACTGCATACTGACAGTAACTCGAGGTGAGCGTGGGCTCTAGTGAAGCCCAGTGGATAGACTTACCTCCAGCTAGTGCTTCTTTCAGCGAAAATGGCTCCTTCAAGAATACAGACCCTGCGATCCCCGTAAAAAGCGGTGCCAGGAAGGTCAAGACGGTCGCGTCTGACAGTGATAGGTACTGAAGAGAGTAGTAAATGCCAAAAAGACCGAAGAATCTAAGCAGTATATGAGCAAAGGGTCATCGATGAATACGAATGAGTAGGTGCACCCCACAAATCCCCGAAACACAAGCAATAATCGCACGCCTTTGGGGCCAAATATTGGGTCCGGAACTGCTTTGAAATACCTGCACCGTGTTTTGCAATTAGTGGACTGTAGGATCCTTGTTCGGCAATGGCGCACATGTAGAGTACGCAACAGATATAAGTGATACCCTAATAGAATATCATAAATAGTGACCTCCGGTTTATGACATTCCACTCACCATCCGCACTACTATAAGCTTTGAACAACAACGACGACGTACATCAGATCTCTACTAAACTGACACTAGGCGTAAATGCCTCACCTCAAGGGTAGGGACCGGCTTATCTAGACTATTCAGCTTCTTGACCGCAACATTCATGAGCGAAAAGAAAAACTGGGATGCCGCCACCAACAAGAGACCCGTGTTGTCCTTCACGAGCTCGATGGAGCGCCTCGACATGGCCCTCCATCGCGCTACACCACACCAACTCGACCAGCAGCTGCCCTTATCGTCCATGCAGTCCTCGAACTCGAGTTCTGTGGGAATTGGAGCTGGGACAAAAGTCGCGTGCCCTGCCAGCTGATGTTCTCTGCTGGGTGCTGAGGGCTGAATTGCCTCCGGAGCGAGTGCTAGGTATCTAGACTGTGCTGCCATGCCTCTATCGTCAAAGTCGTACGGGTAGCGGAAAGGACAGACGAGGGTGTCGTGCTGAGGGACAAGAAGAATGGCTGCTTATTCCCGAGAAATGACCATCTCCAAAAATAATGAGATCACTCCCAAGACGTACACAAGTGAGGACAAATGGGCCAATGAGGGTCCTTGTTGGACCATTTACCGGTCCGATGTAGTCATGACTCACATCACGTGGACAGACGCGTTCGATCACCTTCTGTTTGTCGTGACTAATTCAGTTCCTTGTCGTCCTTCACCAGCCCCAGTTCCAAGTTGGCTACTAACCTGAGTTGAGTGGCTTCCCAATTAGACCGTATGCGCTTTACTCACCATATACTCACTGCCCTGGCATTCTGAGGATCAAGATAGACCATTCTCACTCTGAAAGGTTTCGGCACTATGCTGTCGGGAATCATTTCGAAACTCGGAGATGACATCTAGAGCACGCAATCATCTACGACCACTTGCGTTTTGTAATCCTTCAGGAATGTGGAGAAGTCTAAGCTCACGCGCGGCTAGATTTTTCGCCCCATGTCCGAAGCAGTGGAAGACCTCTTCCTAGAGTCATCGACAATTCAGTATTCTAGTCTTCTCAAGTCGACTTATCGTGGTGTTTATGAAGGAGATTTCTTCGGCCTTCACGATAATCGAGGTACTCTCCCGACATGGGTTGAGCGTGAGAATATGCTACCGAAAAGAGAAGTCCTCTCCCAAGCGCTAAACGAGTGGCGAAGTGACGTTCTTGAAAATTTTCATCACTTTTTTTACAGCCTTTATCAACTGCTCTTTTCGCCAGCAGCGTCTTTGACCAACCCCCACCTCTTGTCCTGAGAGAGCACTGTCTGTTCATGGTTCTGTCGCTCGTCGTCTGAGGGCTGCCTACTTTCTAGCGTCACCCGACGGTCTGGATCTTGCGTAGGCCCTGCCCTCTTTTCTTGAAGTCATCAACTTGGGAAACTCAGACGCTCTGCAACTCACCCTTCATCAACAGTCTCGCGCCCCATCAAGTCTGACCCTCCGCCGCATGTGAGAAGGCGGTGTCGTCTCTTTCCAGCTCGCGTCTTCCAACTCCCACCCCTCCTGCCGTCAACACGACACCCCTCCAAAAATATGCTAGCTTCGCTCTCACCCTCCGGCGCTACATCCCTCTCTTCATCACCGTTCTCGCCGGCGGCGTCTAAGGGTCAAGCTCGGCGTGGATATACATTAGGCATAAACGGCGACGATGCGTTCGAACCGCGTGCGTTCGCGTCGCCTCTGCAGCCGGGGGACATGCGACTCCACCTGGTGTCGGATGGTTGAGTAGTTCGCCACGGTACCCTTCTCGCCGTAACTTCTGAGCGCTTGCCTAGGCCTCTGACGAGCTGGAACGACGACTCCGGCGTCATCGATACTCCCTTTGGCCATCTCATTCACCTGAGGCGCTCTGCTGGCGCAGAGCTTCTGATATCGTCTTTCTTTAGCGTTTCTCCATCACCCGCAGACTCCTAGCATCTGCCTTTCCACGGACAGCCATACTCACACATTCTTACTCCGCATGAAATGTCAGATGCTCCGTCGACTCGTACCCCATGCACCCTTTGCATCTAAATATCTGTTCTTCACCAACGTATCTAATCAGAGAGAAAATGCAGGATCGTCTTGATTCGGAAGCTTTAGCACCTTTTGTGTATTCGGTAAGTGAATGGCAGTCACTTGCTCAACCACATTTTGGGCACTGCTGATTGCCACCAGATACTCAGTGACTGTTTGGCCTACTGGTTTTGCTTTTAACGACTTGACTTTCTCCCTTGCTTCACAGCATGTTTCGCTTGAGCTCTATTGACAATGATTACCGTAAGCTGGTGATCGGAATCTCCCTCAGTCGCACCACCGCTAACCCAAGAAGTCTACCTTCTGATCTCCACAGATATCAGACTTTTCTCGATGATCGGATCACTTGAAATGTCTACGACGCTGCCTGTCCGACTGCCAATCACACGCATTTGTCCTGTTCCGTCCCGCCTTCCGCATCCCGAATGGTACCCTCCGCGTCCACGCGTACGTAGATCCTCCGGGCCCCGGGCGTCTACGGAGTGCCTGCACGCCCGTCCTCCGCCTGCCTTGGAACTTCTATGATCCATGATGCTCGCATACTGTTCCACTCAATCGCGCTGCGCTCTGTTTCAGCCGTTGATCCATGCTCGTCGGCAGAGTTGTCCGTCAACGGTGTGCAACGTCCGTTCCGATATCCCCGCATGGCTTCACGGTCAGCATCCACATGGTGATCATGTGCGTTGCTGCAGCGAAAGTCGTACGAGCTAGGTAAGTGCTCATGCGGACTTGAAATTCTTATGTGTCCGTCATAGCACCCGTGGACAGTCCACGGGGATCCACATGGGAAATTGGGAATCACGCCGCACGCCCGTGCGTCAGGCCTCCATTTTCCGTCGGACCCACCGCCCTTCCGCACGCCTCGAGTTCTGACCCTTACGAAACCGATTCGCCCGACCAGACCACATGCTCAGCCCGCCTTCTCTCGACACATCTCCAGCGCGTTTACGTCCGAACTGATTTTGTTGCCCCCACTTCTCCGCACGCGCGCACGTGTTCACGCATCTAGAGACGTACCGAGCCTCGAGGCGCCATTGTAGCCCTGTCTTTGCTCCTTCCTCACTCCGAGGCGGCCTTCCTCTCAAACACGCCTCTGTCCACGTACGGAGACACGCTGCGTTCCAGCCACCAAATTCACCTTGCGCCCGCACTTCCCGCACGTGACGGCCTTCGTAGTGCGAACGATGCTACCATGCCTCGCCCCCGCCCCCTATTCGAGCACCACGACGACCCTCGCGAACCGTACAAATAGGATTCTCGGCGTCGCATGTGCGATAATCTCGCGTTATCGGGTCCAAATCCAACTCAATCGATAGGGGCGCGACCGATTCTGCACCCACATCCGCCTGCAACCCTCCCCATCGAGCGCTCGAAACGTTATAACCGATCCCGTCCCCGATCCCCGAGTCCCGCCTCGCCACAGGGTCACATCGTCGTCATCACGCACTTCCTACCTCACGCGCTCCCGCCCTCGCGTCAAGTTAGTAATCTTCGGTGCCCCCTTGTCCTAAACTTGCCAGCCCGCGCGTATGACGCCCACCGGGTCATCGCCCAAGACGGTCATGCTGTACCATACCGCTTGTGGCCCACGATCGCAAACGGACTCAGGGACCCATGGAGCCGCGATCTACTCACCCCCTGCTGGGCCGTCATCGCGCGCGCGTCGAGGGGCTTCACTTCCGCGGGCCTCCAGATTGCCGCAGCCCCCTCGCCGCATTGGATCGCATCGCATCGCGATCCGACTCGACTCGAATACTGCTTTCGATCCGACCCAACCCGTGACCGCGCGCAAGTTCGACCGTCGCTCAGGCGGGCCCGCGGTCGAAGGACAGAAGGGCAGAAGGCAGAAGGCCGCAGCAGGCAGCAGGCAAGTAGGCTGCAGGCTGCAGAAGCGCAGAAGCGCAGAAGGCGACGCCCGAACCGAAGCGCGCGCGTTTATCTATCTATCCCGATCGCGGGCGTACACAGCTGCACGCTCGCAAAGCCTAGCAGAGCTTGGCACCTTATCTGCACGCAGGAACGCATTAGGTCCCCGGCGAGAAGCCCTTCTCGTCGTCGATTCCCGGGGCCCGGAGGCCTAGCAGATACGCACTTGCCACGCTCGCCGCGACGCGACGCGAGACTCTATGTTGATCGTACATGCTGCTCCACGCGACTCGGATTGGCCGCCCTGGCGCGCTGTTCGGTGCTCGGAGTTCAGTACGCTGCTGCCGCCGCCACCGCTTGCTTGGCCGAGGCGAAGCGCGAAGGCAGCGGGCAAGGTTTACTTCGAGTTCGAGTCTGAGTTCGAGTTCAAGTTCAAGTTCGAGGGCTCAGGACGCCGCTGCGTTACTGTCGCTTGCGTGTGTCAATGCTCCGTCGATACACGCACCCACTAGGGTCTCTCGCTCCACATCGCGCGGCCCCGCGCCGTTTGTGCGCCCGCTCCACCGTCCTTCGGTGGTCTTCTCGCACGTCCTACCCCTGCCCTGCCCGCCGGCGTTCCCACATCCCCGCATTCCCCAGCCCCGCAGTCGCGCGCCCGCGCGCCTCGAGGCGCGCCGTTCTCACACGCGCCCGCACATAACGCCGAGGCGTCGACCGCCGATTGTCGACTATCGTCTGCCGCTTCGCCGCGCGATCTGCGGCTCTGTCTGCGCATGCGCGCGCGCACCCCTCCTTCTCGCGCGTCGTTCTCGCGCGTCGTTCTCATCGCTCTCGTCATTCGCGCCCTGCCCTGCCTCGCCGATCTGGCCGGCCTGGCCAAACACCGCGCGCGCCGCGGGCAGCGGGCAGCGCGCGTCCACAGGCCCGCAAGACACGTCCCCGGGTCGCTCAGGTCGGCCAGGTCGCCGAGTCGCTGAACCGATCGTGTTCGTTCAGCTCGGCTAAGCCCAGCTCAGGCCGGGGCGCGCACGCCGCCGCGCCGCGCTTCGTGCTCGCTCGCTCGCTCGTCCGAGCCTGTCTGACGCTATCACCACCGCCGAGCACCGCCGCCGAGCACCACGGACGCACGGACGCACGGACAGGCGGGCGCGCGGCGGGCCAGCGTCTGGCGGGGCCCGTCCCCGTCCCCGTCCCCGTCCCCGTCCTCGTTCGCGAGTTTGGCAGACAACGGACAGTGCGCTAGCGACGGCGCTATCGGGTCGCGCATACTAACCAACGACTAGCCGCACGATCGGGGTCGTCGGACGAGACGAGACGCGGTGCGTGGAGGACGATGTGAGTAGAGTGGAGCAGGGTAGAGTAGGGTAGGGTAGAGTAGGCTAGGCTAGGCTAGGCTAGGCCATTCATTCATTTATTTATTTGTTTATCTACCGGGGCCGTCTTGAGTGCTACGTTGGGCTTTTCGACACACGCGCGCGGACCGTCGCGAGAGCCACCGATCGAGCAGGGAGTCGTCGCGGAAAGACAGATCGAGGGAGGACACGGACAGACAGACTGACAAACAAACATACTGACAAACAAACAGACAGACAAACAAACAGGGAGACAGGGAGACAGGGAGAGAGGCGGGAGTAGCGGACAAACAACGGGATCACGGAGAGGCATACAGACGTACAGACGTACAGGCGTACAGACGTACAGACAGACACGTACGCGCGAGTCGGCGGCGGGGGCGGGAGAAGCAGGAAGAGAAAGAGCGAGGCTGTAGACGCGAGCGGTGGTGCAATGTGCGATGTGCTGCGTACATGAGCATGTGTGCATGTGAGGCATGTTCCGTATGAGGCATGTATGCATGTGTGCATGTGCGCATGTATGGGATATGTACTAAGACGTGCGGGCTACGCGCCGCGTATGTTACGAACAGACGAAAGGACGAGCGGACGAAGGGGCAGGCGGACAAAGACGGCGGCGATGTATGTTATGTACGAGTATGTACGATATGCGTAAGAGGCTCGAAGGGCTCTACTTTTCTGCGACCCCCGACGATGTGAGGGGCGCGTTGATAAACTTTTGGTGGTGATGGACGAGGGAACGATCGATCGAGAGATTCCGAAAGAAGGAAGATACGAGGCGAGACGAGACGAGATGGGGAGGAGGGAAGAGGCGAGATGGGGGGAACAGAGACGGTGGTTATTAAGTGAGGAGGGGGATTAAGAGTAATTATCCACGACCACGAACAGGAGACCGAGGCGGTCGACCAGACCAGACTATCCCATCCAGGGACGCCGTCCAACGTACAACAACCGAGTACATGACCGAAGACGATGGCCGTGGCCGGATACGACCGAGACCAGGACCGAGCACGAGCAATTAAAGAACAACAGACGACCACGAATGACCACGAACACGCGACGAACAAACGATCAAGGACCAACGACCAAGAACGACGGGCGACCGGGGCCCGCGAGGCGCAGCGAGGCGACTCACGCCTGCATATTGCCCATATACATCCCCTGCTGCACAACAACCTGTTGCTGCTGCTGCTGCTGCGGGGGGCGGTACTGCTGATACTGCTGCTGCTGCTGCTGCTGCTGCTGGCCCCTCTGCTGTTGCTGCTGCTGCTGCTGCTCCCTCTGCTGCTGCTGCTGCAACTGCAGCTGCGCCTGCTGGAACGCGGCGGCGGCCGGGTACTGGCTCTGCCACGGCGCGGGCGACTGCGAGCCGGCGCCTACGGGCGTCGTGGGCGCGGTCGCGGTCCGATGCTGCTGTTGCTGCTGCGCGTGCGCGTGGGCAGCGGCGGACGCGGTGGGCGTCGAGTGCCGCGATGCGTTGGCGGACTTGGTGTGCACGAGGCACTCGTGCTGCCCCGAGGCGAGCAGCTTGAGCCCCGTCGCGCCGTGGTCGCCCGAGTGCTGGTAGTGGTAGCCTGTTGGATCGCGAGCGAGCGTGTGAGTATGGGGGTCGGTAAAGAGGACGAAGGGGTGGCGGCGACTCACGGAGACCGTTCATGTTCTTGTACCTGCGCTGGCAGTCGCCGACGCCGCACGCGAACGGGCGCAGGCGGCGCTCCGCCTCGCGCTCGACCTCGCGCATCTCGCCCTCGCTCATCTGCGCGCCGCGCGTGGCGCCGTCCGCGCCGACACCGACGCCCTTCTCCGCGAGCAGCGCCTGGAGCGCCTCGAGGTCCTTCGGCGGCGCAAAGTTGCACGAGCCGTGCGTCATGTGATACTTGAGCCCGTTCGCCTGCTTGTACGACTTGCTGCAGTTCGGCTTGGGGCAGCGGAACGGCTTGGAGAGCAGCAGCGACGAAGAAGGCCGCGAGAGCGTCGTGCTCGCGCGCGGGGTGATCGCCGAGGCGGGCGTCGAGGTACCCGAGTTGGACGCAGAGGCGGAGGTGGAGGCGTGCGCGGAGAGAGGGAGGTACGAGGCGGCGCCGTTCGAGGGCGAGGGCACGCGAGAGGTGGAGGGGGTGTTTGCAGGCGTGGTGCTCGTGCTGAAGAGGAGCGCGGGGGGGAGGCAGCCGTAAGGGCTTCCGGGCTCGGACATGGAGCGGTCGTCGGCGAGGACGCTGGAGCGCATGCCCTTGGGGGAGGGGACGGTGCCGGGCATGCCCGCGGAGTAGTCCTGGTAGCCAGAGTACGCATTAAAGGCGTCCTCCGCGGCACGGACGGGGGCACGGTGGGCCGGCGGGAAGGGGGCGAGCGGGGAGCCGCCCGCGCGGGAGGGGAGCACCGAGGTGGTGTCAAAGGCCGAGACCGGGGAGGGGCAGGCGGAGCCTGGCTGGGAAAAGGCGTAGGAGGGTATGTACGAGGCGAGCGGGGTGGAGATAGGGGTCTGCGGGGGGGAGGACGCGCTCGAGGAGGAGGGACTCGAGTCGAGGTCGAGCTCCATGTCGTCTGGGTCAAAGGAGCCGAGGTGCTGCTGGGCGTGGTGCTGTGCGGCGAGGGCTGCGAGGGCGTCCTGTGAGAAATAGGGGGCCTGCCTCGGGGAGGAGGGTGGAGCGGGAGCGGTGTTGTAGGGGTCGACGACGACGACGTGGCACTCCTCGAAGTGTTCGACGAGGGCGTGGAGGTCGGTGAGATTGAGGCCGCAACATGTGTAATTACGGCACTAGTTCGGGGAGAATCGCTTAGCAACGAGGGGGAGCAGGGACGGTGGGAGAGAGAGGGGGGACTCACGAATTCCTCCTCGCGCTCGAGGGCGCCGAGGGCGTGGATGAGAGAGCCGCGGTCGCTCTCTATCGACGAGGAGATCTTGCCGGAGCGAAAGTCGTTGGGGCTGGAGCGATGGGGGGTGGATGACGGGTGAGCGGGGGATGTCGGGAGAGGGGGAAGGTAGAGGGGGGGACTCACTCGAGAGGGCCGAGCAACTGACCGGGGGAGGAGCCAGGGTAAAAGTGGCTGCCGAAAGAGCCCGGGCGCCAGGAGAGGGGGGAGCCAAAGAAGGCGCGGGTGTAGGAGGCGGGGTTGAAGGAGCCGTTGTTGCCGTTGTAAGAGCCAGAGGCCATTGCGATGTCCTGGACGTTGGAAGGGAGGGCGATGGGCTGGGACGAGGCGGGCATGGGGGTCGAGGAGGAGGAGATGGAGATGGGTGAGGAGGAGGAGGAGGAGGAGATGGAGGAGATGGAGGAGGGAGGTCGCGCCTATATAGCCGAACCGCGAACCACGCCCGTCCGTCGACCCGCCACTGCGGTCAGCTCGCTCCTCCCCGGTCCGATCGCGGCCAAACACGCGCACACACCACGACGTCGCCATCGCCGTCCCCCGCGCACCGCGAGCCTGCATCGCTCCGGCACCCTTCTGCCCCGGAGAACTGCCCTCTCCCCCTCTCCCGGCAGCCCCCGCCCCCGTCCACCGCCCTGGCCACCCACGCTCCAGCGCCTGCCACGCCCCTCTCTCTCCCCAGCCATCTCCGCTCCCCCAATCCCAGCCCCGCCCTGCCCGTTCCCCGGACACCCCGTCGAACACCCATTGGCGCCCCGCCCCTTCCAAAGCTAATCTGAACCGCACGCACGTCCCCCTCCATTCCCCGCCGCACGTCCCCGACCCTCATCGTCACCGCCGCCCCCCCTCCCCCGCCTATACCCTCTCCCGCCGCCCGCCCGCGCCCCAGTCTGCATTCCCCATCCGCAGTCCGATCCCCGTCCGACCCTCGGCCCCGATCTCCATCCCCCGTGCCCCGCCCCGCCCCGCCCCGCCCATGTTCCCACGCCCGTCCGCCTCTGCGTTCATATGCACGAGAAAGAGAGGGCCGCCCCTCTCCGCCCCCTCCCATTCGTGCACCGCGCCTTGCGACCCCCCCTTTTTTCTTCGCCTCTCACGGTCGCTCGCTGCGTCCTCGACCGTCGTCGTAGCACACACGTAGCACCGTCCGTACTAGCATTCAATGATAGACTACATATATGTACCATGATCGAAATAGCAATGCAGCGGCGGCGTCGTCCGCCCGCGATCGCGTGCGTGCGTGCGTGCGTGCCCCGCCCCAATCAGTCCATCGCCCGTCGCCCGTCGGGCCTCGGCCGCGCCCCCTGTCGCGAATCCCAGCGCCCCCCGAGCGAGCGCGGAGATGCACAGCGCCGCCCGCCGTCCGTGCGCCCGTGCGCCTCCGAGCCCGAGTCCGAGCCCGAGTCCGAGCCCGAGCTCGAGTCCGAGTCCCGTCCACGCGTGAGCACGCATGTGCTATCCATCAGCACCCCGGTGCGGCCAGGGCGAAGCCTGCGCTATACAGCCAAGTAGCAGGTCAGGCCTTCAGGACCAGTACAGTACAGTACAGTACAGTGTTGTGCTAGTGGTGGTGGGGCGGGGCTGCCCGACCGTAGCCACGGCCCACTCGCTACGCTACGCGTGATGCGCGAGACTCGAGCCGTCTCTTGCTACCGTCCGCCCGTCCGTTCGTGAGCACGCGAGCCGCCATCTCGACAGCAGGGCTAGGGCCACACACCACGCGATCTCGAGCCTCGACGACCGCGTGTCATCGCGCCAACAACAGCGATCACGCGTCCCGATGCGCGTCCCCTCCCGTCGCGCGCGCCCCGCGGCACCGCAACCGCACCGCACCGCAACCGCCGCCCCTGCGGCCAGGAGTGCAGTCGACGACGCCGATCGTGCGCCGCCCGCCCACGACGTCCGCATCGCCGACCCCATCCGACCCCATAAACAGCAGCCAGAAAAGCGAGCTCGCAGCGCCGCGGGCACTCCTCACCGCGCTCGGCCCACCGCTGGCCGCCGTCCGCCGTTATCGTCGCATCACGGTGCCTGTGCGCCCTTTGCAAATTCTGCAGGCGCAGATGCAGACGCAGACGCGGGCGGCGGGTCGACTCGACTCGGCTCGCGGTTCGCTTCGACGGTCGCTCGCTGTAGTGGTGGGTGGTGGGTGGTGGGTGGTGGGTGGTGGGTGGTGGGTATCGCGAGGCCCGCCGCGCGCGAGGAGCTGCGAGGAGGCGATCGGGGCGCGCGGATCGCGCGTCTGGCGCTATTACCGCGTTTGGAGGGGACGGACGCACCTGCGCGCGCGGCGCGTCGTCGCGTAGCACCGTCCGCGCGCGCCCACAACGCGCGCGCTAGCAGCTATCACCGCACGCACGCGCGCGCGCGCGCGCGATGTGTACGGCCCTCGTGCCGTGCCAGCCTGGTGCCCTGTCAAGGAAAACGCGGATCTGCACATTATCTGCACAGACGGACGGATCGCGCGCGTCCCGCCGATCGTCCTCGCCGAAGCTGTGTTATATTAGCTTCCTGTGGTGGACGGTGGACGTGGGCGCGTCGACCAGCCGACCGACAGCGAGGAGTATGTTTGGCGCATTCGGAGCAGCCGCCCCCGCCGTCGCCGTCGCCGTCGCCACTGCGCTGATCACGCGGCTCTTCCCCCCGCACGCGCCCGCGCCGCAGCGCCGTGCGGTGCGGTGCGGTGCGGTTCGGTGCGTCCGAGACGCTGAGGGGGCTAGAGATCCATCGCCGGAAATCAGGCAACGGGCAGCGCGACAGATTCCGAGGATGGAGGAGAATCTGGCGGTGATCTCGTCGCGCGCGGGCGAGCGGGCCCTGCTTCGCGGCGGCTGTGTTGATCGGGACTCGGGAGGCGGAGGCGTGGTGGGCGGAACGGACGCGGAACGGCCATGGTTGCTGGTGATGCTCAGCCGTTAGACGGTAGACGCCCGCTTGTTGCGGGAACGGACGGACGGACGGACGGACGACGGACAGTGCGGATGGTTGGTCCGGAGGGCGCGCGTGGCCGGCAGCGCGGAACGACGGGCGATGGAGGGAGACCTACTGTTACACAGTATGGAGATGCATCGCGCGTTGCCGTGCGCGACGCCGCGCTGCCGCGAGCTCGACTCGTCGAGCCCATCAGGCGACGCGCATCAGCACCACCGGCGTACTCGAACGACTATCTTCTGCGTAGGGCGGAGACTAGGTACCACTAGCGCACGGGTGGCCGGTCACCTGCTGGGCGTGATCGCGATCAGCAGCAGCAGCGCATCGGACTTGTGTGCACCCAGCCCGGATCAGCGCAGCACAACTGCGTTCGGGCGAGGGGTCCAGGTGCGTGCGCAGACGTTTCGCCATGACAGGACCGAGGCCAGCTGAGCAGACGCGAGCCTCGGGCGCAAGGCGTCGAGAGTCGGTGGGGCTCGCACGAGGGCCCGTGCAGTTAGGCGCTCGCCGCTCGCCGCTCGGCATGGAGCGCCCCTCTCGCGCGCACGTTCACCCGGGGTGCCGGTCGACGGGACGCACGCGGCGCGCGATCTCGATCCTGATCCTGATCCGATCAGGGGCTCTCGCCGCGACCGCGAGCTGGTTCGAATTGCCAATCGCCCTCGCCATGCCGCCGCCATGCGTTCGTGGCTGTGTACGCCCGTGCGCTGTGCTGTAGATCCCGGTATGTCCCAGTGTGTCCCTCTTTTTTCCTCGGTCCCCCGTCGCTCGCCCCCGTCGTCGCGCGCGACGCACACGTGCGGCATCAGCGCTTGCTCATTCCTCCCACCGCCGCCGCATGACCTGCCTCACAATCGCGCCATGGAACAGACGTGGAACACCGCGGAACAACCCCGAACGCTTCCTGCTCCTGCTGCTACTTACTCACCGACCTATTTGCAGCGCCCCAGGGTCGCGGTGATTAGACGCCTCGCCCTCGTCGGCCGCCCTGGCTCGTTTCGATGCCCTCGGCGATAGCCTGCGTCGGCGCCTGCGCTGCTCGCTCACGAGTCCATGCTTAGGGACTCTTGCATGTCCTGAGGCTCGCGCCCGCCGAGTAGCGCCTCGCAGGCGTCGCGCGCGCACCGAATCGAACCTCGACGCACGCACGCACGCCGCACCACGCCGGTCCTATGATCGGGCCATCAGCTTCTCGGTGCCCAGCGGTGGAGTTGCACGCAGGCCCAGCCTACCTGCGAGCCAAGCACAGCGCAATCCGCATCCGGATTTGACTCCCCATCCCCATCCCCATCCAGCCCCATCCCCACCCAAGTTGCTTCTCCATTCTATTCCCGCGCGCACTCGTGGCGCCCCGGCTCCCAGGCAACGGAGCAGGTGGGAGCGCGCGCCAGATGCCATCTGCACCGGCTCGCGCGCGCGCGCGCTGTTCCAGTCGCGCCGCGTGTACGTCTTCCGAACCGCGCCGCGCGCCTCTGCGGCTCGGCGGCTCCCTTGGGCCCGCCCCGCCGTTCCGCCCCGTCTCCGTGCGACGGCGTCCGTGCGCGCGTCCATGCAACGACGAGCACGGATCGCCGCGCGACCCTGGACAACGCGCGCCTGCGTCGCCGTGCATGTCGCACCCGCGACGTCGCGACGCCTGCGAGCACGACGGGCGTGCGTGCGTGCGTACGTCGTGGATCGACAGGGACGCGCCGAACGGAGGCTTGTACCAGCCCGTACCTGCCTTGCCTTTGGATAAGCTGTCGATCTCTGGCCGTGCGGCCGGAGGAACGGGAGGCTGATCCGTCTCACGCGGGCGCGGGGCGAGGGCGGCTGGCGGCCGGTGCTGCGGCACGCACTGGCACGCACCGCCCTCCATTTTCTCGGCGCACAGCGCACAGCACAGCGCTGCTCTGCGCCGCGCCACGCTCGGGAATCGGGAGTCGGGGTGTCGGCGAATCCTCGGCCGGCGCGTGGCGCGCGCCTCGCTGTCGCACGTATGCCGACCGATGTCGGGATCCAGCGCATGCGGAAGTGCGCGTGCGCTTTCGAGAGAGAGAGAGAGTATGTGTGCGTGCGTGTGTGTGTGTGTGTGTGCGAGGGAAGCGCGTTGCCGGATGAGGATAGCAGTTAGCGTCGCTTCGTTCCGGAATCGAATTCGCAGACGTTGACGGCCGTTTTGGCACTTACGACAGCCCGCTTGAGCTTCGGAGCGTCCATGATTCGCAAGCATCGCGCGAGGACAAAGCACGTCGCTCGGCGCGCTGCTTCTGGCGTGCTGTGTGCTCGCTGCATGGCCAGCGCGCGCCTCGGGGATCCAGAGGAACCCCCACGGTCGCCGTTCTCTCACTCTCGCTCTCTCACAGAACGCATACACCCCCCATTCCCATTCCTCACCGCGGCGATGTCCACGCCATCGTGCACGCCAGGGGGGCAAAGCACCAGCTAGAAGCCGCGTCGGTACTATCGATGAGATCGCAGATGCGCGATGCGCCGTGTGCGCATGCGCGTGCGCGTCTCACGCGAATCCTCATTACAGCAGTATACATGTGCGTGTACATAAGCGGCGGATTCGCGCGAGCCGTCCGAGAATGGGAACGCTTTGTTGATGCAAGTGTTCGAATTCGAGTTCGCTCGGGTCCGCGACATGAGGACCCCTGTGGGTGCATCTCATTACAATGGACATACTACACATGCATGGACGGGCGGACCCGCGGGTGGCTCGCCCTCGAAACAAAGGAGCCGGGGCGGCGATGCGGTGCAGCCTTGTCGTCCTTGTATTACGATTCGGGGAGCAAGCACGGCCAGGCGGGCGCGGATACACGCTTCTCGCATCGCGGCGACAGGATATCGGGATCGGGCCCCTTCGAGTTGGAGTTGGAGTTGGCCGCTCGCCAGGGCTCCGTGGACGTCGCGACCGAGCGAGCGCGCCAATCACGGAAATATGTAGCGAGAGAATGCGTCCGATGCGCGTGCTGGATGCACTTGGCTGGCCGAGGGGAGCCCGAGACCGTCTCGTGGCGCGTCGTGGCGTGTCGTGTCGTACTGGCCGAGCTCAGCTGAGCTGTGCGGTATCTGTCGAGGCCAAGCAGGGCGCGCGAGAGGAGCAGACCGTGACGGATTTACGTGAACGTGTCAGGGTTCACTGCGAATGCCGACGCACACCAGATGAATGGAAGACCTGGCAGGCGGGTCGGCAGCAATAGTGGATAATGGCGCGAGGTACATACCAAGGCGGGGTCGGGCCATCACCACATCACAGGGCGTCGGCAAGATCGGGAGACAGCCCGCGCGAGGTGTTGTATGTTGCTACACATCACATGTACTGTATGGCTGGCAGTCGACAGGAGGTTTTGAGCCAGGAACGTCGGAGGGCGTGGAGCAATCTGGGGCAATGTCGTTGGGCAGCTGGCCATATCGTGACAGTGAGTAGCCGGACGTGCCGGGAGAGGTGACGGCAGTTGCAGACCCTGCGAAGAGGGCCCGATTGCCTTCGACATGGCGTGAAGCAGAGAGATCGGCATATCGGGTCAAGCAGAGCACTGCTCGCGAACAGCTGAGCGGGGGAGCGCCTGCGCACATCTAGATCCGCTCGGGAAAGCAAGGCTTGCTCCTGCCTGGGGACAGAGAGTGTGCGACGAGAGGGGCCCACGCGCACCGCGAATGGCCGTCTCCGGCTCCAGACTGCCAACGAGGGACTTGGCTGGGCTGCTATGGGTGGAGACCCGCGCCGTGTTGCAGCTGCAAGCCCATGTCGAGCGGGGACGCAGCTGGCTCGGGCAGATCGGCGATAGTCGCTCAGAGATCTTACCTCGACATCTCCATTGCGCACGCCGTCCGGCTCGATGCCTTCGCCTCCCGCAGGCGCACAGCCGCGACGTGTCCGGCAACGCTTCGCCCGAGCGACGCAACGAGCACCAGCAAGTACCTGCTAAGCTCGATCCTGCGATTGATGGAATGTGCTCCGCCATGTCAGTTGCTGTCGACTGTAGCCAATCGACCAGTCTCAGTCCGGTGCGCCCCGGACTTGAGCTTGATCATCTGGAGTGCGCTGTTCGGCGAATCTGGGCAAAGCCACGGTGGATTGAGCTGGCAGCAACAGATCGTTGCTGAGGCTGGGGCTCCGTCATCTGTTTTGCGGAGTTCGCGGTGGCTGGAGGCCTGGCCATGATCTCGTCCATCCACGTGCATGTGCGGCGCGACGACGGGGTTTGATTGCTCGAGCATGTCTTACCGAGGTTCATTGTGGATCGACTGAAACTCGAGAGGAATGTGAGTGGGTACTTTGCATACAAGTTTCCAAATTTGAGGAAGTCGTAAACCTGCGTTCGCGATCACCCTTCTCAGATATGGAACACAACATGTTCCCTCCTTGAGCTGCTCGAGTTGCGTGCGTTTCAACCGACGGATATGCGATGGCAGCAATAATCAATTTACCCGCAGTTCGGTAGGTGCTCCTCCTCTATGGGCGATCTATTGGCCCAGCGCGTCATCGCGCACCCCACAGCCCATCTCTGCTCCGAGATGAGCCCCACCCAGCACTCGTGCATACGTGGGCCCGCTCCCTCCTCGACTCGAACATCTCTCGAACGCCTCATCATGCGCGCATCAGCTTCTGACTCCGAGCTGCGAGTAGCTCCATTTGGGATCTTCATTCCGGGTCATTCTCCCGCTGATCCTCTGCGAGTGGGTCTGCCGCCTCTTCAGGCTCTGGGGCGCTCACGCTAATTATAACATGCACAACATGTGCGACCTCTAGGCTGGAGCCGGGCCTCAAGGCGGCACAGCCCCTCGTCTTTCTTCTGTTTGTGACGCGCTGAATCGCGCTGGTTCGTTTCAGCCAATCCGCCAGTGACGCGCGGTAGCACGCGTCCCTCCTTCATAGATCGCGCCTCCCTTTGATCGGTGACGCCAGCCGCCGCCGATACTCTCGCCATCTTCCATCTCGAGACGAGCGGCCCCCCGGCAGAGCAGGTCGCGGTTTCTCACTCCACGTCCGTATGCATCGTCGCCAGCGCCTCTCCCTCCTCTCACACTTGATCCAATCACCCTGCACGCGTGCGAGCTTTGCTTCGTACGCGCATGGTCGCTTCGCTGATGGCACCGCGCCGCGACGTTTCGAGCAGAGGCTATATTTCGCATCGCACTCGGTGCTGTGATGTTCCACCATTCGCGGGCACGATCCCATAGGTTGGCCTTTCATGTGTTATGTTTCGAGGGCGTCACAATCTTCCATTGTGTGCCCAGCCTATCCCGCTTGCCCAAAGTTTCGACATGGTGAGACCACTCTGATCATGTCCACTCTATCTTCAATGAGATGAAATCACCTGGAATCCTGCTGTTTGAACGTATGCCTTGTCGTCTAGATCATGATTTGGCGTTAATCTATTGGGAGGCTATTTTTACTACTATAGGTTTAAATTTTACACACCGAGAAGGCATATGTATACAGGAGCTTTTGATTAGGTTCTCGAGATCACATGTCGCAGCATTCTGTGAATCCAATTGATCCTGCCTCACCATCGTCGTGCGTTGGTAGCCATGTCATTTATCGCTTATGGATACAACCCAATCCGATATGGTGTAACGGCTAACATTGCCGCCTTTCATTCCTTTGATCGCGGCAGCTCGGGGTTCGATTCCCCGTATCGGAATCAAGTCTCAACAAATAGATTTTTGTTTGCCATTGATCTCTGACATTGTAATAGTGCCGTTCAATAATAACCGGCTGCTGTCGAAATCCAGTCGCACCCCACACTTATGAGCAGCGATAGCGGCACACAGTGTCCGTGTAGTGATTATGCCAAAGGCCCACCAACAAAAGTTGAACAAGAAAACTACGGAAAGCTGGATCCAAGAAAAAAAAAACGAACGACGATGTAACGAGAGACGGTCGACGCAGCACCCGCTCCGCCTCACCGGCCTTTTCCGCTTTCCACAACATACAAAGAACGAAAGTACCCAGCGGCCTCAGCGACTCGACGCTCTCACAGGCCGGCATTGATGGGGGTGCACCCCAGGTTGACGAGGCCCTGTGAGGAGAGAGGCCGGGTTAGACCGGATAGACGCGGTAGGCGGAAGCAAGCACTCACGTTTTGAACGTCGCCTGTGCAGCAGGCTGGCTGCTGAGCGCAGTTGGAGCCGTCGCCGACGCCGATGAGGTCGATCGGGTCGCAGCTGAGGCCGACGGGAACACTGAGTCCTTGAAGGACGACACCAAGCAGCCCGAGCTGCTTGCTGATGCTGGGGTCGTCGGACTGACAAAGGCAGGAGGGTTAGCGAGAGGGACCAAGGAGGCAAAGGGGCGTGCATACCTTTCCGACCGTATCGCAGCAGTTCAGTTTACCGGTATTGCACTGTCCAGTGCGTTTGGTGGAGGGGGAGGGGTGGGCCGCAGCGACGAGGACAAGGCCGAGGACGGAGAGCAGAGAAAGGCGGGCAAACATGGCGAGAGTGAACGACTGGGTATCGGTGGGGCGGAGGGGTGAGTGCGTTCGTTGTATGAACAGAGAAAGAATGGCCCATGGAGGACCACCTTTTATACAGCGGAGGCGTTGAATGCACAACCCATCCTCACCGTCAAGGAGACTGGCGCTGGAATGTCTCAATTCCTCCTTGTGGATGGATTCTAGTCCTACGGGAGACAGTTGCAATGCCAACTAGCACCGTTGGTGCATCCCCTGAGCGATTCGGGGACTCGTGAGCGCGAAGTTTCTATCTAGAGTACGAGCATATGTCAGCGTCTAACAGCGAAGTAAACTTCACCAAGGCAGTGACATGTTGCTTCGATGCTCGATTTACCAAATATGAACGGACGGATCGTCATGGAAAGCGTCTTCCATGCACCTTGTCATCCCTTCCGGCTGATGGCTGCGTGCCGTGGAGTGTCAGGTTCGAGCCACTCCGGTACTCTCAACGTGAGCGAGGCCAAGGCTTGCCGGCGAGCCAGAAAGCGCGCCCCTGCAGACAGTCCAAGGCGAAAGGGTAAAGACAGGTGTGTATTACAATATAGTGCTTGTGTGAAAGAAACTGTGTCTGTATCGACCGATTTCTTCTGAGTGACCACTCCACCGCTCAGAGGACGAAGTTGATAGGGTTACAGTTGATCCCGAAACCGCCCTAGATAGCGGGGAGTCAATGTACGGAGCGCAAACGTGGTCAACAGACAGAAAGGTGCTACTCACCACCAAAGTTTTGTCGCAGCACACAGGCTGAGTGGCACAATTGGAGCCCACACTATCGGTGGCGAAAGTGTCGCAGTTAAGCCCGATAGGGATATTTTGCCCTTGGAGAATGAAGCCCTGCTGGGCGAGCACGCTGCTCACGCTCTCCGACTCCGACTGATGCTTAGACGTCAGACTAACTTCGTCCCGCGACACGGGTGGACACTTACGCTCTCAATTGTGTTGCAGCACTGAACGCCGCCAGTGTTGCACTCGGCTGTTAGAGATTGATCAGACCAGCCTGAAGGGCTTGGGATGGCCAGTGTCAGAACAGCAAGGCCGAGAACGGCAGAGACGATGGTGATGCGAGCAAACATAGTGACAGTGGGTGTGGCCTAAGGGGCGGGTGTGTTCAACGAACGACAGTGGAGGCTAGCGGGAGTCAGGAGAATCGCGGTGTGGTGGTTGAGACATTTTATACCTCGGACGCCGAGGAGTCCGCCGACGAAGCAGGAAGACACGACTTCACCAAGTTGAACCTTAGAATCGCATTACATCCAGAACGGGCTTCCCATTCGCCTGCTATAGGGCGTGCACTTGCCTTGAAAGCTTACCTTCCTGGAAGCCTATTGCCGCTGGTCGGGTAAGGAGCGACTGTAACGAGAACGCCTAGACGAGGCTTCACCATCCTGAGGAAAGGCTCTAGCGCACCAACGGACAGCAGTATGTCGCATGATGCTCCATCGCGGCAGTAGTCTGACGGGCAGCGGTCGAGGAAGCCGTTGCAAGCGTCATGTCCTGGACGTGTCCTTTGTCCGATGACATCGGGTGCAGGATGGCTCGACACGGATGGCATTGGGATCCAAACCACGTCCGACCCTCACAAGTCGAGAAATGCCGCATATGGGCATGCGGTTACCAAAAGCGGACACGCACCTGTCCCGCAAATACGCCACTTGCGCGACGGGGCGAGGACGCGTACGGGCGGTCTCTCTCCTAGCGTCTCCGCGCCCCCTCGGCCACACGACGAGCTCGAGAAAACGCACTATCCTAGCCGCATGCCAGAGGGAGTAGCACAGAGTGGAACGTCGTCTTGGGCAATGATGAGCCGGCGAGGCCTCTCCTCACGATATAAGAAGAGAGGGCGAGGACGGATATTTTCCAGTTCTCAGCTCTCCTCCGTTGTTGCGATCTCCTCCGTCTTCGACACCCTCACAGCCTCCTATCCCACATTCTATTAATCATGTTCGCTCGCTTCTCCACCCTCTCTGCGCTCTCCGTTCTCGCCATCGCCACCATGGTCGCCGCCGGACCGTCGGGCTGGCACAAGCCGGAGGAGGTCGTCCCGAAGCACGACTACAAGCCTGAGTACCAGCCCGAGTACCAGCCCGAGTACAAGAGCGAGTCCAAGAACTCCCTTTCGGCGCAGTGCAATACCGGATCTGTCCAATGTTGCGACACGGTCGAAGACGTCAGTGCAGTCTTTCCCGATTCGTCCTTACGTTCTACTGGCTGACATCCGCCTCGATCGACAGGCTTCCTCTGACAATGCAGCAAAGGCTCTCGGTCTCCTCGGCCTCGTTGTTCAAGGCGCGAACGTCCCCATCGGTCTCAACTGCGACTCCATCGACGTCTTGATCGGAGTCGGCGCCGGCTCCAACTGCGCTTCGCAGCCCGTCTGCTGCGACAAGACCGAATCGGTAAGCGCGCTGCTCCCTGGCTGCGATGACTGTTGTGCTCACCTGGATTGCTCGCGCGCTCGCTAGGGTCTCGGCGTCGGCTGCCTGCCCATCAACCTCGCTGCCTGAGCGCGATCCCGAGTCTGGAGGAGGGAAGCTGAGGAGGACTGTTTCGCACACACTATTTCTATACACCACCCTTTTATTTTTTTCCTTCGTATAGTGGCTGGGGGTCGCTGGCATTGTGAATGCATATTCGCCGTGTTCGGCTGGTTTTCTCTGCAACGGATGTGAACACGAGTACTTGAGTGTCGCAACTGAAGGTGTCTTTCCGATCAACCGAAGGCTTTCAAGAACACGGCCAGTTTTCGAACCAAGTTCGCGAGCTCATTCACACCCACGCAGTGAAGATTTCCCGACCAGCACTCCCTGCGATAGGATCGTTTCCCTGAAGGCAAAGATCAGCGTCTGGATTCTGTCATGCAGAGAGCGACGGATCGTGAGGCATAGACAGTGGCGATCGAGTCAGAGATCCTCGCACAGTCTCACCGAGATGTCTGGTCGGATGGGGACTTGCGTTTAGACATTTGCAAGCTGGGGAAAGACACGACAGCGGCAGAACGAAAGCACACGAGCAACTGTCACGGCATGTACGCACGTGATGCCTTTGAGGCTTCGACGCGTTGTTGTGGATGTGTTTGGAGCAGCCGCGTCGCCCTCGCCTCCTCTTCCTGGACGGTCGCATCCAGCGAACCGAAGTGCGGTGGAAAAGGAAACTCACCGCCCAAACAGAGAAATATCATGGTCGAGCAGGGTTGGCCCCGTCTTGTATAAATACAGGCTCGTCGACGTCGGTGCATCCTCAGTTCTCCAGCCGCCCTCTGCAGTCGAACGAAGGCCTCTTCACTCACACACATTCCTATCCCCACGTCGTCCACTATGTTTGCCCGCTTCTCCGCTCTTTCCGCTCTTTCTATCCTCGCCGTCGCTATGGTCGCCTCGGCGGGACCTGTCGCCGACTACGGCAAATCTCCTGTTGCCTACGACCCCAAGTCGGACTACAAGCCCGAGTACGCGCCCAAGGAGTATTCCAAGGGCGACTACGGCAAGGACGACTATGGCAAAGACAACTACGGCAAGGACAACTACGGCAAAGACAAGTACGGCAAGGATGTGTACGGCAAGGACGAGTACGGCAGGGATCGCGACGGCTACGATGATCACGGCCGCGACCACTACGGCCAAGATCGCTACGGCCACGACGACTACGACCCCGACCACCGCGGCCACGGAGATTTCGACGGGGACCGCTATGGCCAGGACGACTACGACCCCGACCACGACGACTACGACAATGATGGGTACTCGAATGACTACGAGAGCCAGTGCAACAGTGGTCCCATTCAGTGCTGCAACACCGTCGAGGATGTGAGTGCTATTTTGCCTAGCGAGGCTCGAGAGATACTCATCTGTGAATTATTAGGCTTCCTCTGATGCCGCTGCCAAGGCTCTCGGTCTCCTTGGACTCGTCATCCAGGGTCTCAACGTACCTATCGGCTTGGATTGCACCCCGATCTCAGCCGGGGCTGCGTTCGGTTCTGGGTCCAACTGTGCGTCACAACCTGTGTGCTGCGATAAGGTCGAAGAAGTAAGTTCCCTCATCCCACGCCTGCGACTGAGCTGCTCACAAATGCCTTGACACTAGGGCGGCATTGCGGTTGGCTGCAATCCTATCAACGTCGTTGTTTGAATGAGGTTGCAAAACCAAGTCGGCAGGGGGGGCGATAGGACGAGAACTGTTATACCACATACTATTTCTTTACACTACATCTTAATATTTCCCTCGGTATCTTGGGTGTGTAGGTGGCGCAGGGAATGTATATTCACTGTGCTTTTTCTTTCATGAGAATCGTGTGATGAAGAGAATTTGAGAATGAAAGTGCTCGCAATCGCAATTTTTTTCTGTCTTGTTACCGGCGAGGAAGTGGAGTAAGGGCCGGAAGGCATTAAATGTCGAAATGGGGCTATCAGGGCGGATGGTAAAACACCACCACAGGCTCGCATAAAACTATTGAGAGACGAAGATAACTCAGGACGCATGCTACCATGAGATAGCTCACCCACCGTCGGCAATAGAGGCTACATTCGCGTGCAAGTATGTCAGGGTTGATGTCAAACCACCGCATGACGGAATTTCGAGCAGGCCCGGAAGGATACCTAAGCAAACAAGTAACGAACGTGAACGGGGGTAGTCGTCGATATAAACTCGCGTCGAAGAGCCGTCCATTTTTCCACCGCTCCACATCGATGTCGGTGGAGGAGGCCTAACCTCAAAAGCAGCACACCATGAGACCTAGCCTGTGAGGGGGGGGGAGTCGGGACCGCGTGGGTCCTGAATACATGTCGCATCCACTAGACTAGGTGGAAGATGGGAAGACCAGAAGCTTAAAGAAATGATGGACATACGAGACGAGCGCGGGAGCTTGTTCTGAATTTCGACTTGAGACTGTAGACCATGTCTGCTGGTAGAGCGCTTCATGGGAGGCTGGGGAGGATATAAGGGGAGGGGAAGGGGGGTGCTTTCTCTCAGGTCTACGGCACGACCTGCTACTGAGCTACTTCAGCGTCTTTGATAAAGCGATTTTATACTCATCATGCTTGCTCGCGTCTCTGCTCTCTCTGTCTTCTCTGTCTTGGCCCTCGCTATTGCGGGGTCCGCGACATCTCTCGAATCTAGGCAGGCTGCCTGTCCTGCTCTTAGGCCCACAAGGCTCTGCTGCACGGCTTTCGACAATGTGAGCCCGCGCTCTGATACCTGCGATGATGCAATTGACCATGTGTGAATCAGCTTACGACAATCGCAACTGGCTGCCAGGACAATCCTCCCGCTTGCAGCGGCTCCGGCATATGTGTCTGTTGCGCCGCGGAGGTAAGATGAGCAGCGTGAGCGGAGCAGAGTGCATCGGCTGACTGCTCGGGGTTCGCAGATTCCAGTCCTGAACATCGGACTCGGCTGCGCAACGTGTTAGGTGACAGATTTGAAACGCGGGTAGCGTCATATGGAATACGATCGTTTGTCGAATATGCGTACGAGTTCGATGTGCCACATTCGTAGAGAGTCGTTCTGTGCGAGTATGGAATGCGAGTTGCTTGTCTATTGATTTGAAAGAGACAACCGTTTCAGAAGCCTCATGAGGGCCAAGGCGGCACTACGCCGTGCAGCACGAGTAAAGCCATACGATGTGTGCAAGTGTGTGCGTTTCAGAATTGCGGCCGGGAAGGGGAGCGCATGAGCGCGTGTCCGTCGATGCCGATTCCGGCGTCAGATAGGTCTGATGTGACGCTTCGACCCGCTGCCAAAAAAGCAAAGATATTATTTTCAGACTCTGGACATTTTCATCACGGCTGTTCGCACCTGTGATATTCTCTGTCTTTTGACGTGTTCTGCGTATGACTTTGCCGATATCGAGAGTGGGTGAATTCGAGTGCGTCTCGCACGTCGTGCCGATGGGAAAGAGGCGCTGTCCAACAAGGTTAATGATAAATTGTCATGGGACTCCGATGACCTACTTCCAAGGCGGAGCGCCAGTTCTGTGAATCAAAAGTACTGGAGAGCAGAGCACATTTGGGAATATGATACTGCAACAAACATCAACAAGACACATGGTCAGGCATGGCCGGTCAGGAGCGAATTCAGAGGTTTGGCCTAGTATGACTCAGTGAAAATGAGACCAGAGATACCGCTGAGGGTGAGAAGGCGACGTGACCACCGGCTGCTATTGCCCGCAGCCAACTAGAGTATAAACTCCACTCGTCATTTGAGCTCAGAAATTACTGCACGTGTCGCTGTGGCCAACTAGGAGGAGAATGTTCGAACGAGAAAGACAGGAATAAATGAAGCCTGAAAGACATGTCAATGAGGTCCAAAAGGAAACAATCTGTAGAGGCAAAGGGGGAATCTTCCCATGAAAAAACGCATGAATGAGCGGCCCATTGTCCATCTCTCCGTACCGACGTCAGTAAAAGGAGTCTAGCCATGAAAGAAATATATCATGAGACGTACCTTGCACAAAAATATGGGACCGTGTGGATGCTGCATACATTTAGCACCCACTGGACTAGGTGGAACATGGTAAGGCCAAAAGCTAAAAGGAATGATGGAGTGAGGGGGCGAGTGCGGGAGCTTGTTTCAGGTGTCGGCTTCGGACCATTGCCGTTACAGCGCTTCGTGGCGAGCTGGTGAGAGTATAAAGGTAGGAGAGGGTGGGTGGTTTTCCCCAGTTCTACAGCACAATCTGCTATTGAGCTACTTCAACGTCTTTGACAAAGCGACTTCATACTCATCATGTTTTCCCGCATCTCTGCCCTCTCTGCCCTCTCTGCCCTTGCCCTCGCTATCTCAGGGTCGGCGGCATCTGTCATATCCAGGCAGGCTACTTGTCCTCCTGCTATGCCAGTGAACCTTTGCTGCGATGCTCTCGTAAACGTGAGTACATGCTCGTTGAAGATGATATCATACGTTTGACATTCACCGATTGTAGGGTCTTGGTATCCCCTGCCACGCTCCCCCTTGCACTACTCCCCCTGAAATTGATGTCTGTTGTGCGTCGGAGGTAAGTTGATCATCTCAGCAGAACAGAATGCACAGGCTCACTATATGAATTCGTAGAGCACGATTGATGTTCTCGGAATAGAAATCGACATCGGATTGAACTGCACCAACGCTTGATTGACGAACATGAGGCATGAGCGGCTCGAGGGCGGTCAAGTGGCCTCATGAATTCTGATTGGTTGTAGTGCACGAGATTGGTAGGCCGAGTTCTTGTAAGGTCGTTCTGTACAATTAAATATGTTGCTTCTTATTTGGAGAGACTATCATTTAAGAAGTGCTGGAATGTGATCGCACTTACAAGGAAAGGCGGACCATATGTGCGTTGCGAAATGTAAGGCAGGAAGTGGAGTGCAGGAGCGCGCGTGTGTGTCGATGTCAGTTTCGGCGTTGGGTGAGTCTAATGTGTAGTGCTAAGTGGCCATGCTTCGGTCTACTTTCAACGCAGGTAAACACATTATATCTTGATCAAACTCTAGACTGAATATTGGAAACCTTCGTATCTACCTTCGCATTATGGCCTTCAACGTGTTCTGCAAATTCTGTCATCAATATGAACAATGACTGAATCGAAGCAATATTGTGCGGACGATAAAGAGGCACTGTCCAAAAATCTTCAACATTGAATTTATATGGCCATCCTAGAAGGAAGAACCAAGCCCCATGGATGATTGTTTCATACAGCGAAGATAATCTCCACAGGTCAGAGTAAAGGCAAATATATAAATATTGCAGCGAACCTGATCAAGACACCTGGTCAAGCGTCGTCGGTCAGGTACGAAGTTAGCAAGCAGGCCTTGTCAAGTTTGATGAAGTATACTGTAGGGCACCCCACGGACCCTAACCTTGTTGCCTCTTGCTATCACTTGAGCTGAAGGGTTGTTGAACGTGTCAGGGCGGCTGGCTGAAATATTTCAGAGAATTATTCAGATATGAATGAGACGAATATACGGAACCTGGGGGACAAATTGGTTATGTCTAAAAATGAACAATCAACAGATGCAAACGGGAAATGTGGTTATACAGAAAACTGCATTTAAGAACCGATCATTTTCTACCTCTCGTCGGTGGAGGGAGTTTAGCCTTAAAAGCGACATCATGAGACCTCCCCTGTGTGAAGTAGCCACATAAGGGAGGTGATATCGGATCGCGAGAGTCCTGTATATATGTCGCACCCACTCCACTAGATGTAAGACGGCAAGGCCAAAAGCTTGAAGAAATGATGGAATGAGGGAGCGAGTGCGGGAGCCCGGTTCAAAGTACGACCTCAAAGCATTGCTGTTAAGGCTTTATGGCGAACTGAGCAGGATATAAGAGCAGGGCAGGGTGAGTACTTCCCCCCAGTTCGACAGCACATCCTGCTATTGAACTAGCTCAGCGTCTTCGATGAAGCGACCTTGTACTCATCATGTTATCCCGCATCTCTGTTCTCTCTGCGTTCTCTGTTCTGGCCCTCGCTGTTGCGGGGTCGGCAACATCACTCGTCTCCAGGCAGGCAGCTGCTTGCCCTTCTGACAAGGCACCGGTTTGTTGTACCCAATATGTGAGCATGAATATATAGAGAAGAGAAACAAGCCTGCTCATTGATTTCTCAATTGTAGACTGCGGGCAATGCCACTCTATGTGTAGCCGGAGGGCCCCCTTGTACTGGCGTCATTCCCAGAGTCGCTCTGTGCTGCAATCCAGGGGTGAGATATCATGTCTACTATTTATACAAAATTTGTAGGCTCACTGCGATTTGTGATAGCCTGTCCCCCTGACCTGGGTGAATTGTACAGCGCACTGTTGAGCGGTGATGGAAAGTGATAAACCGTGACCTGATTCATGCAAGTGCCGTGTTCTTGTCGAATATGTGTACGATGGTGATATGTAGGTTTCCTGAGGAGTCAGTTGTACGATCGAATATGACCGGTTTAGATTGAAAGAGACGGTCTGCCAGGATCGAGCTTCTTGAGTGGTGAGGCCGGTGAGACGGGATCGCACTGTGAGGAAAGATGCGATATATCTGCATTTTTGAATTTGGGCTAAGAAAGGGAGGGCATGGGCGCATATATGCCGATCGTATATGCCGATGATGCTACCGTGTATCGTGAGCAGCTATGCTTTAGCCCGCTGCAAATGATAGCAAGAGAACAGTCAATGATTAGACTCTAGAAGTATTACGAACCTTCGCACCTGCGACATCCTTCTATCCTCAGATCCGTTGCAAATTATTTCACTGACAAATCTGAAATTAGTGGACCCAAACGAAGAGGCGCTGTTTAACAGAGCTTACAGCAAATATCATGGGGTTCCAACGAACTCCTTCCTAGGCGAAAGAGCCCAGTTCCATAGGTTCAGAGCCTGGGTCTAATCTCCGGAAATCAAGCAAAATTGTGAGTGATAATACTGTAACGTACCTCGTCAAGACAAGGGATGTCATCGGTCATGCGCGATGGAAACTAGATCAGGGATGCTGTTTTGGATGAGAAAATAGCTACTACAGCCAACGATCAAGGCTGCTTTCGTTCGCGGCCAAACAGAGAACTCCACAGGGTCCTCCCGTCATTTGAGCTCGAAGGTTACTGAACATGTCGCGGTAGGCGACTGGCAAGTTTCAGGGGATGTTTTGACGATGAATGAGGCGAACATATAGAACCTGAAAGACAAATCGATCAAGTCCAGAAGTGATGAAGTGACGATGGTCCATGGGAGAACCCACCAACAGACAATGTTATTGAATGGCCGTGCATTTTTCCACCTCCACACCGACGTCGGTGGAGGTCTAGCCTCGAACAGGACGCACCATGAGACCTAACCTGCAGGGAGTATGGGACCACATTGGTCCTGAATACACGTCGCACCCACTTGACTAGGTGGAAGAGGGAAAGGTCAGAAGCTTGAAGAAATGATGGAACGAGGGGGCAAATGCGGGGGCTTGTTCTAGGTGTCGTTTTCGGACCATTGCCGTTACGGCGCTTCAAGGCGATTTGGGTAGGATATAAGGGCGATCCGGGCGAGTGCTATTCCCCAGTTCTACAGCGCAACCCGCCATTGAGCTACAGCGTCTTCGACAAAGCAATTTCATACTCATCATGTTTTCCCGCATCTCTGCTCTCTCTGTCTTCTCGGTCCTGGCCCTCGCTATCGCGGGGTCGGCGACATCTCTCGTGTCCAGGCAGGCTGCTGCTTGCCCCGCTGGCAAGACAGCCCTCTGTTGTCTCACTTATGTGAGCATGAACATACGCACAGATTCTGGAAGAGGTCTGCTTATCGATCTTTAAATCATAGACTGCAGGCGCGGGTGCTGTATGTGTAGCAGGAGGCCCCCCCTGCGCCAGCACACCCCCCAGTCCCAGGATTGCTCTGTGCTGCAACACGGTGAGATATTGGTTTTAAGGTTTCTTCGAAATTCGCATACTTACTATCATTTGTGATAGGCTTTGAACGTGACCACCGCTGGGACGAATTGCACCTTGCATTGCTGAACGATGCTGCAAGGACGCGAAGTGTGAGGGCCTTAGAGTCATTTGTATGAATAAATTTGATTTGTTCGAATGCGATGCAAATGATATGGTCGTCCTTGAGTCAAACTTTACGAGTGCTAAGACCTTGAGGCGGGACTGCAGCACGTAGGAGAGTAGAATAAATCAAACAACACCCTTCAATGTGCATATCCTGACCAGATCCAACGTCATGCTACGACACTCGCCCACTGCGGTGTCATTCGATGCTATATTATGTTCTGTATAGTCTTGCGGAACAACACCCAACACGGTCATTGTGACATGAATATGGGGTTCAATGGCGCACCAGGACTTCGACCATGGGATGTTCCGTCTTATGTCCAAGCAGAGTTCATAGGCTTACTGCATGGGTTCATCGGTTCAGTGTTCATATTCGCAATCGGAATCAACTGTACAAGAGCTTTGGTGAACACAAAACACGAGCAGTTCAAAGGCAGTGGCAGTGAAGTGGTCTCACGGATTATCATGTACGAAGGTGACATGCCGGTTTCCTCGAGGGTCGTTCTGTACGATCGAACATGGGTGCTTTGAGATTTGATGTGAATGAGACGTCATTCCAGGCATAAAATTCACGAGGGCTGAGGCGAAAATGCACTGTACAACGCGAGAAAATACGTACAATTGCATACCAGATTTCGAAACGGGAAGGGGAGCGGATGAGCGCGTGTCTGTCGATGCCGATGTCGGCGTCAGATGAGTTTGATGTGACATTTCGGTTCGCAGCCAAAAAAAAAAAAGGCATTCCTTTGAGACCTTGGACTTTGTTATGCCGACTATTTGTACCTGCGGTATTTTCCATAGGTAATTGTGTTCTGTGTATGACCTTGCCAACATCAAGAGAGCGAATCCAAACGAACCTTGCGCGTCGTGCCAATGAAAAAGAGGCGCTGTCCAACAAGCTTGATGTGACACCACCACAGGACTCCGATGACCTGCTCACAAGGCAGAAGGCCAGGATCCATAGCCAAGTGTACCAGAGATCAGAGTACGATCCGGGATATAGGACTGCGACGAATTCATGAAGTCAAGACACATTGCCAAGCATTGCTGGTCAGGTGCGAAATCACAGATCGAGCCTGGCCATGGAAAATGCATCAGGAATACTGTTTAGAATGAAAAGATGACTCATACATCCAACGATCAAGGCTGCTTTCGTTCGCGGCCAAATAGAGTTCTCCACGAAACCTCTCATCGTCATTTGAGCTCAAAGGTTGGTGAACATGTGCCAGTGGCCAATTGACGAGTGTCGCGGGATCATTTGACGAGACGAAAATTCGGAACCTGAACGACAAATCAATCAGATCCAGAAATAATAAAGAATCAATGGTAATCGGGAGGAGCCACCGATAGACAATCATATCGAAGAGTCCTGCATTCTTCCACCTCTCCATACCGACGTCGGTGGAGGAAGTCTAGCCTCGAAAAAGACATACCATGAAACCTACGCTGTAGGAAGCAGTTATATGAAGGGGGGAATGTAGGACCACATTGGTCCTGAATACACGTCGCACCCACTTGACTAGGTGGAAGAGGGAAAGGTCAGAAGCTTGAAGAAATGATGGAACGAGGGGGCAAATGCGGGGGCTTGTTCCAGGTGTCAGCTTCGGACTATTGCCGTTACGGCGTTTTGAAGCAAACAGGAGGATATAAGGGCAGAGGAGGGCGGGTACTTTCCCCCAGTTCTACAGCACAACCTGCTATTGAGCTACCTCAGCGTCTTCGACAAAGCGACTTCGTACTCATCATGTTTGCCCGCATCTCTGCTCTCTCTGCCTTCTCCGTCCTGGCCCTCGCCATCGCGACTATCGCGGCTGCTGCTTGCCCTACTGGCCAGACACCTCTCTGTTGCCTGACTTATGTGAACATCAATATACGCCCTAATATCGAGGAGAAATGTCGACTTATTGCTTTCTTAATTCTAGACTGCGGGCACCGCTGCTGGCTGTGTAGCGGGAGGCCCTACTTGCGCCGGAATACTCCCCAGAATTCCCCTGTGCTGCACTGCAGGGGTGAGCTACCTTGATTATTTCTCCAAAATTCGTAGGCTCACACATTTATGATAGCCCCTCAACTTGACCGGGACGAATTGCACTGCGAATTGTGGATAGATGTAGAGGGAATATGGAGCGTGAGCGACTTCGAAGAGAGTGATTTAATCCCATGGAGGTGCTGTGTTTTTGTCGAGTATGTGTACGATAGAGATATGTGGTTGCCCTGAAGAGTCATTTTGTACGGTCGAATATGAGTTGTTTGAGTTATAGGAAACAGTTTGAAAAACAAGCTTCACGACTGCTGAGGCGGGCCAGCAGTACAGATTAGGACAGGAGAAAAAACTGCCATATTTTCCAATGTGCATGCCATGACCAGGCTCGCATGCCAATAGCGGGCACAATTTTTGCAGCGAATATTCAAGCAAGCCATTATGAGTCAACAATGGGAGTCTGATGGCGCACCGGGAATCAGAGATAGCAGCTTGCATACTGAAACCTGAGCCTTCTGCCTGTCAATAGGATGCTACTAACCCTTCTCTGCGCGCGATATATCAATATGAGTTTGTTGGTTTGGTGTTTAAAAAATCGTCAAATACCTATGTCCACGATCCCACAAAAACTATGAATGTCTAATCTTCAGGTCAGAGTCTTGCCCGCCTGGTATAGGCACGCGCGAACGACTGTGTCAAGCTCTTACATCTTTATGCGCCACCAACCAACCTGGCTGGTTAAGACTGGCAAGCGACTCACGCTCGACATTGCGCGAAGTCGAGGCCTGAGCACTTCTACATGCAACATGTGCTCGTCTTGTTCGAGACCGTGGTACAAACGCAGCCGATGGTTTCGAACCAAGGCCTACTATACTAGACAGCTGCAAGTTTCTGCAGTGCCCATCACCCTTCATCTGTGTCCGTCATCTCATGAATTCAAAATATTTCCAATCTGACCTCGAAGCAGACTCACTTGCAGGATCCAGTCGTCTTCTTCAAAAACAATTGTGTTCAAAGATTCATTGCACATGGTCGGAAACCGTTGACATGTGGCCAGCCTATCTAAATGTTCGCCCCAAAAGAAATGGATCTGCAAATACAAGATCATTAGAAAGACTCCATAAGATGGACAAGCGGAAGTTAACACGTTGACTAACCTGACTTGACCAAGACGACGTCCTCAAACACGATCAAGCGCAAGAGAATTATCCAGAGATAAATATTAGAGTACACACACCGACAGCAAAAAGCAAAGCAAAACATAAATAACAAGATACAGCGCCAACACCGCTTATGATACACACACTCAGACCAGACCAAAGGGCCCCCAGGAGCCAAGATCCATGCCATCCGTGTACGCTACCGGTAGCCTTCCGGCGGCGGATAACTCCCTTGCATCTGCATCTGCACGGGCATCTGCACGGGCGCCCGTGAATGGGGCCGGTATTGGGGTGCGTACTGGGGTGCGTATTGAGATGCGTAGTAGTGATGGAGAGGAGGTTGAGATTGCGGGGCATATGGACCGAGCTGGTGCACGACAGAGAGCGGCGCGATGAGATGGTCGGATGGAGGGCTATATGCGGTTATGAAGAGGCACAAACCCCGAAGAACGGGGCATCGTTAGCATTCTCGATAACGACTTGCGACACAGCAGAAAAAAATGTGAACCACGAGATTCTATCTCGAATGCCGCACAAAATAGAAATAGGAAAGGTAGAAACGTTTGTAGACACGCACCCGACTTCCGCCCTAAGCACATCGTCCAGCGCAACGTCCTTCGCCTCCCTCCACGCCCTCTCCTGCGCCCTCAGCGTCCGCAGTTCCTCGATCAGCGCATAATGCTCCCGCAGCGCATACTGTTCCTTTGCCTTCATCACCAGATACCGCACCATCGCCGGCGATCGCCCAAAGATCAGCCCCGTCGCGGGGTCCGCCACATCCGCAAGGTGCGCCGGCAGCCCGTCGTCCTCGCCGCCATCCTCGGGGCTCGGCGAGCGCGGCCCATGATCTTCGTGCCCTCCGCGCAAGCCACCCGCACCGAGGCTTCCGCCAGGAGGTCCGGGGGACGGCTCGCGCGGGGTGTGCGGCTCCACCTTGAAAGTCGTGAACCCCGCGGGGTCCGGGGCGGCGTTTGGGTGAGGCGGGGCATCGGCGGCTGCGGGAGGATCGTCGCCGCGCTTGCGCTTGCGGCTGCCTCCACGGCCAGGGAGCGGCGGGGAGATGTTGTGCTGGAGGCGCATGTGCTTCGCGAGGGCGTCGGAGCGGGTGAAAGACTTGTCGCATTCTGTGGGGGAAATCGGGCACGAGACGCAGTCAGTGTCCCGAGATCTGCCTTTGATCAGGAGCGTGGGCGAGCGGAACAGACCTGGACGCGTGCAGATGAAAGGTTTCTCGCCCGTGTGGGAGCGGATGTGGGATATGAGGGCAAAGCGAGACGTCTGCGGGAGGCTGCGACGGCTACACGACGCCCACTCGCACGTGTAATTCGACTTGTGCACGCCAATGTGATCTGAGTATCCGAAAAAAAAATCATATTAGAGAAATGAATCTCGTCAAGCAAGTGTTTCAGCAAGCAGTGGGCAGACCATTGTGGATGTGGTCGATGAACGTCGGCAAGTGGTTGAACACGACCCCGCACTCTTCCCACTGGCACGTCACGGTGTCGGCCCCCTGCCCGTTGAGATCTTCGACGGTGAACTGGGAATGCTGCCCGTTGCTGGGCGAGCCCGGGCGGGACTCATCCTCAGGAAAGGCGGAGACGGAGCCGTCGAGTGAAGAGTCTGTGAACGACGGCGAGAGCGCGGGGCCAGGCGAGGGTGAGAGGCTGTACATACTGCGCACCATTTGGGCAGACGTATGGGAGCGAGAAGCGGTGGGAGTTTCGAAGATGGCGTGAAGTAGTGTCGAGTGCGCGCGGCGTCGTGGCGGACGGCGGCGGCGTGTTTGTACTTGTTTGCAGGTGGGGGCTCACGCCTTTCCTTCGTTTTCTGACGCGACTGCGAGCAACATCCGTGGCAGTTCCGCGACGCTTTCAACGCTAGCAATCATTAGTTGACGACGTTATCGTCACAATCGCCCACGACATCCGCCATGACCTCCCCATTCACGCCCTACGCCGCCCCCGAGCGCACCTTCATCACCGCCACACCCGGCACACCCACCCCACGCGCGCGCGGACGAGGCGGCGGCACTGGCGCCAAACGCGGCCGCAAGCCACGCGGCGGCGGCGCTGCGACCGTCATCGACACCCACACCCACACCCATGCTCAGGCCTTCGCCCCGCCCCGTCCGTCCCCGCTCTCCCAAGACCTGACCGCCAGCGCAAGCACGAGCGCGCACACGGCCAGTGGCGCGCTGCAGTGGACCCAGCCCGCAACGCCCTCCCTCCCCGGCCCTCTCGCCGCCTCGGGCTCCGGATCCGCGACAGAGATCGGCACAGGGCCACCCGTCGTAGGCCAGGCGTCGGCTGCAGCAGCTGCGGGCGTCGTTTTGCCCGCAAACGCACAGGTTCCTGTGGGACAGCGTGCTGGAGCGCCTGGTGGGGTGGGGGCCGACGAGGACGGTGAGGGCGAAGACGAATTGTTGCCAGCGATGGCGGACGACGATTACTCTACGCTTGCTAACTGGCAGACCCAGTCCAAGGACAATCTCAAGTATGTCTGATGTCCTACCCACCATGCTATGCTGACCGATCCGTGCTCCTTGCTTATCTTTCTCTTCTCTGTCTTCCAGAGTCCTCATGGAGAACTTCACTCCAGAGCAATACGAACGCTTTGAGGCTTACCGCCGTCACGCCCTCCCCAAGCAGGGCGTCCGCAAGGTCATCCAGCAGACCCTCGGTCAACAGGTCTCTCAGCCCGTAGCCCAGGTCGTTGCTGGCTTCGCCAAAGTCTTTGTCGGCGAAATGGTCGAAAAGGGTCTGTCCATCTTACGTCTTACTCTCTCACCTGTTCAGCGCATGTGCTCACGCAAGTTCTCGTCGTCTTCACAGCACGCGCAGTTCAGGCTCGGCGGGGCGACACAGGCCCACTTTCACCAGATCATCTTCGCGAAGCATACAGGATGTATCAAGAAGAGACGGGACGTGTAGGGGCCGCAAGGCCGCTACGATCGAAGCGACTCTTTTTACGATGAGAACCGTGATCAGTCCGAGATAAGCGGTTGAATGGTGAATGCTTTCCATGACTAGATACCTGTATGATTGATTGGATGGACTGTGTATCATAGGACCTTCTTGAAATGTGCTACTGGGCTGTTGTTTCTCTCCAGCGTGGCAGCATTTGCGTTCATGTCGCTTGCACTTGAAAGCGATTCGAACGAGCGTGCATCAAGCTGCATCAAGTCTTACAGCCGCAGCGACAGCCTGTCCAGAGCACGTATATCACAAGCACTCAAGTAACGAATGCACCCGACTTTCGAGTTTGCTGGGGCGCAATTGGTGAGCTGCGACCCATCTACCATAGTCTCAGGGCTCACAGATAGAATAGGGAGTGGCGTTCCGACAACGTGCGCGTGTAGACACGATGCCGTAGGCCCTCCAAAATTACCAATATAAAGGGGTACTGTAAAGACAGACGATGAAGATAGTATGTGGGTATAAAAGCTCCTCCGCTCCCCTTCGCTCCTTCCTCTCCTCTCCGCGGATGACCTGGTATGTGCTCAGAGAACGACGTTGATAGGATTGCAGTTGATCGCAACGCCTCCCTGTGTTGTCTGTGAGCACAATGAACCACAAAGGTAAAATATCCACGCACTCCTTCGACCCTGTCGCAGCAGACGGGTTGCGACACGCAGTTGCTGCCACTACCGAAACCCGCCGCCAAGTTGATCGGGTCACAGTTGAGACCGATGGGGATGTTGGCGCCTTGGATGATGAGACCGAGGAGGCCAAGAGCCTGAGCCGCATTCTCAGAGTTGACCTACATGACGAAATCGATCAGTATCACGATACAAGCAATCATCAGGAGACTCACATCCTCGACGGTGTTGCAGCACTGAACAGGGCCGGCGTTGCACTTGCTCTCGTAGTTGTTCTCGTAATTCGAGTTCTCATAGTGGTCTCCGCCTCTGCGGTAGTCGTCGTCATCGTCGTAGCGGTCCCGACCACGGTACTCATCATCATCGTAGCGGTCCCGACCACGGTACTCGTCGTTGCCGTCGAAGCGATCACCGTCGAAGTCGTCGAGGCCGTGGTGGCCGTACTTGTCAAACGACTTCCTGCCGTACCCTCTGCCTCTGCCGTAGCCCTCACCGCCGTCCCGCTTGTAGAAGACCTCGTAGCTCTCCTTGCCATAGGCCTCTTTACTATAGACCTCCTTCGGGTTCTTGCCATAGTCATCTTCGGAGTAATCGTCGTTGGGGTAGGCGTCCTTGGAGTAGTCGTCCTTGCCGTAGTCCTTCGGGGCGTATTCGTCCTTGGAGTAGTCGTCCTTGCCGTATTTCTTGGGAGCGTAGTCGTACTCGCCGTACTCCTTCGGGGCGTAGTCGTCCCCGGGGTAAGCATCCTTGGAGTAGTCGTCTTTGGGGTAGGCATCCTTGGAGTAGGCGTCTTCGGAGTAGTCGTCCTTGGAGTAGTCGTCTTTGGGGTAGACATCCTTGGAGTAGGCGTCTTCGGAATAGTCGTCCTGAGAGGCGTACTCATCCTTGCCGTACTCCTTGGGCGCGTAGTCGTCCTTGCCGTACTCCTTGGGCGCGTAGTCGTCCTTGGGAACGTAGTCAGGCTTGTAATCGGAGGAAGGCTTGCCATAGTCAGCGGCGGGGGCGTAGGACGCAGGCTTGCCGTAGTCGGCGGCGACGGGTCCTGCGGCGGCCATGGTAGCAACCGCGAGGATAGAGACAGCAGAAAGCGCAGAGATACGGGTCAACATGGCAGCAGAGAGGTAGAGGGTTGGGATAGGAGTGTGTGTGGACAACAAACGCGGTTCAAACAGCAGGGGAGCTCGAGAACTGGGGAATCCTCGACGCCGACGCCGACGAGGTTTTATACGTGGGCGACGACGCCGCTGACGAGAAGAGGGACCAATGGGGCGTTCTCTGCTTTTGGCTCAACGATGGCCGTTTCCGGCGATATTCGGCTCTGTTCGGATCGTCGCGGACGGCGCTCGCGATCGTGGCCAGGACGAGCGGGACGACGTGCACGCCGCGTCCAAACGCGTCCCGAAACTGCCCAAACAGGCGCGTCGCGTATCACGTGCACCTCCCTTCCCACGACATGACGCTTGGATGCATTCGGCCAACCGCATCCGGTCGTACAGCGAGCGTGCGGCTACGGAGAGAACCTCTCACCACCCGCGGGAGGAAGCTGCCCCGGAGATCGTCGCCAGCCCAGTGTCAAACCCTTCCCTATTCGAAGGCGTTGTCCTGACTCAGATGTGGCGTCCAACGGCGTGGATGTCCCATGTGCAATCCCGTCCCGCATTCTGTCTACCTTTTCAGAGTTAGGTTCATCGATCATGTCGAGGCGCGTCATGGAACATTCCTAGCCCACAATTCTAGCATTACAGAATCTTCAGCGAGTCAACACCATACGAATCACAGCCCCTCATTTGCCCCGCGCCCTGCCGGGAATACACGGCACCATAGGAAAACGAACCTTGCTCCCAATAGTTCGATCAAAGCTGATAATGCTGACACTTCATGCTCATGCCGACACTTAGAAAGAAGCGACAGAAGGCGCCAACACGATCATATTTCGAGCATGGAAAGGAAGGTCCCGAAAATATTGTCCGACAGAAGCTGGTATCCCAAAACCAATTTCATCCCAACGTATTTTTCCGCTCATGATCCCTTTAGAGGCCAAGGTTGACAGGTGTGCAGCCAATGTTGATCAGGCCGTTCTGCAGAATGGGTCCGCTTAGTGACCCCGTTCCAATGGAATTTGATCGGCAAGGTACTCACGAAGTTGTTGTTCTCGCAGCAGACGGGCTGCTGGACGCAGTTGGCGCCAGAGCCGACACCAATGACAGTGATCGGGGTGCAAGTCAGGCCGACGAGCACATCGAGGCCCTGGACAACAACGCCGAGCAGGCCAAGAAGAGCGGCAGCGCTAGGGCTGTCAGCCTAAATGAATAGGAAACGAAACATCATCAGCTGATATTTCAGTTGCATTGGACACCCAGCACGTACGTTCTCAACGGTGTTGCAGCACTGCAGATCACCGGTGTTGCACTGGCTGGCAGGGATGGTATCACGAGCGACGGGCTTCAAGGCAGCAGGGGTCGCAGAGACCATCAGCGCGAGGCCGAGGAAGAACATCGCAAAAAGGGTGGAGACGCGAGCAAACATTGTGAATGAGAGCGAGTGCGAAGACGAGCGAAGGACTGGCTGAGTGAGCGAGGAAAGTAAGGCAACTGCGAGGCTGTCGAACTGAGGAACTCACTCTCGAGCAGTGGGGCTTTTATATCTCAGGACGGGTCGGCTCGTGTTCTCAAGAATGTCAGTGTCTCGGCACTCCTGAGAATTTAGTGTGGAACATCCATCATGGTACCGTGCTTCATTTACGAGCTGTGCTCCGCTAACCGTCATTCGAATAGCTCCAGTCGCGGGTGACAGGAGTGTCAAATCACCGTCGCGGCCTCGCTGGGCCCACGGTGCCGCTGGACCATGTATGTAGAGGCCAATCAATTGAGTCAAGCGCGCAAGAAGACGCGTCGCGCTGCATCACGTGTTCGTCATCATGACGGCGCGATGTGAGCGGCGAGGAAGGAGCCTCCCCATCATCTGGCTCTGTAATTTCCGCGGGTGCGAGGGCCTGAGAATTCAGGAATTCATTGTCCGAGCACGCTGCTCCCAGGCGGTGTATTCCCTTCTCGACCCGCCTCCACGCCAAGGTTTGCTTGCCCAATGACATAGGCTGGGGCTGCGCTTCCAATCCCCGTCGCATTTAAGGTGGCCTTCGGCATTTCAACAGATTTTCATCCGCATACGGGCTGAACTTATTCACGCTCTTGCCCGCCCGATGACACTTCACGCTTCCGAGCAACCCATTCCTACAAACATGCTAGTGGTTCGCATGTCCAGCGCGCAGAGGTTGGGAGTGAACCCGCTGCCATCGGGCTCCCCAATCCTCAGTTTCTGGTCGTCAAACAAAGGGGTGAGCGTAGAACTGAATTGTTCACCCTCGTGACGCAGGGATTTCTCATGGGCCCACGATGTACCAACGTTTCAGCTATTCCGGATCGCAGGGATCTAGTTCTCATCATCGATATTGTCAAGCGGGGCTTCTCGCTACAAAAAGGTCCGTCTCGAGTATCAAACTCTCGTCACAGATCCAATATCACCTTTGTGAGAGAGATGTACGACCCTCATATGGACGGGCGCCCATGTTCAGCCGAGCTCATCTAATAAGTCAATGTTTTTAGGTGTTTCCCCGCTTCGACTCAGACAATCATCTCGACAAACCTGTGCATCTAGACTCCGCATCTGGACGCGCACGGGCGCGAACGCGGTTGCGCCAACAGATCGGTGCACACGTCTCCATGAGTGTGATCGGGGCGCTCTTCCCGCCGACTTTGTCTCTTTTTTTAGCCACGGCATTACAACCCTGCGCTGGCATGCCCTTACATAGCACGGACCTTTGTGGACACGGATAAGAACACATAATTGCCGCGTTGACACACGACCACTTCTTACGATGCCTTGTGGTCATCGTCGCTGCCAGCTTCGATACTTTTCTTGTGTGGAACTTACATACGATGCACCCTCGAACGCGAGCTCAAATATATGTCGAGGCGCGCTCCCCGCCGCACCCATGGCGCGGACCCGTTCAGACATTCCCCATCCGTCCACAAGGTACAGCCTGAATCCCTTCTGACACGTCGAAGTGGCAAGGCGCGCATTTCATGATGAGCCATGTCGGCGGCCCTTCTTCCTTGTCACTCCATGCTCCAACTTGTCATCCACTTTGTATTCGTCTTTCACAGGCTCCACATGCACTATGCTGGCAAATACCGTCTGTGCAGTTGCCAGTGATGAGGCGATGAACACAGGATCCGACACGCACATGTCTTGGACACGTGCGTCGCCATTATGAAAGTCGAACAGCGACCTATATCCGCGATGAAATATCGCGGTGAGAAGTCCATCGTGGATCGACGATCGTACGTCCGTTACCCTTGGCATTGTGGTTTTCACAAGTCGTAAGTACCTAATAACTCTCAAGGTATCATGAACTCGGCTGCATCTTGTACTCTGCGTACGAACTCCATATATTTTTCGTCTTTAGCAATACTCGACGTGGGTGCCAATGAATGTCATCTTCCGAGCGCGCGGCCGTCATAGCCTATGAAGCCACAGCTACCCCAACCTTTCCTCGATCGTCGAGCTATCAGCTTCCGAACTGTGAGCTCCGACTGGGTAGCGTTGATTTCCATTCTCCAACGTGCACCGCGCGACGTGCCAGTGTTCTGAATCAGCAATCTGTCACTGGTCGACTGGCGTGATGGAGGCATCGGGAACGTCTAATTGGCTGTGCCCGCATCGTGCCGCGCAAAAATACCCACAGCCTCAATATCACCTTTACCTGTCAGTTCACGATCTTCTCCGATATTTGCAGGACATGGTCCGCTCCGCACCTGGCTGCACGCGCTCGTGCCTCCAACGGTGCTCCCACTCTCCCGTGCCTGGGCAGATATTTCTATGAGCACCTTCAGGTCCCGAGTACTTATGTCTCTTCACTGACATCTATTGGTCTCATGAGTGGGGTGTGGAGCGTCAGCTGTTCCTTCGAAACCTTGTACCGTCCGACTCTCGCTGCCGCGCTGCCCGTCCAAATGTCCAACCCCCGCATCATGCCGCGCCACTTATAGAATCCTTAAGGTCATGGTCGATCCTCGGCCGCGCCACCATATATGCATGCGCGCACATATCTGGTATAAAGCCAATTTTCTTAGAGCTTTCATTAATTTCATTTTCAGATGCCGCGAGAAGACTTATTTTCTTTTGGGTACCGTAATCCCCGCTCCTTCGAGCGCGTCGCTCCCTCGTCCACCTTGCACGACGGACCGCGTTTTGGGGGCGTCGCTGACCCAAGTTTCCTTTCGGGACATGCTCTCCCCAGCAGTTGCTACGGAGCGTGCCGCCGGGTTACATCCGTCAGGTCCCTGAAGAGGAGAAGTTTTGGTGAGCCACCAAGGCCTCGCAGCGGCACGCAAACAATGTTCGAATGGAAGCAATCAAGCCGCTTTCTGGCCATCGAGTTAGTCTCAATGTTGTACTTTGCTCTCAGCCCGCTGCGCGGCACACACTGCAAACAGCAGGTCGACTTCCTCCAACATCGCCTGCGACGCCCAAAAAGACATGCACGAGCGTCTTGCAGTTCGCGCTTGATTAATGTATTCCGCTCGGCGTTTACCAGAACCAGGACCTGTAGTTAAATATGATCTCCCCATCTGCATCCACCTTATGAGTCTCCTAAACCAGCAGTCGTCCTTATGTATAAGATTCGAATCCACCGATGATGTTCTCAGAACCCCGAGCAATCCCCCCCTCCCGCTGTCCAGCCCTTCCCGAAAGTACGCTGCTCAGGCCTCAGGCCCTGAGCCTCGCTCTGTCCATGGAACATAGCTTGCACCGGCGATTTTTCACTTACATAGGCATTCGAGTGCTTGTATCGGACGCTGCTCTCCCATGCCTCCTCCAAGTCACTCGACAAACATCTGCTTTCGGTACAGACTTAGCGACTTGCGTCTGGCCTGCTGAGTCTCGTCCGTTCACCATTCTGGGCCCCCGTACTTGCGCCTGTTCTGGCCCACGAGCCTGAGTTAGACTGGCCAAATGCTTCTTCCAACCATAGGCCCGACCCGGTTGAGTAACGACCCGGCGTCTACTCACACGGCCATAAGGCCTTACGCATGGCATGCCAACCCATCGCTAAAGCCGAAGGCGTGGTCTCCCGTTCCGGGTTATCCTCACGCCTTGCGAATCATCACTCACTCACCCCGCAAAGGCACAATATCCACGGTAAGCGCTAGCACGTACAGTACGACGGATAGAGAACAGTCCAGTTCCAAAAGTCCAGTCCGAAAACACTCTAGAGCATCAAAACAAAGCCTAGACCAAGAAGAACCCCTCAAACGTCCTCCACACGCCCTTCCCTTTCCCTTCCCTCGTTGCCATACTCGGAAACAGTCGCAAGCGGGGTCGAGCTGCGGTTCGTGAGAGGAGGACGATCGCTGTACCTTTCCGTACTCCCGCCCCTCCCGCCACCAGCACTCTCCCTGCTCTCCCTCTGCCCCATGAGCGCCATCATCGACTGCTCCCTAGCATCCGGCGTGCTCGGCGCACTCGGTCCACCAAAAGCGACAGCTCTGTCGTCGACCACGATCGCCCCGGTCCTCTTGTCCAACCTGAATCGCAGCCCTTCCAACTTCTTCTGCATACGCTCTTCGTCATCGTATGGCAGCAGCAGCTCGCCAAATCCAGAGCGGGATGTTTGCGACACGACCGTTGCGATCGAGCCTGGCGCATGCGTCAGGTAGACTTCTCGTCGAGAGCGCCAGTGTATGATATGCGTGCTAATGATGATGATGCCCACGGCGATGAGGCTGACTGACAACAAATGGCTTGGAATGGGGCTGGGGGTTGAAGTCAGTGACAACATCGATCGATATCAAAACGAAAGGACAGACGCTATCCACAGACGCGGCGCAAGCTCTGTCAATACGGCTGGCACTTGGTCAGTGACTGCAACGAAATATACGGATTTCGCGGCTAGTGCCAAGTATTGCGTCTGAAACTCTCGATGAGTGCTAGGCATATACTTTCAAAGAATGCGCGTACATAGACCTGGGTTGTTCGATTGACGAAGCCGTCTACATCCTGAAAGACGGAATCAACGCCATCATCTGCTTGGGTGGCGGAACGGAATATGGCGCCCGGGATCTCAGTTTTAATGGTGAGTGCGCGCGCATTGATATTCACATCCGTGTTGTTGTCGAAGATGAGGCTAAACGCACAAGATGAGGAAAATATACAAGAAATGATGGATCAAGCCCTACCCATTGTATGCGTTTCCGTTCAATGGATCGCCAGAAACGTTGTTCGCAGTGGGATAATTACCGAGCTTTGTAGCATTGATCAGGCTCCCAGTAGCCAGATCTGCATTCGCCATGATATCGAACAACTGTATGCTGGGTGTACAGAACACGCCCTTGGCTTCATGCGACCCATCACCTTTCACATGGTAGAACCAGAAGAATACCGGTTGTTGCGTTATATTCGCAGAGGTACTGCCACAGTGAGGAACGTTTGTAACACCATATTGCTGATTGCTATCGCTTGAATTAAAGAAAACTGGACCTAGCTGACATCCGTCGATAGAGGTGGCATTGACGCTAAATCGAGACGGGTCGGAGGTAGAGAGCGTCAAATCAATGGGGTTGGCGCATTCGACGTCGGTCTGAACTCCTGTAGTGTTGACAGCGACGGTCCCATTGAAGTATTGTTCCGTTGGAAACTATGCATCAGCGGATGAGTGATGCCGGCATTGAGCATATTAACAAACGTCAGACGCACGACAAATTCTGCTGCAGCCCATCCACCCTGGACGAAGGGAGGATCCGGAAGGTCGTTGTACACTCGAAGGAATCAAGAATGAGATTAGACTTTCCATGGAGATCTAAGATTCAAGTACCTGAAGCTGCGGCAAACTGATGCTAAGTGTTAGGACGCCGTATTTCACACGATAACAAACATACTCACTCCCGCAGACGCGGCGAAGGCACCCAGATCAGCGACATCTGGAGAGAGACCGATGGTACGGATGCTGGTCGCGGCAAATCCTACATGTCACCTCGCTCAATATAGCGTGATAAGGCTCGATGATAGCGCTCTAGCCCACCTGACGACTCCGGAAGCTGCCTGATGGACAATAGAGATCCGGCCAGAGGCTGCCAGAACCATGACGAGATGACTGTGAACGACGATAGGGCGATAATTTTGTGCTTGCGCTTCATGGATTGGTATGCGACCAAAAATCGGCTAAAATTAGAATAGACCACGGTCAGAGAGTTTGGCGATGCCTGTGGCTATATGTACTCACTTCATGGCAATCTGCGCACAGATAACTCAATTAGCATTACTTGATGATTTCTTGTAGATATCTCTTGAGAACATACATAATCCAACAACAAACCATCCTCTGCACGAGCATGCCCTTTAGACAGCACGATATATGGCTGTTACGTTTGTTAGACAGGGACGGAAGACAAGACAAAATACGCCTCACCTGCCACCAGCGCATCATCCAGTCAAACGTTGTGACTGTGAATGCAATTGGGATGATCATGGCCGTAGGAAAAAACGACTGTGTTGTACGAGGCGTCAATTTTGGCAAGAATCAACTCAGATACACGTACTGTGAGGAACTGCGTTGAGACAAGTGGAAGTTTGTTTTGTCGTGGAACATGGAAACCTGAAGGCGTTCTTGTTGAATCAGACTATAGAAGCTGCAATGACGCAATGCTCACCACCATCCCTTTGAGAGAAAAACAAGGCGATCTCCAACGCGAGTGCAATGATGATCATGATCGTGGCTCCTGTCATGACCACTCCCAACCTCAAGGAAAAAGGTTCCTACACCACCATCATGCGTCGATCAACAGCCCGACCTGAGACGCACGCCGCTCAGAAACAACTCACGAATTTCGGCGGTCTCTTTTCCTCCGTCCCAGGCGTCGGTATCTGAGAGACCGAGCTCCTGAAGCTTCCTCTGGATAGCGCAGAGAAGTCGGAAGGCACATTGCTGAATCGTGAAGTCGGGCGTGGGGGTGAATATGATGAAGATCGTAGTTTCTCGGACAAGAGAGCCTCTTTGTCTTGGTCGACAGACAGCCGGTTGTAGAGTGGCCCGCTCATGGTTGTCGGCGGGCAAGTCGTGAAGGTCGTTATGAGTAGGAAGGGCGTTGGGTCGGACACAGCCCAGAGGCTGAATACAGCCGCAATGCGTGGGCGCCGCAGGCGACGGGTTTCTCGGAGTCACTACCGATTGCCGCATTTGGACGTGTCGGCGCTTGATTATTGTCTGGCGATTCTGGTGCCAGTGAACAGCAAGACCTCCAAGTAGGCTGTGTCTGCTGCTCCAGGCGTTCGTTGTATGCGCACATCAAAACAAGAACTGAAGGGATTCTAAGAAGATCTGTTGTTGGAGAGACTATATGCCTACCTCCATTTGAAAGCCCGCGAATTTCATCGGCCTCGTCTTGGGCCCTGCATTCACCTTAAACCGAAGATGCGTTGACCCGGCCCACAGTGTACGGTGTTTTGACTTAGGGTATGACGCATTCATCACCTGCCTCTACGATCGCAGGCAACTTGAAGGCATTCTTCAAAACGCCGACATTCCTCCGGTGAGCTGTACTGTGCGCATGCCTTTTGACATATAATCAAGACCGATCGCCACAGACGGTCCTCACATCTAGAAGACCACTGGCCAGTACATCAAATCATGTAGGTTCGCCTGTACTAATCAGTCCTCCCCGAATCCCAACAGCCACTCGCCATGATCAGTGATGGCAGCTCTCTAAGAGACACGATTCCGTTCTTGTTGAGTGTCTACGTGTTTTCACTGTCTCTCATCACGAAGAACAAGCAACATCGACGAAAAATCAATTCGTGATACCATGGGATATCACAAGGTTCATCTGAGCCCAGGGCGTAAAGCGCCGTATCAGTCTGTCTATCTGTCCATCTACCCAACCATCGGCGACTGTAATTAACTCATTGCCCCGTCAAACCGCTGTGCAATGAGTAGGCTGATAAGCCAGGCAGCATCCAATCGGCACGTATCTGACCAGGCTTTCTCGCTATGTTGTATGGATCAGTCCCGCTCGGTTAGCTTCCTTTCAATGTCGGCCTTGGAGTACAAATATGGAATAAAGGAATTGAGGGAGCTGGTTGTTCGATATTTGTCGCGCTGTCTCCTTTGTCGTCATTCGTTGATGGCTGTCGAAGCTTCTCCTATTCCAGAAGACTTCGCGGTTGTGTCTGCGCCCCATTGGGCTGGCACCTCCATAATCTCAAGATGACAATCAACAGTATGATGAAGGAACTGATCTGGTTCAATTAAGAGAAACAAGATGCTGCGCGCGTCCTGAATTCGAGATTCGGGCCTTGCCTACTGAATCGCACGTTCAATCTATGACGTGTTCCGATGGATCACTGAGAGACGTTTTCTGATAAGGCACGGTAAGAAATCATGCGCGAGTTGTTGGGCGATGCAGGTACTGATATCAGTGTCTGAAATATGTGTGAGTTGGATCACGTTGGCGGGTCAATCAAAAAGAAATCCCAACTAGTGCATCGGAGGGCCAGTACTGTACCACAGGCGAAGTAGCTTTTAATGAGCGTTTAGGATTTCCATGCATAATCTGCTCAGAACGGCAACGAAAAGTATCTTAGCTTAGCATAATATAGGCGAGGAGGTGAAAGTACTGCGCTCGGGTTTAGCGTTGATGGCATCTTGGATTCTCAGGTGCTTAGCTCCCAAGGTTCCCGCCGACGTGTGCAATGGCGAACGTCAGGTACAATAGCAAGCAAGCTGTCACTCACTGGGTAGAATCCAGCACGCTGCAAGCGATGCGGCCCTAAACACGGTCACAGTGAAGCCATAGGTGAACGTTGGAGCATGCGTGATCAACAGACAGGATCAGATGTCCGGCCATTGTGCCCAGTTGCAGCCAATGGTGTCGCACTTTGAAGATGGATGTCGAACATGACTGCGAGGCTGAACGATGCGTTCCACAGAAGTTTGGTGATGACGGGTGTAGTGCCTGACAGCAAAATAAGTCAAAGGCACACATGGATGACGAGAAAATATTCGTCTGACATACCGCTACTCCACAACTTGAACGAGCCCCACGGGAAAAAAATTGTCACATCTTCCTTCGTATTGTGGCCTAAAAACATTCACATCGGACATAAATGTAAGACCCGGTGACAGCAGCTCCTTGCAGGCTTGTACCAACAGCTGCCAGTAGCCACTGAAGAACGTCAGTGCAGACAGCAAAGCCTATCTGCATGAAACTACAGTTAGGGAAGAAAGGTCATAGGTCACAGATGTACGCTGACAGGCGTACCGTGCTGTGATCTCGCGCGGAGCCTCTGCATGAGTGTAAAAGTGCCACACTGATGTTCAGAACGGGAAAACCAGAGTTCGAAGCACAACCTCAGAGAATCTCAGTGATCAAGCACACTTCAAGCACTGACTGTGCCTGTGAATCTGTAATCGATTCTCTGGTCGCCGTCTTAGCCCCAACCTGCCCCAACAGTCTAATAGACGGCCCAGACACGTCACGTGAGAAGAAAAAGCCGAAGCAGGCGCCCCGTCTGCTGGTTTCCGACTGGAAAGTGCTTGCCAGCCGTGTGAAACACATCGTATAGGCTTATTACCTCTTCGGCCTTGTGCGCTGGGGCTTCTAACGAGGTACGAGTACCTGCTCACTCACGTACCCACCACGAGCTTCGAGTTCATCCCGGTATGTACCCGCTGTCATGACCGGAAAAGACTCCCTCTTGGTCCTTGAAGTCCTGGAAGCTTGAGGATCTTCGGGTGACGTATAATCTCAGCAAGGCTATTTCGGAACGAAAGCAGCTGAATAGAGTTTGTGCGACCCCGGTGCCTTTGACTTGCTCTGCTCCAATGGGGATGGATCTACGGAGCCCAAGGGTCACCGGCAGATATCAGTGCAAAATCGCTGCCCGCAAGAAGATAATGGTCCGAGAGTCAATGCAAACTCGGGCTTGACATATTATTCTGTCAATGGTCATCTGTTTACTCTCCTCAAATTAGTCCATCACTGCCGCTGCTGTCACCTTCGGGGCTTCCATCTTGTCGCTTCCCACAGACTTAACAACGCCGTGGCCTTAGCGGACGACCGATGTGCTGGCCAGCGTCCACCTTGTGCGACCTTTTTCGCGGACCCTTGGGTCCACGCTTGACCGAGCGGTCTGGAGGATGTCACCGCTTCGGAAAATTTCGCCTCCAGACTGGGCCCCTCTGCACCGTCTCCCAGGTGCATTTGGCACCTTTTCACCTGCTAGCGCCCAAACTCCATTGATGCTTGGAACCGAGTAAGGTTAGAGCTCTGGACGGGTCCTGCAGAGAATCATATAAAAGCTGGACGCCCACCATCCTTAGTTCGACAGCCCGCAGATCTTATCCAGTTGCAAGCTTCATCTCAATCCTTACAATGTTCTTCCGCATCTCCACCGTCTTCGTCGTGGCTTTGGCCACCTTCGCTGCGGCCTCGCCCGCTCCATGGGGCGCACCCCCTCCCACCACCACCACCCACCCTCCCGTCACCACTACCGTCACTGTGGTACGTTAGTGTATGTGCAACATGTTTTGTGCTCTCCTCATCCTTTGACTTCTAGACGGCTCCGGCCACCACCACGACTATCCCTGCTAGTCAATGCAACACTGGTGATGCTCAATGCTGCAACTCGGTTCAATCGGTACACATTGATCTTCAATGTTTGTGAGAGCGTCGTGTCTTATCCTTGGATACTTCACAGGCCACCGCTCCCGCTGTCACCTCTCTCCTCGGCTTGTTGGGCATTGTCCTCGAGGACATCAATGTTCTCGTCGGCTTGAGCTGCGACCCCATCTCGGTCATCGGCGTTGGAGGCGGTGCGAACTGCGTTCAGCAGCCCGTCTGCTGCGAGAACAATAACTTCGTATGTTGATCTCTCTTTGGTTGATACATCACACTCACACAGCATCTTCCAGAATGGGTTGATCAACATCGGTTGCACGCCGATCAATATCTTCCTTTAAGTTTGTCAGCTCACGGGCGAGCAATGGCGGGCTTGATGTTGAGCACTGAGAATGTATGCTACATCCCGGACATTGATTCCCCACTACTCACCCGTTCCTTGAACTCTCCGTCACTCACTTGGCTACTTGTTCTGTCACGAATTAATGCATTGCTGTTCCGTTTGACTTCCGCTTGGCTTCTCGCAAATGATCCCCGTGAAGCACCCAGTATTGACGACCGTAATATTTGACTGTTGATTGCAAAGTCGGCGCTCAGTAGGATATTTGAGGGTCTTGAGGGTTGGTTATGCACAGATTTGACAACACCCCGAGAGCAGTGCGTAACAAAGATTTTGGGATTAGATCTCGGTGACTTCCAAAGATTCTGACTTCTCGGTGGATATTTGACAGATCATCGGTGAATGTTAAAGAGACCAGTGGCGCACGCGCGCAGCGGCTGTCCGTCGAAGGCAGTAGCTTGCTAGATTCGATGGCTCAGCTTGATCACATCGACGAGCAGTACTTATATCCACTCAAAAACTCCTACCGACTCATACGTGGATCAAGTAGATGAACTTGCTCGCCCCCGCTGATTAGAATGTTTTCGTTTGTCGTAATGACACCATGTTCTAGTGTTTCTGAATGGCATTCTCGCCCCATCGAAGAACGTCCTGTTCATTTCTACCTGCTCGCACGACTTGATTCGTCTTGTCATCTTCACATGGACGGGACATGGGCGCATTAGCATCGACGTGAGGACGAGTGCCAAGTAACTGCCAGGTTCCGTGGATGCCTGGTGACATACGACGTTACAAGCTGGGTGATAGAACGGCGATAGCTGTGTATGCAAGGCTCCGAGGAGGCGTCAAGGTCGTTCTTCCAAGCCGGTATCTTCCCTGTGCAGATACATTGGACCCTGCGAAACAGTGTTCAATATCGTGGCAAATATATGATTCGACTTGTTACTTACATATCCGATGTCGTCAGTATTGGGAGTGGGGCCTTATTCGCAGTCCGTTCGTACACGACAGGTGGGCCGTGCGATGGAGTATGATCCGTTCCGCTTCTATCGAGGCTTTTAGAAAGCAAGCTACATACTAATCAGGTCTTGACAATCAGCGGTGTACAGCTTCGTCGGAGGGAGGACCTGATCCACCAAACGCTTCAAAGACGAAGAGAGGCGGCTATCGGTTTCGCCGAAATATGCCCAGAGCATCGATCAAAGTCACTCAAGAGCACGAACGTAAATTATGATGGTCGATATGAGCGAGCGTGTACATTGTAATACACCTTCGGCTGCGACGACACATCTCAAGCAACGAGGGAGAGAGAAGGCAGGTGTGGCGGGAAAGGCGGAGGCCAGTCGGAAGCCACGTTGCATATCGGACTCCGCTTGAAAGGCCAGCGATGACCCTAAACCCGAACACCAGCCTTTTTGACTTGTCTCCCCACCCCTTCATACCCTTCCTCAACCACTCTTGACGCACACCTCCGGTCTCACTCCCATCCTGCCATGTAAGTCGCCGTTATCTGGCTGCACTGCCGTTTTCTGTGTATCTCCGGAGTCGCAGCTTGTCCTGCTACGCGTCCTTATTGTCGCGTTTCCTTTATCGTACCACTTGCGTTCATCTACGGATACCTGACTGCTTGTTCACAGAATGCGTGAAATTGTCCACCTCCAGACCGGTCAGGTACTGTCGACATACCATTGTTGTAGCGACGACTGCTAACGACTTCCATTTGTGATGACAGTGCGGTAACCAGATTGGTGAGGCATCTTCACTCTTCCGATATTCTGTGCCATCTAAATTCCGCTGCAGGTGTCAAATTCTGGGAGGTTATCTCGGACGAGCACGGTATCGAGCCGGATGGTCTCTACAAGGGTAACAACGACCTCCAGCTCGAGCGTATCTCCGTGTACTACAATGAGATCGGTGCCAACAAGTACGTTCCGCGTGCTGTTCTCATCGATCTCGAGCCGGGTACCATGGACTCCGTCCGCTCGGGTCCCCTTGGCGGACTCTTCCGTCCGGACAACTTTGTGTTTGGTCAGAGTGGAGCGGGTAACAACTGGGCGAAAGGACGTGAGTATTCATTTTAAACATTTACTTTACTACGTGAAACGGTGGGGATAGCAATGTTTCCGAGCTCCGAGAACAACTAAGCTCGTATGCGCATCCTACACGTTCTCGTCTACTGCTTGTGAACCGTGCCTTTAAATGACTAATCGTTTGCATCAGATTACACGGAAGGAGCTGAGCTCGTCGACTCGGTACTTGACGTTGTTCGCAAGGAGGCTGAAGGCACCGATGCTCTCCAAGGTGCGTGTCTTTATCTACTTCCCTTTGGCGTGTGACCGTGATGTTCTCGTGACACACGGCTCACGTGCGCTGGGGTGTGGCTAGAATAGTCGGCTGAACTAGCTGTTCAGGATTCCAGATCACACACTCGCTCGGAGGTGGCACTGGCGCCGGCATGGGTACTCTCTTGATCTCGAAGATCAGGGAAGAGTACCCTGACAGGATGATGTGCACGTTTTCCGTTGTCCCAAGTCCTAAGGTTTCCGATACGGTCGTAGAGGTATGTGAATGATCATTCGTCTCGGTGGAATCATATCTGATCAAGACTTGAAGCCTTACAACGCGACGCTCTCTGTTCACCAACTGGTGGAGAACTCTGACGAGACGTATTGTATCGATAACGAGGCGCTTTACGACATTCACTTCCGCACGCTCAAGCTTGCGACACCAACCTACGGTGACCTTAACCACTTGGTGTCCATTGTCATGTCTGGTATCACGACATGCCTGCGTTTCCCTGGTCAACTCAACTCTGACCTCCGGAAATTGGCTGTCAACATGGGTAAATTTATCTTTCTCTGGATCAAACTTCTTTTGATGTCATTTTCTATCTAGTTCCTTTCCCTCGCCTTCACTTCTTCCTCACTGGCTTTGCCCCCTTGACCGCTCGTGGTAGCCAGCAATACCGCGCCGTCACCGTTCCGGAGCTTACCCAGCAAATGTTCGATGCTAAGAACATGATGGCCGCTTCCGACCCCAGGCACGGCCGTTACCTCACGGTTGCTGCTGTCTTCCGTGGCAAGGTCTCTATGAAGGAGGTTGAGGAGCAGATGCAAAATGTTCAGAACAAGAACTCTGCATACTTCGTCGAGTGGATCCCCAACAACGTGCTCACCGCCCAGTGCGACATCCCTCCCCGTGGCTTGAAGATGGCTGTGACGTTCCTTGGTAACTCTACTGCCATTCAAGAACTTTTCCGCCGCGTCAGCGACCAGTTCACGGCCATGTTCAAGAGGAAGGCTTTCTTGCATTGGTACACCCAGGAGGGTATGGACGAAATGGAGTTCACGGAGGCGGAATCCAACATGCAGGATCTTGTTGCAGAGTACCAACAGTACCAAGATGCCACGTAAGTCCGATTGCGTGGTACATTTCTCATGAGAGGCTAATGATTTTTTTGCAGTGCTGAGGAGGAAGGCGAGTACGAGGAGGAGGTGCCTGTTGAGGAGGAGTAATTGCATCGTTCTATCCTTTAGTCCTTCTTTTACCCTATACCTGTATCCAAAATTCCACTCGGTCTTTCCACTCCATTGGTCTTTTATTCATCGCTGCATTGTTTTTACCCCCTATCGATGATCAGTCGAAATCATGTTACCCTATATTCAATGTCGTCTTTTCTTTCTCACCTATTATCACGATTATCGGAGACGTTTTAACGACCAAGATTGATGTTTAGTCTATCGTTCTTGAAAGATAGGTTTATAACAAACGTTGCTTTCGCGGATGTAGACGGAAGATCTGCGAGGTGCAACAGGCGCAACTCGTTCATGTAAGGTGAGTAGGCAAGTGCTTTGTTCTTCGACTTTTAATCTGATCTGCGGTACCTAGGGCTAAACGTTAAACATTGAGTACTTAAGTTGCCGCTAAGTCAAATTTGTGACGGTGATTGCATGGTGTGTGTGTGTGTGCGAAGTCATGTATTAACGTCTAGTGGCGGCGCGCCGCATGTCTAGACGTGTAGCTATGGTGGTGAGTATTCCGAACAGTTTTGTTTGAAAATGATTTCTTTATTTTTCATCAGTGCTTCTTTGACAAGGACTGAGTTACGGGTGCCTCGCTGATTGTTATCAGCGCTACCAACCAGAGGAAATATTCTCGGTCATTGAATGCATAGGCGCTGCTCAGGCCTCATCAACCACGACATCCGTGCTTGTAAGCCTGTGTTTCGCCGACAACGTAGCGATTCGAAGCCTTTGGCTGGTTGCTCCCCATATGGCCACTGGTCACGAACACTTTGTTTTTATGTCATTGTTTTCCTTAACATTCAAATAGCAGTTGCGTCCCGGGGTGGGCCTCACATGATTGACCTCGTGTCGCGTGAAGCACATTATGCATTTCTCAAGTTTGTCTTGGATGCCCTGCCTTAAAAAACGAACTGGCCCCCTTTGAGGTGACTGACAGCTCCTTCGACATGGGCGCCATGATATGCTATCTGCTGCTCTCCTGCATTTTCTTTGCACACTCCCTCGCGCTGACTTACAAAGGAGCAGATCTTTCGTCAATCCTGCTCGTCGAAAGTCAAGGCGTGAAGTACACCGATGGTGGACCGGCTAAGCCGTTCGAGACAATTCTCACGTCTCACGGCTCCAACACCGCCAGGATCAGAGTATGGACGACTGGACAGTATGACCTTCAGTATGGGCTCAAGCTGGCGAAGCGGGTGAAGGCGGCTGGGATGACGCTCATCGTAGACCTGCATTACAGCGACACTTGTATGTTTCCATCGCATCCCCATTGCTCTAAGTTAACTGATTCCTTGACGTTCAGGGGCCGATCCGGGGCATCAGTCTATTCCTTCAGGCTGGCCGACCACTTTAAGTGGGCTGAACACCCAGATATATACGTGAGTTTATCCCAGTCTATGCTGATTGTTGGCCGATCATAACCTGCTTTTAAAGATACACCAAAGACGTTGTGAAGCAATTCTCGGACCAAGGAACGCCCATCGATATCCTGCAAGTGCGCAAATGCACATTGCTACCTGAAAGTGTTTTTGATGTCTCCTCATACAGGTTGGGAACGAAATCAACAACGGCCTACTCTGGCCAGTCGCAGAAATATCTGTGAATGGCATCAATCCTGTCTCGCAGCTTCTGCACTCAGCTATCAATGGCGCGAAATCCGTCGCCTCACCGAAGATATTGATTCATCTGGCCAACGGCTGGGACTGGTCCGGGCTCTCATCCTTCTTCTCGGGCGTCTTCATTCAGGGCGCTCTTGCTACATCGGATGTCGACATCATCGGCGTGTCCTTCTATCCATTCTACGACTCCGGAGCGACCCTAGCGGCTCTGAAGTCCTCATTGACGAACCTTGCTAACACGTATGGAAAGCCAATCGTGGTCGCCGAGACAGATTGGCCGGTATCATGTTCTGGCGTTTCGTTGACGGAACCCAGCATTCCAGTCTCTGTTGCAGGACAGCTGACATGGATCACGGATATCAAAAACGTACTGTCTGGGCTGCCGAAGGGCCTGGGACAAGGCATATGTGAGTACTCTAAGGAGAATCTCGCAGCGAATAATCTATAACCAGCCTGCTCCTCATAGTCTACTGGGAACCTGGTTGGATTGGGAATGCCGCCTTGGGGTCCGCCTGTTCGGTTTGTGCCGCTGAACCCCTCTGATCGCGGTATTTTGATCTTTATTGTCGACAGGATAATTTGCTGGTGTCGTCGTCTGGCGCGACCAGGTCATCGATTAATATCTTCAAGAACATGTGATCCTACGCTTGTTTGCTATGGAAATTGGATGCAGCGATGTTCTTGACTTCATTACATTTCTTTTAAGTGTCTTACTCAATGACGCAGTCTGCAGTCACAAAAACAAATGGTTGTGCACGGCAGATCAATGAACGTACACAAGCGTGAATATGAAGGAGAGATCGACATGAGATCGAAGCCTGATCTGAGATAAACGAGGGCAATTTCCATTTCAGGTCATTTCACAAACAAGTACAAAGCGATGGGCAAATAGGACCAGGATTTTCCGAGTTTTCTTCTCCTTTTCCTCTTCACTCGATCCATCGTCTAGAGCGAGTGGAGAGGAAAAGGATCCTACCTACGTTCGGGTTCTATCATTATTCTTGCGGCCATGTCCTCTCCTTCCTCTAAGACAGAAAACGACCCCAGTCGACCTGCCATCGCTCGGTCGGCAAGCTACATCGGTATTCCTACACCACCAGTCACTGCTCCGTCTCTGCAAGCTACGGAGACGAAAAATAATCTTGATGCTGTCATTGAACTTTCCGACGGCACTGTCTTCGGAGGTATCAGCTTCGGTGCGGAGGGGAAAAGTGTTGCGGGGGAATGCGTCTTTCAGACGGGTATGAATCATTTCAGTCGACGTTCATTTCTTCGCGTTAAAAATTCGCGTAGGTATGGTGGGCTATACCGAGTCTTTGACAGATCCATCATACGAGGGCCAGATCCTCATCCTTACCTACCCCCTCGTCGGAAACTATGGCGTACCACACCGTCCTTCTGACCTGCTCAACTTGCCAGAGGATTTTGAATCTTCTAGGATTCATGTCGCCGCATTGGTTGTGGGATATTACTCAGAAGATTTTAGTCACTTTCTCGCGGAGTCTTCGCTCAGTGCATGGCTCAAGGAAAGCGGTGTACCTGCGCTCTTTGGTGTCGACACGCGCGCTCTCACCAAGAGGATTCGCGAAAAAGGGTCCATGCTCGGCAGACTACTTGGCAGAAAACCCGAGGCCCCGATTGGCCGTCATCGTTTCAAAATTCCCGAATCCACTCCTGCCTCGCGCGCATCATCCCCCCCGGCCACTCCCGCCTGGCGCGAAAACTATATCGACATCCCTTACCACGATCCTAACGCTGACAATTTGGTAGCCGCTGTCTCTATCAAAACCCCGCGTCTGTACACTGCCACTACCAACCCGAAAACACATCCGTCAGGTCGGCCTCTGCGGGTCATCGCTGTCGACGTCGGCATGAAGTACAATCAAATACGTTGCTTTACGAACCGCGGCGTCGAACTGAAAGTTGTTCCTTGGGATTATGACTTCAACTCGCTTTCCGAAGAAGCTTACGACGGACTTTTCATCTCCAACGGTCCAGGTGACCCGACCATGGTTCAAGCGACGATTACTCGCCTTGCAACGGCTATGGAGAAGGCTGATCGTCCAATTTTTGGTATATGTCTCGGCCATCAGCTCATGGCGCTGGCAGCCGGCGCGCAAACGTCAAAGATGAAGTATGGTAACCGCGGTCACAATATCCCCTGCACTGACGCTCTCAGTGGGCGGTGCTATATCACTAGTCAGAATCATGGATTCCAAGTCGACACTGCGACGCTTCCGCAGGGCTGGGAGGAGCTTTTCCACAACGCTAACGACAACAGTAACGAAGGCATCTATTGTATCGACAAACCGTTCTTTTCCGTCCAATTCCACCCCGAGTCTACACCTGGACCTCGTGATACGGAATTCCTCTTTGACGTTTTCATCCAGAACATTTTGGACTGCGCCACGACCAACACTCTCGTCCCTATCTCCATGCCCGGCGGACGGAAAGATGATAACGAGAAACGCTTCCCTCGTGTGAAGGTTCAGAAGGTCCTTATCCTTGGCTCTGGAGGGCTTTCCATCGGCCAGGCTGGCGAATTCGACTATTCTGGATCTCAGGCAATCAAGGCGCTGAAGGAAGAGGGTATCTATACCATTATGGTAAATCCCAACATCGCTACCATTGCCACATCCAAGGGTCTCGCCGACAAAGTCTACTTCCTACCTGTCACCCCCGAGTTCGTGCGCAAAATCATTCGCTACGAGCAGCCGGACGGTATCTACGTCACTTTCGGTGGACAGACTGCTCTCAACGTGGGTATCAAATTGAAAGATGAATTCGCCGAACTCGGCGTAAAAGTTCTGGGCACGCCCATCGAGACAATCATTACCACTGAGGATCGTCAATTGTTCGCGTCTGCCATGGAAGAAATTGGGGAGAAGTGTGCGCAAAGCGACACTGCTACGACGCAAGAGGAGGCTGTTGTTGCAGCCAACAAGATTGGTTATCCTGTCATCGTGCGCGCGGCGTATGCCCTCGGCGGTCTTGGGTCAGGCTTTGCGCAGAACGAGGCTCAGCTGAAGGCGCTTTGCGAGAAGGCCTTCGCAACCAGTCCCCAAGTGCTTGTCGAAAGAAGCATGAAGGGTTGGAAGGAGATCGAGTACGAGGTTGTCCGCGACTGCAGGGACAACTGTATCACTGTTTGCAATATGGAGGTTCGTTTGTTTCTCCTCTGGTCGAAGCGAATCTCACGTTATTGGGATCCTCTACAGAACTTTGACCCGTTGGGTATCCACACTGGTGACTCCATTGTCGTCGCGCCGTCCCAGACTCTGTCGGACGTCGACTACAACATGTTGCGCACAACTGCTATAAACGTGATCCGCCACCTTGGCGTTGTCGGTGAATGCAACATCCAATACGCGCTCAATCCAACGTCACGTGATTATTGTATCATCGAAGTAAACAAGCCCTTCCGCTGCATCTGCTGTCACTGACTGTCGTTCCTCTCAAGGTCAACGCACGTCTTTCTCGCTCGTCTGCATTGGCGTCCAAGGCTACCGGCTACCCGCTTGCTTTTATTGCCGCGAAGTTGGGCCTTAACATTCCGCTCAATGAGATCAAGAACTCCGTGACCAAAGTCACCTCTGCATGCTTCGAGCCTAGCTTGGATTATGTCGTTGTCAAGATCCCTCGTTGGGACTTGAAGAAGTTCAATCGCGTTAGTCGTCTGCTCAGTAGCAGCATGAAGAGTGTCGGTGAGGTCATGAGCATTGGAAGGACGTTCGAAGAGACCATCCAGAAAGCAATCCGATCCATCGATGATCAGTTTGCAGGCTTTGCCAAAGTTCGTTTATCGTTTAGGCCAGACTTACCAAAATTGACCGCATTTACATGATCATCAGAACGACTATGTGGAGGACATCGACGAGGAACTAATCAACCCAACGGAAAAGCGCATGTTTGCGATCTCGACGGCTTTCCATCGCGGCTACTCCGTTGACAAGATATGGAAAATGACTAATATCGACAAATGGTTCTTGACGAAGCTTCAGCACATCTTCAATATGGAACAACGACTTTCGTGAGCCTTGCCGCTTCTATCAATCTCGATTTATCTCTGAGCCAAATTTCTCTCAGGGCGACGAACATTTCCATTATCACCCCTGATCTTCTCCTGCAGGCCAAGCAGCTCGGGTTCTCAGATCGCCAACTTTCCATTTGCATGGGAACCAATGAGCTTGCCATTCGCCGGATTCGCCAAGAAAATGGTATCCACCCCTTTGTCAAACAGATTGATACTGTGGCGGCCGAGTTCCCTGCTTTCACCAACTACCTATATACAACATACAACGCTATCGAACACGATATCGAATTCACCGATCGTGGTATAATGGTTCTTGGTTCTGGCGTCTATCGTATTGGTTCATCCGTCGAGTTCGATTGGTGTGCTGTCCGTGCTATCAGGACTTTGCGCGATCAGGGCTTACCTACCATCATGGTCAACTACAACCCGGAAACAGTCAGCACGGACTACGATGAAGCCGATCGATTGTACTTCGAGAACATCAGTTTGGAAACAATCCTCGACATTTACGACATTGAAGGCTCTCGAGGTATCATTCTTTCCATGGGAGGGCAGACTCCAAATAACATCGCTTTACCGCTTCACCGTCAAAATGTCAAGATCTACGGCACTTCGCCAGAGATGATTGACACCGCGGAGAACAGATACAAGTTCTCGCGACTCTTGGACGAAATTGGCGTTGATCAACCCCTGTGGAAGGAGCTCACCAGTTTCGAGGAGGCAGAGCTGTTCTGTAAAACGGTCGGCTACCCTGTCTTGGTGCGACCATCGTACGTTCTTTCTGGCGCGGCGATGAACGTCGTGTCCACCGGCGATGACCTGGCAAATTACCTCACTCAGGCCACCGCGGTATCCCGCGACCATCCTGTTGTCATCACTAAGTATATCGAACAGGCGAAGGAGATTGAGATGGATGCGGTCGCGAAAGATGGCAAGATGGTCATGCATTACATATCGGAGCACGTTGAGAATGCCGGTGTTCACTCCGGAGACGCGACTCTCATTCATCCGCCCCAAGACCTGGATCCCACGACAGTGCGCCAGATCGAAGAAGCTACAGCAAAGATCGGTAACGCGCTTAATGTGACTGGTCCATTCAACATCCAATTCATTGCCAAGAACAACGAGATCAAGGTTATCGAGTGTAACCTACGCGCTGCAAGATCCTTCCCTTTCGTATCAAAGACGACCGGAATTGACGCCATCGAAATGGCCACGAAAGTAATGATTGGGTTGCCTGTCGAGGCTTACCCCGACGCTGGCATGCCTGCGGATTACGTTGGTGTGAAGGTTCCGCAATTCAGCTTCAGTCGTTTGTCTGGTGCGGACCCCGTCCTTGGAGTAGAGATGGCATCCACGGGAGAGGTCGCTTGCTTTGGCAGGGATAAATACGAGGCGTACCTGAAGGCGTCTATCTCGACTGGCATCGTGCCGCCTAAGAAGAACATCCTCTTCTCCATCGGTGGGTTCAAGGAGAAGCTGGAGCTCCTTCCTTCGGTGCAGAAACTTCAGGCCGCCGGATACAGCATTTTCGCGACATCTGGGACGGCCGACTTTTTGACGGAGCATAACGTGCCTTGCAAGGTTCGCTCGTGAAGCTTGTAACACATTTGACTCTCCCCTGACTTTTTCCCAGTATCTTGAAACGTTGAGTGAAGACGGAGGCGACAAGTTGAAGTCTGAGTACTCTTTGACTCAGCACTTGGCCAATAACCTCATCGACATGTATATCAATCTACCGTCGAAGAACCACTATCGTCGGCCCGCTACCTATGCCAGTAAAGGTTACCGAACACGTCGGATGGCTGTGGACTTTGCCGTTCCTCTCATAACGAACGTCAAGGTTGCAAAACTTCTCATTGAGGCGATCACCAGGAAGCTACCTTTGGATGTGTCCTCGGTTGATAGCAAGACTTCGCACATCACTCACGTGTTCCCCGGCTTGGTCAACGTAGCGGCCTTTGTTCCTGGACTCGCTCTTCCAGATAGTCCTGATTTTGCGGAAGCGATGAAGGCTGCGATCAGCTCAGGTTTCACGACCTCCCTCGTCATCGCCCTCGGATATCGCAATAAGATCCTCGACAGCCAAACTCTCAGAAATGCTCAGACGAATGCTACACAAAGTGGATATTCCAATTACGGTCTCAGCATCGCCGCTTCGTCTAAGAATGTTGACCTGATCGACGAGGAGCTGCAGGCGGAGGTCAAGTCGCTCTTTGTTCCCTTCCATGTGGACAACGTCGCCACGCAGGTCTCCGTCGTGGCGGCTCACTTTGCATCCTGGCCTTCAGACAAGCCGATCGTCACCGATGCGAAGGGTGCTGACCTTGCGTCTGTCCTCCTTTTGGCATCGCTTCACAACCGGAGCTTGCATATCACAGATGTACAAAGCAAGGGTGACCTTATGTTGATTCAGTTGAGCAAAGCCAAGAAGCTAAAGGTCACTTGTGACGTCAGTGTGTACACGCTATTCTTCACTCAGGAACAATTCGAAGGGGTCAAGGCCCTGCCAACGAAGGAGGATCAAGCGGTCATCTGGAAAAACCTCGATGCCGTGGATGCCTTCACAGTTGGTGGTCCACCCTTCTACGCCTCCATCGAACAAGGCCAGAAGGCATCCCCATGGTCTGGAGTGGAAGAGACGCTCCCACTTCTACTCACAGCCGTTGTAGACGGCAGGCTTACTATAAAGGACATCCACGAACGACTTCACGACAACCCTATTCGGATCTTCGGTCTTCCGGAGCAAACGCACACCCAAGTCGAGGTGGTGATCAACCGCTCCTCAACGTTCCCCAAGCGAAGCGAATATTGGTCTCCTCTGTCTGGACTTCCAGTCAAGGGTGCTGTTCACCGCGTCGTCTTGCATGGTCAAACTGTCTTCCTCGATGGCAGACTCGCAGGCTCTGCCCCGGCAAGGGATATCTCAGCAGCCACGGTCAGCCACACAGCTGTGCTCGAGAAAGCTCTTCCTGCTACAGCATCGGCGGGGTTGCTTCCGCCTGCCGGTGTTTTGTCGCCTCTCGTCCGAGCCGCGGATGCATCTACACAGCTGACCACCGCTGTGCTTCACGGACCGCCGTCCACTTCCCACCTTCTTGTTCCTCATCCGGCTTTCCACAGGCGCCACATCCTCTCGGTCAAGCAGTTCACCCAGCGCGATATCTATGACCTGTTTTCTCTTGCGCATGAGATGCGGTTGCAGGTGGAACGGTCCGGTGTCGTCGACATTCTACGCGGCAAGGTACTTTGCACGCTGTTCTACGAGCCCTCGACCCGCACGAGCTCTTCGTTCGAAGCGGCCATGAAGCGATGTGGGGGTGAAGTCGTCCAAGTGACCGCGGACAGGAGCAGCGTCCAGAAGGGTGAGACTCTGCCAGATACCATCCGTACACTCGCGTGCTATGGAGACGCGATCGTCATCCGGCACCCAGATGTCGGTAGCTCACAACTCGCAGCCAAGTACTCCCCCGTACCCATCTTGAATGCTGGGGATGGCATCGGGGAGCACCCTACGCAGGCCCTTCTCGACGTCTACACCATCCGCTCCGAGCTCGGTACTGTCAACGGACGCACGATCACGATGATCGGTGACTTGAAGAATGGGCGCACGGTACACTCATTGGTCACGCTGCTGTCGCTGTACGCCGTGCGCCTGAACTTCGTCTCGCCCCCTTCGCTGGCGATGCCCGCGAGCGTCATCTCCGCTGCACGCAAGGCTGGCGTTCCCGTGAACCGGTACGAGAGCCTTGAGGAGGTGCTAGGCGAGACCGATGTGCTGTACGTCACGAGGGTGCAGAAAGAGCGTTTCAAGAGCGAGGAGGAGTGGAACCAGGTGAAGGATGCGTACAGAATTGATCACGCTGTTCTGTCGAGGGCAAAGGAAGACATGATTGTCATGCACCCGCTGCCTAGGGTCAACGGTCAGTGTCATTAGTTGTAGTCCTTGCAAAGCTTCACTAAAATTCCTGTCTTCTTGCAGAGATCGACCCTGAAGTCGACTTTGATTCCCGCCGCGCAGTCTATTTCCGGCAGATGCGCTATGGTCTCTATGTGAGTCGCCTCTGGTTGTAAAAATGTTCGAAGCCGCTGATATCTGGGGCCTCCTAGATTCGCATGGCTCTGTTGGCCAGCGTAATGGGGTGAATGACCACGAAAAGTATCGTCGCCACAACTAATATATCGGATGGACATGGAGGACTAGTTCAGTAGAAGTGCAAAGAGAAAGAGAAGTCAACGGTAGACACAGCTATAGCATTAGTAGATGTTTAGAAAACAAAAAGATGTATTTTTTTCACGGCTGAATTGATGTGATGGCGGGACGATTACATCGGCGTGGGAGACGGATCTTGCTTGAGCAGATCAAAGAAATTCGTGTCCTGCACTCCGTCGCCGCCCTCGTTGACGACGATGAGCAAGCTCAACGCCGGCGCGTTCGAGTTCGTCCCGGGCAACGCCTTCCGCATCCCTCCCTCACAGCAGCAGCCGACCCCGCCGCCTCTCCAGCCCGTCGAGCGCCCCGAGCAGACAGAGGCACCCGTACCCGCCCCCACCATTTCTCTCAACATCGGCGGACCAAAACCACAGCCTGTGCCCTCGCCTGCACCGTCTGCCCCGCCGCCCGCCCCCGCCCCCGCCACTGCCGCATTTGCGAAAGCCGCGCCCAAGCCTGCCACCAGCACCTCATCTGGTGGGTCCGGAGCGTCTACGCCGGTCAAGACATCCGCCGTCTCCTCTCCCGCTCCCGCATCCCGCACATTCACCCTTGCAAAGGCCAAGAACGACACCGCCGCCATTGCCCAGGAGGTGCAAAATGCCGCGGACGAGGCTGTCCTCCAAGAGCTCTTTGGCGACCGTGAGTCCTCCTTTCCATGTCCTTGCTTTTCCTTATCCCGATCATCCCTCTCCAAAGTCAAAGAACACCTGAGCATCGTCTTCGTCGGACATGTTGATGCTGGCAAGAGTACCATGGGCGGCAACATTCTCTTCCTCTCCGGCTCCGTCGACAAGCGGACCATGGAAAAATATGAAAAAGAGGCCAAGGATGCAGGGCGTGAAACCTGGTACCTCTCATTCGCCCTCGACTCCACCCCTCAGGAGCGCCTCCAGGGCAAGACCGTTGAGGTCGGCCGCGCCTACTTCGAGACCGCAACCCGCCGCTACACTATCCTCGACGCCCCGGGGCACAAAACCTACGTCCCTTCCATGATCACCGGTGCCGCACAGGCGGACGTCGCTATCCTCGTCATCTCCGCTCGAAAGGGCGAGTTTGAGACCGGCTTCGAGCGCGGTGGCCAGACCCGCGAGCATATCATGCTGGTCAAGACCGCCGGTGTCGGCAAGCTCATCGTCGTGATCAACAAGATGGACGACCCAACGGTCGGGTGGGCCAAGGCGCGCTTCGATGAGATTAAGGAGAAGCTCACGCCTTTCGTGCGCGGCGCAGGGTTCAATCCCAAGACGGATGTCACTTGGCTGCCTGTGTCCGCGTACACGGGCGCAAACCTCAAAGACCGCGTTGCGTCGTCCGTGTGTGCGTGGTGGGAGTGCGTAACAAAACTCGCTGCTTGTCCATTTCCCCTGCTCTGCTCACGTTCGCGCTCCCACCTTTCCCTGTGACACCCAGCGGCCCCGCACTGCTCGAGCACCTTGACAAGATGCCGATGGTCGACCGCAAGCTGCACGCGCCGCTTATGATGCCCATCTCCGAGAAATACAAGGACCTCGGCACGATCGTCGTCGGCAAGATCGAGTCCGGGCACGTGCGCAAGGGCGACGCACTCCTGCTCATGCCAAACCGCGACACCGTCGAGGTCGCCGCGCTTTACAATGAACTGGACGACGAAGTCCCCGCGGCTGCATCGGGAGACAGCGTGCGGCTGCGGCTGCGCGGCGTCGAGGATGAGGACATCAGCCCGGGATTCGTGCTCACGAACCCTGCGCGACCTGTGCACGCGGTGCGCCAGTTCGAGGCGCAGCTGGCGATTCTGGAGCATAAGAATATCATTTGTGCGGGGTACACGGCCGTCATGCATGTGCACACGCTCGCAGAAGAGATCACGCTCGTGGTGAGCTGACTGCCCCCATCATCTTGTTTGCTTTATTTCATGAGCGATGCTCACTCGAGCACTCTTCAGGCGCTCCTTCACTACTTTGATAAGGCGACCGGGCGTAAGTCCAGAAAACCACCACAGTTCGCTAAGCGGGGTACGTGCCCCTTGCCCGTCCTCCATCATCTCCTGTACTTCCGTCATTTGCGCACATGTGCATTCATTGGTGATTCCATCGCTCTTCCAAGACACAACTGACACTCTCTGAATTCAGGACAGCGCATTGTCGCCCTCATCGAGACAACCGCGCCAATCTGCGTCGAGCGCTTTGCGGACTACCCGCAGCTAGGCCGATTTACGCTGCGCGACGAAGGTGCGTATTTGACCATCCTTCCTCGACTCTCCATCCCTCATTCATCTCCTTTTCTTGTTCAGGCAAAACAATAGCGATCGGAAAGGTCTGTTTTCTAATCCATTTTGATCTCTCTTTTGTCGCTGTCTTCGTTCTTCGCTGCCTGTTCTCTCGCTTGATCCTGCGCCTGTAATTGTCGCTGACCGCTCTTTCTCGTCAACAGATCACCAAGTTGATCGAAGGCGGGGTTGACATAGACGACGCCGCAGAGGGCGTCGCCAACCTGTCCGTCGCAGCCTAAGCAAGACTCGGATAGACGAAGATCCGGTGGCTTGACAAAATATCAAAGTAGAAGGCAAGACGAAGGAACTGCAATTGAATGTACGTGTTTGCATTCATGAATGGGGCAATTAGTTTGTGTAGCACAATGTCGCAGCGCCGTGTAAATGTACGCATGTAACGTAGTCACCTCGATATGGCCCTCGCTGTTGTCTTGTCCCAAGCCTTAGACTGGCTTACGATACGAATCTTATTTAGAACGATTAAAGATACATGCAAGACTATTGATACACGGAGGACCGGAATGTGTGTTGGAAAAACCGCTGCAAATGTTAGAGAGGTTGAATAGCTTGAGATAAGATCGCTCCTGAGTTTTGTCCATTACTCAGGAGCATGTGTGAGTAGTCGGCAAGCATAACACCAACGAATATTCACAATCAGTTCGGCCTCCAGGTCCTATGAGCTTCGATATGTCCTGGAGGCCGCGCCTACGCCCTTGAGCTGAATGCGGGATCAGCACGCTGTTCGGAAGCGCTGCCATCAAATGCTCACCCGCAACACAAAATTGACGTTATGCAGTTCGCGACACACGCAAACGCACTGGCGATGGCTCGAAATAATTTGTCAACAATCGGCTGGGCAACCCAACGAATACAGTCATACCTCCGACGATGCATTCAAGGCATCCAGAGACCGAGGATATGACAGCCATAACTGCATCGCCTATACAGGCGGATATTCCCTCGATGCACGAGACTATGATTCTGCATGCGCCGCCATTGGCATTGTCCCTGAGGGGATCAAAGGTGTGATATGGTCGAGCTCACCCCATGTTGATATGATGGACACGTAGGGAATGCGATTGCGTCGCTGTCGAGTCTGAAGACTCTTATATTGAGCGGCGAGCGATCAACCGGCATGACGTCCCGCGACGCAATCGTCAGACTCTGCTCCAAGGATCCGAGTCCCAGAATAGCACTGGATGTACTGAGCATTTACGGTGTTATATATTCTGTGTTTTATGTCAGAAATTATTAAGGCATAGAGTAAAGCCGCCTGTTAACTTCCTAGCAAATTAGTGTCGCCTCGTCATCAATATGAGTGTAGAGAGGTAGTAAAGAGGTATAGAGTCGTGCCACTGTGTCTTCAAGTAAGCCTCAATGTGGCAACGCGGGAGAGTGGCGTGCCGCTCATGGCAAGTCACGTTCTGATTAGGGCAGGTCTTTTCGCGTTTAGTCTACCAATTTGAATGTAAATTCTAGCTCTCTACAGATCAGGATTACATGGATCGCCGAAATCCTTTGTTAGACGATGACGACTCCATGGCTACCCCCTCGTTTATTGAACGCGCCCTGCGTGCCCCCGACGATGACGATGGTGACTTTGCAATGGCTCGAAACCTCAACTATGACAATGCCAATGAAGAAACCGAGTTGCAGCAACTGATCAGGCATTGGGTGAATGAGCGGCATGCGCCAGATATACTTCCAGGACAGGAGAATCTGCTGGCAAGCCTGCTGGATCACATTCGGAGACAGGTGGGTGAGTGCTTTGTTTTGTGTGGCGGATTATTAGAAGAACTGACGGGCGTGCTGAAAGTCAAACACTGTCTCGCTATTGCGATCGGATCCTGATTCCTCTGAGGAAGAGCATTTCCGAATCATGCTGGCGCAAACTGAGATCGAGAGAGTCAAGTTTATCGTCCGGTCCTACTTGAGGACACGCCTGTATAAAGTCCATCAGCACCTCACTCCCGAGAGCCCTCGCTTAATATAGTCCTTGTCTTCTCATCTTAGATCGAGAGGTATGCAAGATATATCGCAATAACACCTGAAATCCAAACGCGATTATCACAGACTGAGCTGAATCACATTAAAAGGTGCCACAAATCCATCTGACAGACTGTTGATACACACTGATTCTAATCGTATTCACTCTGTAGCTTTTCAGACTTGACTGAGCGTCACTTTCACTCATCGGTGTTACAGTCCTTGCCCGAACACCAGCAGGGCCTAAATGATAGCACGGTCTTTACACCTCCAATGAGTGAGAACGCGATCTCCTTCATTGTCTTTCTTCCTGCAATTAAACTCGCTCGTGTTGTCTAAAAATTATCAGTCCCTGAACCCGACAAGTCCCGCGCAGTTTTTGTTCATGCGAGAGAGGAATGTCCGCCCGTTCGGTTACCAGAGTGTGTATCATTTCCTATTGTCCTGAGAGTCATGCTATTGATAACCTCCCTTCTGTGCAGCGGGACAACGCTTCAGATCCAAAAGAATCAAATCGTGCTGACCCCGTATATTGTAGTAGAACAACTGCTCGCGAGTGGGAACTTAGAGCTTGTATGAGCAAGTTTAGCAAGCCGCCGGGTGCTACTTGGATCTATTTATTCTTGTTGTACTTTTTATAGAACTGATTCTCGTGGACGGAACGGCAGCTTCAAATCAACACAGCCGATGCAAGGGTCGGAGAAGCATATTACAACGCATGACGAACGATTCGCTGAGGGCCTTGCCCGATGCTCTGCCCCCAATGCCGTGCTAATAATTCAAGCGAACCCCTGCCTTGCTGAAGACTCATTTTACCTGAGATGAAGACACTCTGGCCAATGTTGGACGACGGACCATCGCTCAACAATATATACACCCTTGGACGGATCAGGTGAAAGAGGTAGGAACTGACATACTTGTCACGCAGGTTATTGACCAGAGCGAGCATTTGAAAAACGAAAAGCTACAACAATTAAAACAGTGTACTTCGAGACATTTACATACCGTGTACAACAAGGGTCCAACATCCTGAACTCAAACTGATCGTCAATCGCGAAGTTAATTCTAGTCGCCATTCTCGTCGTCATCGTCCCAATTCTCCTCTCGCCTGTACGGTCGGTGCTCACTCTCCTCTTCCTCCACTGTACCTGCACCGTCTCCCTCCTCCACAACCATCTCTGCGCTTTTCTCTTCCTTCTTTCTCCGCCGCCTCTTTTGGGGAACTGTCGCACTATCGGGGTCGACTTTCTTGCCCTTGCGAGATCGCTTGGCTCCCGTGGACGTCGATGTCTCAGCATCCACAAGGTCGAGGTCAACTGTCCCGCCTGCCGAAGGATCAGGGACAGCCTGGACAATCTCTTTGAGAAAATCAAGCATTTCGGTCGTCTCGATCGCGTGTTTTCTGGACATCATAAGAGTATATTGACATCGAGGGTAATGAAGAGGACGGTTGAGATGAAATTGAGTTGAGAGCTGTAGGGTACGCACAGGTGATATGCTTCTACCTTCTTGCTGCCCCTCGACGTTGTAACTTCGCAAGCCCGGTCGATCATCATCGAGAGAAACAGCTCAAGAGCTTTCGCTAGAGGGTGGAGAAGTGACGTCCTTCAGGTCCATGATCTATAACCGCAACCTGATATCAGCGACAAGTGCAATCAATGGCTCACATATAACTATAGGTGTAGCTTGCGCGACCTTGCCCACCTCCTCATCCTTCTGCATGATCTTCTTTATACGCGCCTAACGAATTTCGAAAGTTAATGTTCGGTCACGGTAGAATGGGCGATCGGGCACCTACCACAGGAAATTTAGTCATCTTATTTCTATTTTTCATGTTGGAAACTTCGCTACAGTCGACGTGGTGGGCCTGAAGGCGGCGAGAGACAGACTGCAGGAGTAGGCACGGAAAGATGGTATGCGGTAATTTCGGCGGTCACGAACAAAGCGATTGTCACCTACTTCTGATGTATTCTGACATATTTGGGAAATCTGTCACACATTATATTATCAGGCGTGGGAACAGTGCGAGGATATTGATAACCCTCAACCTTTCATCATTTTAGCGCTTTAGCTTGCACCGCAAAAGGACTTTCACTACGGCAACTCTACTTCAATCTACATTCATGCTTTGAACTTGTATATAGCGTGAGTTCGGTCCTTACATAGGTGTCAAACTCGCCCCAGCTTTGGGGTCATGGTCAGTAGACCCAAAGTTTAGGGGAGCACATTGTAAGCGCTTCACCGACGGTATGACAATGAGATCGTGTTGCCTTAAGAGTATCGTATGGAAAGCGGTACTATACGTTCCCAAGTATGCCACCAATCGGCCATACCGCAATGTAATATAGGCACATTTCCAAAGCTTCGTTACCTGACTGTCGTTTTTCAATGCAGGTGAGCTGCGAGCTGATATCGGCGTCCATGGTATGTAGTCAGCGTCTATTTTTGGTGTTCTAATCTTGCTTGTTAGTTGTGAGAGGTTCTCCAGATAACCAAGGCGAGACTCATTCGGACTGATCTTCGCATGGCTTGCATCTTATAGAGCTTTTGGCATGGTAAGTCCATCTCTTTTAGCTCTGTACATGATCCCTGCTAATTGATGGCGAAAGGTGTAGGAGTATTTTCATTTATGTCAGCGGTGCCAAGCTAATCGACTACACCGAACGAGAAACCGACCACTTAGGCAAAACTTCACTACGATCAAGTGGAAATGGAGCGGTACCAGCGGATTTCTCGATTACCTTCGGGTTGTTCGGGACGCAGAAACATGTTAGCCGGGTGAGAGACGCTTGGAGTACAACATATGATCATGCTAACCTCATTAGACGTGCCTTCTTCATAGTGTGCTTCCCATAGGCGTTCCAAAGCCTCAATGAATCACTTGATAAATTCGATCTCATCCAGCCAATTGATACTGGCTTCTGTGCTCGGTCGGTATATAATCGAATACCGCCTCTGACTACACTTTTTTCACTCAATCGCAAAGCGGATCTGCACGTTGACCGCCAAGTTAGGCGTTGCTTGAAGATGGTGATGGTCACTTTCCCACTGATTATCTCAGGTTTTGGGGTGACGGACGGAAGAGGGCTATCCCCTTACTCGTTCACTGGGAGGTTGTGAACCAATTCAAGTCGTCTTTACTGCGTAAGCCATGACTTTTATATTGTGTCTGCTCTATGTGATGTGTATTCATAGTAAACATGTGCCAACCCCATTTTCTCGATGTTCGCAAAGAACATCTTGGCTTTTAATGGGTTTTTATGGCCAGCGCAGTAGCTGATAATGACCGGTCCTTCGGTGTCCCAAGGAAATGTCCTTGATCTCATTGGCAAGTGCTAGCAGCTATGCTTCGTAGGGACACGATCCTGTGGAAATTTTACAAATCTCATGTATTACTGCTCGCCAAGGGTCTCCGAACGGTGTACCTCGAGTCCGCGTCTCTCTCACTCCCTCAGGATGCTAGTAGCATCTTGAAGGTATAAAGGGATGCATTTTGATGATCGAGTCGACCAGGACACTCCAGTTGACTCCCTAGAACAGGCAGACCTACAATGGCTTTCGGAACTCTCATCGCATTTGCTGCTCTCATTGGCGCCTCCAGCGGTCCGTACCATTGATATATTTTGATTCAATGTCCCTCTCACTCAGTCTTTAGCTGCTATTACGCGGCGCGTTGCCTGCCCGGACGGGGTGAATACTGCTACCAACGCTGCTTGCTGCGCACTGTTTGCTGTCCGGGACGACATCCAGGAGAATCTGTTCGACGGCGGCGAATGTGGTGAAGACGTGCACGAGTCACTCCGTCTAACATTCCACGACGCTATTGGCTTCTCCCTCTCTGCTAATGCTGCGGGCACTTTCGGGTTTGTGTTTCCATTTTATCCTGTGTATCCACGTCTCCATCTCACCTAAATTTAATAGTGGTGGAGGTGCTGACGGTTCCATCATCGTATTCTCCTCCATTGAGACCGCATTCCATGCCAACAACGGCATTGACGAAATCGTGGAGGAACAGAAACCATTCATTGCTAGACATAACATCACTCCTGGCGATTTGTAGGTCCTTTCAGCTCAGCTCTACAAAACATGAATTTGACTAGCGACGCTATTCATAGCATCCAATTTGCTGGTGCAATTGGTGTGAGTAATTGTCCCGGTGCCCCGCAGCTAGACTTTCTGCTTGGTCGCCCTGCCCCCGTGGCCCCCGCTCCTGACTTGACCGTCCCTGAACCCTTCGGTGAGACTAATAAACCAATCACAGTAGTCTATTTTCTGCAAGCTCACATCAATATCACCAGACTCGGTTGACAGTATTCTGGCCCGCTTCAATGACACAGGCTTCAATGCTGCTGAAGTCGTCGCATTGCTCGCGTCGTAAGTTCATTTGACTTCTGCGCCGCTACCTTTCTCATATTTTTGCAAGCCACACCATTGCTGCTGCGGATAAGGTCGACGTGACGATCCCAGGAACTCCGTTCGACTCTACGCCTGAGATGTTCGATACTCAGTTCTTCATTGAGACTCAGCTTCGTGGCACTCTTTTCCCAGGGTACGACAGTCTTCTCATTTTTTCCCCGGGTCTGCTTCATGCATATTGTCATTATCTTGCCATGTAGAACTGCTGGAAACCAGGGTGAAGTCATGTCGCCCTTGGCAGGAGAGCTGCGTCTCCAATCGGACTCGGAATTGGCTAGAGGTCTGTTCACAAGTTTTTGTCGATAGGTTTTACTGACTCTGCACATGCTCAGACAATCGCACTGCTTGCTTGTGGCAGGCTAACGTCAGTGAGTATGAACTCTTATTGCATCGCACTTATGGTTTTGATGCGTCTTTACACCGATGAGACCAACTTGCGCATATGACATCAACGTTCAAAGCGGCTATGGCAAAGTTGGCTGTTCTAGGACAGGATACATCTCAGATGGTCGACTGTTCAGAACTAATCCCGACGCCTCCACCTTTCACTGGTGCTGCTCACCTACCTGCGGGCCTGACAAGCGCTGATATCGAACAAGCCGTGAGTCGTGATGAATGCTGCTGCAGGCTACTCCTATTGATGACCATCATACACCTCCCTAAGTGCTCACTTACTCCATTCCCCACCTTGCCGACTGACCCTGGTCCCATAACCTCGGTTGCTCCTGTGTAAGTCAAATTGCCTCTAACTTCATGGCTGCTTTGCTCACTATTGGTACAGACCTCCCTCTTGAACGCATCTCGTTCCTATCTTTCCCATTCTTTCCTGTGTTTCTTTGTTAGGTAGGCATCTTCGTATGTACTCCATGGGCGTTTTGTATATATATTTCTGTGTTCGTCATGGGTCAGGTACGAGCAGTATGCTTGTACCGTTGTCGTCCCTCGGCGTATTGACGTTCCTTGCTTGGTCAAACATCGTTCAAGAGACGCAAAGGAGATTCCAGAATAATTCTACTCCAGAATGTTTTCAATCTGATCCCAGCAACTACACACAGCCTCGCCATTGCAAAAACCAGTGTTTTCGGCCTTACCGACCTCATCATACTCGTTCAGTGTGCCGACCTTTTTTGTGGTTCTTTGCAAGTTTGCATGCACATAGCGATTCCATGACATTCATGCAAACCCTAGACTGAGGTCACCTTACGTTGAGAACTGATAGACATCAAAGATGTTCGTCATCTTCTGTTCTCATGGTTGCTTTGCTGCACTACGCTTGGTTTACCTGAAGCTTGGGGGCAAGGTATGAGGACTAGTAGAAGGAAATAACTCAGAGTATACCGTCTCGCGATACCTTTGATTGAATGAAGTGGATAAGTTATCATGTTTCACATTTATCACAATGTGCGTGGGAATCGTAGCAAGGCGACAATTTTGTCTTCAACCAGCTTCAACTCAACTTTCTCCAAACATTCCGAACGCAAAGCTTTACCTGGGACGAGTGATTCTATGGGGGTTGAGGTGTGTTTTCGATAGAGCATCGTTCAGCAAGTGACTGGCCGGAATATGTGTCATTAGAGGAGCGACGTCTTTTAGACATGGATTGAACTTGCCCAAGCGGCTTTGCGAGTAGCCTAGTCTTCCTAGCTGATCTTTGACAAGACAGTTGTTCTCTATATATGAGAGGTAATCTACATGAAGGTTCCAATACGGCTTTGTATAAGCTTCAAGTGCGTCCCAGGCGCGATGTGAACGAAGCGAAACGTCTTTTTAGTTGTAGACGAAAAGCATCCATCTCTTCTCAAGCACAGCACCAATCAGACATACCATGATGCGATAGAGTACAATGGGCACTTGAATGGCTAATACCCAGCTGTCGCTCGCCAGGAATCACTACAACACGATATCGTTGCCCATGGTATGTAACTAACATCTATTATTGGAGATCTAAACTAACCGGCATTGTGGGAGATTCAGTGGATAACTGTAGCAGGAACTTAAACGGACTCATTTCCTGTGTGCTTACAATATTCTCTACCAGAATATACAGGTCGGTGGATTGATAGTTACAGGAAGAAGTTTGTCTTTACATTCAGATACAAGGACACTGCTGAACTGTTCGATCAGTCTACAGGTTGAGAGGATGTTTGCTGGTGTAAGAACTTGCCAGGTCATGAACTGTGATCAAATGGAAGCATCGGTTGAGGATCGTTGTGTCTCACGGACTGTGAAACATAGAAAAGCGTGTGAGACTCAGCATCCGCTCGGCTTCTATCCTTGATTGACGCGTCTTCTCTCCACTATGACATGTTTTCGCTGTGATCTTCAAGAGTCATTGTACAAATTCAATATCAGCCTCCTTTAAGGGTTACAGCTCTTGGTCTGTAACTGAGTGCCACCTCGGATTGTTCTGCCTTCACATAAATCAGTAGTCTAGTCTTGACCATAGTATGTGGTAGTGCCTTGAATTAGTGATGATGGCCACCTTCCCACTGACGTCCCCAGTTCCATGGCGTTGGTCGCAGAGACGAACAAGAGCTGCCTGTTACTCACCGAGAGCTGCGCTCTATACATCAAACAAATTTATCACCATCAAGTGTACCCTTATAGCTCCAATATCTCCGCTCCAGATGACTTCTATCCATAGCGAACATGTGCCAACTCTACTTCCTCGATATCCGCAACGGGCGTTTTTGCCTTGCATGGGTCGTTCAAACCCGCACCATACCTGCCGTAACCGGTCCTTTGGCGTCTCGAGGGAATGTCTCGGATTCCATTGGCGAAAGCTAGTAGTCTGTGGTTTCAAGAGGCCCATTCCTGTGGAGAATTCCTCAAATCTCGAGTATCATTGGTCGACAGGAGCCTGCATACCGTGTCTATCCAGCTCACGGTCGACCCGTCTCTCTCATCTCCTCAAAATATCGAGTTTCCTACGTATAAAAGGGCGTGCTTGGAGAATGGACCGGCCAGGACATCTTCGTTCGCTCACTGGAACAGATTGACCTACAATGGCTTTCGGAACTCTCGTCGCATTTGCATCTCTGATCAGCGTTGCCAGCGGTGGGTGCCCAATTATGCTGTAACTCACAGTCTGATTTATTTGACTTCGTTTTCAGCCGCCATCACAAGGCGTGTTGCCTGCCCGGACGGGGTGAATACTGCTACCAACGCTGCTTGCTGCGCATTGTTCGCTGTCCGTGACGACATCCAGGAGAATTTGTTCGACGGCGGCGAGTGTGGTGAAGACGTGCACGAGTCACTCCGTCTAACATTCCACGACGCTATTGGCTTCTCCCTCTCTGCTAATACTGCGGGCACTTTCGGGTTTGTTTTCTGAATCAATCAAGTTTCTGTGTTCGCACTTATTTTAAACGATTGTTGATAGCGGTGGAGGCGCTGACGGCTCTATCATCATCTTCTCCTCCATTGAGACCGCATTCCATGCCAACAACGGCATCGACGAGATCGTCGAGGAGCAGAAGCCGTTCATTGCTAGGCACAATATCACGCCAGGCGATTTGTAAGTCCTCAGTTCATTCATATATTCCGCCGCTTGACTATCAACACGACTCTAGCATTCAATTCGCGGGTGCAGTCGGTGTCAGTAATTGTCCTGGTGCTCCGCAACTGGACTTCCTACTCGGTCGTCCTGCTGCTGTGGCTCCTGCTCCCGACTTGACTGTCCCTGAACCCTTTGGTAAGGTGATCAGTGGTGATTGATGTCTTTGCGCATGCTCACATTGATACACAGCTACTGTCGATAGTATCTTAGCACGCTTCGCTGATACTGGATTCAGTACTGATGAAGTCGTTGCATTGCTCGCATCGTAAGCGCATTCTATCCTTTCAAATCCAAACCTGCTCACATCAGTAATCAAGGCATACTATTGCTGCTGCGGATAAGGTCGACGTGACAATTCCAGGAACTCCGTTCGACTCCACACCCGAAATGTTCGATACTCAATTCTTCATTGAGACCCAGCTTCGTGGCACCCTTTTCCCAGGGTAAGGTGTCGCGTGATCGCTGAAGGTCTCTGCCTCATGCTTCTCGCTATGTAGGACTGGTGGAAACCAAGGTGAAGTTGAATCGCCCTTGGCGGGAGAGCTGCGCCTCCAATCGGACTCGGAGTTGGCCAGAGGTCTGTTCACGCTTATCTACAGAAGATAGTCCCTCATAAACTTGTGCCCGGTCAGACTCCCGCACTGCTTGTTTGTGGCAGGCCAACGTTAGTAAGTACTCATATCTCTCTTCATCGCGGTAATACTGCTGATGCGTCTGTACACGTAGACCAACTGGAACACATGACAACAGCATTCAAGGCAGCTATGGCCAAGCTAGCTGTTCTAGGACAGGACCCATCTCAGATGGTTGACTGTTCGGAACTGATCCCGACGCCTCCACCTTTCACTGGTGCTGCCCACCTGCCTGCCGGCCTGACGATGAACGACATTGAGCAAGCGGTTAGTCATAATATTCTGTTGAGGAAGTACTCTTACTTACCACGTATCGTCAACCTCAGTGCGCAGTGACTCCATTCCCTACCCTGCCGACTGACCCTGGTCCGATCACCTCCGTTGCTGCTGTGTATGTGCTTTCGCCTTCGGATGCGTGAATGATCTTCTCACTTTCCTACAGGCCTCCTTCTTAAGCGTATCTTATCACTATCTCGGCTCGCTTCTCTCTGGACTGACTTAAGCAGGGGTGTCCGTATGTAGTTCTAGGCATTTGTATATGTTCTTTTGACTCGTGATTTATTGAAGTGCATGCATAGCCGCTGGGTGCGAAATAGGTATCGCGAGCTCTCAAATGGCACGGCAGTACCAGGCCCTTGAAAGAATCTGCACTCTGTAACTCATTCCAAACATCTGCGGAAATTTATGCACAATTATGCATAGTTGACACCGTTTGTGTACTGCGTAATGTGGAACAATACGGGCATCGGGGTCAACTTCGTATCGGCACACTACGGTCACATGACTGTCATGTGGTATGAAAGACTTGACCTTCATAAAAACTCACGACGACAGTCGCGATCATAGTTCGGACGTGCTCTCCCTCGTATGCACACAGCTCTGAGTATGTTGGTGTATAACGTGAAGAACGGTATCGTCATCGGCGTCAACATAGGCGGCCGGTGTGAGCAAGCGTGTGACATGAGTTGACTGTCGCTATCATCTTCTCCTTCTTCCTCCCACATGAAGAACTTGACGCTGTCATACTGCATTCAATAGCTGCTGTGGACCCTTATGCACCGCTGTGTTCTTATCAACCGGATGTGGTCTGCTGTCACTATCCACAGCGTCAAAAAAGTGCGACGGCAGCCAAGGTACGAATGACATTCTAACTTGCGCATAGTGGAGCATGCAAGGCCGTCTGACCAGCAAGGTAGAAGTTATTGAATCTCTTGAGAAGTTATGGAAGGAAAGGGTACATACCCACCTCGCAACGCTCCCACGCTAATCATGTCTGTCGTATCGTATCGCCGCGGTATAAGTTCATGACCTTCCCGTTTTCTAGAGTGTTCGCCACTCCACACAGTCGCGTCCTCAAGAAAGTGGACCATGACATCCAGAGGCGTCGCTCTCGTAACTGGTGCAGCTAGAGGTATAGGTCGGACGATAGCTCGCCGCTTGGCGGACGATGGGTACGATATCGCCATCAACGATCCCAAATCGAGTCTTTCCGAGCTCGATAATGTAACGAAAGAAATAGGAAGCAAGGGCCGAAATGTTGTCAGGATCACTGCTGATATCACTGAAGAAGTGCAAGTAAAGGAAATGATTCCATTCGTCGTTGAGAAGCTCGGTGGCCTGGACGTGGTGAGTGTTTTTTTCTGCTCAATTGTGCTTAATCTAACGAGGGGATTTGTAGATGGTAGCCAACGCCGGAATCTGCCCATTAAGCCCTTTGGTCGAAAGTTGGTTGTTTTGTCGAGACGTCTCTGCTGCTTACTCATTGTGCAAAAAAGCATCCAGTGAATTGTTAGACAACGCCATGGCGGTCAACGTGAGGGGTACCATGCTTTGCTATAAGTATGCTGCAAAGCAAATGATTGCACAAGGGCGAGGCGGACGGATAGTCGGTATGTTGCTCAGTATATCTGGCTTTCAACGTTCATCTTATCTCCCTCGTAGGCGCATCGTCTGTTGCTGGAAAGAGACCTTTCCTACTCGGTTCTGCTTATGTCGCGTCAAAATTTGCAGTGCGGGGTCTCACGCAAGTAGCTGGTGAGGATGTTTTTTAGAGAGGAAATTGCGTTGCAAGTTTGATGATATCGCTGCAGCTATGGAGTTGGGAAAGCATGGAATCACGGTCAATGCATACGCCCCTGGATTTATCAAGACTGAGATGTGTGGGTAGCACGTTCTTGCCCCAATTTCAAGTTCGCTCAATTTTGTTCAGTGGAAGATGTTGAGCGATCGATGAACATGGAGCCAGGTGCATTTGTAGAGGCCGTATGTGCCCGTTACATCTTACAGTCAGTCCCTGTACTCATACAATGCAGAGCATCTCCACGTTAGCGATCCCGCGCCTCGGTGAGACGGAAGATATTGCAGAGTTGGTATCCTTCTTGGTTTCGAAGAAGGCGGGGTATATTACAGGGCAGACAGTGAGTCGCAGGCTATCCTCAAATCATCGTGACTGACATATCCTTTGGCCGATACGCAGTTTAGCAGCGATGGGGGTTGGCTTTGAATCATGTTTTACAGGTCACAAGTGCCCTCTGCGATGCCTGAAACCTCACATGTACCAAAAAGCTTGTCATTTACGCTTTTTCTAGATCTCACGATGTTACGAGAGTCTTGGCTGCTTCAGTCCCTGATTGCACATCGTGACTTGCTAAAATTCTGCTTCAGAGCTGCGCACCGAAGGGAAATCAAATCCAGACCACAGAACCACGGGCACAGATGTGGGTCATGCGAAATCGTGCCTAAACCAGGAGGCGTCATCCTTCGCGCTATTCACTGACCTTGTCATGAGATGTCCCAAGCTATTCATTAGCGCGGCATACTGAATTATCTTCGCTAAATGCTTTTCTTAAATATCAGGACGCACTTACGACGTGCCGTATTATATCTGAGCTTCTGGCATCATGTCCTCCAAGGGTGTTGTTCTTGTAACTGGCGCAGCTCGTGGCATCGGTCGAGCTATCTCTCATCGCTTGGCTAACGATGGATATGATGTTGCTGTCAATGATTTGGAGTCCAATCTCTCTGCCCTCCAATCTTTAACCAAGGAGATCCAGGCCAAGGGCCGAAGGTCTATCAGTGTCGTGGGGAATGTTGCTGTAGAACAACAGGTCAAGGATATGGTGTCAAAGGTGGTCAGTGAGCTTGGTAGCCTTGACGTTGTGAGTCATTCTTATTATTCCTCGTGCCGATAATCACTTCACTGAGCCACGAACACGAAAAGATGGTTGCCAACGCAGGAATTGCTCGAACGAAACTGCTACTTGAAAGTAAGCCACATCTCGGAGAGTGCTATCTCTAACGCCGTTGACTCTATATGATTGGATACCATCAGCGACCACCGAGGACCTTGACCAACTTTATGATGTCAACATTAAGGGAGTCTTTCTCTGCTACAAACACGCTGCTGCACAGATGATTGCCCAAGGTCGTGGCGGAAAAATCATTGGTCTGCCCCCTCAACTGCTTTCAAGAGTCAACAATATTCCTCAGCCGTCTATGCAGGTGCTTCCTCCCTCTGCGGAAAAAGACCGTTTGCTCGCCTTGGCGCATATGTTGCGACAAAGTTCGCAGTGCGGGGGCTGACTCAAAATGCTGGTACGAAATATTCGACTACGGTTTACTAGATGATGCTAACCATCAGAAATGAAGCTGTCGAGTTCGGGAAACACAATATCACTGTCAACGCGTATGCTCCTGGGTTCATCGATACCGACATGCGTGTGTAGTCCCGATCACGCGCCGTGGGCTTCTGCTCATGTCGCTTCATCCAGTGCAGACTATAGAACGGGAAACCGTCAGTCAGGGTCTTCCTGAGGGACAATTCTCCCAAAGTGTACGTCATTTAACTCCGCATACATCAAAGCGATCTCATTGGGATCGTTGGTTCACAGGGCTTGAGTAACATGTCCATTTCCCGGATCGGCAAGCCGGAGGACATCTCAAACTTGGTATCCTTCCTTGTCTCCGAAGATGCAAATTATATTACGGGTCAGACCGTAAGTACATTGCTCACCAATAAATTCGAGCACCATTTGACATTTTGGTCACACCACAAACTTGTAGGTCAGCGTCGATGGCGGATGGCACTTCGACTGATCTGGGCTTATGTCGTTGCACACTTCCAGCCAGAGCTCAGGTGTACGAATAGTGGGGAATCGCGAATGATGAAAGAATGTTTTATGTTCCCTGTACCAATTGAGGAGAGTACCAGTAACGATCAGCACTTAAGGCGGCTCAACCAATTGAGTTCAAGTACGCTTTTCTGATGGGAGCATCGCTTCGCGTGGGTTTCAACGCAGAACACACCTCAAATCAATCAGCCTATACCGAGAGGCGCACGCTCTACAGCCAACGGGTCCCTTTGTCGGTGTTAGAGCGTCGTGCGAGTATTAACACGTAGCAGTCACGTAGCATACCGACTCCCTCGTGAAGGCCTTGTTAGAACTTCCATAATCGAGGCATCATTAAGAGCAAGATAGATCTCAATCGAGAGCCTGTTTGGGATCGAGCAGTTACCCCCCTGGGGTGCATATAACCTGTCGCCGTGAGGCATTTTCATGTCCGTGGCGTGAGTCAGATTGAGTGACGAAAGAACGACATCCATAGGAGTACCTGGACTCAAGGTGTCGAAATTCCAAATTTGAGATCATGGTCGGGGGCGATTTCTCGAAAGCCTCTTGCAGCGGTCGGCTCACCAGAACTAGTGGCAGTTACAAAAAATGTAATAATGTCGATCCGTATCTTACATACGCTAATCGTAATAGCGATCTTGAAACGAATGTAGGGCGGCGACTAGTATGATATACTGAAAACCTATTAGAGGCCATTGTTCGTCAGGAGTCTTAGACTAGGGGGAATATTAAAATGAAAACGGGCGTCAATGGCAGAGCGTAGTTGTGATGCCATGACTGTGATCACTGAGGCTCAGCGATAGAAGTAAGGAAGTTGAAGACATTGTTGGGGTCAACCTCTTTCTTGATGGACTGCAGCCGCTCGTAGTGCGAGCCATAGTATAAAGCTTGCGCTGTGTTACCTAGCATTGAGCGTCATGCGAAACGGCATAGGGACAGATAATTTACGCACAGTTGTTTAACTTGTCCTCGATATAATTGGTGTAAGCACTGAATCGCAGTTGTCAACAACTTGACTTCCAGATCCTTAGCATTTACAAAGTAAAAGTGACATACCCATACGCCCAATCAGATGGGCTATTGTCGACAATACTTGCGACCATGGCTACAAGACAACAATCGTTAGTGGATTGGGTCAAGACTCGATCGAGCGCCGAGCTCACCATCCAGGAATGAGAAGCCCACATTGGGATAGGGCGGACTGTAGTTAGATGACGAAGCGTAGAACTGGATCGTGAAGAGCGTCGATCTGCTCGCGAACGATGTAGCGTCGAGGGGGACGGCGTTGATCGCCGAGTTGGGGCCGCCGTACAGTTCAATTTGCGTGAACCAGTTCTACACAGATACCAAAATACCACACAATGTCAGCCCAGTACTCCCAGGCGCCTGACACTATGAATGGGGATTGCTGACCGTGTTAGAAGTATAGCCTTGGTGCGTCAGGTACGATGCAAATGCGTTGATAGCGGCAGCGCTCATTGGAGAGTTTTCGGGCGTCATCAGAGACTAGAAAAGAGCCCAAGTTTCATTCTCGTTGTCTCAGACATGCTTGGTAGCACATACCTTGGCGTAGAATGTATCCGTCTCATCAGGAGCGCTGGTGCTCAAGGTGTCGCTTCCCGCCAGGCTCTCCAAGCTCTCCAACCATGTCCCGCCGGTAATGCTTACCGTGGGCTTTTGAGGAATCTGGTCGAGGAAGGGCTTCACTGTGCTGTTCAAATCCGCCGGCTTGCCATACCATCCACCGACAAACTCGACACTGGCAGTATTTGAAGACCCTCCCTTGCCTAGAGTGAGCTCTGCATCAAATGTAGCGGGAATATCGGTTTGGACGAAGGACTGGTAGGCCGAGATAATGTGCGCGAGAGCAGTGGCGTTGACGGCGTTCCAGCTGTACGAGAATACCAGCGCGGACGAAGGAACTGGCTCAGTGGCGAAGGTGAAGGCAGTGGTGATCCCGAAAGAAGAACCTGCGCCACGCATAGCCTAGCGGAGGGAACCCGACTGATGAGAGGGAGAAGCAAGAAAAATGCATGCGACAGACCCAGAAGAGATCCGAATTCGTCGTATTCGATGCAGTGACAATTGTACCATTGGCGAGAACAACCTCGGCAGAAATGATGTGGTCGATGGTAAGACCCCACATGCGTGAAGCAAAGCCAAATCCGCCAAAGGCTAGAAAATTGGCCTATATCAGAACGATAAATGGCAAGGCGGAAAATTGACGTACATGCATGACCTCCGACACCAACATATGGGCACGTCCCATGAGGAAGTGCCCGGCCTTGGTCATTCAGAGCTTGAGCGACATCCCCGAGCCTGTTACCAGTCTGAATAACTGCCGTGCCAGCGTTGTTATCGACAGTGATATTCTTGAGCTTGCTAAGGTCAATCACCAGGGCGCCGTTCTTCCCTCCGACGCCATTTGCGATGTAGCTGTGCCCACCACTGCGCGCGACCACCTGCGTATGCGTTGACGCTCCCGCCTGAATGGCGGCAGCGACCTGCTGCGCGCTCTCGGGATAGACGACGGCAGCTGGGGAAACATTGAATCGAAGGTTGTCTACGACAAAGATTTGATCAGCCAGAGAAAATGGCACGAGCATCCGTATGTAGAACTCACAAGCCTTGCTTGCGTCCTGATATCCTGAATCTCCCGGGAACAGTGCTGTCAAACCAGCGCCTGTGAGATCACTTTTCAAGTCCTGGCACGCAATGCGCCCAGTGATAGAGGCGACTGTCAGCAGCAGACCGTAAAACCGGATGTTCCAGTTGGTCCTCATACTCGTGAAGTTGAGAACGGGGGTAAATTAGTGGATAGGCCCTGTGGGGAGTGGGGATCCGGGGAGTATTGGTGGGCTTTTTTGTAAAACAGGAACCCATGCAAACTTATACCTTTCAGAGCGCTTCATATCCAACGGGTTGTGGTGGCCGGAGACCTGTGCTCGCAAATTGTTTAGTCGAAACGACCATAATCCAAGACAAATCAGGATGACGATACAGCGGTTGTCCGAGACGTTGAGATCGCGGAAACCACGATCCGAAGGACATCTGACAACAACTCCAATAAGCTGAGATGATCCGGGATGTGAAGAAATCCAATTGATCGTAAGAGCGTCGCGAGCGTCGACTAGCGTCGATTGTTTCTCCTCATGACGACCTGAACACAACTGGAAAAAAAGCGACACAAAACGACGTGTATTGGCTAGTAGCGGAGACGAGAAAATTACGACCTGGAGCAGGTTTATAACATGTTTTCATTGTTCTCTGACACGGAAGACGAACACCGGGTTGGCGCTGGAGGTTGAAACATAATGTGGCAAGCGCTTATGAGCTGTGTAACACGGTCTTCAGTAGCCTCGATGCCACAATCTATGCTTGTGCTTGTGGATGGAATGGTACGGTGCCGTTGTGCAATGCATCTTGGCCACGAGAGGGAACGTAGAGCCGTCAGTCGTAGTGGGTGGCAGGAGGAAGTTGTGGCCCGGATGGGCAAACACCAGTAAATATCGTCAACAACAGCCAGCCCCGCTGCGCGGCCATCAACGTCTTGAACATCCTTCAGGCCTCGAACACCGTTGCCTATTTTCCTCGGCTCTCCAGATACATTGATCATGTCGAACACAATCGCTCTGTACGTTAATTTGGCGTAGAATTATGTTTTCAATCCGTATTTATGTCTACCCTGCGAACAAACCCATCTCAGCTATCCTCTCTCGAACTTCACGTTCAGGTAAGCTGCCCATGCCCGCCAGTACCTTTCCAAAAGACATACCAATCGCGCCTACCCGTCCCTCTCTTCTCGAACAGCACTAAAGAAGCTCAACCGGAAGAAGACCCATCTGTTTCAGCGCGTCTACAGCGCCTGCAGAACAACTATGAAGACTTCGGTATGCGTCGCACGGTCGAAGGGATCCTCGTTGTACATGACCATGGACATCCACACATTCTCATGCTCCAAATTGCCAATGCGTTCTTCAAGCTGTACGTGCTTCGTCACCACCCTGCTAACTCACTCCTAAACCTCTCATATATTTTCATTTCGTGTACTTGTCACTTGTACACGCGAATCTGACGCGTACAACAGTCCGGGAGACTACCTGAAGCCTGGTGAAGATGAGATCGAAGGCCTGAAGCGTAGGCTAGATGACCGCCTGGCCCCGCCGACCGAGTCGCGTCAGTTCAACGCGTCCCATGGCGTCGACAACGACTGGGAGATTGGTGACTGCCTCGCCCAGTGGTGGCGCCCCAATTTTGAGACGTTCATGGTGTGTGACCCTTATCCTCCCAGTGATTTGAGCGCCTGTCATAATCGTAACACCTATTCGTGTGCACAGTACCCCTTTGTCCCCGCACATATCACGAAGCCTAAGGAGTGTAAAAAACTCTTCCTTGTTCAGATGCCTGAGCGCAGTGCGTATATCCACTTTTCTTGTTAGTATCGTGCACTCACCGTTTTTCATAATCCCTTTTGCTCCCATCTCTCCAAAAACGAATCGACAAATCTATCAATATGGTTATAGAAGTGCTCGCGGTCCCAAAAAATATGAAGTTGCTTGCGATCCCGCTCTTTGAACTCTACGACAATGCCGCACGGTGAGTCCCCGGTTTAGCCTTTTTGTTCTTCCGCTTTAGTGTACACGGTGTATTTCTAACAATCATGTATCGCGCACTCACGCACTTCTGTTCTCCCCTTTCTACTTATCTTCTCCCTATGCGCGTTCTTGTGTTCAAGCTATGGCCCTCAACTCTCCGCTATTCCGCATCTGCTGTCTCGGTAAGAGCCACACGTAATTTTCATACAATCCACACGACTTATCGCACTCATCGTCTCCTCGACAGGTATAATTTTATTTATCAATGAGGACTCTTCGTACAACCCCCTCATACCGCCCCATTGTCCAACACTCAATCACCCCTTGCACAACTTGCACGTTTCCCCACGCAACGGCCGCTCTGTGTTCCCTTCACGCCTCCCGCCTCTGTGTCTTCACTCGCACCTGCAACCCGCACGGCCTACTAAAAGCCCGGACCGATGGACGCCTGGTCCTTGTATTATTCATTAAAACGACTTGTGCTCTCCTGTTTGTTTGTCGCTCCATCTGTCTCTCTCTCCGTGAAGCGCATACAACGCACGCACGTTTGCTCATCCGAATAGATGTTTTGTATGCGCACGAGCGAGCCAATCTGTACGTCTCAGATCCCAGTAGTTTAGCCTATCCAAATGGCCTCGAAGCCTGCTGACACGTGAGAGCTGGTCAGTAGTCGCGTAATCTGCATGCAGTTTCCACATTCCGTTTATGCGAAGAAATCTATACACATGCAGAGTGTGTCGGGTTTGAGACCGTCGTCTCTCTGTTTCCGTTTGAGCAATCCCGAATCCAAGGGAATTCACATATCATACAATGCTGGGTATACATTCATCAGAACAAAAAAGAGTAACCAGGGACCCGAGTAGATAATGGAGCCTAAAGTAAGTGGCAATTGAGCAGCTGAAGAAGGAAGAAGCAGAGCCGTGGCAGTCATGAATCGTGTGTATGTGTGGGTAAACATCACCTGTGCGTGGTGGTCGTCTACGAGCTCTAGTCTCCAGCCAGCACGGAATAGCGCCGTCAGAATCAAGGCTATCCTGTCTCCCAAGGACATTCAGCATCCACATCCGCCCTCATCCACGCCGCCCCCACTCGATGCACTCAAATCGATGTTCCCGGGCATACTGCCACTGCCGCTCCCCGCATTAGCTCCGCCTGCACCGTCCTTACCGCGCGCCTTCGTCTTGGACGACTCCCACAGCTCCGGCGTGTCGATGATGCGCTCGACGACATTGCGGAACGCATCGCGCACACCGACCGACGTCTTGGCGCTCGCCTCGACGAAGAGGCTGTTCATGCGCTCCGCGAAGGCCTCCGCCTCGTGTGTCGGGACTTGGCGAGAGAACTCCTAGTGGGTCGACCGTGCCGATTCGCGTGCGAGTAGGGTAGGAGAGAGCACGATGCGATGATTGCATTTAAACGGCCTTCTGTGAATATGAATGTGGTATGAGGGGAGATGACGGACCTTGTCTACTTTATTTCCGACCACGATCTTGACGACCGATTCAGAGACGTATGTTTCGAGTTCGGAGTACCATCGTGGAAGCGCATCGAAAGATTCGCGGTTCGCCACATCGTACACTGACGATTCACAAGACAAAACAAAGTCAATCTCCATGCGCGATATCTCAACAAGAAATCCAGGTATTAGCTCACCCAGAATGATGCCCTGCGCGCCGCGGTAATACGAGGAAGTGATAGTCCGGAAGCGCTCCTGTCCAGCTGTATCCTAGCGACGTCGTGTCCACAATAAATGCTAGTAATAAAAGCTGATAAATAATTGACGCACCCATATGCTCAACTTGACTTTCTTCCCGTTCACATCCATCTTATGCACCTACCACCATAACGCGATGAGCGTCGGCATCACGAAATCATCCATTACCCAAAACCAGCTCGGGAAGAGACAAAGCAGGTCTGAGCGGACGAACTCACCCGAAAATCCACCCCAATCGTCGCACTCGCCTCGTCCTCGGGCAACCACTGCTCGTCCGAGAACCTCAGCAACAAGCTGCTCTTTCCTACAGAGGAGTTTCCGATGAGCAGCAACTTCACGTTGATGGGAGCTGCGGAGGTGGCCATTATAGCACCAGCAGAAATGATGTCTAGATCGGTTATTAGAGGTCGGCTGCCGAAAGTCGAGGATCTAGGGTTGGTTGCTGAGAGTCCGAGTCTAGGTCTTGATGGATCTTGCGAGTATTATTGTATGAATTATGAAGGTTTCTATAGATCGGTGTGGTTGGCAGGAGATAGGCTGGTGTGTAGGGCTTTGAAATGACTACACAGGCCAGATGACTGAGGTGAGCACTCCGCGGAGGCTACTCCGCCGTAGTGACATCATGAACAGACGCCCGTCAGTCACCCGGGCTAACAGACGCCCATAGCTCTTTCCCTTTCGTTTGCAAGATAGGCTTTGAATCGGTCAAGAATGCGTACCATCAATTCCCCTGAGTGAACCTCAAAGAACTAAGTTGTTCGCCATCACCGGACGCCATCAATATGTCAACCAAACTATATTCGTACAACCAACTGCATCGTGCGTAACTGGATCGAGCATGAACAAATGACATGAACAAATAAAAGAGAGCCCTCTAATCCTAACCGAGCCGTTCTACCGAGACAGTAACTGCGAGTGTCCATGGGGAGGGATGGCGAGTGGTAGTGATATCCAACCGAGGCTCGAGATGACGCGATTACGAGAGGTATAAGATCGTCGTTCTACGTTGCGAGTCGGGAACCTCAGCGCGAGGAAATGGAATAGATCATTAGAGGTTTAAGCCCATGGCCAGTCATCGCCGTCGTCATCGTCGTCGGGCTCACCGGGCGCAGGCGAGGGTGCTGTTGGTGGCTCAGGAGTCTTGCCGGATTTGCAGACTGCAGGAACGTCGAAGCCCTATAACGATCGTCCGCCCCGTCAACCACTGCCATGAAACAATATAAAGCAAGCAACTCACGTTCGTCCGGATTCCTCCACCCCACGGCGTGCGGCCCTCGACCTTCGCGTCCTTCCCGAGGCCCTTCTCCGCGAACGCGTTCCACAGGTCGCAGTAGTTCTCGCCGCCGGTGAGCACCTCGTCTGCCTGGATGATCGCGTTGCGCGCGTCGAAGAACGACGGGCGGCACTGCTGCAGCTTCATCCCGTTGAGCACGAGCTGGACGCTGAGCGAGTTCCCGTGCGCGGGCACGAGCGGCTTCTCCTTGCCAGCGGCGTCAAGCTCGCGCGGGCGGTAGAACTCGCCGATGGGGATGGTGCCGTTCGCGAGCGGCGTCGGGGGGTAGAGTGTGTCGGTGTATCCGTGCTTGGCGATCAGGCGCTGTGAGACGACCCAGAGGATCTGCGCCCAGACTTCGCCGATGGCGTGAACGCCCCAGTAACCGGATTTGTCGAGGGTCTTGTACGAAGAGGGATTGATGGTGTCATTCTAAAGAAACTTGGTCAGACATAGACAAACGACAAAAGCTGAGGAATGTACACTCACGAGGGAGTATGGGAAGTTCCTGATACCGCCAGCTTGGTTAGCGGCCCACGCACCCATTGGGTAGTCCGAGTACTCCTTGTTACTCCTGATGATCGTAGCCAGGAAATCTGATCAAAAGGCTGCATTAGCATCTTCTGCGGAACGACAAGGACTCGCAGCGGCTTACCTCCCCACCCCTCGCCCATTCCACCAGACTCGCCCCAGCCAAGACACCCCGAGTTCGCCGGCCCACCCGTCAACCGAGTGCTCAGCCCGTGTGACAGCTCGTGAATGACGATCCCAGCTTCGAGATCGCCGTCACGATACGGGGTCGCGGTGTTCCACAGGTACATCCTGCAGCGTCCGTTCTGGCCATCGGGTGGCGTCATGAAGTTCGCGTTGTTGAACCCGCTGCCGTCCTGCGCGTTCGCAATCACGGCATCGTTGCCCGCACCCCCACGCCCGAAGTTGTCCTGCTGGAAGTTACCGGAGAGTTCGTCGAAGCCGTACCTATAGTACAAGTCGTGGACCATGTTCGTCGTGTAGAAGAGCTGCGTGATGGTGGCGTTGATGTACTTCTGCGCCTCTATCTTCGCATCGGTGCTGTCCGTCTTCTTGGGATTATAGGTGTAGTCGAACTCGAGACCCTCACCGCCCTCAGGGCGGTAGTTCTGGAGCCAGTTGGACAGACCCTCCCAGTTCTCGTGCGCGAAGACCTGAATTCGAGACGAGCCCCACAGAAAAATCAGGATAGGTCGTCAAACATAGCAGATATGTTATACGCACGTTGTTACCACGAGTGGTCGTGGTGTTGACGAACTCGCCCTTCTTAGAGGTACCACGCGCGATCGGGTCACTCGCGGCTGGGATCACGTGCCATCCAAGAGGACTGGCCAATGAATCGAAGTTCTCCTTCTCGATAGAGCGGCTGCTCTCCGATGGGTCATTGACACCCCACGCCCAGACGTTGTACGTAGCGGGGGCGCGTTGTGCGGGCGGGTTCTTGGGAATGGGTGAGTCCGACGCCCAGTCCACGACCGAGATGATATTGTGCGGATAGAGCATGGAGACGGCGGTCTCGTACCAGTTGTCTGACATCTCAACTTCGAACTAAATTAGCAACGTGTCAGAACGCTAATCACAAATCTGGACGGAAGAGAAGCAGACACACCCTCCATGACATCATCAAAGAAGTCTTGTCACCATCGGGAACCTGGACATACACAGGCTTCGCCTTGACGGGGGCGACGGCATCAGGAACATTGTCGATGATCACGGCAGCCGTGGCTGCGTGATCGCCAACGAAGTGGTGCTCCGAGCTGATGACCATCTTCTGCAAGTATGCTTCGTATTGGTCTTTGATGTTACTCGCCAACTCTTCGTTCGGCGTCGCAGCGATCATGAACTGCAAGAGCGCGTGTCGCGGATCGGTGTAATCCCCGCTGTCGGGCATCATCGATGGAAGGTCCTTGTGTGCACAGTTCGATTGGTAGAGGTGCGGGAGCTCTCCATAGATGGACTCGACGTCGGCGGCCCCATTGAGTGTGACCTGCTCAGACGAGGAGGCCTGCATACGACGCCTATAATTCTCGACGAGAGTATCGCGTTCTGACAGCTCGTCACCTAACTGACGGCAGTATTCGACATGAGGTCCCTCAGTCATGGGTTGCATCAAGGCACTGTCGCCGCGGAAGAACTAGGGGGAACATGAGCGCCAAAGTTGATGCCAGCGAATGGTCCACTCACTGAGTCTCCGTAGGACAAGACCAGCCCATTCTTGATGTTAATGTTGATGTCGCCATCGGAGACCTCGAGTCCGTCGACGAGCTGGCGGACATACACATGAGTGATGCCCGTCGCCTTGTCAGTATACGAGTCTTTCCGGATAGTGTATGTGTTGGTCGCGGAAAGCTGGTCACCGAGTAAGGCCGTCATAAAGCTCTTCGCAATCTCGAACGGGTCTTCAGTGGTCAAGAAGTTACTCGTAACATATGGCTGTGCAGAGTGAAACTTGGCCTGGGGGTGCACAGGACCGAAGCCAAGGGACTTGCGTCGTGAGACGCCGCCCGAGTGAGCGAGAGCATACCCCGCGAGGCCAGCTAGGGCCAAGGAGGTGGTGAAGAGGCGCATTGTATAAAGAGAAACGAAAGCAGTGGAGAGAGAGGAGAGTAGTACCCTGCAACCGACCAGTCAAGGGGTTGATGGGGGTTTGGATGAGAGGGGTAGTAGCGCTGTCGCACTGACTCTTATCTGCCCCCGCTCGCGCCACGCGTCGCCACTGCGAGCCCTCGGCCACGCGACGGCTCTCCCCACACTCCCCTTTTCGGTTTCGCGGCCGTCTCCGCCCAGCGAGTCGTCCGGACCATCTTGGAATGGGTCTCGCCGCAATAGTCGCGACATGTCGCGGCTATGATAAGGTCCCGCCATTTGTCTGCAGCTGGGGGTCTTCCCTCTGAGCACCTGCACACAGACCGAACGACTCCACCACAGTGCGAAGCTCGAGTATACGCAGACTTCGCATCCTAATTTGCATCGTAATAGATCGCAAATTCTCGATCCGACCGATTCCGACGGAAACTAAGTTCAGACTTCGTGCATTGCTTTCCTCCTTGAGCTCACGTTGCATGTTCACGCTTGTATAGTCATCGGGAGCCCCAAAGTCTCCTACACGCACCTACACCTACTTACACGCACCTGCCGTCTGTTTGATGGACGTATGGACCTTGACAGACCTTGACAAGCCCTTGCACAATCTCATCTCGGCCCGATTGCAATCTTCCAGGATCCGGCCGTATCCGGTGCGTCTGCGACTTCCAGTTCCTCTTGACGCCACCTTCCAGTCAACAAGTATCTTCATATCGTCGTTGACTGACCGCTTCACACCTTACCCATCGCTTTTCCCTATGAGTTCTCAGATTGACATATATCAAACCACACTCATGAACTTCGGGATATACAGAGAATGTCTTGTCCAATGTCCATAGGAAGTAAACTAGGCCGTCCAAGCGGGAACATGTGGGTTCTGCGATAATGAAGCAAGTTTCTGGGGGAAACAGAAGGCAACAGGATCATAGTCTGATACGGTACAAAACGTGTCTGACTGTCATTACGGTAAGCCGCAGGTATATAAAAGAAGAAGAGATTTTCCATCCTCACCGCCGTACAATTACATGTGCCATGGTTTCTCGCCCGGTGCAAGCGAACGGTTACGCCTCGCATATATAGCTCGCAAGATAAGCACCACCGCAGCCGACTCCAGGAGAAAGGCCGCGTTCGTAAAATGTCCCGTAGGATATCCCGGCGCCTCGCTGGGCTTATAGATGTAGACGCCTTTTTCGGATGCAGGTCAGGGTCAGTCTCCTTGCAAATATTGACCCATCAAGAGCCGTGAGTCCTATTTACCAATGATTTGTCCGATGTTCCCGAGAGTGAAGTTCAAGGCGACCGCGAGCGTCGTCGCGCTCGTGTTCCGCAGGTTTGCGGTCAGCCAGCTGAGAAGACACGGGTTGACAGAGTACGTGAAGCTAGATGCGAGGCAGAGCATCGCGTATCGCGCCTTGAATGCCGTGGGCGGCAATGCACCTGTGACCACTTATTGAAACGCCGTCAAACAGAAATAGGACAACTAGCTAATCTATACCTTGAACAAGGAAAGATACTCCCGCCATAGTGAGCGCAATCACCGACCCCAAGGACCATGACTGATACTTGTCCGCCATACGAGATACCGACACAGTCACGACAAACGCGATTGCAAACGGAGGAACTGTGAACAGCTGTGCGTCCAAGCCTTGATACCCCAAGCCAGCCACGATAGTCGGCGCGAAGAGGGATATGCTCGAAAATGGGACGCATTGGGAGACGTATGCCAGATAGTGGAGATAAAGCCTCCCATCCGTCAGCGTCGCCTCGGTCTCCGCCCACGAAATTCTGGCGTGCCCGGATGACGAATTGCCCTTGAGTCTGTGAAGGGATAACTTACGCTCTTCTTCCGACAGCCATTTGGCAGATTCCGGATAGTCAGGAAAGAAGAAAAAAACCAGGATTGCACATGCGACGGACGGTATACCCTCAAGTATGAAAAGCCATCGCCATGCTTCAATACCCTTCACGCCGTCCAGGTTCCCTATTCCAAATGCGATCGACCCTCCAAACGCGCCACCCATCGACGCGCCCGTGACGATCAAAGCGGTACGGGACGCTCGTTCGTGAGGAGGGTACCAGAATGTCAGGAAGTAGATGATCCCTGGAAAGAGCCCCGCCTCGAAGGCACCAAGGAGGAAGCGCACGGCGACGAGCCCACCGAAGTTTTGCACTCCACCGAGAATCATGACCATGGCACCCCATCCGAGCATGAGGAATGCGAACCAGCGAGAAGGAAAAAATCTTTTCAGCATGTAATTGGAAGGTGTTTCGAAGATCGAGTATGCGACGAAGAATATCATGAGTGCGTCAAGATATTGTTTGTCGGTGACATGGATCGTCTCGTCGAGAGAGTGACCATTGTTCGCGTTGAGCACTTTAGCATTGCCCTGTGGTCCGACAAATTCTAAATATTATCTCAAGCTGGGCTGATAGAGCGACCTACGATATTCGCCCGAGCCAAAAAGTTGAGGGTATGTATTGCCATCATCGCGGGTATAATCCGTATATCTATTTTTCTCACCAGTCTACACAAACCCGTCCATCATTGAGATTAAGCGGTCAAGGTCTGATATAGAACTCACTTTTTCTCCGCAATGGGGTCCATCACGTAGGCATCATCTGAAACATCTACCTCTTGAACACATATTGTCCTCTCGACGCCAACCGTCTTCAAAGAATTTGGTGTCGGCGAAAACCCCCTCTCCTTGTCTTCTGCCTCCGGAGTTTCTGGAGTCGCACGGGCCATTGGTAGGAGATTCTTCTCAGAGTCTAGCGGCATGAGTAGAGCCAACAGGGGAAGCCGCAGCAGACCCTGCGTCTGCAGCAATGCGTAGGGATCGTCGTTCTTAAATGGTCTATAAGATCCACCATGCCGCGCTCTGTTTATAGCCTTGCCGCAGCGACAGCACACCCGCTTTTGTCCGCGCCTATTTTTACTCCGCATGGGATCGCGGACAAGGAGACCCATGGGACGAGAATGTCAGTGACAAAGGCTGCTGCTATTCGGAGGTCCTGTCGTAAACGGTCTATACTAGACTAATCCCGGTGAGTTCATATGTATAAATTTGTGTTCAAAGATCGAAATACAACGAGTTAGGTCGCCGATAGGCACTTAGTTCTGGAGACCACGATAAGTTGCCTAGAGATGTCCTGGATGGCGAAGTCATGTTGTGTCCATATGTTGCTAAGCATCCCCGTTAATGATCTTGGTATCCGTTTGTAGAATACAAGAGAGTATTTGAACAAGATTGATCAGAATCCTGACAGAGAGGGGATATGCGGGAGTCGTGATGTGCCAGAACAAAGCCGGATATTTTGCGACCAATATTTGTCATTGTGGGTCCTTGCAATTGTGAGCTACCGTTCACTTACCATTCATGGGTCTTTTGGAGCCTTACGCTTATTCCGAAGGGGCATCATTAGATCATTTACATACACGTGAAATCCACGTTGAAGATCTAACTCCGAGTGATATTTTTGAAAACATCGTGGAATACAGTGTTCATGAGTCTCAGAACGCACCGGTGGAACTACAAACTCCATGGTTTCTCACCAACCGCTAGAGAACGGTTCCGTCTCGCATAAATAGCGCGCAAGACAAGCACGACCACAGATGCCTCCAAAAGGAATGCCGCGTTCGTGAAATGCCCCGTAGGATATCCCGGTGCCTCCTGTGGCTTGTAGATGTAGATACCTTTTTGACAGAGTTCATTCAGTATGATTGTCACCAAACTACCAAAGATTACTTCACCGATTATTTGTCCGATGGTCCCGAGAGTGACGTTCAAGGGGACTGCAAGCGTCGTCGCACTTGTGTTCCGCAAGTTTGCGGTGAGCCAGCTGAGGAGGGATGGATTTGCGGAGTACGAGAAGCTAGTCGCAATGCAGAGCATCGCATATCGCGCTTTGAATGAAGTTGGTGGTAATGCGCCTGCGGTAGATCACATTACGACAATTCAAAATCAAGGCGTGGTCGCGTCAGAGAGCCAGATGGTGCTTACCTTGCACGAGAAAAGATAAACCCGCCGTCATTAGCGAGACCGCGGATCCCAGTGACCATGATTTGTACTTATCCGCCAGGCGAGATACCAGTACAGTCACGACGAATGCAATGGCAAATGGGGGTACTGTGAATAGTTGGGCGCTCAAGCCTTGATACCCTAAGCCAGCCACGATAGTCGGCGCGAAGAGCGATATGCTTGAAAATGGGACAGAGATGGAAATGAACGCCAAATAATGGAGGTAAAGTCTCCAATCCGTCAGCGTCGCCTTGGTCTCTGCCCATGAAATCTTGGCATGTCCCAACGACGCATTGTCCTTGAGTCTGCGAATCAACATCTGGCGTTCCTCTCGTGACATCCATTTGGCGGATTCTGGATAGTCAGGGAAGAAGAAGTAGACCAGGATCGCACACGCGACGGACGGTATACCCTCGATGAGAAATAGCCACCTCCATCCTTCAAGACCCTTCACGCCGTCTAGTTTCCCTATTCCAAATGCTATCGACCCTCCGAACGCACCACCCATGGAGGCACATGCTACAATTAAAGCAGTACGGAATGCTCGCTCGTGGGGAGGGTACCAGAATGTCAGGAAGTAGATGATCCCTGGAAAGAGCCCCGCCTCGAAGGCACCAAGGAGGAAGCGCACGGCGACGAGCCCACCGAAGTTTTGCACTCCACCGAGGATCATGACCATGGCACCCCATCCGAGCATGAGGAACGCGAACCAGCGAGAGGGGAAGAACTTTTTGAGCATATAATTGGAAGGCGTTTCGAAGACTGAGTACGAGATGAAGAAAATCATGAGCGCGTCGAGGTATTGCTTATCGGTCACGTGGAGCGTCTGGTCCAGAGAGTGACCTTTGTCTGCATTTAGAACCTTCGCATTTCCCTGTAGGTCAAGGAGTCACAAAAATCAAAATCAAAAATTATGTGGCTGATTTGGAAGATGACATACAATATTTGCCCGCGCCAGGAAGTTGAGGGTATAGATAGCCATTGAAGCAGGGATAATACGGAGGTCTATCTTTCTCAGTAATCTATGTCCCATCCATACATGAGCCAAGATCATTGAGTCTCACAGTGAACACACCTTTTTTCGACGACAGGATCCACAATGTATACATCATCCAGTACGTTCTCCTGGATGACGATTGTCTTCTCAACATCGTCAGTTTCTTTGAGAGAAGCCTGTGTGGGCGAGTAAGCCCTCGACTTCTGCTCGAGCTCCGTAGACTCCGGAGTCGCGCAGTCCGTCTTCGATATCATAGTCCTCCCAGAGTCTCGCGACGTGGACGAAGGTCAGGAGATGCAGACGAGCGAAGCGAAGCATGTTGCCTGAATTATATACCTCATTCAGTTCCCGGTGTGTAACGCACTCCGCATATGGCCCTACTACCGCGTCCGTGCACGATTCAGCACCCGCTGCTGCATAGGACTAGTTTTTGCCGCGCATCGGGCCGAGGGCGCGAGTCCGCCTGTGACCGAGAAGAGAAGCGACAGATGTCTGCTGATACACCTCGAGTGGATATATGAAATCTTACTGGGACAGACGCCACTTGAACGCCTTATCCCCCAGAGGCACGGTATTGCTGGCTGAGATGCTTGGGTATATACATATGGTCGGAAATCAGTGCTTCGTGTCAGCTCCAGGTCCTCGAACGCGCAGCTGTTCTTCGAGGAGAGGCTATGGTTGCATGGTCCAACATCGTCGGGTTCGTATGCGATGCTTGATCCCGTTCATAAATCTAGAACATCAAAAGGAGTGATGGTCGAGTCGATGGAAAGCGGGATGATTGGAGAGCCAGAAACTTGGCGACTGCGCAATATCTACCGATATTTGTCCTTATTTGTTACGATGGGTCCATCCTCTCAGTGGCTACAGCAGTGCAACTTCTTCCTGTTCTCATTTGTTACCCTGGAAAGTTATGTCAGAGTGTTTTGCACTCACCTGTTGAGTCCAACATAAATTTCCCAGTCCTCCCGGCCGCGGGGCGCACCTTCAACAATTCACTAGCCTGTCGTGGAGATAAAACGAGGTCTTCTAGGGCCTTTTCTAACTAAGGCTATGGTGTTTCAAGATGTCTTAGGCTTGTACCCCACACTGCTAATTTTACGCGTCACAAGAATACCACAGGTCCTTTGACATCAAAATTAGCAGTTTATGAGCTCACTTAGACGTATAATATCATTCTCGTCTTCATGACGTACCTTAGTCCCGGAGGATTCTTAGCCGGGTTTCGTGTGTATCAGGGGTGAATTCTGGTGCTCACCGTCCATGCCCCTCGCAGATAACGACTATGATTTTAGCGTACATTACATGCAAAGCAAGACATGTTCGTACATTCATTAAATTTCGTATCACAAGACACATACGCTGACCTTTCGTCCTTCCATTCGTACGGTATACAGCAACCGAGTGGGTATCACCACACGTCTAAACAGACGTAGCACGGTCAGTGCTGCGCCCTTCGTTCATCAACAACAGCCTGTACCCATCTTTCCAGAATCTGTTCCAACATTTCTTCCCAACCTTCGTCTCTCCGTGCGACGGTTCGTGCGTCGAAGTACACTTGGGGTTCCGTGTTAGGAAATTTGATAGTTGACGGTAAGGGAGAAGTCATCGGAGTTGAATCTGATGAGGATGGTTTAATGGCTGACCCAAGCGGCGGAGAGGGGGCGACTATGGGTATGAGATAGCGAAGCTTGAGAGCGCTATATTTCGTGGACTTAATTTAGTTTCTAGGGTCAGACGAATAGTAAGTCATGGAACTTACGCAGCCCATAGACGCAGATTGTCCGAACGTCGGAAAGTCCATCCTTTTCGCCCCTTATCCTCATTCTCGCCCGAAGCAGACTGCGCCTGTTCTAGAGCCAAGATATCGTGGATCGCCTCTTTGCTGATATATCCCCAAGGTTTGCGCGAGCGACGGACACCAACGTTGTAGGCTACACATAGCGCCTGCCCCGATGATAGCGTCAGCAACAGCTCTGTACGATCGAGCTCACGCGGCAGGAGTGCTAGCAAGTTGGTAGGCAAGAGGGAAATGAGCAGGGCATGTGCGCGCGACAACGAGTTCTCCGCAAACGAGGTCCGTTTCGCCCACTCCGGTAAGTCCTCATCTTGCACACTCGGACCGTAACCTTCTTCGTCTTCCTCAACAGCATCCATTTCTTCGGGCTCCTCTGTGACCCGCATCGTGTTCATCATGTCCATCGAGACAACCCGTCTTGCTTTGTGCCCTATTCCCCCTTCACCGCTCAACATTTCGGTAGGTGCACTCACACGTCGGCTTTTGGATCGCTCGTCTCGTTCAACCTCTTTCCTTGCGAGCTTGTCTCGCTCCCTATCCCACCCCCTTGTACCCCCCTTCCGCCCGCCGAATAACACCTCATCCACCACATTCAAATAATACCCCACTACCTCCTGTTCCTTCTTCACTGCGTCCAACTTCACGTCCTGCTTATACAACCAACCACCAGCGAGGACACGATCATCCCATCCTTCTTTTGTCTCTTTCCCTTCCTCGCTCGCGGGATTCATATCCGCATCCTCTTCTTCCCAGACTAAGACTGAGTCGTTCCGTCCCTGTACTTGAACAACTGAGAACGCGAAAGAGGTTTCAGCATCCACTTCTTCATGCTCGTTATCCTCTAAGAAATGAGATGGGGAGGCGACGCGTGAGCCCTGGTGTGATCCGTGGTCGCTTTGCGCATCATACGCGTCGTCCGAAAGGGGTAATCGGGAAGATTCTTCCAGCGCACGCAATACTGTCAGCACATCAAGCGCGGAGCGCCGGATCAATGTCAAGGGGTCCGATGGGTCGTTTGGTTGTGAAACGAGACGCTTGGGCGCGGGCGCGCTCGAGGCCAGAGAGGCTGGGCGGAAGTGCTGTCGGTGAGAGTCGACGGTTTCGTCAGGGAGAGAGACGAGATAGTTTCGCACGGACCGGATCGTGTAGGTGGTCGTCTTCAGTAGGGTTAGCACATCGAGATTAGTAGACGAACGCGTTTTGTCCACCCCAAGCAGTCCGGGATCTGGCTCCGTGTCCTGCTCGAGATCTGTAAGTCGCCACGCATGCTCGACAGCGATCAGATCCTCGATGACGGCTGGTCGGAGGTTTTCCGGATCTGTCTCGTAGGTCTTGACATACGGAGGATATGCAGGTCGTTGTATCATGGGTATAACGGGAGAAGGCGGCAGTTCGAATTCTAGAATGCTCCCCAGAGATGAAGGTCCCTTCATATGGTTTGCGCCGCCCAATGCTGGCACAAGGCCCTTCCTCTGCTGCTTAGATCTGACCAGGTCCGCGCGAAGACGTTAGTTCCCGAGATGAACAAGATATGAGAGCACTTACTCCTTCTTCGCAGCGATCCCAGTCTTTGTGAAATAGTGTTGCAGGTGCTCAATGCTGCCCAGAGCCATCACGCTCTCCCTTTTCGCTGCGCTTCTGCTGAACGGTTTCTGCGGTTTATTGATCGCATTGTGGTTCGGATAGAAGGCAACCTGACGACGTGATTTCTTCGCTGAAATGCTGGGGGAGGAATCCTGGGTTCCAGTGGACTGAGGCGTGAGGCTGGGTGTCGAGGAGGACGGGTCGGACATGGTATAAAGAAAGAAAAGATTTGCGAGAATATAAGGTCTAAGTTAGGCACTGATTCGTAGTGAAGGCATGACTCTACAAGCGGCCGGCTAGTGATCCCTTCAAGTGTGGGAGTCGGACTACAAGCCTTTGTAGTGGATCGTTCAAATGGCTTCAAATCCCAGTAATGCTCGTGATGTAAGCGTGACTTTTACAGAAAGTGGCCGTTCTCAGTGCTCACTTGTGCTCCTTCCGTCATCGACCACTTCCCATCCCCAAAACCAGAGTAGCATGAAGGCTTAGAATGGCACAGACCAAAGACAAATACTACTGGCTCCAGCTCAGGACCGCCCTCACTAGTGGCGTCTGGGGCTCCTCCACGCCAGCCAAGGCTCATAACGGTTCCCCCATTTCCTGGTTTGACCTCCTCCGCAAGTTTAACAAACATTGTCACGGTTTCAAGGATGTTGCGGAAATAGCATCGCAGACCCAGGCCCTTGCACTTCTCATTGCTAGAGGAACAAGCGACAGCGATCTGGATGGTGATGCACAGGGTGCTGCTGGACCGTTCGCTATGAACGAAGAATGCACAGTCGTGCCCGGAAGGACAGAGGAGGTGCAAGCAGGCTATGACAAGTTGAAGAGTCTCGAATCTGATTCTCCCAACTCGGATGTACGTGTCAGCTCTCATTCTACTACACCGACGAACCCTCAACGTACCCAGTCCTTGAGACTCTTGTTAGCTCATTATGCATATGCTCTTGGTCGACATGAAGAGTGTCTTTCGTATCTGGAGCAAGTCGGCGACCTCTCTGATGCGTGGAATCGCTTGGACCCATCTTTCTCCGTCCGCACGAATGCATCTACTCTGCAAGTTCCCTCCATCGCCGGGGACAGTTCTTCGTCCTCGTTCACAGGCAGTTTCGTTTCTTCGGATTCTGCATCAACAATATCAGACATACAAGATGGCAAAGCATGGTCAGCGATTGAAGTGATCCGCAGCATTTGTCTTCAAGGTTTCTACACCCGCCTCAAATACTGACCACCAGAACTCACGCTCCCTCAAACAGGCATGGCTCATGAAAGGCTGGCCCCCTCCGATTCAAAGAAGGCACTCTCGATCTACATCAGCGCGACATTGCTGCTCCCAAATCTAGAGGCTGACATCTCTCGAACATCTCCCGTCAACCCTGTCCCCACATCCGGCGCGGGCCAGGGCCGTCTCTTGTTCGTCTCCTTCACACGCTACCGTGAATTATGGAGATGGTTAGAACGACTGCTTTGGCGAGCCATTATACTTGCTTCACGGACGTATATTTTAGGTGGTCCAGACGAGGGTATTCTCTGGTCTTTGTTTACACACTATCAAACGTGCAGCGCACATTGGCCGCCTAATTTCCGAACGGAACATCGATCCACAATATCCCAGCTGCATCTGCGTGCTCTGATACTCCGTAGTCGTCTACCAGGTTCTCCGCCACTCCCGTCCCCCGCCTCGTCAAAGTCAGGGGACACTATGCAAACGGACCCACGGCTGCCTAGCGCGCGGCGAGTCGTACACGATTATAGGGATATTTTGACAGTCAGCACACGATTTCCGAAGGCGGGTGAGCGGAACGTCAAGGTGGAAGAGTTCGTGGATCTCTGCGTTGCTGTATGGGAATCCAGCGGTGCGGCCGGAGAGCATGCAGGTTGGCTCGTTGACGTATGATATCTCGTTGAAATACTCGTGCACATGCTCACAATTTTTCAGATTCTGTGGTGGGCAACGCGTCTCACCTTTAATTCATACCGCATCTTTCGCCACATGGCGCGCGTATGTGGTGTCGCAGGGGATATTTCGCTCGCAAAACGCACTCTGCGTTTGTACACTCAAGTCGTCGGCAAGGCGCTCGAGGCAGGGGAAGATGCTGATGCCGACACCGACGACAACTGGGTCGAGACCCTGGTGTGGGGTGCACGTATGCTTTGCAGGGCTGCCCTCCAAGAAGAATCAGGCAAGGGCGGCGAGGGCATTGATGATGCCAGAGAGGCAGGAGCAATGGTCAAAAAGGCAAAGGCAAGACTGGATAAAGACAATCTAGAGTTGAGGGCGAAAGTTGAATTAACAGAAGGGATTTGGAACGCTACTATGGCGATCAAGGGTACCATCTTTACTTCCAATGCTATTTTCCGCTCTTGGCTGAAATGTTTGCCGTGTCAGAACAGGACCACTTGACACGGTCTTCTCGACTTTCTGCAGCACTTTCGCTCATCGAAGACTCCATTAACACATTCCCAACAGCTTCAGCTTACTATCACCACGCTCTCGCTCTGTACCGTGCAGTTCCCAGTCGGGACCTCGACCGCGCGATCGATAGCGCGCGAGCTGCTGTGGAAGCCGACCCGAGCGAGACTCGATATTGGCATTTGCTAGGTCTCTTGCTCGTCACGACGGAAGACTGGACCGGGGCAAAGGGTATTCTCGAAGTTGGTGCTGCGAATGACGAGGATGAATGGCCCGCCTTGCACGGAGCGCTGACCAATGGTACAGCTGCGCTCATGAATGGCGATATCCCTGACACAAGCACTATCAGTGGAGAGACCTCGCAGACGAACGGTGATACTGTGACCCCAGGCCACGCTGAAAATGGCTCTGCCGAGTCGACTAGCCTGACCGAGCGCCCCCATGCACCCACGTTCCTTCTAGAAGAGAATGCTGTAGATGTACCGAGCGCGACAGAACTGCTGCAGAGACTTCCTGACCATCCTGCACCCTCGAAGATTCAAAGATTCGAACAGGCCCTGCAGCTCCGGATGACACAACTGGCCTTGACGGAACTTTTGGAGGGCCCGGAGGGTGCTGGTGACAAGTGGGTCGAGGTATTTCAGTGGTTCGCTGAAAAGAAGGGTTTCAGTAAGGATCAAAGCCGTGAGTCATTTTCCCTGGGATTTCCGTCACCCTTATAGAAACACTTATCAAATCCAGTAGAACGAACGTCAATGGAGACAAGTAGGCGTTCAGGGGACTTGAAGCCTGAATCTAGCTCTTTCCAAGATTATCCATCGCAACCAGAGGACCACCCTCAGCATACGGAGAATACAAACTATCCACCGATGCCGATGCCTATCATGCTTACGCCTCCGACTCCAAGGCCTGCAGATGGCGAACCTTCCTGGAAGGCAGATGAAGACGTACGCCTGTCACTGGATTCAGGCGGTAAAGAAAAAGACACTGCCGGAAAGAAGGTCCAGAAAATGCTCAAAAACCGAGTGCATAAGGGCCAGCAGCGTATAACGACCATAGGGAAGAGGATAGGCCACGGTGTCGGGCGAAGCGGCAGTCTCAGTCTGAGAAGGACAACATCGACCCCTGGTGAGTGCTCTCTCGTCGTCGTTATCAGTTTGCATTGAACGAGCTGGTCATCTAGGAGATCTGTATTCCAAGAGCAACTTGATGGTACAGCAATATCAGGCGTCGTCAATACACTCTCGTCGACAATTCAGTCCTTTCGCGTCTACACAGGACTTGCCGCGCCCAGCGTCGCCGCCGCCTCCTCCACCGCCTTCCGTGCCACCCCACGAGCATGGAGAGCGATCGAAGAAGGAACGCAGATTGCTCAGTGACTTGTGGCTGATGAGTGCTGCAACGTTCCGTCGGTCTGGTAAGATTGAACAGGCGAGAGGTGCTGTTCAGGAGGCGGAGGTCCGGGATGAGGATAACCCTGGGGTGTGGGTTCAAGTAAGCGTCTAGTCCTGGTTGGAAATTCTCTTCTGAAACGACACTTCTCTAGCTGGGATTATATTACACCGCGCTCAACCAGCCACACCATGCGGTTCAGGCTTTCAATAAAGCCCTTTTCATCTCCCCCGACAACATCGCCGCCACCATTCACCTTTGTCAGCTATACCTGTCCCAGTCTCAGGCTGGGACGGCTGCAGACAACGTGGACCTCGCCGCAGGCATGCTCACAGACTTGACACGTGGTGCCGGGTGGGACGTTGCGGAGGCTTGGTATTTCCTCGCTAGGGCGCATGGAGCGAGGGGGATGCGCGATATGGAAAGGGAGTGCTTGTCGTTCGCGCTGAGCTTGTCTGAGGCACGTCCGTTGCGGGACATTGGTCAGGCGGTGGGTTGGTGTCTGTGAGATAAGTTCGGTTAGGAGTATTGGTATGACGGCGATTGAGGGAAAATCTTAGGCAACGTTTAATGGGCGCTGTTTTGTAGCATACAAGTTATATACCCACCCACGCACAAAGCACTACGTTCGGACAGTATGGTAAATGCTCTCAAACAAAATGATCCTGGTTTGCTCGGGTTTTGCGTCTGACCACATTTTTGCTGCTCAACCATGCGGCTATGCGCTGCGAAGAATGAGAGCCCGCTGATTGGTTGGAGGTACTACGGCCGGTCGGTGTCCCAAAGGGGAAAGACCGAAGACCTGTAAGGTACTCATCCTTCCGGAAAGATGACGGATCTCAGGCGCACTGCTCTCCTCAATTTCAACCTCATCCCCTCTGCAACACGCCCCTCCTGTCTTTCTGCTTTCCCATTGCTCCCAAAAATTTACTTAAATCAGATACAATATATGCACTCACTGATGGAATACACTCAAGCCTTCGTGGATTTTCGCGCAGCCTTCAGTCAAGTTTGGACCTCGCATGACGAGCTGGACATGGAAGAGGGTAGCCATCGAATATTTGACGAGGGCATGGGGCCGCACAGTTTCTTGAATCGACACCAGAATGGTCTTCATACACTTGATATCAACACAGGAGCGCCTGTGCGGTTAGGCATGATGTCCGTCATATTCTGTGTCTCTCTCCTTGGTGCGTCGTGCTCCCATACGTGTCTCATCTAGTTCGTTAATCATGAAGGACTCCACTAGCCGTATCCTTTCCGACGCTGTCGAAGCGGGTCAAATATCTCCAGATTCCCCGAGCGGTGTTCTTCATGGGCAAACACTTTGGAACAGGTATGTAAGCGCATTAGGGGTTTTTCGTTTCATTTTGCCAGTTATACACGGGGAAGGCCCCTTTAAGATGACCTTGATCACCTCAAGCATCGTCTTGAGCAGACTGAAAAAAGTCTCCAAATTTTCTAATCTATTCTGCGTTCGTCTCTGTATCTGTGTGGCTGTGCTGGTGCACCGGCGCAAATTCAGACCTCGCCGAGATTATTTTGACAAATATATGCTATTTTTCTTCCATGGATTGCATATGGGATTTCCTTGTGACTAGGTAACTAATAATATGTATTTTTTTCAGGCGTCATCCTGTCTACAGCGTTTGTACATCTATTGCAAGACGCCTTTGAATGTCTTCAAGATCCTGAAGTCAAGAAAAGCACTAACATAGGCAGCTGGACAGGGTTTATCGTGTGAGTACCTTCACCTCAATTTGCTTCTCTCCGTGAGTTGATGAGTTGATATGCCATGCAGACTAGGATCTTTGCTTATAATATTTATGATCGAATGTATAGCTCTGCTTATATTGTCTATCGAAATATGACACTAACATTTTTTAGACATCTCAACCTCTTTTGTCGATCGATATCACTCTTACCCTTCTGCGCCGCCGAGCCCAAAGCTAGAACGTCAGTTTACGTATTTTATCGTTTCATTTTTTTTCCTGTATTAATCTGCATCTGTAGCCGCATCTTTGGCTCTAACCCCCGAAATCGCTCCTCCTGAGCGCACGACCTCTTACAATTCAGAAGTTACTATTAAAGCTTTTCAACCTCCCTTAGAAAGCACCCCGCTCCTGGGGCCCTCATCGTCCAGGCCGACTGCATCGAGCCGCACATACTCTCAACCAGCCTCAGGCGTCCATGGGCATATCCATGTCCATGACTATACAATTCTGGAAGGTCACCATCGCCATGAACTGCGCTGTGCTCATGAAGAACACCACGAGCGCCCACTACGGGACACGATGAATGTTCTTGATGACGGACTTACTCACACCCGTTCGCATAGCTTCAGTAATGGGCATGCTCATGCGCACGTAGATCCGGAGAGTATCTCGGAGGATGCAGAGGATGAAAGCGAAGACGAGGAGATGGCGGTCGGGAGAAAACGACAGATCGTCGGCATCTTGGTACCATACTTCTCTCGTCAATGCCGTGCGTGATCCAGCTAAAGTTTCGGCTCCACACAGGTCCTTCAACTTGGTATCATGATCCACTCGCTTGTCATCGGGCTCACCCTCGCGATCGCATCTGGGGCTGACTTCAGTGCGCTCGATCGATCTCACAAGGGGCAAACATGATCTGATTCGTTTTTCATTAGCATCCCTCGTGACTGCGATCGTCTTCCATCAACTATTCGAAGGCCTTTCGCTCGGAATCCGCATCGCAGGACTCCCAGCACCAGATCCCTCTGCACCACATCAGATGTCCCTCCTCAAACCGATTCTCGCATCCTTGTTCGCAGTGACAACACCCGTGGGTATCTTGATCGGACTCGCCTCGTTCGGCGTCGGGTCCAGTAGCGAAGAGAGTGCGTTTTGCTTGCCAGATTCCAAAATCCGCAACTGCACCCTAAACTGACCTTGCCTGTCATATGTTTTCTGTGCCGATAAGCAGTCCGACTGAGGTTGATCGAAGGCCTCATGTCCGCCATATCCGCGGGAATGCTGATATATGCAGCGTGCGTTGAGATGCTCGCGGGCGACTTTGTGCTCGACCCAACCTTGTGGAGAAGCGGGATCGGGAAACAGGCTGTCGCGTTGATCAGCTTGCTCGCGGGTGTGATGGCGATGGCCGTCATTGGGTGAGTGATCGCGTTTCCCACTATGTACCATCGACAGAATGCTAAATGTGTATTTCTTGTCGATCTCGGCACCCCTACTTGATAGTTTGTGAGTCCAAGTTTCATTGATGCTTGCATCACTATTGCTGATACTTTTCTTGTCTAGGATTCATTAGCGAGCATTATAGGCCTGGTGCCGCTGATCTTGCATTGCTGTACGATAACTGTAGCTTGCCCGTGTTCATTTTGATGGCTTATAAAGAGGTACCCTGACAGATGTATCATACTACTGACATGTAATGTTTCTTGTTCATCCGGGACATCCTCAGTACTTCCCAATATTTATTCACATTCTTGTGTAGCTCGAGAGGCTAGCATGTTCTAAACAGCTTTCTCATCAGACCCCTCTGAGAGTCTCACGCTTGATAACTGGAGATTGATATACGATAGGCCACGAGGGCAATGTATGCCAATCTGCTATCCCTCATCACATGTGCATGTATGTAGACCCAAACCTAGAGTGTGCAAGTCCATCGAATCCGAGCCCATTCACATATGCGTGCCAACGCCTGCAAGAAGCCCTCTAAGCATCGATCCAATATCCCGCTCTCTTGCCAGCGACCCGCGAAGTGATGATACGCTTCGCGTTCTTCGCCGCCTTCGCCTGCTTCGTCGCGGCTGCAGTCTGTCCGCTGGCAGAGACATTGCTGTCGGCAGATGGGGCAGCCACAGCCACTGACTGGGCTGCGGTGGGTTCCACATCAGTGGAAGCAGTGACCAGGGTGTCGCTACCAGCTGCGCTGGAAGCAACCGCGCCGGCGGCAGGGGCCGCAGCGGTGGAATTCGAAACGGATGCGGCACCAGCTGTGGCACCAGCAACTGCAGCAGGCGCGGCGGAGGCAGTAGCGTTTGAAGCGGAATCTGCACTAGCTATGGCGACGCATGAACCGAAGGGACCCACGGGGTTGCGGCAGCGGACGATGCACGCATCGCCGTTAGGGCCACCTTCGCATGTCATGGCACTACATAGTATGACCATTCAACATCTGAAGAGCCGCGGAAAATCGAGATCGACAGGATGCTTACGCTGGCATCTGGACCTCGAGCGGGAAATCTTGGGCCTTGGCCTGGCTGCGCCCGTTCCTGCCCGGCACTTGGGTGGTCACAGTCGCGGCGATGAATGTGTTGCCACCGTCGGCAGATACATCGCACGTGTAAGGACTGTGATAAAAAGAAATATCAGCTGTGAATGAAAGCGGTCACGAACATACACACCCTGCGCCATCCCCGTTCACTTGGTGGAGCGTCATCGAGACAGTCCCGTCGGCAGATGCGGTCGGAAGGCCGGCAGCGGACGCAGCTGTGACGGTAACACAATTAAATCAGCATACATGTATACGATAAAAAAGGAAGAAAGAAGTACCAGCAAGTTGCGCAGCGACATCATTGTTTCCACCCGCCTTGGTACGGCCACAGACACCAACTTTTCCCGAAGCAATTTCTTGATTCTTGATAACAGAAGTATCTTGTTCGAACGGATTCGCTTTCGAGCCATCGCGAGGGGTCGTGGCAATGATACCAAACCTAGAAATTTCGAGTCTCACTGTCAGCTCTATAACTCATGACCATAGAAAGTCATGCTCACCCAGCAGCGTTCACACCGTTAGCCCCGGTGACCGCGGTGATTGTACCGTGCGCGCTCGTCTGACTGACAAGAGATGCCGCAACAACAACAGATGCAAGGAGAGCGTTGAAGAACATTTTGCGAAGCTCGGAGGACTAGGGAATCGCGTAGTGTTATGCTCAAGGTAGTGAACGTCCTGATAGCAGAAGAGTGTCTAGCACTTGGAAGGTCCGGCCTGGCACACAACAAAGTGTCAGACCAAAATATAATGAGTTTTGCATAGGCATTACCGAGAGTAAGAAGATTAAAGGGGTGAAGAGCGGACCGGCACTCGAGAACTGTGAAAGAAGGCAAAGGATGCGGAGGATGGTTGAAAGCGATTTGGCTTAGCGTCTTTGCGAGACGTCTGGACTTCCTTTATACTCGTGAGGTTGACCCTAGTAAGCGTATCGAACACGGAGAGAATTCAGATTGCTCCCGGAACCAAGCGTTGGTACGGTCAATTGCACAGGAATGCACTGACCTCGTGTCATGTCAACCTGAAGCCTGTTCTCAGATTACTAGAGAAGCAGACGGAACAACATGGAAAACGTATAAATTTTATACGTACATTTGCCCTCAGCACTGACAGTTCGTAGTCCTGAAAAAAAGGACTACACTTGCGCTGACTTGATGCATGCAGGTGCGGCTTGACGGATCTATTGTCTGCCACGAAATCCGAGCTGCCCGAGGGGGTAACATGAAAATCGCAAGTTCGGAGACAGCTTCCGTCAAGTGATTGCACCTGTTCAACAGAACATCAGATATGATGAAGAATGAATGTTACCTGGTGACCAGTACAGGCTCTTTGAAAGAGGCACAGCACGAAACCTTCAAGTCATGAGAGCCTTGATAAGAGTGCAAAGGCCCGTGTGGACGTTGGCAGATCTGTATTTCGGGAAGGATCATTGGCATGTCGCAACATCCTGAATTTTCAGCGTGACGTTGTAGACCTCGGTACACCGCCGATGCGACTATTCGCTGTAATCTTTGACCGTCACTCCGACACCCATTTCTTTTGCACGTTCGACAACTGCAGCCGCAATCGCAACATCCTGGGCGCCGACACCAACGGATTTGAATATGGTGACATCTCCTACGTTCGAAAGTCGCGTGACCACTTCGTCATTCCTCTTCCACTTCCATTGTCCGTCTTCATGACCAATTTCTTGCACGAGCTGTCCGATCTCCACGATGTTTTCCTCTTTGATCCCAGCAGTGAGTAGCTCTCCGGCTTCGACAAGGCATGCTTCGCGTGAGTCGACGACTATCACTCCGCCACGACGCACAAGTTCAGTATCTATCTCATGCATCGATGGAGTGTAGCTCCCGACAAGGATGAGGTGTACACCTGGCCTGACCCACTCAGAAGGGAAGAGTGGCACGGATGAAGAGGTAGCCGTGCAGATTATATCTGCAGACGTGACAGTGGCTTGCAGGTCAAATAATTCCGACGAGATAGAGGTGACGCCGATCTTGAAAACTACAGATGGGTGGCGGGAGCGGAGGTACGAAACAAGACCCGTGATACGCTCATTAAGGGAGCGATTGACGATGGTGACTTCTTTCAGGGACTGATATGTCGTGAGTAGGAGATCTACGTGAGCTTGAATCTGCTTGCCAGCGCCAAATGCAACAAGCGTTCTAAATAGAGCATCATCAGGCGGGTGAAGCAGAGCTGTTGCGAGGGTGGATCCTAAGATGTTTCATTCGGCATGCAGTCAATGTGACGAACCGAAGTAGGTTACGAACCGGCTGCAGTGCGGAGTGCGGTCAAGTTGCTTGCGTTGACAATCGCCTTGGCGGCTCCCGTATCCTCATCGATAACCAATGTCGACCCAGGTAGACCACGAGAGGGACCCGTAGGAACGGATACGACCTTGATGGAAGTGCCAACTCCAGCGATTCGCGAGGGCATGAAGAGCGCGCGGAATTTGGACATCTCAATCCCAGACCTCTGAGGAGTGACAATGTTCTTGTTAGCAGAGATATAGAAGAAGACCTCGGCCATTAGATTCTGCAGCGTTTCGGAAGTCAATGCGGATGTCACTCTGTCCACGTCTGGACCCGAAAGTACCAAGAGCGACATGATCAAAGAGGGCAATGTGCTGCGATGTGAAGCCGACGATGAGAGCGAGAATCAAATAATTCGAACAGTTGCGGGTTCAGCGCACTTGCTCTTAGGTAGACAAGGGCGCTGACTTACTCGTGAAACTGCTTTTCTCCCTGATTGAATGCTTGGAGTATATTGAGAGTACGACAAGTACCTACCCCGCAGATTTTTAGGGAGTACTAGATCCTACTGAGATGATGATGAGGCCAGAAAGCGAGCAAAATCCAACGACGATGAGTGGAAGTAAGTGCTAAGGGCCGTTCTGACTCAAACCGCCGATATGTAGATAAGATGCATCTGCGCATAAAGATAAGATAAGGCTGCTCTCCAATAGGAAACGAGACAAGTGCCAAGTGGACATTGAACAATGCTTCGTAGGACGGAGGGACTGCATCCCGAGTACAGTTTCGAAGACTTTTATGAGGTACAACCGCAGTTTGAGTTCCGGGAAAGAGATATACGTGTGACTTCATCCTCTGCGCTTGGCCTCAAGATGAATGGTGATCGTCCGCGTACCCTCTCGCGATACCTGAGCGCCCCTGTTCAAGTGCACTCGGTGCATCTACGCCAACACGAGTCTCGAGTCCACGGAAAGTCCTTGACTGTAGAAACTCCCCTATCGTTCAGACCCAGTGAGCTGCTTGAAAAAATGAACGGGGGATCGAACTGACCTGCAGCGCTATCTCTTAAGGTCGCGACGGTGTTGTCTTGATTGCGCAGGATGACAGCGGATGAATTCTCAATAGCACCTGGCTGCGTGTCATCGTCTGAGTATCTTGATGAGCGAAAGTGCGTAACATTAGAGCTAATCAATACATACTACCATAGCGCTTGGCATGACGATACTTCCCTGTGACCAGCGAGAAGACAGGCTGGTCTGGATCGTTCATGTCAGATACATTATCTTCTGCCATTCCATCTGTACGATATGGGTGCGTTTGCGAAGCGTCGTCCGAGTTGGAAAGCAGCCGGTCAAAGTCCAAGACATATTCTCCTGTCCAGACCGGTTCAGGCTGTAATGCGATCTGCAGTTCATATGGCGTTACTATCGGCCGGAAAAAATCCTGTGATGTTCCTAGTCAACAAAATTCGGGACTGAGACACAAGATGTTATTACCTTCGAATCGATGAGACTGTTCTCAGGACACGCAACCAGGACGAAACATTCAATTTCCATGAAATTGGCAAGCTTCGCCGGATTCAGCTTGCCTACGCTGATTGTGTATGATTTTTTGTGCGCCTGCTTCAGTATCCGACGGAGGTGGGATATAAGAGGCAGATATGAAGCTGTGAACAGAAAAGATCGCCATACGTATCGTTCAGCGTTGATGGTCATGGTCATCGAGATTTTTATACCACTTACAAATTCCAAGAGTCCCGATGAGGATACCAAAGACGTCAGCGTCTCGAGCTTTTTGTACGACGGCATATCGTCTCATGAGAAGCTTGTTCGTGCGAAGGGATTCGAGATGACTTTCTCGTGTTGCAGGATCGTAGCTATGCACCTGAAGGCGATTGAAGACAAAGGTTTCGAAGTCAGGGTTCCAAGAAGAAGAAATGAACAGATAAGGACATTGGACACACACAGGAGTAGATGAATGCGTCATAATTAAATTGGTGAGTCCTAGACTGGACGGTCCGACGTATAGAATTGTCACAAGACTGTGTTCTACGCCCCAAGCTCTGGAGTTGCCGTCGAGGGGATCGGGCGCTAGCGCTGTGCTTGGCTCGAGCCGATCAGGCATTTTTGAATATAATATATCTGACTTGAGCGCCGCACGAAGTGATGATACAATGGTCTCTTCACAAGGATGTCAAACACTAATGCAAGATAATTCGACTAGGCTAACTTACCTGCCTGATGTGTATAAGCGACATCGTGCTTGAACAAGAGAGTCCGGCTAGTTTCCGAGGGCGAGGATCTCAGTGATCGTACGAGGCTCTGAACACAGTCTGTTACATCGATAGACTTTTTCCCAAAAACATAGATCACAGGAAGTCGATATGTCCTGAAGCCGAGATTAACTCCGACAGTCAAGAAGCCACGGAGAAAGCAGTCTGAACTTGCTCATGCACGCGTGGCCGTAGTGTATTATTGCGTCGGCATCGACATGCTGGGCAGCAACATCATCAGCACAACAACTTTTCGCGACAGTGAAAAGGTTAGAGATGATGAAAGCTTGCAACAGAAATGAAGCATGCCTGCCGTAAGAGGTATCCGCCAGCACATATAACTCGCGACCATCCCCAATTTTTTGCTTTAACAAGCGGTAGATGGGAACCGAGTGTTGAAGTAGTTCGTCTGGAAATTGGAGAGCTATCTGAGAGTTAACAGTAAGATTAGTTTGAGGATAATGGTGCGATCTCCTACTCGTTTGTAATCGCCGGATAATATTTCCTTGGATGTGCGACTGATTTCATAGTACTCGGCAAGCTCAGATTTGGGTATGTACCCCGCAACCTGCACTTCCGAAGAATCTAGAACGACGGGGCGCGAGATGGCCTCCTCTCCTGAGGACGAGAAGGGGTGGCTTTCTGTCATTGGCAGCTATGTCAAATGTTCGTAGCTGGAAAATGGAGACAAAGTGAATGGGTGGAAAAGTATGAGAGAGAAAGCAAAGGGATGTGCGTGGAACTGTTCTGGTGCACGATAGGGAGTAGCTGACAAATCCTGCTTTGCAAACTCTTCCTCTCTAATTTCTAACCGCTTGTAGCCCAGTGTAGCCCTTTATACGAGTGTTCGCGCCTTCCTCTTTGCCAATCAAAAGCATCGTCGCTCCAATTGCCATGTAACGTTTTTCACGTTAGCCTTCTCTGTCTAGCTCCGAGGCATGCATATTCCGTTCACGACAAACACGTGTCGTCGGGGCACTCGGATCCCTCATGTTCTATATGCACCTTTGCTGCGTGGAGCGAATCACGGTCCGAGACGCCCATTTGTCCAACACGCTGTTAAAGCTGGCAGGTGTAGGTTAATTTTAGAAATTACAACTCATCGGTCATCGGCTGAGCCTGAACAAGCAGCGCATCTCGTTGTTGGTCTTCATCCCTCTTTCCCATGCGTTGCGGCTTTGCAGCTCTGGTGCTTGGAGCTGGGTTGATATCGTTGAAGTATCATGGTGTCGCAGCTGTTCAACAATGTCGGTTGCAAATATCAGCGAACACCAATGGCGGGAGCTCAGGCACACCGTCGTCGCCGTCGGCAAGCACAACGGAGGCAAGTAGTACCACAAGTACCTCCCCAAGTAGCAGTCCCTCTGCTCTCCCCCCATTTCAGTACGGGAAGGCGCCGGTAAGGGGAGTGAACCTGTGAGCTTAATTTCAAATAAATCACATCGAAAGCAGCTAAACGCTCCAAACCGTCCCTAGTGGGGGATGGTTCGTACTGGAGGTAGGCGGTCTCTGCTTGTGCACCCTCTTTACTGACTACATACGTCACCGAAGCCCTGGATAACGCCTAGCATATTTAACAATACCAACAATACCGCCATTGTCGATGAGTACACATTCGGCCAATACCTAGAAGGAAATGTCGCGCTCCAGATCCTGCAAGATCACTGGAACACATGGATAACCGAGTCCGATTTCATAGCCATCAATGCAGCAGGCTTGACCCATGTTCGGTAAGATAATCGCTATATCTGCGCCGATGGCTCATTTTTCAATTGCATTCGACCCTGCAGGATACCCGTCGGATACTGGTCCGTTCCGACAGGAGTCTCTGTTGCGCCTTTTATCTCGGGCGCATGGCCTTATCTCCTGCGCGCTCTCCAATGGGCCCGGAAGCATTCGATCTATGTGATCCTCGACCTCCACGGTGCACCAGGCTCTCAGAATGGATACGACAATTCTGGGCAGCGGACCAGCAACCCAGTTTGGGGGGTGAATCCTGAGAACGTGACGCGTACACTGAACGTGTTGAGCGTCATCGCCAGCGAAGTTGGGGGAATGGTTGATATTATTGAGTTGCTGAACGAGGCCGCGGGATTTACTGGCGGGAGCTGGCCTGCGACTATAAGAAGCTTTTGGCAGGATGGGTACGTTGTGGTGCGAAATGCGACTGGTCCAAATGTGAAGGTGATGATTGGAGATGCATTTTTGGGTGTTCAAGTATGTCCAACTTTCGTCTAGAATGTGGGCAGCGTGACTGATCGGATGCTGCAGAGCTGGACGGACTTCTTGACATATCCGAGTGCGCAGGGTGTTCTCATGGATTATGTATGTTTTCTATGTCATCCGTCATTTATATACTTGAACAATCGACTCCACATCAGCATGACTATCAAATATTCAGTGTCCCAGAACTTTCTCGCTCACAAGATCAACATGTCGCGGTATACATTTACCCCTACATTTCTCTATGATGTTTGTTCAGCTCATGATACATGATAGTTTGCGTGCACTCTTCTTCCAGGTCTTCAATCATTCGCAAATTCCAACCTTTGGACCTTGACGGGCGAATGGTCGACGGCCATCACCGATTGTGCATTGTGGCTCAACGGACGCGGAGTTGGCTCCCGCTGGGACGGGACGTACGACAGCACGCCGGCATTAGGATCGTGCGACGGGTTCACTGGTGACTCGTCGAGCTTTTCTAGTTCCTACAAGGCTTTTCTCCGCAAGTGAGTCTCTCTTCACTGAAAGGTCGAATGACCGAGGCATTGACACGATGCATTGGTACAGATACTGGGAGGTTCAGGTAGAGATTGGGGAGAGTTTACAGGGATGGGCATATTGGACGTGGAAGGTGGGCCCCGCCTACTTGTTTGCAAGCAATTCGAGCTCATGAATTGCCCTGCTGATCAGGCAGAGAACGCTGACGAATGGAGTTACCAGAAAGGCCTTGAGGGGGGGTGGATCCCGATGGATCCTTCTGACAGGTTATACCCGGGTTTATGTAGTGGGAACAGCACGGGAGATTGATCACTTGAACAGTGTTATCTGGTTTAGAATGTAGTCGATAGATTTTTATTTCGGGACCATCCCTTGAATTATTCATGGCAATTGGAATTGTTTGCTCTAATACTGAATTCTGAGTACTGATCAGCGCGCTATAGGCCTTTATGTCGCAATTGTGATGATGTCACAGTTATTAGCTAAGCTGCCAGCTAGAACACGAATGGTTTGCCGTCCGCGCAAGTGCCAGCTTCAATTCCCATCTCTCATGTCTTCAGACGACGCTCTCCTCGACCGTCTTCAGTCCTTTGTCTCGGAAAACAGGCGCGGTGTGCTCATTGCCGCCGCTGCCGCTGCTGCAGTCATCGCCATCGGCGGTGTTGCATACTACAACGGGGCGGCAGGAGGGGATGACGAGGAGAGCCTCAAGTCGGACAAGAAGAAAGACAAGAAAAAGCAAAAAAAGCAGAAGAAGTCGGTGAAGGATAAGGACGGACCCATCTTAGAAGAGAGAAAGCCTAAGGGAACTGAAGTCTCCGATGACGGTGCGCTCAATTCCCCTGACGCGCCTCGTTCTCTGATCCTGTCTCGCACAGAGGGTGTCGCCTTCACTGAAGTGCAACTTGGCTCTATGTCTGCAGAGGTGAGTCATGGTGAGTGTACGTCTCTACCATCTGTATTCACCGTAGGATAGGATCGGGTTGGAGCCGCCGCCTCGCTCAAGCTCAAGGGAAATAACGCGTACCAGGGTCGTAAATTTGCCGTTGCCGCCGACTTCTACTCTCGCGCGATAGAGGTATCTCCTAAACCAGAACCAGTCTTCTACAGCAACCGCGCGGCATGCTACATCAATATGTCCCCCCCAAAATTCGATCTTGTTGTCGAGGACTGCGACAAAGCGCTCGCGCTTGACTCGAAGTATGTGAAGGCGCTCAACCGGCGCGCAACTGCTCTTGAAAATCTCTCCCGGTACGAGGAAGCCTTGCGAGGCGAGTAAGTCTGTGCTCTTATAATGCGCTGAGCTGATAGAATCCGGTGTTGCCGTAGACTACACTGCTGCTACAATTCTCGACAAGTTCCAAAACGAGGCGGCTTCTCAGGCTGTTGAACGTGTGCTCAAGAAGTTGTCGGGCGAAAAGGCGACGGAGATTCTCGCTGTATGTAACGGCTATATCTCAGCGAAAACTACTGACAATATTCTGCATCAAGTCTAGGGAACCCCGTCTTCCCTCTTTCACTTTTGTATCGGCCTATTTTGCGGCGTTCCGTCCACGTATGGGATATGATTGATTGACTCCTGTCGATTTTCATTGATGTCTTGACGTCACTGCAGGACCACTGCCCGCCCTCCCAGAAGAGCCGTCCACTGGAGACAACACTCTCATCATGGCGTTATCGGCACTTGAGGCGTCAGACTATGCTCATGCGTTGACGCTCGTCAATGAGGCTCTTGAACAGGGCATCTCATGGAATGTGGGCAGAGCGGAAGCACTCAACCTCCGCGGTACCTTCAAGTGAGTGCCCTCGATCAGCCTCATACTTATCATGCCTGGACTAACTGATCATTTTACGCAGGTTCTTGACAGGCGATATCAATGGCTCGAAAGAGGACTTGAACGCGTCAATCGAGCTGGTCCCCTCCTTAACGCAGAGCTGGGTCAAGATTGCTAGCGTGCACATGGAACAGAATGATCCGGTAAAGACCTTCGAATGCTTTGAGGAGGCTATCAAGCACAACTCCGAGGACCCAGATATCTACTATCACCGCGGGCAAGGTATGTGATTTCCCTTTCCCCGCCGTCTTTGCTCACTGTCTGTGCCTTAGTTCTTTTCATCATGAATGAGTTCCAACAGGCCGCAGAAAACTACACCAAGTCCACTTCGCTGGATCCCGACTTTGTATTTTCGCATATCCAACTGGCTGTCGCTCAGTACAAGTCTGGGGACCTGGCAAAAAGCATGGCGACCTTCCGGAGGACACTTAGAGAATTTCCTCAGAAGAGCGAGCCGCAGAACTACTAGTGCGTGTAGTTCTTCTGATGATGATGCTGTGTATTGTGTCAGTGCTGACATCTTGGAACACCGAATAGTGGTGAGCTTCTGCTGGACCAACAGAGGTTCCAAGACGCGGTGGAAAAATTCGATCGTGCTATCGAGCTTGAGCGTCTAAAGTACGGTGCCTTTTGCCTTTTTCTCTCTGCGAGATGATACTGATTATTATATCAGGACGCCAGTGAACGTCCTTCCTCTTGTGAACAAGGGTCTTGCTCTGTACCAATGGAAGCAAGATAGCGGCGCCGCCGAGCGATGCTGCCTTGAAGCCTTACGAATAGATCCTGAGTGTGAGGCTGCCATTGCAACCCTCGCGCAACTCAGCCTGCAGCAAGGGAAAGTTGACCAAGCAGTACAAATGTTCGAGCGGCAAACGAAGCTGGCAAGGAGCGAGCCCGAGCTGGCCAACGCGTTGACATATCAATATGTTAGTCCCTTACTCATCATTAATCTCACTTTCGCGGCCATGACATTGAGTGCTGACTGAACGGTGTCCTTAATAGGCTTCGTATGCTCAACTGGAATTTATGAAAAACTATCCGGAACTTGCAAGCCAGCTGAGCCAGCTTGCGCGGTCGATGGTCTGAAGACTGCATACGATCCTGGGATTTTTGCATAAATAGAGTGATACTTATGCCATTATCGACTCCTCCCGATGTGCCTCACGATCCGTAAGCCAACCATATCGCTGGTGTGGTCTTCCGAGAACGGTCACTGGGTGCAGTTGAGGGTCTATTCTTGCGTTATTTGCGTCGCTCACTTTCTTATCTACTTAACGCCTACGCCATTACATTGTCCTTATAATCCTATGCCGAACGCACTTCTCACAGGTAACATGACGTGCTATCAGGAATAAGGTCAAATGCATGCACTCAGTGAAATCTTCCTAGACGTCTGCCGGGCTCGGGTAAGTGATCGCTCATGCCGGTAATTCCTGCAAGAACCTGACATTGCTGACGAATGTGTACTGAAGCAGACAGTCACCTTGAGAATTTTGGGGATTGTGAACTTGTTGAACCACTCAGTGGTCTTTGTCTCCGCAACATGTTTCAAGGTCTTACAACGGATCTTAGGTTCGGAAAAATACTTGTTCGTCTGACCTGGATCCGAGTTAGGAGCAGTCATCGAAGATCGTGTGTTTTCAATTTGTCTCATAGTATTACCCTAGTGGGCCGCCATTATCGATTGGGCTCGAGGTTCAGCTGAAGGCGTGTGGATTTGTCGCGATTCGCACTTTGAATGAGTATACAATGTATTCTGCTGACATGGATTACTGGAAAAGGCGAAAGAGGGGTTGAAAGAAGTTGGGAGTCGATCGGGCATTCGATCCCCCAACGCCGAAGCCGCATCAGAGCTTACTCTGCATGTTCGAAAAGTATAAAACAGTTTCTGTTCTCTGCTGAGTACCCAAAAACTCTGAACTCTAAGACTCCTACTGCAGCGAAGAAATACTATGTCACGTATACTCGTAAGTTAAGTTTCGTTACATTCTGGCCACATTCTTACGCTCTTCCTCTGCCCAGGTTACTGGAGCGTCAGGGTTTCTCGGATCTGTCGTCGTAGATCAACTGCTTGCGGCTGACTATAAAGTTCGAGGGTCCGTTATCTTTTTTTTGCTCCAATTTTCAAACATTCATCGAAAGCGTCCGACAGAACTGTTCGATCTTCCAAAGCTGACCGCGTCAAGAAAGCATACGCCTCTTTCGGAGACAAATTTGAGATCACGGTTGTTGACGATCTAGCCACTTCTGATCTCACTGCGGCTTTCCAAGGTCGTGTGTTTTTCAAAATGTCATTGGTACTTTGCTAATTGCCCTGTTTCATGCCGCCGTAGGCGTGACTGCCTTGATTCATGTTGGCTCGCCGCTGGCAGGTTCTGCTGTCGCAGAAGAGGTCTTGAAGGTCTGTGTCAAATTATATCGCGAATTAATCACAATCAAGATGGTTATGTCCTCGTAGAGCGCTATCTCTGGAACCGAGCGCGTTCTCGATTTCGCCGTCAAAGCTGGTGTCAAGAAGGTTGTCGTCACTAGCAGTGTAGCGGCCATGACTCAGCCCAGCGACATGTTTGTTGATCGCACCTTCGACGAAACTGGTGCGTTGAACTTTGACATTTCTTTGCGGACTCATCGACCTATGAGATGCATCTATAGAATGGAACCCTATGACATATGAAGAGGCCTCAAAGCCAGAGGCTAGCGGTTTCGAAGTCTATTGTGCATCCAAAAAACTGGCTGAAGAAGTTGTGTGGAAATTCGCTAAGGAGCACCCGAACATCGACTTCGCCACTGGTCTGTTGCCATCTTCCTGGCGTGCTCTAACTCCTGCGTACTAACAGCCGTGATTTTAGTCAACCCCTCATTCTTGTATGGACCCTCAGGGCGAGGACAAGTCCTCGATTCCCCTGCCAATGGCACCAACGCTATGGTGTACGCGCTCATCAAAGGGCCCAAGGGACGGCCGATTCCCAATCAAGTCCTTTTCCCAAATTTCATCCACGTCGCCGATGCGGCAAAGGCCCACGTTCTGGCCCTCGCAGCCCCTCCGTCTAAGACGCCCAAAAGACTGATCGTAAATGGAGGAAGTGTCACTTGGAAGCAGGCGGCTCAGTATCTTGCTGAATCACGTCCTGACCTCAAGGACAGACTGCCTGTGATTACAGGTGATGAAAAGGTTCCGGAGGTGTGGGCAAAGTTTGATACTAGCAGCGCTGAGCGCCTCATAGGGCTAAAGGACTACATAAACTGGAAGGAAACCATCAGCTCCACTATAGATGACATTCTGGAGCGAGAGAAGGCGTTTGGGGTTGCAGTGCTTTAATAGACACTTTCATGCTTGTGTAGAAGCTGGGGAGAGTACGACGTCAACAGTTTGCTCGTGCGCACAAGTTACTCTAAGAGCACGCGGAGCAGTGCTGTGTCTGGGTGTTAACATTTCTGGCTGGCATGCAACGAAGATGGAGGAGACTGAGTTGCAAGAGCGGCAGGATGTCAAGTCGTGGGAGGTTGAGTTGGATCATTCATCCAAAGCCCAGAAACAACCAGTTTGCAAAATATTTAGTGTGTTTAAAGTGCCTTTAAGAATTAGGAAAATTTGTACCGAGTCAAGACTTCTCCAGCCTTCCACCGGAAGCATTTCGGTCTTGTTTTTGTCGCGATTTCTGTGCCGAATGTCATGATTTATTGATACATATAATATAACGGTCAAAGGGTCCAAGCGAGCACATACGCCCATTTTGTTCCGATAGCACCATCGCTTGGAATTAGAGTGCCCAGGGCTTCTCGCTCCGGTGATTTCGTCTTAAATAAATGTATCGGAGTATTAGCACAACGAGAGCGCCTTCCAAAAGGAATCCTGCATTCGTAAAGTGGCCAGTCGGGTATCCAGGCGCTTCGCTGCTCTTATAAATATAAACACCTTGAACACTCTAGGTCAAGCTGAATCCCTCTCAAAAAATGTGCAGATTGCCTTACCGATGATTTGACCGATCTGCCCGATTGACACATTGAGAGGGACTGCCAGTGTTGAGGCCGCTGTGTTTCGTAGGTTGGCAGTGAGCCAGCTCAGCAACGGCGGAATGCTGGCGAAGGAGAATGATACAGCTATGCAGAGGATACCATACCGAGCTTTGAAGGAAGTTGGTGGCAATGCACCTCGACTTCAAGGTAAGACGGTATGGAACGTAGAACGAATTAGGCCGACGCACCCTGTACAAGGAAACATATGCCTGCGATGACAAGCGATATGAAGGCCATCCATGACCTCATCTCATACCTGTCTGCCAGCCAAGCGACGAACACAGTCACCACAAAAGCAGCTGCATACGGTGGGACTGAGAACAGCTGGGCGTCAAGACCTTCGTAACCTAACCCCGACACGATCGTCGGCGCAAATAAGGATATGCTCGAGAATGGGACTGAGATCGAGATGTAGATCAAGTAATGGAGATAGAGCCGCCAATCCGTCAACGTCTCCTTAGACTGCTCCCAAGTAATTTTTGAATGGCCCAACGAGGCGACTCCTTTGAGTCGGTTGACTGCAAGTGCGCGTTCCTCTGGTGAGAGCCACAGTTCCGTCTCAGGGTAGTTGGGAAGGATCAGGACGGCGGCTACTGCGCATACACAAGAAGGTGCACCTTCAATCAGAAAAAGCCAACGCCATCCCTCCAGACCACGGACACCGTTGATATGGCCGACGCCAAACGCAATAGATCCGCCAAAAGCACCCGCCAGGGTCGCGCACGCAAGGATGAGAGCGATGCGTATCGCACGTTCATTCGGACGGTACCAGATCGTGAGGAAATAGACCATCCCAGGAAATAAGCCCGCTTCGAAGGCGCCGAGGAGAAACCGGACGGCTGCAAGCCCGCCAAAGTTTGACACAGATGCAAGTATCATTGTCAAAGAGCCCCACGAAAACATGAGGAAAGCAAGCCAACGTGATGGACGATATTTTTTGAGCATGTAGTTGGATGGTGTTTCGAATAGGGTGTAGGAGACGATGAACAGAATGAGGGCTGTGAGGTACTGTTCGTTAGAGATCCCTAGTGTTTGGACTAGCGAATCTCCGGCATTGCTATTGAGTAGTTTGGCATTGCCCTTCAATGTATGAATTAGTTCACAGTTTTGATTGAGCACAACACAGCACAACGGAAGGAACGAACAATGTTGGACCTATCAAGAAAGCAAAACAGATAGATCGACATGCAAGCAGGAATAATCCTGAGATCAATGCGCTTTACTAGCCTAAAGATGGCACCTGTTAGCTCTCGTTAAATCAGTATGTTGGTATCGAACCCACTTCTTCTCTGCTTCAGGATCTACGATATAATCCTTATCATATACCAGTTCGCCAAGGCTTGGTATCTGCTTCTCAGCGTCTTTGTGTAGAAATGCCTTGTTCAGAATATCTGGAGGAGGTTTGGACATCTCGCCTACAACGATCTGGCCAATCACTGAATCCGAGAGATGCTAGAGGGAGATGAAGGAGCGCATTGATAGTGTATGGAGTACTTATAACTTCTTCATGCACTTAGTGTTCAGGTCCCGCTTATATTAGACTATCAAAAATGACCAGATGACGGCCCTGGTGGTTGGAAAAATACGTACTGCACTTCGGACCGATTAGTCGGAAGCAGGGCCGATGTCGCATATCCGGAGAGGTGATAGGTCAAGTGAACGAGTTGTATAAGCATGTGATGGAGGACGGATCTCGTCGACAACCAGAAGTGAGCGTGGAGGAAACCACATAACTTAAGAATAGATGTCCGGCCCAAGAATCAGAACTCACACGACATACATCCACATCGTATATCTACATCTCCATGAACCCGTTGATCCACTATAGTCATGTAAGGAGAAAGACACGCACCCCAACATCAAGATTTTACATATCTTCCAACCCGATGCCAAAATAAATTCTCTTCACTCTCGCCTTCTTTGGCCCATACATCCCTTGTTGTCCAAATATCCAGAGATTCGATCCACAAGTGCGTCGGGCGATCTAGTCTACACCCGTCAAACGCTTTACTCCAGATCGGGGTCCAGAACCTCTGCCACCAGGCCACATCCGCCCGAGGACTGAGGACATGTTCGTAGAAGAGCAACTGGCCACCAGATCTCAACAAATTGTCCACCATGGCCGACAGAACGGCCCTGGGCTCTGGAATGGAGCAAAACGAGAGGATGGACACAATAGTGTCTACAGAATTTGGACCGCCGAGAGCAGACACGATGGAAGGGACTTCTTCAGCTCCGTAGGCCAAAATCACAAGTGATCCCGAATTCTCGTTATAGCCGGAAGCATTGGCCAATTGACGGATGGCGTCATGCATCAGTGTATTTGGTTCCAGGGCGACGTATTTAGTGACGCTGGCACGATTGAGATAATTAAGGAGATGTCCACGTCCTAAGAGCAGAGAGGAGATCAGTAGAAGCTCAGAATAGAGTCAAATGTCACCGACCGGCACCGACGTCTAATACGGTCCCGTACGCATTGTTAGGAACCAGACTTTGTTTTGCATCCCGACCTCCTTCGTCGACCAAGTCTCCGAACGTACGCCACACGTGAGACATAAATACCTGTGATATTGTCTGAGGGCGTAAGAGTAAGGATGGTGATCGGAAAATAGCACGAATTGTAGGAAGGAACGCGACGCTAATCGCATATCTGAAGTCCACGACCAAACCAAATGCTGCCGATAACTTCATCTGTGCGTTCGGACGGCTCTCAGAATATTCGATGTGATGGCAAGAGACTTGTTGGTGTCCTCGATGCGAAGCCAGGCTGATCCTGGCCATTTATAGGGCGTAGTTCCCACGCTCGGTGTGGGCGTAATGACGAATTTCCCATGGCGTCCTCCTTTAGTGTCCTAACATTCCGGGTGCCCAACGTCCGTCGTCCACCACAGGCAGCGGCACTCACCTTGGGGGTGCACCTTTTGTCGGGAGGCATAACAAATACTCGCATACGCCGACGAGAGCGCCATCGTTGACAGCAGAGACATAGGACCATCACAGTATAGCTGTTCCTCTAAGGCCTGAGGTGTGCATCATGAACTTTTTTGCATGGCCTCTTACCCATTCATCATCGGTTCATAGGAGAAAATATCCCACAGAACCACGCTTGTCATGTCTTCCTCCTCCGGTATAATCCGAACATGCAACCAAATATGGGCTGCGTTTCTGGCTGCTGTCGGACGTCTTGACAAGTCGCTTTCGCCTCAAGACACCCTACGCCGCCTTCAGAACCACTCCTGGTCGTATTCGGATCTTGTTTACGCATTCCACATTGTCCTCGCTACCTTCTGGATCACCATCATGCAGTTCCCAGCATTCCCCCTCAAGCTCGGCATCCCCGTGTTATACGCCGTTCTCCTCCTCATCCCATTGACCTCCCAATTCTTCTTTCGGTTCATCCCGATCGCAGCCTGGCTCCTCACATTTTACTCCTCTCGATTCATCCCTGACGAGCACCGTCCGGCCATCTCCGTGTCCGTGCTCCCAACACTGGAGTCTGTGCTGTACGGTGCAAACATTTCGGACATCCTGACTCGTTTCACGCACCCTGTTCTCGATGTCCTCGCCTGGCTCCCGTATGGTGTGATACACTTCACTTTCCCCTTCGTCGTTGGTGCGTTTCTATGGCTGTTCCGCTCGAAGGAAGCTCTACATTTCTGGGGCCGCGCCTTCGGTTACATGAACCTCATCGGAGTCATCATCCAGATTCTCTTCCCTTGCGCTTCACCTTGGTACGAAGTCATTTTCGGGCTGACACCCGCTGACTACTCCATGCTCGGCTCACCTGGCGGTCTCCTACGAATCGACAACATCTTTCACTCCCACGGTTACACCATCACGTTTTCCAACGCACCAGTCATTTTCGGTGCATTCCCGTCGCTACACTCCGGATGTGCTACCATCGAAGCACTGGTTCTCTCCCATTTCTTCCCGCAGACGACAAAATACGTTTGGACCTACGCAGGCGTTCTGTACTGGGCCACGATGTACCTCACGCATCATTACCTGGTCGACGTGGTAGGGGGATCATGCCTCGCTATCGCATGCTTTTACTGCTTCCTCCCTGATGAGCTGCGGGGAGCAGGTGCGACCGCGTCATCCACCGGTATCTCAAATGGTGCAACGGGCGGACGGTCGAAGTATGAGATCTACGATCTGGAGTCGCGTGGAGGACGGAATGGAGGGGTGGACACGACGGATTTTGAACTCTCGAGCGAAGCATCAGACGAAGAAGATATTGGGATCGCGTATCGCTCGCCTGCGATCATTCCTACGACTCCTGCCTCGGCGACGCCTTTGATCGCAAAGAATCAAGGTCAGGGACGAGGGAGCATGAAGCAGCCGAAAGGCGCCCCGCCTCGGCGGAATCACCGTCACACAGCAAGCATTGCGAGTCTGATCCGGGCAGATGACCGGGTGGAGGATGGGTGGAGTCCAATAGGAAACAAATCGTTCGTGTTCCCTCCAACGCCAACGCGTGCTGAAAGGGATGTGGGCGCGAAGGGGTCATAGTGGGTACCAGTGTAGACATAGTCACTACTAATTGTGTTAATCTGCCCTTTTTTCTCCGACAATCTCATCTCAGGATTGGAGCGCAAACACTTGTCTCTATTGCATCTTTCTCTTTCTAGTCTCTCTTTGTGAAGTCTTTATTTGCATGGCATATCTTGATCGTGTCGCTTCCCTCCCTCTGCTTATTAGTGGACTGACTGTGGTACAGCTGGGACTGACCATGTCTGGAGCAGAATTGGATGGACGTCATGCATCGCTAACATTCCTTGCTAGATGACAGTGGATACATATATACCGTTTTTCCGATCCCGGCCTCCAAGCATGTGAAGCAGAAAGACATTAGATATCTAGGAATCTACTTTTCGAACAATGGCTGCTGCACACTTGCTGTAGACTCTATTAGCACCTCAGAATTTTAGAGTTGTGTGCGACCATAATTTTTAGTCGTACAGAGGGCCCTTCTTTGCTCATCGGCATCAGCAAACCGGGAAGTGTCTGTACAGACCTGGACAGACGTTTCAGAGCCCCAGATGCTCCTAGCAAGTCCCCAATTAGACAGACACATGACTTCTGGCCAGGTGTCTGGACAGACATGTCCAGACGTACCATTTTTGGCCAGATGCACCATATACGGAAGTGATTAGATAATTGTCGTTAGTAGATTGACAGCAAAAATCAACCTGCACTAACGGGGATTGAACCCAGAAAATCAGAAACCATTCACTGGCTAAAAGCAATGTTAGTACCAGAATCATCCACTCCACCATATGGGCTATGGTATCCTGTATCAACAACCTAGCTATATTGAGCCTTTTGAGACTTAGCAGAATTTGGGATGCCTGAACTTAGTGAGGTGTCATGTATTTTCACATTTTTATTACTTATTCATGAGGAAAAATGGAATATAATACATCATTTAGAAGCTATGATTCAGGGGAGTAGCCCAACACTACTATTAAGCTGATACATAATAGATAACACCAATGAGAGTCTATCACATTATTGGAGCAATCTTCTTCTTAGCTCTTGTCTAAGGCTAAATTGAAACAAACTGAAGCAGCAATGATATTATAGAAGATTATAGCTTTTCAGTGGTGTACTATAGTTCATAGTTCTACTCATGAATTAATGTGGAAAATGCAAAACTATGGGCACCTTCAAAGATTTTTGATTAATCTTTGAAGTCTAAAAAGTATAGATATATTGGCTTTATTGCAGCTTATATTTTTGAGGTATATGGTGAAGTGGATGATTGTGCATGGGTTTGTATATTAGGCTTTTGGTTCAAGCCCCAGTCTGTGTGCATATTTCTTGATTTTTTGGACTGTGGGAATCTTACATACACTGCCTTCCGAAAATGTGCTAGTCAGCTGATTGACAGTGCACCCTTATTTGGCCATACACAGCCAGATGTTCCCAGATGACCTAAGCATCTGGGAGCATCTGGGGCATCTGAGGCTCTGGGACCCGGCTATGGTTTTGCTGATGTGCCATAGCCCTCTACTAGGTCATTGGAGACTAGATCATTGGAGTTACAGCCTGGTTCATGTTGGCCATAGTTCACAACCCAGATATTTAGAGAAAAGCTCAAGCTGAGATGGATAATGATGTTAGATGAGATTGGTTGCCTATATTTGCAGACTATGAAAATCTACCTTATATCCAGGCACTGATAAGAGAGACTCTGAGGTGGAATCCTATTGATCCTCTAGATACATGTTTCCTTAATAGCTAGCATATCCTGCCCAGAATGTTTTATTGATCTAACTGCTCATATTAGGAATGCAGCATTGATCTACACAAGTAATACACCAATGCTAAGCCCAGTCCTTTCCCAAAGAGATCTAATGTTGAAGTTTCAGGATGATTGGTATGAAGGCTATTTTATCCCTGCTAGCACAATTTACATTGACAATATGTGGGTGATGAACTAAGATCTAGAAATTTAGGATGCCAATGTACCAGAATTCAAGCTAGAACACTATCTTGACAAGCAGGGAAGGCTTGTAAAAGCACCTGTGGACACAAGGGACAAGGGACATATCATATTTGGCTTTGGAAGGAGGTATGTAGGCCTTTGCTTTATTGCTTCCCACTTTGCTGACTAGGACTATGTGCAGATGATTCTTTAGAATATGCATTGAAAGACATCTAGCTAACAACTCCCTTTTTATTAACATAGCATATATGCTATAAATAGGCCATCTGGAAAATGCCCCTCTTGTATTAAACTCTAATTATTGATAATTTTATAAAATTTTACTAAAATAGCATTAGCAATTTTTTGCTTACCCTCCCTTTATTTTAGAGCTAATTATAGCCAATCAAAGCTAATTAGTTGGATAGATTTTTGGAAAAATAGAATCTATTGTAGTGTCATTATTTCTTGCTATTACTACAATCTGTAACCTAAAGATATTTATAGAGGTCACTATTTGAATATCTAAAGCTAAAGTCTTACCTTATAAAAAACTTGCCCTTGGCCACAGTTGAACTTATAACCTTATAACTACATATACTTTGAACAGATGCTCTAAGCCACTCAGCTATAAGGTTTAAAGTAGTATCTTGGTAATTCAAATATATTGACATAATTTAGGCAATCTTAATATTTCTGATCTTATTACTTACTCATTTTTGATTTATTTTTGATCAATAAATATTCAAAAATCAGGGCTTTTATGATCTCAATTTATGTACCAAATAAGAATATAATATACTAAATAAAAATAAAGAATACACTCTCTATAGGATAAGAAATATTCTGATGCTCACATAATTTGGATTTAGAGTCTGGATTATTGTATTTGAGCTGTAGATTTTGAGTAAACTCTAGAATTATAATCAATATGGTGTTTATTACAGATTTGATTATAAAGATGATTATGGATAATTATTTATAATACATCCTAATTATCTTAGATAAGCATTATCAATAATTAGGTATAATTTGGATCTAATATGAGAGAAGGGTTTTCCAGATGCTAGAGGTTGTCTTAGTGTTGTGCTTGGCACTTAGAGATGCCTTTAGTATATCAATGCTCTTACCTAGAATCTATTGTAGTGCCTATAGGAAATATTGTGTATAAGGCATTCAAGAGGTCTGCTAGTTCTACTATTTTGACCTGGTGGATATCTAGTGAGTTTCTATAATCTTGATAGCTGTAATAAATAGACAAACACTATTAGAGATAATGACAGGTAGACTCTGGCATTCCAAAGCAAACACTCCATTCCTTCCAACAATGGTGGTGACATTCAACATCAGGTTGGTATTGGCAATGACCAAGCCTGCAAAGAGTGGAAGTGAGCAAAGCATAGGGGGTGCTGATTCTCATGGCAATAATACTAACAAATGATATGATGGCTGGTGCTAGGTAGTGATGAAACCTGGTGAGCACAGTGAACATGATAGAGACTAAATCAGTGCCCTTTTACACCCCTCTAGGCACTCGGGAGCTAGACTTGGTATGTACAGCTTAATAGCAAATGAAAGGAGGCCAAAATGGTGAGTAACCCACATCCTGTCCACTATAAATCATTATGTGCACCAAGCTCTGTTTACATGTTTTGGTATGTCCACATGGCCTTGATAAATCACACATGAACTATGGAATGTGTGATTAATAAGTGAACAGAATCCCTATATAGAGGGCGACAGTGAAGAATTGTGGCAAAACTCCGCCGGCTAATGTCGCGTGTTGTCGCTTATGCTCGCGTGGGCCACGTAAGAAACCACGCGAGCGAAGCGAGCGCCATGACAAATTTGGCGAGCGGAGCGAGCTGTCCCTTCAGCCACCCGGCAACCTCGGCAACTGGAGCGGGCCATGTCTCGGCAGCTGTCGGGGTTCCACACGGCATCCCGGTCTGCCCGGCAATGCCAACAACTGGAGCAGGCCGTGCCTCGGCAGCCATCGGGGCTCAAAATGGCATTCTGGCACCCCACAGGGAACCTCACGGGGGAGCCTCATAGGGCAGAATCTCATAGGGGAGCCTTATGGGCAGAACCTTTCATGGAATATGAAAAGGGAGCCTAATAGGGAAGCCATATAGGCAGGATCTGGCAGAGGAACCTTATAGGGGAATCTTTTGAATGTCATCTTGCAAAATCTCATAGAGGGGCCTTATAGGGGAATCTTATAGGCAGGACATTATAGAATATCATGGGAACTAGACTTTATGGGCACTAAAAGTGATATTCTAGCACCTTATAGAGGAGCTTCACAAGAGAGCCTCACTGGCAAGATCTTCAAGAGGAACCTGACAGAGGAACATAATAGGTAAGCATAATAAAGAAACCTAACAGGGGAATATAATAAAGGAACCTATATAGGAGAACCTTATATGGGCCATATATTGGCAGCTGTTGGAGCTTGAAATAGTATCCCAGCACTTTATGGAAAAGCCTTATAGGTATGACCTTATAGAGAAACTAAATAATGCTTGACAAGAGAGTCTTATATAGAGAATATTATGGGCAGGACCTTATAGAATATAATCAGAGAGCTATATTAGGGCAAAATAATTTATGGGCACTGGACTTTATAGGCACTAAAATTTACAGGCACTGGGCTTTACAGGCACTAGACTTTACAAGCACTGGACTTTACAGAGACTAGACTTTACAGGCATGAGACCAAGCACTGTAACAAAAACTCAGATTAAGCATGGTTGCGCCGTCGCAACGCGACGGGTGAGAAGCTAGTCTCTATATAGAGGGCGACAGTACGGGTCCGGTGGCAACTAGCCGTCAGCTAATCCCACGCGACAAACCACGCGAGACCACTGTCCCATAGGCTTCGGGACGCGAAACGGAGCGTGTCGGAGCTTGAAACGGAGTTGGTCAGCGCGCGCATGTCCGGGGCTAACCTAAGCATAGGGAATTCTCTTTCCCTGGCACTGTCTTGCAGTAATTTCTTCAGGTAAGGGGGCATTCAGCAAGTGCTTAGCTTGGCAACCACTCTGGGCTCTTGGTTTTGTTTGCAGGTATTTTTTTAATAAATAAATAATCCATAAATAGAGGGCAACAGTGGAAAATTGTGGCACTTAAGCAATGGCTATGCTTGCATGGGCCACATAAGAAACCATGTGAGCAAAGCAAGCATCCATGACAAATTGTGTGAGCAGAGTAAGCCATGTCTTGGTGCTCCTAGCAACCCTAGCAACTAGAGTGGGCTATGCCTCTGCAGCCATTGGAGCTTGAAATGGCATCCTAGCACCTTATAGAGAACCTCATGAGGGAGCCTCATGGATGGGACCCTGATAGGGGAGCCTCATAGGGCAGAATATCATAGGGGAATCTAATGGATGGGACCTTATAGGGAGCTTTATATGGGAATCTTATAGGAAGGACCTTATAGGATATCATAAAAGAGCCATATAGGGATATTAGGGCACTGGACTTTATGGGCACTGGACTTTATGGGCACTGGACTTTATGGGCACTGGACTTTACAGGCACTGGACTTTATGGGCACTGGACTTTATAGTCAGTGCACTCTACAGGCACATGAGACCAAGCACTACAACAAAAACTCAGATTAAGCACGGGCACTGGACTTTACAGGCACTAGACTTTATAGGCACTGGACTTTGTGAACACTAAACTTTACAGACACATCAGACCAAGCACTGTAACAAAAACTCAGATTAAGCATGGTTGCGCCGTCGCAACGCGACGGGTGAAAAGCTAGTTTAGCTGAGAGGAGGAGTTGCCGCACGGGCTGTTCAAGTTGCGTGGACCAATGATTAATGACATGTGTACGCTAGGGTGTGCCAGGGTCTATCAGACATAAAGGTACTGATCCCTACTTTTAGTTGCTCACATATAATTTGATGCTGGCAATGTAGGTCTTCTCTCCTCAGCATCTTCATCTCTTATGATTCTCAAAAAAAGTTACAGATTTCTTGTCAACTGTTTGGACTTGGCAGCTCCTTATTTTAGAGCTGGCCGGGGTCCCTGGAGGACGAGACGCGACGCGACGCGGGAGCGTGACGTCTTCCGACTCACCTTGATCTATCCGCCTCCGCTACTAGAGGCTTTTAAGGCTAGTTGGTCTGGCCGTTCCGCTTTGTTTCTAACGCCCATCGTACTGACTATGAACACACCCAGCAGATCGAGGTCGACGAGTCATCCTCAGCCATTGACCCAGTTGCATACGACCGTCGGTTTTTCTGAGCGACCGTCTACGACCTCGTCGCTAGAAACGCCACCAGCGGTCCCTCAACCTTTCTCCCTTTCAAACTCGCACACGAAGCGGCAGAATCTGCATAACAGCGCCCATACTCACACCCACACACGCGCGCAGTCGTCGTCGGCATCGTTGCCTTCAGAATTCCTTTTCACCCCATCTCAAACCCCGATCGTCCGGCCGCGCTCAGGTGCTTGCACTCCTGCCCCTGCGCCACGCACATCCCGTCCTGCGCAGTCTCGCTCTTCCCCGCACCTTGCTAGTACCTTGGGCGTGACGACTGCCGCCCATCTTCATCCTCACGCTTGCGTTGACTCCCCATCGGACCGAGACGAAGCGTCGAGCGGGGAAATGATATATACGGCGAAGAAGCTCGGCCAAGGGAGCTCGGGGTTTCGCACTCGGTTCTTGTCATCTAGCAGCGTCAACCCCAGCGCTCACGGGAAGCACCAGATTCCGAAGAGCGTTACGACAACTCCGGGTCAACTCTGTGCAGGCGAGACGGAGACGGAGACAGACGAGCCTGTGAGTGCTTCAGAAATCTATCACCCCTAGGGTTGTCTGCAGCCAAGGCTTGACTACCCACGGTAAGGGCTAAAGGTCTCGCATAGCCCTTTATCGAGCATTGAGTAGTAAGGAAGGTCTTTGCGTTTCTTCTCTTGGATAGCTGCAGCGCCACTCTCACAGCTGAGCCACTGTCGTGCCTGGTTCATCCTTCACTCGGGTTACTTCCTTCGTGTATCCGCGCCATGACGCGAATACATACTGCCACACTGTCATCCGAGCTGTGGCGCCTACGTGAATTCTGTCATGACCATCATTTCAGGCTCTGAACGATCATTTGACTTGATATTGCGCACTTCTCCCCTTTTTCCTCTTCTTCGCATCATTCGCCTGAGTTTACTACTTGTTCGATATTTTGCGCTCACACCCGTCCTGCTAACAGTCTCGACACCTCCCAACTTCGCGCATCATACACTCCTCCGACCCATTGATCCCCCCGAACTCTCTCGAGGAGACCCTCACGCCCCTTCTCTTCGAGGCGTTCCGCCTCCTGTCCATCGTGCCCGCCATTTTCGGCACAATGTATAACATATATCTCGCCTGGCATCTTCCCCGTGCAGGCAACACTACGCGTCTAGATTACATTGTCTCTGCTTTTTGGGTAACCATTTCTTCGTTCCATGCTCGCATCCTCGTGTGTTGATAATCCTGCCAATACTGGTATCCCCAGGCAATACTCACAGGCTTTCAATGTCTGCGTCTTACCACCGGCCTGCTGCACCGTTGGAGGATGTACTACCCCCCGCTGTCCACACTCATCCGCCTCCTCGCACTGCAGGCGATCTGCTGGCCCGCGACGCACCTGACGCTCTCATTCCTCGAGCACGCGAAGCGCCCCGTCATATGCTGGGCCATCATCGGCACCACGACCAGCGTGTCACGCGCGATCCAGCTTTGGGTGACGAGCAATCTCTGGTGGGAAACGGAGGGGAAGGCCGAGCGCCAGGGATGGAAGAGGAAGATCGGCGGGCGGTGGGGCGGGCGCCGGTGGGACTGGGCAGAGGTGTGGGCGCAGTGCGGCGTCCCGATGGGGATGTGCTATTTCGTGATGGCGTGGGCGGAGGCGCTGAGGAGGGATTGGCAGGGCTGCTGAGTGCGTTGTTGTTTGTGGCCCTAGATCCGTTTCGTTTCGTTTCTGTCCGTTTCCTCGTTAGACTTCGAGGCAGCAAGAGCTGCTACTTATTTCTGCTCCTGGGCTGTCTCTATTTTCCACTCTGTTCATCCACGGACCTCGTATGTATTTTCTCCTCCGCCCGCCCTCTGCTCCGGAGTTGTACGCGTCGATGTGTCGTTCCGCTTACTTTCCTACTCCGTTCGTCAGTTCGTTCGTCCTTGTTCATCCCGTTAGCTACTCTCACGCGTCCGATAGACTTCACTTATGCTCGTAAATTGCTGGGTGTCCATTACTTTGTTTTTTGGTTGTACGATGTCTATTTGCTCGATTCTTCCTTGTGGGGAGTCAGTAAGGGTATCCACGTTTCTCATCATGCAGCTGCGATACCACAAGTCCCAAGGTCGTGCAAGTTTGCCAGGATATCGTATGATGAACGATGCCTCAAAGTATCGTCTTAGTCGATGCAACAACAGAATTCAGAAACAGATATATTACATTGCAGACAAGAAAGCAACCAAAAAGAACTGACTAAACATGACAACGACGACACCAATGCGAGAACGAAACTACAGTTGTACAAGGTTCAACACACGATCAAAAACTCACAGATAAAACATGGTGTCCTTGAGATTATTGTGCAAGCCATTGCCCCACATCCTCTCGGCAGCCTGATACACGCGAAGTTCAGCAGCGTCCCTCGCTTGGGTCATCCTCTCGCTCCCGCCTCGCCCGCCGCGACCAGCAGCACCGCCTCGTCCCCTCGTTGCAGCCGAGCTCTCCCCACCCGTGGAAGACGCATCGCCGCCCTGGTTCAAAAACCCGTGAATCCAGTACCGCGCCTGCTCGCATACCACGTCTGCATAATATGCGGCGGGAATGAGGCTGACCGCCTTCGTGGCGCGCGCGTAGAGATACGACGTGGCGTGCACGCCCTGCTGAATCTCGTCCGCGCCCAACCTGTTCTCGTCGTATATGACGGAGTAATGCGTCGGACGCACGGTTCCTTGCAGACCCGCGTGCGCCTGAAGGTAGAAGTCGAAGTCAAATATGGACGTGATGCCTTTGTCAACGACCGTCCCCGGACGCGTGTTCCCATTGCGGTCAGCTGAGCTCACATCTGTTGCTGGGAAGCGAGCATGATGGCGTTTCCCGCAAATGGTGATGGATAAAGAGGGGCGATAGCGCGGGTTGTTTGGGTCGATTCGTTTGAATGCCTCGATGATCTGGGGCAGCTCGTCTCTGAGCACTTTGTCGAATTGGCCCTGGTTTGAACGTCCGTCATGAACGAAACACAGGACGGAGTGTTAAGGAAGCACACACCTCTGATACGCCATCGCGGAAAACGAGAACACGATCGGGCAAAGATTTGCTGTGCTTGCGGAACAGCTGCAGACGCTCGATCATCATCGTCGCCAGCTCTGCGATACCCTAAAGACAGTTCGAGTGTCAAACGTTGATCATACTATCAGATTAAGACACGCACCTCCTGTTTGGACTTCTGCAACCTCAAACTGGCCGGAAACTGGACGAAATCGTTGTCTATGCTAGCTACGACGCCGGCAATAGACGGCGTTCCAGACGCGCTGCTGGGACCCGGATGCGTGACATCTATGCCGACCATCATCGTCTTCTTCTGCGTAAGCCAACTCATTGCTCGCGGATCCAGACGATGATTAATGCCTCCAAGCTTGGTGTTGACCTTGAGTGCCACGTTTGACAGATACTGGTCTTGTTTGCTGGGGTCTTTCAGCGCGTTCTTGAGCAACATGCATTGAGTTTGAATCCCAAAACGGACGGCAGCCATGCGTTTGATGCCTGGATAGATAAAATCGTCCCTCTCCGCAAGGAGAACCACGATGATACTGATTCTCCCGGTGCCAAACTGCAAGATTGATTCCTCTATCATGCCCAATGCACGCTGTCTCCCAGGATCTTCCGACCTCGATGGCAACACAGGCGTAGGAACAATTTCAGGCGGTCCAGTTGGCACTGTCATTCCACTATCCTTGCATTTGTTAGAAAATGCATGCAGTAGACCTGTCATGGCAGGGTCATTGGGACCGGAAAAGCCTCTTCCTTGTTCTCGGACAACAAGAACTTTCCAGTTCGTGAGATTGCCGCCGGCGTGGAACTTGACATTGAGAATATTCCATCCTCCATTAGCCACCTTTGGTGTTCCCTGTCGATACGTCACGCTCGGCGGAGGTAATTCCCGAGCAGGAATGATGGTCATCTGCCCGACAACGGTCACACCGAACTCTCGCATCAGAGGCGTCCCCGCCGACAATCCAAGTTTCGGAAGGCCCTCGTTAACGATGAGGTGGGCATTGACGCCCGGCTTCCGACCGGCGTAGCGAAGCATCTGTGATGTCTCGTCTGGCGACAATTTTCCGAGATGCGGTTCTCCGGGCTCTATAGTGCAGAGCTCTGCGGGCAGATATGTCTTCTTGCCTGGCCCACCCACATCAACGACAGGGATATCATCGGCGTGACGAAGTGTGATGTTATACTCTGATAAATCAGTCAACGATATTTATTACGAGGATCGACTGCTTGAGACATACTTTTTTTGAAGAACGTTTCGACAGAGATCATACCTCCGAATTCTGGGCAATCGAACATTTGCTTCCGCGCAGTGGTGTTGCCAGCAATGCGCTTGACGGTTTGTACCCGTTTGAAGCCGAGGTGGCGAGTGGATATCTTGTTCTTCGTGAGGAATTCCTGCGCGCTGGCGCCCATGGATCCCTGGTTGAAACTCATCCAAGCTTCTGCTAGATTGCCAGGTTCATGGAATGCCGTCATGCAAACGTTCACATTCACCATAATCTCCTTATGGACCAAACGGACGGACGAGAAAAAGCCCATATACGCCCACAGTCGAGGTCCAAGCTGTCCGCGCGCCGCGTCATCCCAGAAATACCTGTTTTTGCCGAATCTAAAACCTGTCTGCGAAGCTTGGCGCTGTAGGATGAGATTCAGGGCGGAGACGAGAGGATCTATCCTTTCGTCAGACTGCTTATTTCCTTCTGTTTGCCTGCGATAATGTCATTAGAAACACTCCCAATATTATAATCACACCAGCCACGTACTGCTTCAGAGGTGCTATGAGGAGCTCTTTTCCGAAGACTACTTCGACTGTATATTGGTCCGCGTTGGTGCGGGGACCTGTTTCGTCCCGCTCAAAGAAGCGAACGCTGCCTTGGAGAGGCTGGGGCAGCTTCCGGGCGGAGACGAGCCTCTGACTTCCGTCATGGACCATGGAATCCCGATAGGGTGCTCCCTCTGCGCTCTGTTCGAAGAGGTCCAATATCCTTCTTTTGACCCTCGCCTTCTGACTCTTAGGATCCGGAGAAATCTTGATGCTGTACTCGAACCAACTCGTTTTCGATATCTTCACGGGGAAAAAGTTCGCACGAAGGACAATAGCGCGTCCCAGAGTCCCATAGCCCGGCCGAGCTGGATGCTCAAAGCCAACTTGCCGAGGGCCGGTTCGCTGCAGTAGACTGTCGGCGGCTGTGATTCGAACATCTGGCGTTGGGCGAGTGCCAGGCTGCGGGTCGAAGATGAGAGGAAGATGGTCATACGAAGGACCGCCTCGACCGCGCGGTGAAAACCCGCGAGGACTGCCTCCTCTGGATCCGTCCCCACCGCCTCGACCGCGGGGCGTGAAGCCTCGGGGGCCACCCCTGGGACCATCCCCTCTGTACGGGCTACCTGAGCTTCCTCTGCTCGTTGGCGTTGCTGGACTCCCCCGTGCGCTGCTGCCTCCGCGGCCTCGACCGCCATCAGGTGGCGCACCCCTACCCCTACCTCTGTCCACACCTCGACCTCGTTGATAGCTCATGATGTTGATGTTTGAAGAGAGAGAGAGGAGTTTGCGAGAAGGTGTGTGGCGACGCAGTGTTGGATATGCCTATGTACTGCTTGAGGTGACCGCAGGACGGCAATTGGCGCCTGGTCAGAAGCCTACCGGCACCCACGCACGGACCTGCGCCTGGCTGCGCATTTGTTCGAGAAGGCTGGCCAAACAAAGTATTTACGTAAGCTATGTACAGGTGTAGATACATTTTGTCTTTCATGGACAACGAGCCCTGTCGTTGTCAAGGAAAGACAAAACTGAAAAGATTGGCATCGCACCGACTAGTGTAAATATCCAGGCCCACACCTGTGATCTACGCATGTAGCAAGAAAAACAAGCTGGCATGACTTGAACATTTGTCCTGGACTGCGCCGCAAGAATCAAGGGCCGTGGAACAGACATGGGGTCAAGCTACAATAATGGCCTCGATGAGTCAATGATCCTGTAGACGTGTCAGATGTAGTGGTGAAAGAAGATTCCAAATAGACCCACCTCGCAATGTGGATGGCTTCGCCGCAGTCATCGATTCAGTGATTTTGATGTTGATACACGCATGGTATGCGGCGCGGTCGAGCCAGATGCAAGAAAGGTGCCGCTCGAAGGTCGACGAGTGTATTGACTGCCTGCAGCGGCCTGCGCCGGCAGACTTGGCGCGTCACTGCGAGCTGCTTGGAAGGCAGATGATCTGAGCAAATGAAGTCAATAAAAGCGACTGCAGCGCGTGCTCAGGCGTGTAAGCGGTCCCCAGTTGAGTGAAAATCCTGAAATCCCAAAAAGTGTGACCGAGAGTGAGAGTGCGTCGTGCGAGTTCAAACGTTCAAACTTCGAAAGACAATGTCGGAAAACGAGGATCATTGCGAAGAACGTCTTTTACATAACATGTTCGCACGCATGATATCCCTCTTCACGTCATTACGACGCCGAGAGTGCTCTCAGCAGGTATGGCTGTAGAACACGTCTTCGAAGCCAAACGGCATAAACAAGAGCTTTGGGGATGGTTAAGCTATGCTTTTGCGAGGTATGTGCACCTCAAGTAGCAATATTCACTCGACTGACAACCTTCACCTTCTTAGTGAAGTGTTTGTGATTGTCTCATTGACTTTGTTTCTGCCAATATGCCTCGAACAGTTTGCGAGAGATAATGGATTTTTGCTGCCTGAAAAGACGATTACCTGTTCGTCTTCCTCGAATCAGGCAGAAGATGCTGCTGCACGTTGTGCTGTGAAATTGGGATGGGTCTGGATTGATAGCGCCAGTTTCAGGTGAGTCCCCAGTCGATCTCTATGTATAGTCTCATATCCCTCCGCTTCTGTTTGTTAACATTCGTGCACAGCCTCTATGTATACTCAATATCAGTGGCACTGCAAGCTTTGACTGTCATCTCGATGGGTGGGATAGCCGACCACCGTCTGCATCTATTTCGTTACTACCAACCTGCGTTCATCTAATGGACAATCTTTGCAGCACCCCACCGGAAGCGGCTATTATTCGGCTTTGCATCTATGGGAGCGTCATCTGCTATTCTCTTTCTCTTGCTGCCATCATCCTCATCTTTCTGGCCATTATCTGGGGTCCTCGCAATACTCGCGAACGTTGGCTTCAGCGCGTCCGTCGTGGCTATGAATGCATACCTGCCCCTACTTGCTCGGGGGTCGGAAAACGTTGTTCGCGCTCGGACAGAGCTAGATGCTCTAGACCCCGAAACCGTCACGCACGAGCCCGAATCAAACGAAGACCATGCAGATGCGCCTCTGTTGCAAGACCCTGAATTTGATTCCGTCAAAGCTCTGGATCTTAAACGCAAATATAATACGGAGCTTTCAAATGCGACGTCTGGTATCTCGTCCCTCGGCATCGCTCTGGGATACTCGTCTGGTATTGTTCTCCTTGCACTAACGCTGATCCCCGTCACACTTTTACATGGCTCTACTTTCTCGTTGAGACTTGCCATAGGCCTTAGCGGTGTCTGGTGGGCCATATTTTCCATACCCGCGGCTTTATGGCTACCGAGTGCCACAGAAAGCTCAGGCTTAGATTTGACATGGGTGGGCGGGGAAGATTTAGAGAACGAAGAAGCCGAGTGGAATACGAAGAGGGAAATCGTTGCTGCATGGAAGAGACTTATCGGAATGTTGAGTTGGATCGAGATTAAGAAACTGAGAAATACGTTCAAATTTCTCGCAGCCTGGTTCCTCTTGTCTGACGGTAAGGTTCCCTTGGCTACTACGAGGACATTTTGGATGATATCTTGGTACTGATATCTTTCAGGCTTCACCACCATCACATCGACAGCGATTCTTTTTGGGAAAACGACCTTGCACATGTCACCGTCAGCTCTAATCCTGATCGGGGTATTAACACCTACATCCGGAATTGTCGGCTCTCTTGCCTGGCCTATGTTGCAGCGACGCTTCGCTTGGAGCAATCTTAAGGTCATTATCATCCTTGTGCTAATGGCATCAGCGATCCCTGCATATGGATGTCTCGGATTCTTGCCGGTCCTTCGGAACAAGGCGGGTTTTGGTGGCCTTACGACTCGGGGAGAAATGTTCGGATTGGCGGTATACTTCGGTCTGTTGTCTTAAGCATATCAAATTTCGGTTTGGTTGATGATGATCGTAGGGGCCGTTTATGGTGCATTCCAAAGCTACGCAAGGGCATTATATGCAGAGTTGATTCCCTCGGGAGAGGAGGCGAGATGGTATTCTTCCCTCGATTTATTCCATCCCGCGATCTAATCTTGTCTACGTTCTCGACAGGTATGGGTTGTTCTCAATCACTGACAAGGTACTACGCATCAGCTCTTTGTCCTTTGCGGTCGCTGACGCCAATCCAGTCTAGTTCGTTCATGGGGCCTCTGGTCGTTGGTCTGATTGCCGACACGACAGGGAACATTCGCTTTGCATTCTTCTTTCTCGTTTTCATGATTTGGCTCGCAGTCCCAATACTGATGAGCGTCAACATCGAACGCGGCAGGTCGGATGCGCAGAGAAATTCCTATTCTGCAACTCGTATCATACGACATACATGATACGTGTGTGTCTTTTTGTATATCATCCTACACACTCATACTCTCAATTCACCACGTACTTGTTATCGCTTGTGATCTGCCTTCAGCTTGAGGACAACTCCTGTGAGGGTTCGGGGATATCCCACTGGCAGGCGTGTAGCATCAACCATGTTCTCAATATGCTGGTATATTGGCAATGGACGAATAGAGTTGACGTGGTCGCGTCGAGGCAAGCAGTGCTTTGGCTCCTTCGGAAAGGTATGTTGAATATGCAATCCTATGACATACGAATTCAAGACGCGTCACATGCGATCAAGCCCTTTCGTATTGATGTGATAAGGCAGGTTGAGAAGTATGCTTGACACATTGTGATTTGACTAAGTCCGATGCCCATTTGCATGATGCCTCTGCGACGACGTCATACAGCATGGTACCGCAGACATGGAGGTACAACTATAAGGTATATTGCTCGTGTTCAACGGATATCCGGGATGATCTGCGGGCGAAGGTGGGTCGCGACATGGCGACTGATGACATATTTTAGGTATATTATGCTCAACGTTCACTGTTAAACGCTGAATCCTCCAAGTAAAATGCCAATATTCCGACATGTGGCTCCGCAGTTTAAGAAGGTAGCAGACCCTTGTCAAATTCTTTGACTAGAGGTCTGTGGCTTTGAGCTGGTCATAGGAGACCTCGGATTCGCTCAAATTGCGAATGACTCAGCGCCCCCACACTTCATTGGCAGCGACATTGCGCCTGTTTGGAATTTGTCTGCTACGGATGGAGTGGGTCGAGATGGGTCATGTATTCTACGCCCCCTGTGTCTATTTAGATTTCACCAGCTTCTAGACTTAGCGTGGGGATATATAAAGGCTACAACCTGGGTATTGAAATCACTAGTCACTCCCTCCTCTTCCTCAGCCCCAATTCACAATGACGATCAAGCTACCAACGCGCAAGATCGGTGCCACCGACGTAACTGCGATCGGTTATGGCACGATGGGCTTGTCCATTGCATATGGAGAGACTGGTTCCGACGAGGACCGTTTCAAAGTATGACTTGCTCTTGTCTCGGCCATTCTAGGACTGACATTTACGACGGACTGATTCGTCAGGTTTTGGACGCTGTGTACGAAAATGGATGCACCAACTGGGATACTGCTGATATCTATGGTGATTCCGAAGACCTCATTGGTAAATGGTAGGCCTCGTCTCTCGATCTCAAACTTGTTATTACCAGGTTGAAACTTCAATTTACACAGGTTCAAGCGCACCGGCAAACGCGATGAAATATTTTTGGCCACTAAATTCGGTCTATACGGACCATCTGGCAAATTTGTGGAAGGTGACCCGGCCTACGTTAAGTCCTCTTTTGAGAAGTCTCTCAAACGCCTGGGGACCGACCACATCGATTTGTACTATTTTCACAGGCGAGTCCGTCCCAGTTGTTGCTGTCTTGGATAAGGATGATATCGCTAACCTCAGGCTGTGTTATCAGAGCTGACAAGACAATTCCCATAGAGGTAAAATGAATCAAATATGCCCATACTTCATCCTGATCTGTACATGTTTTCCGTCAGAAAACTGTAGGCGCCATGGCTAACCTCGTGAAGTTTGTGTCCCCAATTTCTCATGTACATCATAAATGCTGATTCTCTGTGTTATCCAGATCTGGAAAAGTGAAATACATCGGCCTATCCGAAGTCTCCGAGTCCACGCTTCGTCGCGCCCACGCTGTGCACCCCATCTCGGCCCTCCAAGTCGAATACTCGCCCTTTGCCCTTGATATCGAAGATGAGAAGATAGGACTCTTGAAAGCGGCGCGCGAGCTTGGAATCGCAATTGTTGCCTATTCTCCCCTTGGTCGTGGGCTTCTGACGGGCCGATATGTAAGTATCTTCTTGCCACTGCTGGCGGTCTTCAATGAGAGATGGAAACAAACGGAGGCTCACTTTTTCTGGACAGAAAGGACCAGAAGATTTTGAAGAAAAAGACTTTCGACGACTTATTCCGCGTTTTTCAAAAGAGAATTTCCCCAATATATTGAAGCTGGTTGACAGCTTGAAGGCTATCGGGGACAAACACAAGGTGACAGCCGGACAAGTCACGCTTGCTTGGCTGCTCGGACAAGGCGACGACGTCATTCCAATCCCCGGCACCCAGAGGATCAAGGTATGCAGTGCTTTCAATGCACAAAACATGCTCATGTCTTATTCGGTTCTGGTCACAGTACCTGGAAGAGAACCTTGGAGCTTTGAAGGTTGAGCTCACTCGTGAGGAGCTGCTGGTCCTGCGGAAAGCAGCGGAGAGCTCGGATGCAGCTTCGGGAGACAGGTACCCTCCCAATTTTATGGATGTCATGTTTAGCGACACTCCACTACTCTGATGACTCTGAGCCTCCCACATCAAGATCCGCGCGCATGTATATCAGCCGAAAAGAATATGTAGACCACGAGCAGCATGAAATTAAGATACTTTGCAATCTCTTCATAGATTATACGAGCCAAAGTGCCTGTTTACAGAGAATTTGTTCGCAGTGAAGCATCAAGATAACTTAATAAGGATTCTTTCATGCATCTCACTCACCTAAGAAAGAGGTAACGATGGTTGAGAAAGAAGTTACCGTATCGCATGCATGGCCCCCATTTCCACGTGCCGATGTGATCAAAATAAATGGAGACGAAAGATCTTCGAGAGAATCACTAACGTTCGTTTGAATTAACAAGTCACAGCAATCGCAGCTAGAGCATGAGCATATGTCACACGTACACCATATCGATACCGTTCTCCTTGGTTATTTAGCGCGTATACAGACCTACTCGTATTGGTACAGGGGTCTCATTTCGTTCACAACGGCGGCGTGTCGGCGAGCAGGGACTTCAAAAAGATGGCGGGGTACCGATCGCCCTGCTCCGCATTCGCTTTCTGTGCCGCATCGCGCACTGCCTGCACTTCTTGAGATGAGAGTTGCAGCTTGAGCGCACCAAGGTTCTCCTCGAGATACTGTCGCCACAAACCCGTCAGACGGAAACGCAGCAAGCTAAGCCAAAGCAGGCATGATAGCTCACCTTCTCTTTCTTCGTTCCTGGGATAGGGATGACGTCGTCTCCCTGCGCCAGCAGCCACGCGAGCGCGACCTGTCCCGCTGTCGCGCCATGCTTTGCCCCGACCTCCTTCAAGCCGTCGACGAGCTTGAGGATATTTGGAAAGTTGGCTGCGCTGTACCGAGGGACTGTCCGCCTGAAGTCATCCGCAGGGAAATCATCAGGGCTTTTCTGCGTGTCGATACCCAATACAGTTAGTATCGACGCCGTAGTGAGGGAGCCGGGGGCTATTGCAACAATGACGTACGAATTGTCCAGTAAGCAGCCCGCGGCCGAGCGGCGAGTATGCGACAATCTTGATCCCGAGCTCGCGGGCTGCTTTCAGAAGCCCAATCTTAGGATCCTCGATATCAAGCGTGAAGATACTGTATTCGACTTGAAGGGCGGTGATGGGATGGACGGCATGCGCGCGACGGAGCGTTGCCTCGGAGCATTCAGAAATTCCAAGGTACTTTACTCTGCCAGCTCTATGGCAATGATATAGTTAGTCATGTGCGAAAAGACATGTAAGCGAATGGAGTGATAGCATACTTGACGAATTCAGCCATAGCACCGATGGTTTTCTGAAGGGAATAACGTGTAAGTTCAAGCATACGCGTCCGACTTGCCCACATACCTCGATGGGAACTTCTGTGTCTGCGCTGTAATCAGCATGTGAGAACGCATATAAGAGACCATCTGCTCTTCTATGTCCTCACCGATGCAAGTACCACAAGTCGATCTGGTCTACACCCAGGCGCTTGATCGACTTCTCAAAGGCAGCTCTAGCATAGTCCGGGTCCCCGTCGATGAACTTGCCAGAGGGAGAGGAAAACCCGAACTTGGTCGCGAGGAAGATTTCATTGCGCTTGCCGGTGCGTTTGAACCTGCATTGGCACTTTTGCGTCATGATGCGAGCAGACCGATTGAGTGAAGCCAACTCACCATTTTCCAATGAGTTCTTCCGAGTCGCCGTAGGCGTCCGCCGTGTCCCAGAAGTTGCAGCCGCGCTCGTACACACCATCCAAGAACTGTTTTGGGCCCAAGCTCAATCGACAATGATTCTGGCTCTGGATGTCAAGACTTTACCTTCAACCGCTCCTCGTCGCTTCCCACCGTACCATACCACACAGAAAGCCCCATGGCACCATATCCAAGGGCAGAGACCTCTGCATCTCCGATCTTTCGAGTGACTTTTGTCATCTGCTAGTTGCGAGGCGGTTGAGACTCGGGTGGGATTATTGGGAGGGTTGTGAGCTCCAAAAACGGCCGAGCTCCCTTTTATTAATGTATACCATCTCGATGCGTCTGCGGATACCAAACGGGAATACTTTTGGACACGGAGCAGGTGGGGCAGATGTGGACCGAAAGGTGCCGGCGTAGACTATTGGTGCAAAAAAGGCAAGAGGTTGTACAGATTCGTAATTGCTTATATACACACCGGTGCTATTAGTAGCTGTAGGCTCAGTCATCCCGTCCGCGTTTCATTCCCTCTGACCCACTTCAGGACACTCATGCAACCTTGTACAGCGTCTAGGAGCCGAACACTTGCGCAAGCTCAAGCCGTAGCGCATGCAGAGCTTCTTTGGATATCACCGACTCTAAAGCCCGCATTGTTGCCTAACCCCGCCCACAATCAATACACAGAGCTTTGTATATTGCGCATCATGAAGCAGGTTTATATGGACTCTGGAGAAAGGCAAAGTTGGATGTTTTCAATGTAGCCACCAGAAATCGATATGCGATTTCCTTACCGGGGATTCAACATCCAATGGCCATGCATGCGCTATGATATTTTTGTTTCCTTCCTGAATCTTGACTTCTTGGATATCAGTGGATCCGACATCATTACCTTCCCTGCTCTCTACATCTTGAGACGTCGGTTCGGATGTCATTATCCCTACATTCATCGACGAGGCTGACAGAAACGCTATCGCGCCGTCAAAAACGCCACCTTGTTACTATATGTTCATGATTCGAAGGTAGCAGCTCATTACCCCTTCACGGTTCCGACCGCCCCTGGCTAACGCTGTGCGGTATATAAATCTTTGAACCAAAAAAAAAAAAGAAAAAAAGAAGGTAACGATTCAGCATTCGGTTGACAAGCCTGAAACAAATAACACGTAGTCCTCTGGAGTAAAATAGCACCTATGCGATAGTATGCCTATCCTTATTACTGGTCGTTGAATGTCTTGAAGTTTTGAGATAATGACTGACTGCTTCCATCCTGCCTTGTGCACGAATCGTACATAATACAACAATCTGACATTCCGTACTCCTACATCCGTACCCGATCCCACCGAGTGCCACAGGAGTTTCACCAGTCCAGCACCTTGTTAGGGCCGCACTTGGACTCGAGCTTGGAACAGAAGATGTCTTCCTTGCTCGTCAGCCCACCATCCGGTAGCGCAGGGAATATCTCGCGACCGGCCTCCTCTTCGAGCGCACGGTGAGAAGTGAGCGCCTCTTTGACGAGGCCCTGGAAGTACAGCACGCCTCGCTCTTGTCTCTGAAGGAACCATATGAGGTGACGCCCCAAACCACACACCAGAAGGGGTTAAGACTCACGTCATGCAAGGGACCACTTTGGTAGATGCCAGCTTCCATGTTCTTCTGGGCGTTAGTCTGCAAGAGGTGTCAGCGAGGGCGGACCGCATGCAGCGTTTGTCCAACTCACGCAAAGAAATTTGTCCTCGTTCTCGACCTAATGCGTAAAGAAAGGATATCAGATGAGGCCAGGTAGGTTATACAATCAAAGACCTGCCTGAACGAAGAACTTGTGGGTCTCGTCAAAAGCTTCATCCGTTGCATCGACGTGCCGATAAACGTCATATTGCATCTATAATCGCTTTAGAAAGTAGACAAAGCGCGGGAGGCAAACCTAGTACCTCAGTCCGGTGAGCATCTATTGGGACGACCCGCATGGTATACGCATACGCAGGCATGAGGGTGATCCTGTGTCAACAAGCGGCGCAAAAGCGAGTCAGCTGACCACTCAAGGAACCAAGGCAAACAGGGCGCTGGGTCACGCACGATGCAAATGGGAAGAGGAAAGTTGCGACGATAGATCCGTTGTCCTCTCGCTCCGCATTCTCCGGTTTAGGGGGCGAGAAGTGGGCGACGTAGCTATGCTGACCTTGGACGTAGTACGTCTTCAGGTCCACAGTCTACAGCATGTGATGACTGTAAGTCGCTTTGCATGGGAACACATGAGCAGCGGGCCACGAACGCTTGCTATCCCCGGATGAGCGACCTTGCAATGGTAGCATTCGTTGTACTGGACATGACGGTGAGAAAAACATAGAGTTTCACACATTGAGAAGCACTTGCGTTATCAACGAGAGTCTTCCAGTTGTATTGGCCTGAGAAAGTAGATGATTAGAGGATATGTGGAAGTTTTGGGGCGAGAGCGCACAATTCTCAAAAGACCAGCTGAACGCGAATTTGTATTTTTCCGTGTCGAACCCTTTTACTCTTGGCTGATCATCGACGTTACCAAATTGTTCCTCCCACTTGATGTAGTTGGGAGAACTGATATTGCAGCGGAAATAGAGACAGCATTAAGAGGGAAAATCGAAATAAAACGATGTGGAGACGTACGTGTCAAGGTTGACATACAAATAGCCAAGCTTGTCCACATGGGTTCGGATATCAAAGAGACTGTTCTTGGATCCATCGAAGCCCTCGACCTCGTCGAACCCGGGAGCTTTGGCGAGCTTGCCCTTCATCGTGTAACTATTCAAGATCAGTCAGTCGGTGTGGTGTTGCAGCGGAGAGCAGTGCATACCTCCAACCATGGAATTTGCAAGCCAACACAGAAACCTGGCCAGCCTCTGTTAAAGGGTCTGCCTCCCCCTGTCACGACCAACTTGTCAGTCTGTGTAGATTGCAAGATCACAAATTCATTACCTCATGCTTGCTGCCAATGATGGGAAATGCGCGGTGGCGGCAGACGTTGTGGAAAGCGTTGATTTGGCCTTCGCGATCCTTGATAACAAAGAAATTATAGCCAGCGACCGTGAACCTGACGTATTCTCCCGTCTTGGTAAAGCGCTGTTCGAGATTGGTTCGTAAGGGAAGCTGCCAGGCAGAACGCGACGCAAATGACCCACGTTTATGTGGCAGAGGAAGAGCCATTTCTTAGAGAAGATCGCTCGACGCTCAAGTTGATAGATAGCGTCGGAACGGTACCACGAAGATGCGAGATTAACCTTCTCGTCTAGCAGAAGTAGAGACCGACAACGTGAGCTTGAGTGAGACGTGCTATGAATGAACACACTTTTATTTTCGGTGGCTACAGGCATGACAGTCAGGCGGGAGAGTGGTCGAAAAGAGATAGGATTAACTGGTAAAGCTCTGAGTTTTGAGCGTGACCAGATGACTTTTAAATGGGAACGAGGGGAATGGTCCGTCACAGACCTGTATCTCATGATGCTTATCTCGGAGAGACAATAGCATTACCATCGGAGGAGTCCGCCATGGCAGATTTCTGAATAACAAATGGGAAGAGGGCACGCTAAAAATCTGGGGTAGACCTCACGTAGACGAGATAAAGGCACGTCGGGTGTCTAGGTATTGCCTAGGCGCACCAAGGCGCAGCGGTGCACACAAGAGAAGTACTCCGAGGCGCTTCTGAAGCACGGAACTGTTAAGTCGGAAGAGAGAACCCACGGGAAGTGATGTGGAACCTGTGAGGTAGACGGGAGGTCAGGAGGTACATGCAAAGGTCATTAGAGTTGACCAAGAATCAAGGAATGTACTAGTACACACACAGCGTGCCGCGGCGGGATTAGGGACTCGGGTACTTGGAGCGGAGGGAGCAGCGGAACTGCTCTAGTGAAGAAGCATCGCCTGCATCACAGCGACTGGCATATGCTAGATGGACGATAACCAGGTCTTCGTTGTCGAGCATCCGGGGCGAACGGTTCCACCCGAGAAGTCAAGCCGGACGATCTCTCCGGATTTGCCCTTAGACTGGGGCCAAACGGAGCTCAATCTACTCATTCGGGAATTGCCTCTGGAGTGACATCTAAATCCGGCACCGAGATGCCGAAAGACAGGCCGGTCTACGCTGCGAACACTGTTTGCAACAGCACCCTCGTCGTTCAAAGGCCCTTGACCTCTGAGCAGGACGATCGTGCAATTCAGACGTATGTGAACTCCCGCACGCTCGGAATTACTCGTATCAGACTTCGTATCGTTTCCGGCTACCTGCCTCAAAAGGTTTATCGGGAATGCATGTCAACCCAACTCCAGCCGATGCGCCAGTACCGCCAGACCTACGTATCTTCAGGTATCTTCCCGAGACGGTTATCAATTGATTGTAATTTACGCGAGCTATCTTTGGCGATTCTAATGCCTAGGCCAGCTCCAGCTCTGCGCAGATATTGGATTCCGCCACGGGCATGATCACAAGATTAGCTGCTAGGCTCCCGTGTTCCGTACATGCGTCGAATACTTATGTATATGCTAGAAATGACCACTACCGAGCTGTGTCCCAGCCATGGCGGTCACTCTGTCCTACCCTGTCCTCAGTGCTATCTGCCTGCTGTCACTTATTCCCATCGCGCTTCATAGATGGGTCAGTTCCCGAAAGGCAGCTGGTGATTCCACCGAAGAGGCAACTGGCAAGCGGCTAAATGAGAAGACTCGTCGTCTACCGGATCCTGAACCTCTCAATAACCTTGACCTCAAGACGGCACAGATTCGCAACCATATCTATGCCAACAAGACTCTGAGGCACCCTTACTTCCAGGTTTGTCTTAGGCTTCAGTATCAAATCTTGCGGTGTTCGCTGACTCGCAATACGCATAATGTGATCACAGACTATGGCTCACCAGCCTATGAACATCAACCACTGGATTGAGATTGACAAGGATATAGGCTGGTATATCGATGAGAAGACGCGAGTGATCAAAGAGCAAGGTTCGTGAACGACATGTTTAAAATGTCATGTCGAACTGATCCACAGCTCAGGAAAGACTGTCGTCGATTCGCTTCCGGAAAACGACGATGCATGTGCGGAGTTGCTCGAGATTCTCGTGGATTACCTTCCCAAGAGATATCCAACCCTCTTTGAGCACATTGGCGTAAACGGCATCTGGAACAAGATTACTGGTGAACGATTTCATGACCTGACTGGCAAGAGCGGCGTGGATGCCCTCGTGGTTATCTCGAGGCTGGTTCAAGATGATTTTCTGATGGGCCGTGAACGCGAGGACGGGCACGTGTATTTCGTTGGCGGCCTCGTTGCATTTCCAGGTCTGCACGTATTCCGGTTCAAGTTTTGTCCATCCTTGTGCTCACATTACTCGACAGGATTTTACCTGCTCTCAAATTACATCGACAAACCGCTGGAAGAAGTTTGTCGTCGCGGCGATCTTCACCTTCCTGTGAACACTAATCATAGCTCTAGATCCACCGCCATATCCCTTACTTCAATGAAAAAATCCTCAAGAGCGTCGAGCGCACTCTCAAGCGCTTTGGGCCTCACGAGCCATTCGAGAGGACGAGCTGGGGTGTGGTGGACGACCGCAATCTCTTCTGTCGTTAGTTATGCTTGCCTTAGTCTCGTTGCAGATACTGTATGCTGAGTCCATTATCCAGACAAGATGATCGCAGAACAGGCTCTACCAAATGGTTTACGACCTGAGGATCTGTGGCTTCGCATGGATCACCAAACCTTCCGCAAGCTCCCTCGGTCGGGCGGCATCGCATTCGGAGTGTATGTATATCTTTACGACTTTCCCAATGTCCTGATACCAGCTAAGGTAATGGGATCTCAGTCACGTTGTTTTGAAGCGGCTTGAGGACCTTGCAGAGAGTCCCGTCGTCCCTGCATTGCTCGCCAAAATCCATCTCGAAGCTGACAAGGAGTTGATGCATGTAAGCTGTCGCCAGCTATCCTCAGTCTCGGATTCTTATCTGCACGACAGCATAAATTTGATGGTATATATCGCGACCGGATGATGCCCTACCTCCAGGAACTCACCAAACGCCAGTTAGAGCAAGGCCTAATCACGTGCGTTGGGATCCGTTTTCAAACTCTGTTCTCTTTTGACGCTTGAACACAGCGAAGAGGACCTTGATCGTGTTCAGGACTTCAGGGGCCTCGTAAAAGGTGGTCAAATACCAGATGCTCAGACGACGCTGAGCCAACCCACGTTGTCCGAAATCGAGATGTCAAAGGCTAGGACCGCAGCCTGACAGTTGTCAGTTGTCACTACCTCGTTTTATATAGTTCTCTGTATTTGTGCAAAACTCCGATGTATTTCGTTTCACACGCCACGCTTCTCCTCCCTATATCATGACATCTTGGGTTTGCAATCTGTACAATTGACTGCGCGAAGCATCGTTGACTCGATTTATTGTTTCTGAATTTGACATTGATTTTGAGCAGTTCGTCGTGAGCTATTATTACCTACTACTTCTTGAAGACACGAAGCGCGTGTTTGGATCGATAGGTAAGTTCTAGACAACATATATATACAGGGCTAAAGAGTACAGAGAGAAAACATGAAGTACAGAAACCAATGAGAGGGAGTAAAGGCACGAGCACAGCGGATACGGGTGGATCCTACGCCTTACTCTCCATGCTTTGCTTCCGGCCTATATTTTCAATAACCTGTTCAACCCCGTCATCATCCAGGTCATGGTCTATGTTGGAGATCGGGCCTTTATAATGGACATGGCCCCTAAAACGGAGAAGGTCAAGCTCGGCTAACTAGATGATCGATGAGGCATGAACATACCCAAGGATGTACCAAACCCTGAGGTTAAGAAAGACGTAAGTTTGGGGAGATTTCGGGCTTGGACGGTACAGCAATGGTACAGCTGGGTTACTCACAAGGACAAGGCAACCACGCCGACGGTGATGACGGAAGCGTAGTTCCTAGATTATGTAGGCCGTGAGAAATGGGCAGGTCAGGATAGTAAACGGGTCTACGTACATGTTCTGCGCTGTCACGGGACGGATTGTTGGTAAAGAAAACACGACGCATACGAACAATGTCCAGGAAATGCACGCTATATTGCACGCCCAGCCAAGTCTATCCGCACCGCGGTCATCAAAGAGAAGCACCCCGTTAAAAAGACGCTACACGTACAATCCGTCTCCCATATAGAATGGGCCGGGCTTGAAGTGGACTTCAGGGTGCTTCTCATATACCCTCCGCAAAAAGATGGGTATGATATAGGACAGGTCGAGGGCCATGGCCGTCAACGAGAAAACGGCTTAGGCAGAACATCAGACGAGCGCTGAAGAACCAGAGACAGATAAGAAATAATTACCGTTCGCGGCGATGGGGCTTGCGAAGTCCAGCAGACCAGGAAGGACGGCGATGAACGTGGACAACCAGATCGCACGAATAGGAGTAGACGTGCGAATGCTGTTGTGCGCAAAGTACTGGCGATCCGGCAGCCCTGGATCCTGTGTCAATGAGGAGTCCTCCATCAATTGTGTCAGAGTCTCGCACCATCATCTCGGCTGAAAGCGTAGACGGTGCGGGAATTGGCCTGGAGAGCTGTATAAAGGCGTGAGAAAAAATCTCTTACACCGGCGGGCAGGCTTTACCAGTTTGCACGACGAAGAAGGCGGTCAGGCAGACGAAGGCCCAGAGGAAGATCGCTGCTGGCTTTCCCATTCTATCTGCCATGATCTGAGCCCGAGTAAATAAGAGCCCCGTCATGAATGTACAAAATACCGTACCTGCAGAACTGCACTCCCACTTGGCCCGGGCAGGTTCTCCCTAAACAAGCGGTGATGAGCGATATGTTCAAAAGGAAGCGTGGAATGGTGTTACAAGGGACCAGAGCATAGCACAAGAACGATATTGAAGATCCATCCAAGAAGTCCTGTGCCAATGACGGCAATGAAAATGGCTGCTGGGGCGGCGTAAGCTGCACGTTGGACTTCCTCTCTGTTTTAAAGTTATTCAATCAAGATTACATCGGCTAAGAAGGATGCTCACGAAATATGAGCAGTAGCATCATAGTCGGTCATCTATTAGTAGAGACTGCTCTGAGAATCAGTTCGAAGATATGATATATGATAGACGCACCGTCCACTGCACGCTCAATAAACCAAACAAGAAAGCGAGTCCATTATTCCAACCTCCCGTTTGGTTTACGATACCCTCAGATCCAAAGACGTACGATGCGGAATGCATCTCAGATCGAGGTGTTGTTGCAAGAAGAACGATGATGATCACTACGTAGGCGGGGTTTGAACAAATCGAGGTTTGCACAGAAGAGAAACCTACCGATTGTAGCGCCTAAGTTGCAAAACACGAAACCCTTCGTGAAACGGGCGAGGTAACGTGTGGGCAAGCAGTTCTGTTGTGATGCAAATGAGTCCGGGCCAACAATTATAGTTACATGGAGAAGAAAAACGTACAAGCAGACCATGTATTGCCAACAAGCCGACGAAGAGCCCAACTTGCATGCCCTGCACGAAAGGCTAAGTCAGGTCCTGTGTTATGTCACTGTGTCACTGAACAAACCTGGCTGTAGACATAATCACCATCCTAGATACATTTGGAGTCAGAGACGGTCTACCTGAGCGGCGAAAGGTGAGCATACCTTTGATACCACTACAGCTGCCCATATCATACCCGAAAGTCCAAATTCGGTTGAGGACACTCCGGCAGTTTGCCCGAGGATGTTCAGCCTGTCAAGCAGCATCAGGACACACTCGAAATGGTGGCGGATCCAGATTTACCAGCCAACCACCCAGCCTACTCTGGCTCGATGCCTCACAGGCACGAGTTGCGCTGACGCAGTATAACTGATCACGTTCGACGCGTCAATTCGCTACCAAGGAGAGAAGTTCGAAGGACGGGACACACAGTCCGCCGCATGTGGGAAATGCGCTGACAATCTCCGCAATACTCGAGCCTGTGGAAACGGCATGAAAAAAACTGATCTGTCGAAAATGGAAAATAGCATACCGAGCGTAAAGCACATTACGGCACCCAAGATCCAGCACCATGTGACGGATGATGGACCTCCGAGCGTCAAAGGGGTGTTAAAAGTGACTGCAACACTAGAACAGAGACCCTAAGGGGAAGAGCAATGATGTTCGGTTCGAGCGGATATATTCGACGAGATCACTCACCATGATAGAGAACGCAAAACTGATCTGCATCGCGCGTTAACATTATCAGTAGTACATTAACGCATTAGCCTCGAGCATACATACCGTGGCTAAGTTGGAGAACTCCCGCTTGAAAGACGGGACATAGCCCAGTCTTTCGAGCTCCTGGTCATCGTTGGCCCCTTCTGTTGCTTCCTTGGACATGGTGAGCGAGAGCCTAGAGGTGTCACGGCTTACTGCAAGCGCCTTGATATATATCACCTGTCCGAAATGGAAATCGAGACCTCTCAATAGGGATATCATCAGATATAAGAGACTTACTGAAGAGATAACCACGTTGTCCTGATTGGCCAGGCGCAGCTGATAGCCTGCGCACGCAGAGACAGCAGCGCGCTTTTGCAAGGCACGGTAGCTGCCACGAGTCTCACTCAACGTAATGTCAGGTAATGTCCCGATTCATTGCAGCATGAACAGCGAGCGTTAGAAAAAGAAAATAGAGGGAGATCTGCACAGAGGGAAAATGTTGCAAAGTTTCACGGGTTCGAGAGCCTGAGCTACTTCCGTTCGCAGCATTTTCCGAGAAAGGGCCATACCGTATCTGTGTTGGATTCGCATCTCGAGATCTGGATATGTCTCAGAGATAGTCGTATCAAATCGGATGACCTGGGAGAGATAGCTTAGATAGGGAATTAAAGATTGGTTAAATCGAATTACCACTCGGAACTCCCGTCGAGACGCGCCAGAGCGTTCGAAGACATACAGCCTGTGATGGGCTCGGCAGCCTGCGTGTCTCCAATCTGCTCCATTGCAGGTGCAATTGAAATAGGAAGACACAACGGGGGTGTTTATTTCGTCATTGCGTAAACTGATGACCTGGGTAAGGCTATGGATAGTCTATGGTGGGCTGTGGCCCGATGTCAGATGCGCAGTGATGTGCCGCCTTGGTCGCGGTGAATAGACACAGGCCTGCCAAGTTCGACGATACGCCAAGTCATCGATTCATTGCTCGAGCCGCGGCGAAGGGTCCCCGGTCAATTTCCCCACATATGCGGGTCACATGCTGTCACAAGCGTCACGCCGGTATCTGTGACGTACCCGCTCTCTTCACCTTCTCCACTTCGCCCACCCGCTTGCCACGGCCGTCAGCGATCCAACATAGCCTCGATTTATGCACAAACAAACCGGATTTCCTTGTCTGGCCGATCGCGCCCTCGGGTGCCTCCGACAGCCGCCCGCATCCTCCCGGCACGCCAACTATGGATAGGCTTCACGCCTGTAGTAGATCCAGGTCAGGCGGCCTCGCTTCTCTTATCTCTTCCGGGCCTGTACGAGCATGTCAAGGATCTAGGTTATCATGCCCGTTAATAAGTAGCTGCGGGCGTTTAGCTCTTCCTTAGTTTCGACTCGCACCAGAGATTCATCACAATGGACGCGCACTGGCTGGGTAACCATCTCACGGGAATAGTCCTTTGCGCTGGGGCAACGGTACTCCTAGTTCATTATTCTCGCAAAATTTGGCTCTTGAATAAGGCAGCGCCCGCCAGTGAGAAGTCGAACAATAATGGTGGGCTTCGCAATGCACTCTCGTTACATCTCAACCTGACCTAGCTCTGTTAGAGAACGAACTTGCCGTTTCGTTTGTTTTTCCCAATTTCGACCCTTGCAAAGAGTCGGTAGAAAACATCAAGCCGGTACCTTACCGTCCTTTCCGCTGGGGCACGTACCAGTACGTCATTTCAAACCGACTTGAATATGCGAGCCGTACATTAAACGCAGACGAATAGTGTTACGATGGGTATCAGAAACATCTCTTGGGACTCTTGGATCGAGGTAAGTACCAACACATGACTTTCTTTGACTAACAGAGCGACGAACAACTCCCTCGTAGATGGATAACCAGTTTGCGGATTATCACCGCCTTCGTGCGCACCGCATGAAAAAGCGCGGAGAGCGAGTCGTGCAAACACTTCCAGAGAGTCCCAACGTTCCGACATCAGGATTTGACGCAGGCAAGCTTGAGCTCTGTGTATCCTTGGGCCCTGGCAGCTAACGCCTCCAGCAGCAAGGGAGCTGGTTCATGAGCTTGCAGAATACCTTTCAAGGAGGTATCCTCAAACGTTCCGCGTTGAACGCCACTCTCCAGAGAAGAAACCCGGTAGCGGATGGTATGGAGAAGCTCCAATACGGACCATCACGATCTTGCCACCAATCAATGCAACGTATAATCTTGACGAAGAGGATCCTATGACGGTTGCAGGTCTACTGTAAGTCTATCTTACACACATTCATGAATGTCTACTGACTTATTCATATCCAGGGTTCAGGATGACCTCGCTCTAATGATCAAAGGTAGCTCGCTCTGTTCTTCATTGCCGCCTCCATCAGATTCATCTCTCTATCAAGGTAACGACGATGTATACTATATGCGTTCTGGGGCAATTTGTACTGCCGGTAGGGTTTTTTCCGCTGGTTCATCAAGACTCAAATTCCTTAGCACGTTTTTATCTACCCAGGGTTCTGGAGATTGGAAGATAAAATAGGGCTGTCTTTGGACGACATACATTATCATGGTAACGTTCCACAATGTGAGACGTTTCCTAACCACTGTCATTGCTCGCGTTAGACTAACATCGTTGATAGACGAACAGAAATTGAAGACCAGTCTCAACAGATTCTTGCAACGTCTGCCCGTCGATAAGCTCATCCAGCGCAACAACTACTTTTTCAAAATTGTCGCAGATCCCGCTCATCCCCACGAACCACTCGATCCCCATGAATTAGGCTGGGCAGAATCGACGGTCGGTGATGAGGACGCGTTCGAGCCTGGCTCAGGCCTTGGGCTGCTCAATGAGCTCCCACCATCGCTTTCCTCCGACGTCGCATACGAGCAATCGGAATCGACCGTGAAGCCAAGCATGATGAGGCTTAGGATGGAACGACAGACACTGCGTCGGTTGCCGAAGACGGGGGCGATCATATTCACTATCAGGACGTATGTCGTCCCTGTCGAGGAACTGGTGAAGGAGGTAGGCGTTCCAGGAAGAATGGCTAGTGCGATCAGGAGCTGGCCCGATGATGTTGCTGGGTAAGGTTTCAATCAAGATTGTGGAATATATGCTGACATCTTTTTGATGGCCAGGTACAAGAGCAGATCGAGTTACGCGCATCATGTCTTGCCGTATTTTGATGAGTGCCACAGAAGACAGGTGGAGGAGGGCTTGCTCAAGGCAGACGATCAACCTCAGACGGATTATCCTTTCTAAACATCTGTACGCTGTACGCACGACTGCTTTGAGGCACCGCTCATCATGTAGTCGTATATACGGACGAGAGACGTTGATGACCTGCCATGACATGATATGTTGTTCGCGATATTCATTGATCAAGGTACAGACATGAACGCCTCTAAACGCATCAATACTTATCGGTGACTTGATGAGAAAGCTAACAACCTTTGAGGATACCTTAATCCCGAGCGTTGACTTTGACAGAAGACAGTTGGTCTGGCGCATACCCGGTTTGGTTGCTGGGCGCCTACGAGGCGTGAAAAAGCCTACAGCGCTTAGCCTACTCATTTCTAACGTATATAAACTCCATCATGTCCAGCTTGCGTCGCTACACAACGCCGGCCATAGTTCTGCTCATCAGCGTCGTCGTGATGAGATTTGGCGTGCCCTATGCTTCGCTCTTGCTTTCGCTGTTCACGGGATCAGCCGTGGCAGATGCCGACCCGACTTTGAAGGTCACGACCATCGTCGGGAAGAACGGCGTCTCTTCCGTGGAGTGCTGGAGCCTTCCTGCTGTTGTCTCTGGTGGTGTGAGTCTATTTCTGGCTGGGAGAGTTCAAGGCGGCTGAAGACATTCCTCAGGTTAAAATAACAGAGCTTGCAGACCTTTCGAACGCGTCATACGCAGTATTTCCTGCAGGCGCTGCGATAGACTCTGGGTGAGGGCGTCCTCTTTTCTTTGAATCCCGAATTGTTTTAATATCATGGCAATCCAGGACGCACAACGCCCCGCACACGCAGCTGTTCATCATCCTCAAGGGCGGCGCTGTCATTACGTTCCCCAATAGCTCGGATGTTCTTCACGTGCGGGAGGACGAGATTTACATCGCTGCCGACGCTGTTGGTACCTCTGACCTAGGACACCACACGGTGCTGGAGGGCGGCTCACATGTGTTGCAGATGCCTCTGGCGCCTGGTTTTCTTCCAGACCACACAGCGACTGAAGGGCGATGCCCTTGATCTATGTTTGTCATATGTAGTCTGTGGATATTTATCATCTTTCTCTCTCTTGATTTTTGCTACGATTCTTCCCTCTGTCTTTACCGCATCCCTCAGGCCCGAAATGGTATAGTATTCAATGAAATGAGTGACGGCTAATGAACTGCATTTGAAAGAAAACGTCTGATACCCCATAAGTAGACGTCAGCGCGACATCACCCTCTCTTAACGACACTTCAATGATGCAGTATCCTGGCGTGGAGATGCTTTCTCCACAAATACCTCCGTTGGTGAGGATATGGTTAGATCAGATCGGACGGCAGAGCCCAGCAGCTTGGCGCGCAGCATCCCCAGCGCAAGTCAGTAAACGGCTTGAGACTTGACACACTCTAGTCTAGTTTCACGGAGCGAATTGACGAACTGGGCATGATACAAGTACAGCAACAAGAAATTAACGTCATCTAGGAATACTCCTCTCAAAGGCCGTAATTGAGCTTGTGATGTTCGAATGTCGCCAGGGCGTCAGGATGCCTCGGCGTTATAACGCAATCGAACGGACGTGGGCGGCTGGACTCATTCGTTAGTAAGCTGTCAGACTTCAAGGTGATAGCGCTCACACAACCAAGCCTAGATTCAAACTTTCATCCGTGGGTATGATGGGCCTCCCGTCTTCCCCAAGCACCGGATCTATGCTGAACATCCATAGCATGTACGCTATGTTGATGAAGAGAGAATTGTTTGCAAGATGTCTCCCAACGCATATCCTGGAGTACCCGAGGGAAATTTCGGTCAGATATCGATGCGGCAAGTAGATGCAACGGCTACGTGCCTTCTACCAAATCCAAATGTGACATGCCCCTCGTCCCTCGTGTCTGCGGGCGCCTTTAAAAGCCCCCCTTGCGCGTTGAGGTGACGCTCCGGTTTAAACTCGTGTGCGTCTGTGCCCCAGATTTCTGGGTCCCGGTTCATTGCCCATACATTGGCAATGCATATGGTGCCAGCGGGAATGAAATAGCCCCCGTACCAGTCATCGTGGGTAGACCGATGCTGCATACCTATGGCAGAATTCTGAGTCAGCAATTAGTAGCAGAGGACGCGGGCTAACAGAGAAACACGCACCGAGAGGATCGACCGGGTTCCATCTCAATACCTCCCGAACTAGTGCTCGAATATAGGGAAGATGTTCGTAATCTGCGAACGTAGGCAGCCGATCACGCCCCACAACGTCGTCGATCTCGGCCTGGGCTTTCCTCTGGATATCCGGGTTACGAACCATGGCCAACATGAACCAAGCGGTGACTCCGACGACCTAAGAGTCTCTAGCGTCAGAGCGGGCTGTTAAAGCTATTGTAGAACGTCCTCACAGATTCCGATCCAGCCGCACTGTGATGCAAGGCTCGTAAGTCGAAGGATGCAAAACAGGTGTAGACACCGACATGGTAGCTGAAAGCCAAGCCATTTCTTTCTCGGTAAGCCCATAGCTTGCACGCTTCTCGTGCAAAGAGAAAGCGAAACTTGGCCGTTCATCTCCCTGGATCTGTACGAACGCATATGATGAGGGTCCGAAGTAATGGGGCTAAGGAGGCGAGCAGTCATTACAGCGCGCTGTTTCACGCCTCCATAAAACCCCTGAAACATCTTGCTGTATTCCCACGACCAGCGCTCGACATCCTTCTTCCATCGGGCGATCCATGATGGAAGGTGTTGGAGCCAGGGGAAATATTCTACCATGTGCCCGTCGATGTAAGCAGCGCGCAAAATATGCTTGGTAAACCTGAGGATGCCCTCTATCTTGTCATCCTTCATCGACGTGATAACTGGCGTGTCATAGGTCACATTGAGGACCGTCGAGAAAATGCTCCTAGAAGGTTGCGGCGATCAGTGGCAGTACTGAGATTCCAGAGAAGGAGACGCCACCTGCGGACGTGGGCATCCCATGCACCTGGATCCTTGATAATGTCCTTGATCAACAAAGTCGCCTCGGCCGTCTGCTGCGGCTGAAACAAGTTGACGACCACTTTGTGCAATCCCGTATGAGCAGCACGGCGCATGCGACGCCATCTTTCGATAAGCAGCAGATGTCAATTGGTGTGCCATACAACTGAAGCATTATGACTGCTCACTTGTCGCCATATCGAGAGAACGTGAAGAAGAGGCCCTCCGTGAGCATCCCGCACGCGACAATGAAGCGAGGCCGATCAGAATAGATAGCCGCGCGCCGGTCCAGTAGATCTGCAGCCACCTTGTTACTGCTGAGGACGATGACGCTCTGGCCACACAAGTTCAGATAGACGATGGGGCCTGTAGGAGAACACCAGGGTGGGCAGCGATGTCAGACACAGAAACATTCAGTGAAGCCTACCATAGACATATTTCCATTCTGTGAAACGATGCCACGCATCGTCTGAGAGCTGAAAGACATTCCCAAAAAATGGCAAGCCCTTTGGTCCAGGCGGAAGGGGGCCATTTTTCTTAGCATGTGCGTCGAGGAAGAGTACCACACTGCATATAGAAAGGACCGCCCATAAGAAGAGTTTGGGATCGACGCCTGTTGCTTCGCCAGTAGGGCTAGGGAAGCTCGAGGTAGCGAACGGGAACGAGAAGTTACTCATAGAACAGATAAGAGATGGGAAGGTTGTTAGATTACCGCTGTATTGTGCTTGTTTCAGTGCACCGTGGATGAGAACCCCGAAGGAACACCAGAGCTCAACCTAAGGATTTGACTCATGCCATATGCAACTTCCTACCAGGCTTTAAGCTTTCTCCCCCAGCGCTTGAGCCTGATTATAGTGCATGTCACGCACGCACGGCCCCGCGGACGCGGAGCGTTATGCTCTAGTCTGCACTGTCCAGTCCCAAGAAGCACCACGGCGGGTTAACAATCGACCTCAGGTGCATCTACTGTCGCCAGATGGTAATCGGAGCGCCATACCCACCGGCCCAGATTCTGCCCTTTGGCCGCTAGGCTCGTATCTGATATAGGCGCCATTCCCACAGAAGAGGGACGATCATGATGGGCCGCAATGTCTCGCACTAAGCGTCTTAAACTCCGGAGCTGTAAGAGAAATCCTGATAGCTTTACGATTTTTTGAGTGCAAGCATCCCGGCGTTTCCACATTGAATCTTTCGAGCACTCCAGAATCGTTCAAAGCTCCTCATCGTAACTGACAAGTGTTCGATTTTGGCATATTCGGGCGCCTACCACATTTGCAGTGACATACCCGAGGCTGGCGGGGAGATGATCGATGATGCCTATTGGGGTATGAGATGCACCGATATGTGTTTGGAATCCCAACGCACCAGCTGGAAGAACCTCGCGCGGGTGACTTGATGATAGTCGAGTAAAACATAGTCGAGTCTGAGTTCACAATCTGACTGCACCCTGTTCGCGTGTCTTTGTTCGCTTGAGGCCATCAACCCGTGACGCACTAACTGTTTCCTCGCTAGCATCATATCCTTCCACTGACGGACTCTCGCATCAGAACGATGGCCGCATAGCTGAAGCGAGCATAAGGGTTACCAAAAAGGAAGCTCAGACCAAGGTCGCGCCGTGATGTGAATCGTGCAAAATACGGTGCCGCGCGCTGCGCGTCTAAGTAGTATGTGCAGAGTACAGACTGAGCGGGTCATGCATGCCCAGATCTCTCACCTGTCGAGAGGAAAAGGGATTGAAGACAAGAGATCGAGTGCTCGGCCGGCTTGTACGTACCGTGACCGTTCCCTTGCGATCTTTTTGAACGCACCTGTGCCTCGCCTTCTATAGCCCCTTTTGGATTCACCTTCATGTGAATCGACACCTCAGCCTCGACCACGGCGATGTTCAGGAGGTCGGGGAAGGACACCCCGAATTTGCTCTGATCTCTATCTCGGTTGCTGGGTTGCACAGCCGTAAGCAGGACATCCTGATAGATGTTAGGCACGACATGGTCTGCACAGGTCGATGGTCGAGATGAAGCAGAAGAAGAGTTGCCTAGGGAGGTCTGGTTCTCTGTGTACTGATTCATTCGACTTTGACAGAGGGTCTGAGGCTGTCTGAGGAGTGTCTGAGGGATGCTGCTGGTCATCGTCATTTGCCGGTGCCGAAGACTTGCCGGCCCAATGCCGGAGTCATTTCCAATACATACTTTGGAAGAACAGCAAGTTCAAACTGGGAGCCGTGGCCTTGTCTGACGCTCCCTAGCATACGCCTGCAACGCTCATTGCTGTAATTCACTATTCAGGGCATCGGATCATCTTTCTTTCGCCCCACTGGCACCTTCATGGACGCTCGTCGTACTCCCACACGTCATCGTCCAGTCAGCGACTCAGCGCCTCCTGCTTGTTTTCAGGTGAACCAAGAAACCAATTGAGGTCGCTTGAAGCTCGGTTAAAGAACCATGGTCTTAACTTTCTGTGGACCTGGTATCTCAGCCATACGGTAGACGCATCATCCGGAGTGCCGGTGTCACCGTCAGTACAGAGTTGGTATAGCATGAATTATCCAGTGAAAACCTCTACTCGGCTATCGGGCATGCCCACACCTACACTCATACTGAAACACATTCTGATAGGCCTGCCTAAGTGAGCTACAATTCTTTTCAACCGCGGTCGTCTCTACCTGTGCCTGTGCCCCTGCCTCGCGCTGGTACCACGGGTCCTTCAATATTGCGTACAGTACACGCACTTCCGAGCATCATCACCGCACGGCCATCAAGCATCGACCATCAAGAATCAATCCGTTCCTCCTTGCATCTGCCTTTTTTGGCTTCATACACCCTTCCGCCGCTAGCCCGCTTCGCCACATTCACTCTCCATATGGTAAGTCCTCAGGACGTTCTTAGGCCGCTGTTCCGCCTGATCGCCCTCCCCTAACGCTTGGATTTGTGTCAGCCCCACACCCCTACGATCAAACTCGAGTATCAGCATCGCTTCGACGTTGCTGTGCTGCTGTTTATAACTTGCCGCCATGCTACGAGGGTTGTTGCTGGGCTATGCTTTGCTGACTGTAGCCTCGAACAATTTACATCTCTATTCGACCTAGGTCGAAGGCGTGGCCGGATACCTGGGGCTGATGAGGGATAATGATGGCCAGTGTGCCTATCACGCACTCGCGGCATATACATCGTCATGGGAAACTCATTATTGATCCATTTGTGCGCCGGTACGCACCTGCGAAGTAGAGGGTATCATGTGTGAAGCTCTTGGTGATGTTTCCCTCTGGGAAACTATTACGCCTCATATGCGTAGAAACCATGTATGTAGAGTAAATTACATCCCTTGTGGCAGTTTGTGCATACAACGGAAGCCGTCCGTGAATAATTAAACAAGAGCGACAATAACAACCCACGCAGGGTTCGTGACCTCATACGACGCTCCCGCCCTCGCTTGCGCTCGCGCTCCCGAGCCCCTTCTCGTTTAACACCTCCATCTCGTACCCACGCCCGCTCGGCGTATACATATCCACCGAGCGCGTGATGTCGACCTTGATCGGCCCTCCGAGCGGGCTCCGCGCGCCCGCGCCGCCGATCTGCACGACGGGCGCATGAGCGCTGAGCGGCGGCAGCGTCCGCGACTGGGTCTGCGAGTGCGCGCCGTAGCTGGTGGTGGAGTAGACGGCCGAGGCGACCGTCTGGCCGTGCGTGAGCCCAAGCCCGATGCGTACGACGATGAGTAGTGGGGAGATCGTCTGTGCGATGCCCACGTGCGACAATCAGCGACATAAGCGACACGGACGCGCCGAGAACGGCGTATGCCAATGAAGTACGCACCGCGATCTGAACCGTCACATCCAGCGCGGCGACGACCGCGCTGCTCCCCGACAGGTACAGCGCGACGACGACGATTGTCGCGGCCGAGAACAGTAGGCCGGACTCGACGACGGTATATATGATGCTCGCGTACGTGTTGTTGCGCCCGTGCGGCGTGGGCACGGCACGGCCGAACATGAAGAGGCGGTACGCGAGGAGGAGTGTGACACCGACGTTGATTGTGAGGTCCATGGACCAGGTGACAATCGACCAGCGGTGGATGATCGGGTCGAAGATCGGGATGTTGGGGTGCGCACCACGGACGATGGCGACGAGGTTGGAGGCTTTATAAGGGGGGAGTGTGTAAGTGGGTGGGCGATCGCAGTATAGGAGCGGCACTTACAGAACCGAATGGCTTCGAGGGTGAGCTATGGAGGACGAACGTCAGAGGATGTGGTCTAAGGGAGATGGAGAAACGTACAGGCAAGACAACCATCATCCATTTGCGTCCCCACACGACCCAAAGTCGCCAAATCTATAGAAAAACTCTCGTTTGTGAGCACCAAGCTGGTCAAATCACACAATACAGTCCACTCACGAGAATAAGATCCTGGGTGCATACCTATCCAATCCGTATCAATTATTCGACATCCTGTCTTTACCGATTACGAGCGACTCACGTTAACGTTATACAGCACAAGCTTGAGAATGGACAGCTTGTATGGCTCGTTCGCGAAATAAAGTGTCGCTTGCCCTGGGGGACCCCATATGAATGCCTCGAGGAGCTGCCGGAGGCACACGCTGACGTAGATGGTGGAGATGATGAAGAGAAACGAGGATGCCGAAAGCAAGAATCTTCAACGAGAAGGAGTAATCTGTGAATATGTGAGAATGGGGGGAACAGGCATAGCGTACATGGAGAACGTCCCAGTGGAACGCTTTTTCAGGAGGATGCGGACGGCGGTCGCAAACACGAGAATGCTGCCAGAGGCGGAGAGTGAGATCAATAATCATGGGAAATAACATCTGAGTCATAGAACTCACTTGATACCTGCAAGGAGTACGATGTGTCGGCAACGAGATACAACATGAGAAGACATTAGAGACGACACACACGCACCATACAGCAACGTCTCGATCCATATCCCAACCAAAAACATCTGGTCGAGCGGCGGAAGCTTCATCTCGACCGTCGGCATCTTGTCTCTCGCGACTCAACCTACAGTGCCGAGTACTTATAAATACAGCAAAGCCCACTCCAAAGAGTCGATGCCTGTGCAAGCGGGTGTCGAGAATATATGAAGAAGAAGAAAACGCTCGAGCGCCATCTCCGCGCCCGTAGGACCATTTATACGCGCCGCAGACACCTACAGCTCATACAGAACGCCCCTCGCTGACTGACCTAGTGACTGCCTTGCCATTGCCGCCAGGTTACCCCATCCAGCATGGTTTCGTCTTTTGTGATATACATCTGTGAATGAATTGGCGCATCACGACCTGGCATGCCCAGCGGCGGCTAGAAGGCGAGGTTCTGGCAGACTCGCGTCGGGGCCGGACACGGCCCTGCATCGCCCTGCGATTGGACAGGTGAAGCCCTGCCTGGCTCCAGTACGACCGCGATTCGTCGTCGCTCCGAGAAGGCAGGATTCAGGAACGGGCGATGAAGGGGGGGACAGGCGCCGCCTAGACCTACGGCGTAACGAATCGGACCGAACAGCACCTGCGATCGAGACACGAACAGGCGTGAGCCAAGTGCTACAAAGAAGTGCTCACAATCACAGCTTGGCAATTCCTGGAAGAACAAGTCCGCGCAGTATGATCGGCAAGGGAGCTTTTCTTACTTTTGCAGGGGACTCCACTCACGACCCTCGTTCGGACGCATGTGTGCGACTGGATCAGGTTTTTGATGAGACAGGGCTCGGGATCTGATTGGGATTCGCCGTCCCCTTTCGGCCATGCCGTGTGCAGCAAGTTTGAGCCGTTGACGGGCGCTGCTAGGCGCCGCTGGGTACAGCAGTAAATGAAAGATCTGCGATCACCCATCAATGCATCAGCTCCAGCGCCAGCTCCGCTGTTCGGGTGTGATCTAAGCTTCGAAATCCAGCATAGTAGGACTCGAAACGCGCGAACAGATGTAAGTTTGGGCTGTCTGTCAGAGAAAACAGGCTGAACTCCACAGTGCCAGCCCGGATCCAACATGGACCCTCCCTGTTGCCCCGCTGCCTCTTTAGTAGACAAAATATAAGGCCACCCAAGGAACACATGAAAAGGCGAAGAAAAGCGAACACGCACGAGTGTGGAACCCCTGGGATCCAACGACCCCACCTTTCACTCACTGTGTCTCATGTTCCATACGGGGCTCAAGCTCGAACTCCCATCGGCCGCATCATGCGCATCAGCCGCCACCACCTCCTAGCTCTCCTCCGCACAATTTTCCTCCCACTCACAGCCTCGCCTGCTGTTAGGGGCAAACCGTACCCACATAGATGCTGCATCTCCGAGGGTCTTTCGGAGTCGCGATAGGATCAGGGGCAGCGCGAACGCTTGCGGCGCTAGTATTCCTAACAGGTGATGGAAAGGCGACTGCTGGTGTTGTAGTTTGACTCTTGAGACCCGCGGATTGCATGTGGGCTCAGTGTCCTGCTCAATCCGCAAGAGGCTGCCGGGCAATGCAAGGGACCTCTAAAGCCATCGTATGCGATGTGGTTACTTCCTCTGCACGCTGGAACGGCGAATCGATATAAAAAAATAAGACAACAAGGAAAGTACGATGACTCATCCTCCTCATCCCAATCGGCTACAGATCGTGGGAGATCGGGCTAGCTTATCTCTCCAAAATTACCCGAATCTAATCTAATCGACGCAACGGATCTTATTTCTGATTCTTTTTCTGCGATACATACACATAATACGGGGGTACTTAAGCCTGTACGATTATTCGCCACGGACGACAATATAAAAGGAGCGCTGCACTTCAGGCTACTCCTCGACAGCGCGCGGTTGCCACGTGCCGAACACGACCTGGGCACCGCGCGCGAGGACGGCGCACGCGGCGGCGCTGAGGCGGAGGAGCATGCGGGCGGGGATGGCGAGCGGGGGGAATGCGATAGCCGCGAGAGCCTAGTTATGTGTAGTTCATTGGGTGAGTAAAGCAGGAAAAATGTGAGAAGTTCGAGGGAGCACGCACGTCGGTGTGGTAAAAGTCCTCTTGGGACGCGATGTGGTATAGAATGGGGGATTCAGAGTCCGTAGATACAGGGCGGAGGGTGATGCGAACGAGGAGGCTATGTGTGCGTTAGGTGTGGAATGGCGTCGGTAATGGCAGGGCACGAAGACGGGAGGTACACACCGAACGGGGGCGGGCGGGAAGGGGACGAAGCGGACATGGAATTTCTGCGTTACGGTAAGGTAGATGGTGTTTTGCTCGGGGATGTATGCTGTGCGGTCAGGGCGAGCGGATGAGCTGGAGACGTGCAGAGACGCGTGGGAGGCGGAAGTGACGCACCGATGTCGGAGACGGCGAGCTCGATATGCGGAGAGAGGATGCGGTACCACCTGCACAGGTGCCGTGTTTTTGTTAGTGCATCGTATGCGCTGCAGAATCGGCGAACTGGGCGCACTGGTATATCGATAGGATGGACTCGCGCGAGTTGGGCGCAGGGGGGACGTGCGCGAGCGGGTGGCGAAAAGACGCGTCGGGTGCGAAGAACCTGTGGAAAAGTGAGTGACGGGTGCGACGTCGAAAAAGTAAAGACTCGACAGACCGGTGGATAGCACGCTTCTGGAGGTCGGGAGAGGCGGCGGCTGTGAGCTGGTGGACGACCGAGTCAATCTCGCGCGCGGGGTCTTGCATGTTGCCAGTAAATCCTGTTACTGTGGGTTCTACCGCGCTTCAAGTATGCCGACAGTTTGTCATGGACGGGCGCTGGGAAATAGGGCGCAAAGACATTGGAAACGGCCTGCGTGAAGCTTGCTTGACGGATGGAGACGAGATAGCGAGCGAGTGAGCGTGTTTTGCTGCAAACTGGTCACTGCGAGCGTCATCTCGGGCGATGACGTCACGGCTCAGCTCGTCCGCCGTCACCATCTGCTTTCGCTCGCGCACTCAAGAGGCGGCAGTTCACAATGATCTCCAACCGCAAGCTGTTCCCCTCTTGCGCACGCCCCACTCTAGAACGACCTCCTTGACGTCCCCGCAGAATTCTTATCATTTAGAAAAATTTGGGTTTCGTCGACAGTCGTCGTTATGTCGTCCGACCCAGGATCCCCCATGCTTGCTCCCGCACGCACATATGTGCACGAGTCACTTGTCGCCCTGCGCAACTTCGAAATTTTCACGCTCTTCAGTCCTTGGCGCCTTGCCGAGCTCATGCTCAATTTTGCATACGTCCTTCTCCAGGTCCCGCTCATCGCACTCTTCAAGCCCGTAAGTGATACGTGCCTCGTTCTGATCCTTTTGCTCCATGGAGGCTGAGTTTTTTCAATATCGACATAGGCCCCTCCTAAATCCGACGAACTCAGAAAACCGTTTGGACGGATCGCAGTCATTGGTGTGTTCGAGTTTATTACATTCATCATATATTCCTGACCATTCAATGTACCCATCTCTAGGCGCTGGCCTCACAGGCATATCCTCCGCCGCACACGCGATAGCCCACAATTTTGATGTGGTCATATACGAAGGTGCGTACCGTTTACTCGTTGCCCGCCTGGTCCCGTTTCGGTCTCTGCGCTGCACCGCATCCGCGCGCTGCGTTTGAGCGTTTGCATGCATGCAGAAAGAAGCTGCGTATGATCCATGAGAATGTCATCCTTTTTTGTGCATATATGCGCCCTGCCTATGGAGTATATGCGTCTTTGACAATTGGACAACTCCAGCTGGATCACTCCAACACAGAACGATTACCATCTTCTGCGTTGGTCAGCAACGGAGACTAGATTACTTCCGTCTGCTGAATTCAGTTTGAACCGCGTGCAAGGAGGCCTGTGTACGGATTGTTCAGTGGGAAATGTGAATCTACGGCGACAGTTGAAAACTCCTTCTCGCATGGCCGAGGATCACTGCATCATTAGCATCTGAATCTCCTTCGTATTCCTTTACTGGCACAATATCTTCTCATCTATGCTTGACAATGAGAACGTTTGTTGACCTCTCCAACGTTCTTCATCACAGCATCTGATCGTCCAGGAGGGATATGGTCCCGCGTCAACAAAACTTCTGGCCTTCAGCTCAACTCGCTACTGTACCGTTTTCACCCTGCTGTGTGCTGGCGCCACGGGTTCCCTGAGCGGGACGAAATCTTAGATGGTGCGCGCAGGGCTCTTATGTGAAGCAGTTTCTTTGTTAATTGGATTGGCTGGCTGTGATTTCGAATAGAGATTAAACGCGTTTGGAAGGAGTACAAGTTGGAGGGGCGAACGCAATTCAATGTGCGTTGCACACTTTATTCTGTTGATTTATGCGATTAATATCTCAGGATGTCTACTTATAGACGCCTGTGACCTCCATCCGCCGCGCGCCGAGTACATCCTCCCCTGGCGCACGCTGGCTCGTGAACGACGGTAGCGACGGCGCGTTCGATGCCCTGATCGTGACTGTCGGGACGTGTGGGAAGCCGAGGATGATCGGACTCAAAGGAATGCCGAAGAGACAGAAAGGTCAAGACGAAATAAAAGGCAATGCTAAGGATAGAGACAAGGCGAGAGCGAAGGCTGGGCAGGACGGCATGCCGTCGTATGCGGACATAGCGAAGCATGGGACCGCCAACGAATCCGAGACTGGTGGCTTGAATGCAGAAGCGGGCCCGGATCGGGCGTCTGTAGACCCGAGAGACGAGGGTGCCCCTTCGTACGCGGACGTCGCAAAGTACGAGCCAGACTCGAACGACGCCCCGCCAACAGAGGTGGCGGCTGCGTCGAAGCAGGCAGACGCCATCCCGGGCTCGCCGGCCTCAGACGCGAGCTCGGCGCGCAAGGAGTCGCATCATCGTGCGGATGAGCATCCGAGCGAAGACACCGACGCTGAACGCGAAGCTGCGGCCCAGCATGATACAAAGGAAGACAAAGATGCAGGTGAAAGCGGCGGCGACGACGATGACGACGACGATATGTTTGATGGGCCAATCTTGCACTCGTCGGAGCTCGATCGAGAGGATGCGGACATGGCGGGTAAGACTGTGATCGTTGTGGGTAGCAGCGCGAGCGGGGTGGAGGCGGCGGAGGCGGCGCTGACCAGAGGCGCGAAGAAGGTGTCGATGGTGGCGAGAGACGACAAGGTGCGTGATATGCTGTGGGTTGCATCCTGCATTGTGTGATCATTATGATTTTGGCACTATACGTGATTAGTGGATCATTCCGAGGTGTGTTCGTGCGATCCTTCAAAAGAAATGGTATACATTTTCTCAAGCTGATGTTGATTGATCAATCTCTCCTCTGTGCGACCAGGAATATTGTGGTTGATACCGCCATTTCGGCGCAGCCATTTGGGAGGGAGATGCCTCTAAGGTGCGTATGAAAGCCTGATACTGCTATCGCAGCCGACAGTTTCGTTCAGTTTCTTGTGGGAAGGGTTCCTCCGAAACTGGCATTACCGCGGCGTGAAGGACCTCACACCTGCGGATAGGGGAATCTACGAGGGCACGCCTGTGAGTTTCGCGTTTCAATTTTGGAGTTTTGTCTCTGTCACCTTCCGTTTTGCGCTTGCTTCCATGTATCGAAAGACGTTGCTCATTATATGATGATGGGATTATACAGGTCGTCAATGACGCGTTCCTGGGCCACATTCGCGCGGGCCGCGTCGAGTACATTCGTGGAGACACCCTCAGGCTGACGAAGCAGGGCGTGCGTGTACGCGTACGGCCACGAGGGTCCAAGCCGGGTGATAAGAAGCAAAGATCGAGCTCGGAAGAGTACCCGACGCGCGAGTTTTCTGCAGATGTTGTCGTGCTCGCGACAGGGTTCGAGCCGCCCAGTGTGGAATTTTTACCGCATGATCTGTTCCCAGAGGGTTACGAGCGCCCAGACTTGTACCTGCAAAACTTCTCGACGGAGGACTGGTCGGTGCTGATGACGAACTCGTCGTATCTGAACGCGATCGGTACGCCGCTCTTTTCGTTTGTTGTCTTGTGGACGCTAATGATTTTTCTGGGACGATGATCTTCACAGGAACTGTGTGAGTTTGCGATCATCTTTCTGATTTTGTCGTGGGCTATACTGATGGTATATCTTGGCGCTCAACGATGTCAGCGGACATTTGTACGTTCGTCTCTTAGGCTCTTACAGTTTTTCTGACTGTACAGCGTTGCACGCTTAGCCATATCGGGATATATACTCGCATCCTGCTCACGTTCTTACTCGACAAGGACGCACGGCCGCCGCCGCGCGACATGAAGTTGTGGGTCGACGCGTTGCGGTTCGTCAAGCGAGGGGCGCGCGGGGGCGCTCTTGGATTTTTCACGTATATGGAGCTCAGTGCGTAACCCCCCATAAGCAATATATAGGTTTGAGAGCGGTTCACGAATTTCTTGGTTGTCACATACAGTGATTTGGTTCGTCATGTTCCACGTCCTGCGTCCGGACAGACTCCAGTGGATGTTTTTCGTGATGCAGGGGTGGGGCGTGAACGTCAACAGGGTGGGCAAGTGAGCCGGCTCGTGGACTGTATGGGCGCAACAGAGAAAAAGACGATGGACATTTCCACGCCCAGGAGCGAATGTATAGATACGTGAGGCGAGTGTAGGTATGTGGAGGTACGAGGGCCAGTCTGATCTAACTACGTCATCGTGAGCTTTCGAGCATGTACTTGGTATGTCGGTGGATAGCCTTGATGTATGTGGTCACATTCAAATGTGTATAGTTTCATCGCCGTCTACGTGCGCTTAAGCTGTGGTGGCGGAGCAGGCTTCGGCTGCTGAGTTGCAGGCGCGGGCGCTGGAGCAGGCTTCAAAGGTTTGGGGGCGGGCCCCGGCCCTCTGACAGGTGGCTTCGGTGGCCCGCGAGGCAAGAACGCCTTTGCTGGCTTCTTTGCGTACCCCCTATGGAAGATATTTGAGCACGGGCGTTAGTTTCGAATCAGGACACGCGGAATGCTCACCCCTCGTCGTCATTTGACACGCCGGGGTCGCTCACGTCGTTGACACCCGTGGGGTCGTCTGCGCTGATACTGAAGAGGAAGTCAGCCATGGAAGGGTTGAGTGGCGAGGTGGAGCTTACGCCGTCTCGAGATCGTTGCGGTCGTTCACAGCGACATCGACGGGAGAAAAGGTGTCGGGACCGAGGAGGGAAGAGGAGGGCATTGTAGCTGGGAGTTGTGGGTCGCGCATGGCGTCTTATATACCCCACGGACGAAATCCGAGGACACAGGATCGCTGTCTCCCTCTCCCTCCGGACGAGTAAGGTCACTGTCTGACGAAACTAGACAGAATGGCATGACCTTCATCGCCTCTTACCCTACTCTCGAGGCTATGCCTTCATTACGCCTCGCAGCGCAGTATTTTAATTAAAGGAAGGGGACGAACGTTCGATTGAGTACAGGACCTCCATCTCCGTTGGAGGATTCCAACAGAAAGTGCTGTGGACGGTTGGGCACGCACATAGCCTGTGCCATCGCGGGTGAGTTTACCCACCAGCAGACCCGACCATCGTGCTTGGTACGTACTGCAAACGACAGAGCCTTGGATGGTATCTCAGCTACCTCTGCACTGACTCAAAGTCGGACCCTTCCATCCACTCAGAACCTACGCAGGAGCGACAAAGAGAAAATTGAAGCCTACAAAAGGCTTAATGCATGAGAGGACGGTGCTGAATCTGAGCTTTTCGAAACGCGTGTGGACTTGCCTGCAGCCTCGAGGCAATTCGGATGCATTACAACAGGACCCGTGAAGCTCCTATGAAGGTTTCCCTGAAATTTAGCATATTTGAGGGCAGAAAATCACCAAATCCTTCCCCGTTTGAAGCATATTTTAGGCTGAATTTGCATCATATTTCCCGGGTTTTAGCATATTTATGCCCGATCTGGGTCCAGACCAGCGGCATTTACCGATTATTTTATCATCGAGTGAAATCACTCGTGAATTCCCTTCCTTCCTAAATCCCACTCTGTGCTTCTACTGCTTCTACATGCATCTATTCTATGATCTCAACATAATGGTGATTGACTTCTCATTGTTGACACCAGACCAGCATGTGCAGAAAATCAGGAACATTATAACTGACCATCATGGCCTTGCACCCCTAATACATCATGTGAAAAACTGTTGATATGCTAGAGGTGGCTCTAAGTGCCAAGCACAACACCAAAACAACCTCTAGTGCAGGGGGGTGCTGAAGCTAGTATCTAATACACCAGGAATCATTAGTGATGACTTTTAGAAATCAAAGGCTTACTGAGAAGCAACAAGGAGTGTGAGATTATAGCATCCAAATGGTTTTGGGACTGCACCAAATACTGACCAAATGTTTGGCTGGTTGTGTCAGAGGTTTGGTTGGTGACAAGAAGGTAATGTCATGACTGACAACTACATGCTTCAAGAGCCACATAGGACTCTGACAATATATAAGGAAGAACAAGGGGTATGAGCAAAGAGATAAGTATGAATGTGAATAAGGCTAAATGACAAGAATGACAAGTTTTCAGGAGTTGACAAAGATGATTTCAATGGTTGAGATGAGGGTGAATGAGCTCTAAACTGTGGGGTGCAAAAGCTGGTTTATTCTAGAGTTGTGTATAGGTTTTTATAGTAAACTGAGCCCCTAAGTAAGATATCAAATGAGAAATAAGAGTAAATGTCAAATGGGCACCAAGCCCTAGCAATCAGAGAAGATAAGAAGGTAGGTGAGATGTCCATATGGGTTCTGAAGGTAATAAGGTAAAAGTTAATCAGTGATGGTAAACTCCTAACCATTTGGTATCTGTCGTCTGAGCATAGGTAGCCTAAACAAGCTTTGGAGAACCAATGAAAATAAAGAAAAAGTAATGTATGACCAGAGTGGCCAAGTAATGGTACAAGATTGTGTTTGACCAACTATGCAAAAGTCAGGAAGATAAGTGATAAGGACCAACTGACTTATGGAGCACATTGGCTAATATAGACTACTGGCTCTGATCTCATAAACACCTATTATAACACTTCTTGCAGTTATGGTAAGTATGTGAAGTGTAGGCGGATCAACCCAAGTGCTGCCAAATGTCCTTCAATAGCTTGCAGTTAGTTGGGTGGGGACTGACCATGTTTGGTGCAAGTCAGCATCTTTGGTACTCATCTAATGCTATTTGGTATCTTCCCAAAGCTTCCTAAATACCTCCCTCAAACCCTAGCATGGGTGTATTCTCTTGACTAATTTATTTGGCACTCTCAGCCATTTTTTCAGTACTAAATTTGCATTTAGACCTCTGCACAGTTATTTGGAGCTGTTTATAGTTATCCTATGCATCTATCTTGGACAAATAATCAGAAGAAACTTGAAAGGAATTTGGGTTCATGTGGGCAAACAAGACATTAGCAAACCCATTGATGCTCCACTAGTTGCCTGGGAAGACAGGAAAGCACCACTCAGAACAGTAATTACCCTGATTTGAGCCAAAACAGCCTTAACACTGATTGATATCCTAAAAAAAGATATTGAAGAAGAAATTATCTGTTATGAAACATCTTGCTTATGCCTACCTACTTTTCCCACCGTCTTGACAAGGACACATAGGACCTTTCTCCTGACTCTACCTTGCGTTCCTGCTCCATTGATATTTGGTCCATGCTTTCACCTGTACATACTTATAGATAATGTAGCACAGTGTGGAAGCCTTAGGCTATCCACTTCTGTCCAATCTAAGAACTGCTATTCACACAGTCTTCTCTGATTCTAAGACACTAGTCTGATCAGTCCCGATCATCCTCTCAAATCTTCTTGTATTATTTGTGGCCTAGGATCTCCTCATCTCAAACAGCCATTCGTGACATCTGGATAGCCTCTCTTCACAATCCTACTCCACATCCTACCTTTTCCCTTGCAGCAGAATACTGGCTAGTTACACACGGTGCTAGGCAGTCCCAAAAGACAAGCAACCATCAACCATAATAGTTACTATATACTTTGAGCAAACGATTGGACGATTCCACTTTAGTGTGGGTCGTTTCAGGTTGTGGTTGTAGAATATCTCTATCTGGTAATCAACCCAGTGGAGGTACAACCGAAACAATTGCACTCGACGTTACGTACAGTACTATACTAGAAGCAGAAATTACTGTACGCAATTAGGAAGAGCTGCTGTTGCCTTGACCCTCGAACCTTGATTAGGTCGAGACTAGCACGGGCTCTTTTGATCAAATCAAGACGACTTCCAAAAGCTTAAGAAGAAATGTAGGACAAATTCCACACAGAACCGACTACTTACAGTACTCAGACACATTCATCTACTTTGGACAACCTATCAGAAGAACGTCCAAGGGAAATTGGATTTACATAGGAGGACAAGACAGTGGAAAAACAGTCGATGCTCCGCTAGTACCCTGGGAAGACAGGGCACCCCTCAGAACAATCACCACCCCTACCCAGACAAAAACCATCCTACCACCAATTGACATCCCTGAAAGAGATATCAAAGAAACACCGATTCCTGTGGAAGTGCTAACCCCAGTTGATGAAGAAGACCCGGAGCCTGTAGCAGGACTAAGTCAACCAAACCCAAATCTGAACCCACAACCAAACCCTGTGCCTAGTACAGAAGTAGCTGACGATGAAGACAAAATGTCAGACAAAGAAAACAAACCAAAGTGTTACGACTGCTCGTCGGTAACCCCAAGAGTAGGAGGTTCTTCCCTAGGTCACTCGTGGAGGATGTGTGGAACGGTGGTCTTGACTGTACGTGTAGCACAGGAGCCAGAAGTGTATTGCGATATAGCAATGAAGACCGTAGTAGGAAGACTACAGTGGATGAGGGTGCTGTGGTAGGAAGACCACAACGAACGAAGGAGAATAGACTGAAGAACCTCAGCCTACTCTATGGGCCTTTTATACTACTTTAGGAAGTAGGGCGTGAGAATACCATATATGTATCCGTAGGTATACTCTAAGTCGTTCTCTCTCAATAACGACTACTCTTGTGTTTCTCCGTTAGTCTCCTTCTGGCCAGGAAAGACTAGGAGCTCAATGCCCGATGTGTGAGTAGTTTGTAAGGCGGCGTTCCATGCCCGCTACGCAATAGGCCCGTGATACTCGACCAACGATAAGGTGATCCGTTGGGGGTGGATGACCAAGGTTACTATCTGTACCTTGTTTGTACGCCTCACCTTGTGAGGCCGCTTGATATTTGTGATGATCGTGTCGGAATAGACCGCCGTTAAGGCCCGACAGAACGTGATCATAACAATACCCCCTTTCTACGTCCTATTCGCCTGGTAGGACAGCGCTGTGCGCTTCATCGCCACTCCATATACAATTTGCTTTCTTGATCCAAAACTGGTCTCCGGATGCGTCTTCCGGGACATGACTTCGTTTTCTGGGAGGAAGACCGACTTACGTCGTTTGATCCTCTAGGAGTTTTCCATCTCCGTTGAGCTGTTTGTTTCTTGGCCATAACGCAGGGGTATCCAAGCCCTGGGCCACTAGGATGTTCTTCCTTCACCCGTAAGGATTGATTTTGCCGCGGCAATTCCATCGCGGTCTTACTTCCAGCCTCCTCTGGAACAGCATCAAGAAAGGCGTATGAATGCGAGTGGTGTGTGGATGAATAGAAACTCTAGCATGTGGGTTCTGATTCGTGTCATCAGGTTCTTCTTCTTCCTTCTCCGAGGGCCAAACCTCAGTGTTTCCAGGATAGTCGTTATCCTCGTGATTTGTGTTGTTCCTCTTGGCGTTCAGAGGATGGCGTCCACGGGCAAGTAGGTTGATCGCTTTACAAAGGCTTAGGCCTACTTCCCCAGACTACCATCTTAACGTCCCAAGCAGTATCGCTCCCATACGGTGAGCTCATCTCCGGTGAGGTTGCAGCCATAAATCCCAAGCAGTATTGCCCCCATACGGTGGGCTCATCTCCGGTGAGTTAGTTCGACGTCCAGAGTTTGTTTGATTCACTATGCGTATTGGGTTTGAGGCAAGGATGTGAAGAGAATTAGACTTGAAGGGTGCCGTGAAGAGCAAGGAGGAGTCTGACTCCTTCTCCGGATCGGCCCGTTCGCTTGCACAAATAGACATTAGGACCACAGCTGATATATTGGTCGGGTTGCGAGATATATCCACGACTAGCAGTTTAAACGTCTTGCCGGACGTTCCGTAGTTTATCGTCATTGCGGACGATCCCTAGTTTTACGTCGTCGCAGACGCCAGTAGTTTTACATCGTTTCGGATGTATTAAGGCGCCCTGCGCTGCCTTGTAGTTTACTTCTAGGTCATTTGCGGACCTTCTTCATCATCAACATGGATTAGCTGTGGGGAAAGATGTTTCTGCACGCCGGACCATTCATCGGTTATGTGCATAGGGCTCTAGACCAGACTTTATCCCGCAGGTTTCCACTGAGGCATGATGAGAACGGTTTATGCTATATCAAACCGGATAACTTATACGTCTCAATATTAGGAGACCGCTCAGTTTAATGCCATGAGGTAGGCATCCTCGCAGTTTAACGCCATGCGATAGGCGAGCTATCGTCTGACTATGTCCCTCGAATCACGATAGGCTTTTCCTCCGAGGATGAGGGTAGTTTACCGTCTTTTCGGACGTTGTCGACACATTCTCGTCAAGAATGATGTCGACCGATGATCCCTGTACCAGAAGGGATGAGTAGTTTAACGTCTTTTCGGACGGTTGATGACCACGGTCTTGGTCAACAACCACAACTCCTATTCGGTAAGGAGCACGTAGTTTAATGTCATTGCGGACCGATTGACAGCATGGCGGTCAATCCACAACTCCTATACGGTAAGGAGCAAATAGTTTTCCGTCATTGCGGACGCATTGATGTCCAGGGGATTGGACGTCAATGACAACCCCTAGGTCCAGGGGCACTAGTTTAACGTCGTCGCGGACGCGCGGTATCTTGTCAAGATCGCCACGCACAATCCCTATACTTGAAGGGACAGGTAGTTTAGCGTCGTTTCGGACGCGTGGGGATAACCTTGATTTCCACCACGCACGATCCCTATGCTTAAAGGGACAAATAGTTTATCGTCATTTCGGACTAGGAGGCATCCCAATATTGAGACACATCCTACGATCCCTAGAACGAAGGGACAGTAGTTTTACATCGTTTCGGATGCCTGTAGTTTACCGTCGTTGCGGACGTCGATGCCATTGGCCTCGAACAATCCCTATGTGGAAAGGGACAATAGTTTATCGTCATTTCGGACGAGTGAACATCTGGTCGAGATATCCATTACAATCCTCGTTCTTGAGAGGACAATAGTTTAACGTCTTTGCGGATGTTGTTTCGCCACAAATATTGTGGAAAAACAATGCTTAGTTTAACGTCATCCCGGACGCTTCGTAGTTTATCGTCGTTGCGGACGAGTGGCGGAATAGACTTATGAGTGGCCCCCTCTTGCCGTTCTTCCGCTATGCGGGCCAGACGAGAGTCGCATGACCTAGTCCCTTCCTACTAGATCTTCGACTCGAGGCACGTGTCCTAGTTGCCTCCTGACTAGGTCTTGGAGCGGAATTTCTTGTACTTCGACTCCAGGACTAGACTGAGCGCTCCATGAAGAGATGCTTGCTCTTCCATGTCCCCAGACCCCTCGCTTGGAATTGAACCAAGTCGACCCGATATTCTTTTACCGAAAAGCAAGTGAATATCGGAAGCGCTTCGACCTCTTATAGGCAGGGTTCTGCGACGCGGTAATTCTCCCAAAATCCGCGCTTCACCAGAATACAACCACGCTCCTTGGGTCAATGGTAGTTTTACGTCATCTCGGACGATGGGTAGTTTTCCGTCGTTTCGGACGAAGACTAGTTTAACGTCATTGCGGACCCTAGTAGTTTATAGTCATTGCGGACCAAGCCTTTGGTAGTTTTACATCGTTCTGGATGTATTTTATGGCCTCGCATCAATTAGGAAGACTTGTGAAGTAGAGGCGGCCCGCTCTCTACATCATCTCATGCGCCAGCTGTAGGATCCCCTAATGCGGAAACGATCCTGTAAAACGGGAGATCCAAAGTGGGACGTCCCAAAACACCAGTCAGACCTTGACTGTGAGGGTTCACTTAACGAGTTGTGCATCATAATTTCTTGACTCGGACTTGCAACCGGTTATGTATGGGCACTTCGCTGTACCAAGGCGAAGAGCCGGCTTGTCGACACCTACGAGTAGAGTATATGTCATGTAGAGGGTTCCCTAATGCGGAAAAAACCCTGTAAAACTGAGGATCCAAATGGGACGCTCGATGCATCTGTCAGATTAACTCCTTGACAGTGAGGATGTGAAAGGTTCCGCCGTAGGCTGTACGTGGAATTATGCCCGCTGTTGTCCTTGATTCGTACCATCATTTGAACCTAGGACTAATGGTCAGGTACTTCCCCTGCCTTCTTATCTTTTCACAGTTTTAAGACATGCAGGTCCGATAGTTTAGACGTCATTCCGGACGCGGGGTAGTTTAACGTCTCTTTCGGACGAGGTCGTACAGTTTAACGTCTTGAGGGACGATCCTAGTTTTACGTCGTTGCGGACGAACGATAGTTTAAGGTCATTTTGGACCCTAGTAGGGGTAGGAGTTCCTCAACTTCCTTACCCCCTTTCTCGCTCCGCGACGGCCCTTCTCTAGTAGTCATAGGGTCCTTGGTACCCATCGCCTCCTTCATCAGGGCGATAATACGGATCGGCGTCGTCGTAATTTCCCGGGTCATCTAAAGCATCCCATGCATCGAGCTCGGATTGAGTCCAAGAGCGATTTTTTCTAGCCTCCGAATCAGCGCGGCGAGTTCTGCGGCTACTTCGGTTATTCGGTCCCTCGTCTGTACGAAATCGAGCACTAGGAGGAGGCATTCCAGGCCGGTGTCGAACACTCCCGCCAGTAGTTGTTCCGCGGCGGAGGGTTGCCTGGGTTCCTCGACTTCTTCTTCCCTCGTTTCTTCGATAGACGGGCGGTTCCTCCTCGTCGGTACCCCCATGGGATAAGGGAAAATTTCGTACCCGGTGAGAGGGGGACGTCGTGGGATTGCTATGTGTTGGGCAACTTTCCCGTGGCCTCGGTGAAGGGCGTTCCACGACCGTGCGCGGAGCCCTTCTTGGATTTGGTACAGCCGTGGGATGTTCTCCGGGACGTGGTACATTCCAGACGACAACGCGGAAAGGGTCGGTCCTACTTGGTTGGACGGCGCCCAATTCTCCGGTGAAGAGGAGGGCTGGAAGGAGCTCTCTGTTGACATACTGGGAGAATTCGTCGGGATGGATGAGGAGAGCTCGTGGTCGTCCGTCGTTATGTTCATACCAAGAGGCGGTGTCAGGGTCTGTTTGGAGGGCGAGTCCTCTGATCTGGAGACTGGCACTAGCCAGTCGTCGAGGTATGTCGCTATGCTCATTCCCGGGTTGCCCTGCGGCGAAGTTAGCGAGTCATTGTAGAGCCATGGCTGTGGCCATTTGTATTACCGCGGAGATAGTGCTTCGCTGGAGGAGCGCGTCCACATGTCGCTCCAATTCTCCGGCATGAGGATTTGTACCAAGGGTAGTTCTTCCCATGGAGCGGGGAATCTGTCCACCAGTTGGTACTGGCGGAGGTGTAGCTCCCTGTATAACTGGTATCGAGTTAATTTCTCCATGGCTTGGGAGTTGAGCTGCTGTTCTTGCTCGTAGTCCCGAGGGACCTGCAGCTCCAACGTTCGCCACGATTGTAGCAGGAGGTGGAACTCCCATTGGTACTTCGTCAGAGCCCGGTGGGTTTCTGTCATCAGGGTTTTCATTCCGTGATGCATCTCGTGGGGGCCCCTGGGATGACGGTCGGCGAGTTCTTTCCCTTTCTTTGAACTTGGCGTAGTCCTCGGCGTTGTCATCTGAGAAGTTATTGAGGTGTGGAGTGAGGGTGATGACGGCGGGCTCTGGATGGTGAGGGCTGGTTCCTCTATCAATTCGTCCAGCATTGCTTGGGTGAGGACTGGTTCCTCTATCCACTCGTCCGATGTCTGGATTGGACACCATAAGGACGACATCGGGGGAGGAGTTTCTGGATGGTGATGAAGCATCGTGGTCTTCGTGAAGGAGCATTTGAGTGAAGGAGAGGGAGCTTGAGAGAAGATGTGGGAGGATGGTCTGTTTAGAGCTCTCTGGACGCTCTTTTATAGACTTTTCTTTCCGCTTTTCAGGGTGCTCCCGGATGAGGTTTATCAGGGTACTGGTCATGAAACTCCTTCACAGCTTCTTCCGCTGTTCCTTTTAGGAGAGTGTAGGGTTCCCAGGTGTTGTCCGCCTCGGGATATCCCATCCATTTGACCAAATACTTGGTTCCCCGTCCTTGTTTCTTTGAGTCCACGATCATTTCTACTTCGTAATGTTCTTCATCGTTTAATACCTCCGGCAATGGTCTGGCGAAGTTTTCTCCGTGTGCCTCGGTTTCCCTATACTTGGTTAGCGTTGCGGCGTGGAACACCGGGTGGATTCTCCATTGTTGGGGAATTTGAAGTTTGTATGCCAGGGTTCCTATTTTTGCCAATATTTTAAAGGGGCCATACCTCCTAGGAGCGAGCTTGAACTTTGGATGGGTTGTCCGGATATGGGTTCCTTCTAGCCATACTTGGTCTCCTTCTTTCCATTGAGGGAGTTTCCTGTGGAGATCCCGGTCCTTGGCGTAATTGCTGGCTATTTGTAGGCTGGCTGCGGCTTCTTCCTGGACTTCTGTGATCACCTTAATGCGTTCAGCTACCGCGGGTACCTTTGTCTCCAGCGCAGTGTCGGCTGAATAAGGGGGATTGAACCCGTATAGCACTTCGAAAGGAGATTTTCCGGTGGTTGAATGTTTCCGCGTGTTGTGCGAGAATTCGGCAAACGGCAAAAGGTCTACCCAGTCATCTTGATGGTAGTTGCAGAACGTTCTCAGGAACTGTTCAATCTCCTGGTTTACTCGTTCTGTTTCTCCGTCCGTCTGGGGATGATAAGCCGTGCTGAGAGCGGCGGTGATTCCTAGCCGTTTCCAGAGTTCTCGGGTGAACTTGGCCGCAAATTGAGGGCCGCGATCGGATACTATTTTGGTCGGCAACCCATGTCGACTGAAAACGTTGTTCTGGAAAAGCACGGTTGTTTCTTCTGCCGTGATCGTTTTCTTGCATGGGGTGATGACTATGCCTTTGGACAGACCTTGGTCCACTACCACGTTGATTGAGTCGAAACCCTTGCTTTCGGGTAGGTCCGTGACGAAGTCTGTCGAGATGAAATGCCAGGGGACGTTGGTGGTTTCCAAAGGGTGGATAGGAGGGTGCGTCTTGTGTGTCAGATTCTTGGTTGATTGGCATACCGCACATCCGTCCACGTATTCATGGATGAACCTTGTCATGTTTTGCCACCAGTAGTGTCGTTGTACCATTTCCAACGTTTTTGTTCTCCCCGGGTGTCCTACCGCGGGTGCGTCGTGATGCGTTTTGACAATAAGTCTTCGTATGGCATCGTCTTTTGGGACACATATGTGGCCGTTTCGTCTGGTGATTCCATCTTCGTGTGTCCAGTGTCCCAGTAATCCTCTCATTCCTTGTGGCCCTACTCGCAAGAGCTTGGCGAGGGCTACCCTTGTCAGGGCATCATGTTCCGATTTTGAGCGTCGGATGAGGGAGATGAGGTCCGAGGATGCAATTTCTGTGGACTTGATATGTCGTGTTGGGGACGGTTCTACCAGCGTGTCGTCAGATTTGTTAAAAAGGTTGGCCGGGAGCAAAATTTGAGCTTTGTTGTCAGATTCCACCCCCTCACTTAGATCTGGACGCCTGGACAGAGCATCGGAATGATTTGTTGATCCCGCTTTATAGCTGAGCGTGAAGTTGAATCTGCTCAAATAAAGGCTCCAACGGGCGTGTCGTCGTGAGAGATCTCGCGCCGTTTGGAAGTGTTCCAGGTTCTTGTGATCTGTCCAGATCTCGAATGGGTGTCATGCACCTTCGAGGTAGTGATTCCAGTGTTCCAACGCTTTTATAATGGCCAGGAGTTCGCGATCGTGGACGTCGTAATTCCGTTCTGCTGGTGAAAATGACCCGGAAAGGAATGCGACTGGGTGCTAGTCGCCATCTTTTCCTTCTTGCAGGAGGGTGGCTCCGTAAGCGATTAGTGAGGCATCCGTTACTAGTCGATATGGATGCATGGGGTCCGGGTAGTTTAGAACGGGTTTACTGATAAATGCCCTTTTTAATCGTTCGAAAGCTTCCTGGCACTTTGAAGTCCAGTTCCATTTTGCATCCTTTTTGGTGAGGTCGTGCAGAGGTCGTGCGATAAGGGAGAACTTATCGATAAAACGCCTGTAGAAGTTTCCTAGACCTAAAAAGGAGCAAATGTCTCGGACGGTGCGTGGGACTGGCCAATCTTGTATGGCGTCCACCTTTGAGTCTTCCATTGCGACATGGTCTTTTGAGATTGTGTATCCCAGATATTGGAGTTTTTCTTTATAAAACTCGCACTTCTCCGGCTTCAGATAGAGGTCGTTGTCGCGCAAGATCTGGAAAACTTGGTTCAGGACCTGGATGTGTTCCGCCATGTTTTTGGAAAAGATGAGGATGTCGTCCATGTATACGGTTATTTTCCGTGCTGTGATGAGTTCTCTGAAGATCATGTTCATCATGGCTTGGAAAGTGGCTGGCGAGTTGGTAAGGCCGAAGAACATCACTGTGGGTTCATAAGAACCCAACGGAGTGATGAAAGCTGCCTTCCACTCGTCGCCCTTTTTGATTCGTATATTGTTGTATCCCCACCGTACATCCAATTTGCTGAAAATGGTGGCCCCTTTAATCACGTCCAATAGTTCTTGGATCAGTGGAAGGGGGCACACATTTGGGATGGTGTACGAGTTCAAATGGCGATAGTCCTGTACCGGGCGCAGTTTTCCATCTTTCTTTCCTATAAAGAAAAATGGGGCTGCCGTTTGTGAGGCGGATCGACGGATGGTCCCCCGAGTGAGATGTTCCTTGATGAATTTTCCTAGTTCATCATGTTTTTCTGGGCTCAAGGCATAGATTTTTGGTACTTGGGGTTTGAAAGTCGGTTTCAGATCTATGGCGTGGTCCCAATAAGTGTGCTCTGGGAGTTGCTGCGACTTTCGTTCGCTGAAAATGTCCAAAAATTCGTGATGCGCCTTGGGGACTCTTTCCTTTAGATTGGTGACGACGATTTCGTCTTCCAAGTCCTGGTCGAAGCTGGCAAATCCTGACGGTTCGGGAGCCAGTTTCCGAATAACTGGTTCCTCTATGGCCTGTTTTCCTGAGTTTTCATGTGGGAGATCAGGTTCTTCCCCGTTTGGTGAAAGAGATGGTTTGGCTTGAGCCTTTCGTTTCTCTTCTGCGTATTTCCTTATGTCCTGTAGGAGCCATTTCTTTTTGAGGTATGCTCGTAGTTGGACACCAAACGTTCCGCTGTGATCGCGGAGTCCTACATCTTCCGACAATCTTCGGAGATGTTCTAGGCGCTGTTTTTCGCGCTCGTTAATGCATGGTTTGTGCCGTGGCTCCACGTCTGATAACCGCCTATTGTTTTGCGGTTCTTCCCTTGCCCTAGTGAACCCATGTGGTTGCTGGCATTTCTGGGGGCACCGATCAAAGTGCACTTCACGTCGCCTCCACTCGATGGAGGGATCGTGGTATTTCAACCAATCTGTTCCTAGGATAAGGTCGTCTTTCCCTAGATTGGAGATAAACATCTGGATGCGCTCAGTATGCGTTCGTCCCCTGATGTCCCGAATGGTGAGGTTCACATCCAAGGCGGATCGGATGAGACCTGCTTTATTAATGGTGTCATCGACGTTCCGGACGCGAATGGGGTTGTTGAGTGTGTAGGTGGGAAAGCGATGTCTCCTGACCCAAGTTTCATTTACTATAACCCCCTCGCATGCCGAGTCAATGGTTGCCTTTGCTCCAGCGTATTGACTCCTGTTTGATACTTTCACGTTCAGGCGTATGGGAGTGATGATACGGTCGTTCATTGCTCCGATACGAATACAAGTGCGGGCATCAAACTCGGGTCGTCCTTGACCTTTCTCCTTCGCTGGCGAGGGAGAGGTCAGGAAAAACGCTCCGCGTGTCCCAAGATCACTTCTCTTGCTTCATCTTCTCCTAGTTCTCCGAGCACTGCTCCGATTCGAGCAGAATGACTGACGCTTCCGTCTCCCTGTCGTCCGTTAGGTAACATAGCGCGTTGCCCATGGTTCGTTTGGGGTCGTCCGGATGGGGCAGAGTGAGGACGTTCCATCGAAGGACCAGGTTGTGGTACCCGCTGGTTGTTGCGATGAACATCCTCTGTCTCCATTCCTCGATATATTCCCGCTTGGTCTCCCATAGCGGATGCGTCGTCTTCTCCTTCAAGATCGACCACGCGGTTTCCTCTCCCTGTCGTACCCAAGCGTCTCTTCGAGTTTCCTCGAACTGGTGGAACGCCTCTGCGGGCCGACCAGCAGTTAGTGCCAGAGTGTCCTATCTTTCCACAGTTTGAACAAGAGGTGGCTCGCTTGCCGTCAAATTTTCTCTTTTGACTTTGGGCGTTACGCTTCCTGGTAGCGTCGATGTCCATATCAACCACCTGATTGTTCATTTTTCGAGGGGCGTTTGTGGAGTTATAGTGGATAGCGGGTTGGGAGTGGAAACGGTTTAGATAGTCGCTGCGGAAGGAGGTGGAGTTGGCGAGGATGGCTTTTTGAGCAGATCTAGCTCTGAGTCGTCCATCTATTTCGCAGGCTGTGTTTATCCAATCCTGAATGTTGTCCTTTGGCTGTACTTCTTTGTCATATATTTTGTCCATGACACGCGGGTCTAACCTGCGTTGGAAGTAAGGGACTTGTTCCTTGTCGAAGATGTCGGCATCGGCGGCGATGAGAATGAATTGGTTGGAGTATTCATCAACCGTCATTCGTCCTTGGGAGAAGGCCATGAGTGCGCTTCGCGCTTTGTCTGTCTTGCCTGTCTCCCTAAATTGGAGCTTGAACTTTGTTAAAAAGTCCTTCCAGGTTCCTAGATCAGTGGGAGGGTCCGCTCCTACTGATTTGAGGAGGAAGTTCTCGGCCCAAGCTCCTGCTGTGCCATATCTCATGCATGAGAGTACCAAGGATATCTTGTCTTGATCGGTCTTGTACCGATCGGATTCTGCTGCGAAAAGAAGGAGGCATTGGAGCATGAATTTCTGGGATTCAATGCGGTTGCCTGTATAGTTGTCTGGGAGTTTGACTTTTCCTCTTCCGGGTTGTACTGTCGCGGAAGGGGGGTCTGTAGAAGTCGAAGCTTGTCCCGACATGTTGGCGAGCGGTTCGTTTCGGGTATTGATCGGTGTTTGGTCTGGTGAGTCGGAGTCTGATTCTGAGGTTGTTTCCTCTTGCTCCGAGTCTTCGGGGATTACCGGCGCCGGTTCCCTGTATTGTGGGGCTAGTTCCCACTGAGCTTCTGTTTCGTTCCAAATATCCTCTTCTTCTGTTCCGTCTTCAAGGGTGAAGTAATAACGCCCGTTTCGGTATGAGCAGTTATCGTAATTCGGGGGGGCGTATCTGTTGTTGTCTTCGTAGACCCAGAAGTCCCCTTCGCGCCGGATAGGGCGATTGTTGTGACGGAGTTGGTTATCGATACGTCTAGTGCCGGGTGGATATTCCTGGCCTAGGTCTTGCTCCAGAGTGTGTGCAGTAACGCTTTCTTAATGGGGGTCTATTATCCCCACCAAGGAAGGTTATGAGAGAGAGTGTGGCAGCAAGCTAGTGCGAGCAAGGTAGGGGCAGAAGAGTCTATTCTAGTGTTACGACTGCTCGTCGGTAACCCCAAGAGTAGGAGGTTCTTCCCTAGGTCACTCGTGGAGGATGTGTGGAACGGTGGTCTCGACTGTACGTGTAGCACAGGAGCCAGAAGTGTATTGCGATATAGCAATGAAGACCGTAGTAGGAAGACTACAGTGGATGAGGGTGCTGTGGTAGGAAGACCACAACGAACGAAGGAGAATAGACTGAAGAACCTCAGCCTACTCTATGGGCCTTTTATCTTTAGGAAGTAGGGCGTGAGAATACCATATATGTATCCGTAGGTATACTCTAAGTCGTTCTCTCTCAATAACAACTACTCTTGTGTTTCTCCGTTAGTCTCCTTCTGGCCAGGAAAGACTAGGAGCTCAATGCCCGATGTGTGAGTAGTTTGTAAGGCGGCGTTCCATGCCCGCTACGCAATAGGCCCGTGATACTCGACCAACGATAAGGTGATCCGTTGGGAGTGGATGACCAAGGTTACTATCTGTACCTTGTTTGTACGCCTCACCTTGTGAGGCCGCTTGATATTTGTGATGATCGTGTCGGAATAGACCGCCGTTAAGGCCCGACAGAACGTGATCATAACACAAAGGACTTTGATGGAACGAGGTCAAAATACTGAGAATGGATTTATGGATGCCATATGTACATCTTGGCCAATCCAACCAAATACAACACAGACATGAACAAGACGCTGCTGGTCTTGTCATACATGAGGGAAGGAACGGCATTGCTGTTCACCCAAAAATACTATTTCAACAGAGAACTCTAAGAATACAAAGCAATGGAGACCAAAGCAACATGGGGAACGTTCAAGGCATTTCTAACAGAACTAGCCGCAGCATTCAAAGACGAAAGCCTCAAACAGAAGGCAAGGCAGAAGTTGTTTACCATAAGAATGGGAAAACACTTAGCAGATGACTTCATCATGGACTACCTCATGATGGCTGGAGAAAGCAGATTTGATCTGGAATCCACTGTCAACTATTTCTGCCAAGCTATACACCCGGAAATTCTCAAACAAATCTATCAGCTACCAGAAATGCTGACCACCATGGACAATTGGGTAAAATATACCCGCAGATTTGATAACCAATGGAGAGAGTTGCAAAGCATAAAAAGCTCCGTACCCTCCACTATGATTTGACAGAACAACCCCTTCCACTACAATTCATCGAACACCCCTTCCTCTATGAATAACTCCATCATCCCAATGGCCATCGACTCAGTCTGTACGGCTTTGACTGATAAAGAACGAAACAAGTTGCGAATGGAAGGTGGGTATTTTTACTGTCGTCAGAAAGGACATATGGTGAACCAATGCCCTACTAGGGGTTCATCTAGGATATATGAAGGGTCAGCTGGACATGTTCAACAAAGTAGTGGAAAGATGGGGAACCGCCTGGCTTAGGCCGGTGGAAGGATGGCAACAGGAGGAGGAGGCTATGGCCGAGTGTTCTCGGCAAGAGCTCAAAGCAGTAATGAGAGAAGCGCTATGATCCAGGGTGGAGGCATGGCGACGACTAATCTGTTCTGAGCCAGACTTGCAGCACAGCAAGCCTACACACCTGGACTGGATGAGACTGTACGTCAGGAGGAGCCTGAGGTTAGCCGAGAAGAAGTCCAGAGGTTCATAGGAAAGCTGAGATGGGATGAGCAAGAAGCACTCCTTCAGGAATTGAGCAAAGGAAGCAAATGAAAAGAATCAGATTTTTAAATAGGCCTATGACCCTGGTGTACAGTAGACCTGCCCCAGAACCCCTTGTAAAAACAATTGTATGATTTACTAAATCCAATCAAAAATCGTCCATGCGAATAAATGTACAATTGAAACACAAAGGGGGAACCACCAAAGCAAGGGTATTGATTGATTCAGGAATGGAAGGACTTCTCATTGACAAACAATTTTGTCTGGACAAGAAAATACCAGTGCAAAAAATAACAAACCCATCCCCGTATTTAATGTGGATGGAACAGCTAACAAAAGAGGGAAAATCACGGACAAAGCCTGCCTGCTCATAAGGATGACAAATGAAGAAGGAGACTACCACGATGAACAATGCGAGTTGCTATCCACTAATATCTGGAAAACCACCCCTTTGTATTAAGCTCTAATTAGTTTTATTTATGCATAATTAAGAATGATTAGGATTAGACATTTTTAGCTTACCCCCCCTCTAAACCTGTTCTAATTAGACATAATTTTCCGATATTAGGAATTATTAGGATTGATTATAACTTGAAATTTCGGAAAAATCATAATAAATCAAGCATCACAGTTTTTATAGCCTTTTTATAGAGTCATGTCTATTAGAGCACTAGTCAAATACCTAAACACAGAATATACCTTATAACAAACTTGCCTTCTGCCAGAGTTGAACCAACAACCTTATGTATGCAAGCACCCGGGACAGATGCTCTAAGCCACTAAGCCACAAGGTCTAAGATATGAACTCGGTAATCTAAATAAGTAGACATAATATAGGCAACCTCAACATCTCTGATTTTATTTAACATTTATCTTTCCTCTATCTTATAAATAAATAGGTCAATAAATACCTAAAAAGTCAGGTCTTTCAGGATTTAGTTTAAACACCAGCTAAGAAGATAATAAACCAATGGAAAATCAATAATACACTTTATATAAGATAAAAATAAATTGTGGCACTTATACAATCTGGACTGAGAATGTGTAAAACTATGATTGAGTGTAATATTCAATGGGACTCTACTAGTATAGACAATGCTACCTGAATTTGCAAATTTGATCAAAAACATGATTATGAATAATCAAGATCCAATAAGAGAGAGGGGTTTTCCAAATAGCCACTAGTGAGGTAGAGGGTGGGGACAAGAGTATATGTATGACATGCCTATATATAAATAAGCACAAGATTATTGGAGGTGATCTTAATATGCTTAATGCATATATTTCCTATATGGCAGGCAAATATATCATTCTGGCACCACATACCAATATGACTGTCTTTTCCACAGCCTAATAGCTAGAGGAAAACACCAAGTTTGATCATCTTCTGCATAACAAGGCAATAAACAATATAAATAGTGCTAAAAATTGTAATATCAATAGTGATGATGATTGTGTGCTGCACAAGACAGTATTAGCCACTATACTAATAGACAAGGTCTATAAGGCTGCATATAGCATATCCCTAAGTCCAACCCACATATTGTGTCCTATAATGACCAGTAGCAGGCATTGGCTAATAATGACAACTTTAATAATCTTGTGTGCAAGGACAAGGTACCTAGGTCTTCATAGCCTCTTGTGGCAGCTGCCAAGCTGCCAACAAAGTGGCTGGGGGCACCAATGCACATTTCTCTCTTTCTATATCCCTTGTAAAGGCAGCTGGAAAGTCAGCAAAAGAGCTACAAGATAATGGTATAGGCATATGTGAAGGAGAGTAATATGCTGAAATAGTATAGAATGTGCCACATCTTTACCTTCTCACTGATAGAGCAGTAGTACTTACTATTTCCTACTAATAATTAAAGACTTCTTAGTATAGAATTAGTGCTAATATCATGAAATTAGAAACCAATCCAATGCTCATGATGTGTTGCTCCCAATTAGGAAATTAGACACTTTTAGATACTATTAACACTTTTAGATACTTTTAGACACTATTGGATATGATCCGGAGCTAATACAAGGGGGTGTTTTTCCAGATGAATCTATTAGGCTGGCAACCACTGCCACAATGAGAAGAGGGACTTAGTTCTACTATGTAGTCCCCACATGGTTCTTTCAAGGCAGTGTACCATGATGTCCATACTCAAGGGCTATTGTGTCATGGCTTAGCAGTAGGCAATGAGAATGGTGCCCTAAATATTATTCTTTTTTTATGATCTGTGTTTGATTCTAATGCATTGCTTATGTTTTTCTTGAATTTTTACTTACCATCTCTGGCACTGATAGCCTAGAGGGGGGGGGGGTAGTATTACAAACTACTTACTGTACTTTTATCACAATCTATACAAGGATATGTAAGACCCTTCTTCCATCTATATCTTGTATTCTTGTTCCATTGCTACTTGGTCTGTGCTCTTGTCTATATATATTTATAATTGCTATGGCACAATGGGAAAGCCTTAGGCTATCCACTTCTATCCAATCTAAGAACTGCTATTCACCAGTCTTCTCTAATTCAAAAACACTAGTCTGATCAGCCCCAAACCCTTCACTCTTATTAGCTGTATTATCTTTCTTATTTGTATTGTTGTTTGTGGCCTAGGATTTCCTCATCCCAAACAGCTGTTTGTGATACCTCCCTTATTATCTTATATGTCTTATTTTGTCTTTTCCCACTTGTCAAGTCAGATAAGTTACAAAAGCAAATTTGCACTTTTCCTGATATATGTCCAAAGACAAGGAGCTATGTCTACCATATCCCCTTGTATACATTAACAGGTATTGGAAGCCTTTACTCAACATGTTCTGAGATAAATGCTAAGGGCCATCTTATCTTGATAACAAGGTAAGTTCAGTACACCACTTTTTTTTGACAAGCACAATTGGATCATGGACAACTAACAATTGATTCAGCTTCAATAGCTAGGTATATAGCATATAGGATAATTTTTATTAAAAATATACAAGATAATGCTATTGTCCTACAAAAAAATGCATTTATGCAGACCCAATGCCAGATTAGGTAGGTACTGTGGGACTTTACTCATCAATAATACTCACTAAAACTTTGTGATGGTTTGTGTGGGAATTGAACCCCAGTGAGAATCCCGTTGAGGAAAATCTATCGAGATGTATGATAGTGCTTTGATATTCCACATAGATGCTCATCAAAAATTTGGACCAATCCTCGATCCACATGTATCCACATATAGCTGGATCTATGAGCATTGATTCGGTACTTTGATCAACTATCTAGATATTGAGTGACATCTATGGCCCCCTCCCTCATTTTATATGTAGATCTATATACATTAAGTCTTATCTAGCCATTCATCACCAGTTTTGAGCACAAGCTATGGCTGGCAAGAGGTATCTATTCATATCTAGCAACAGGAAAACTAATGGTATGTATGTAAATGCTTAATCTATCGAAATCAATACAAAAATATGAGACAACAACAAACCAATCCGGCCCACCTGTGCCATAGGATCCACAAAGTGACAGTGCTAAATAATGGAAGGGGGAATAGTGTATGAGAAAAGTGAAGCTGGCGCGCGGAACCTTGAATGCGCAAGAAACATGAGGGCAGCATATGGAACAATGCGCTGGCCGCCTGCGGTGCGAGTACAACTAGGAAGGAGAAGCTGATAATGTACAAAGTATTCATCAAGAGTCTTATACAATTAGCAGTGTGGAACCAACAGGCCACTCACCATATGTGCCGTTCAAGGGGCCCGATTACTAACATTGATGCTCACAGTGTGTTTATGAATGCTTGTATGCCTATGGAAAGGGTCATGTCAACTTTCTTGTTGAGTGCTCAATATGAATACAAAGGGCCCATGTACTTACCAATCTGCATTCTGGCGACAAGCCCTTCCAATGCTTCTCAAATGCTGCCTAGGTACCATCAGGTGTACTAGCCAGATGCTGCTGCTGCCAGTCCTAAGCACAGTTGTTCCTAAGAAGAGAATAATCAGTATACATGATGGCAGGAGCAGAGCCCAGAGCACACACCGTGCGCATCCAGGAAGAGCGGGGGGAGGGCAATGGCAACATGGGGGAGCAGGCATCTAAGACAGATCTGCTCATCCTGATCCGTGCGGCCTCACTGTCGCTCTCGAGCACCAAGTACCCTGCGCCCGTTGTGGCGCCGCAGATATATGGCGCAATTGTCAAGGAGGTCCCGCTCGGCCCGCGGCAGAATACACAGATAGTAGCAAGTGCTGTAGGTAAGAAGGGGAAAGGGCAGGCCTGGCGGGCATTCTGCACGGTGTTGCAGTGGGAGATGGACACGGTGGGCATGGGGCAGAAGGGTGTGGCTCGAGGTGGAATACAATTGAGAATCTGCTTATTCTGGAGTGTTTGTAGCTCCCACAACTAATGCCTTTTCTGTACTCTTCCTCTGAGTGCCATGATTGCTCGCATTCTGATCCTGAGTGCTGCTGTTTGGAGCACCGGCAGGTATGGGGGACACACTAGCAAGAGTCATCAGCATTGGCATGCTTGTGAGGGTCGGCGTGATTGTGCTAGGCACTGATGTGGTTGCTGGCGATGATTCACTTGGAGGCATCGGTACCATTGTTGATGCCTGCATAGTTGCAGACATTTGCAGGGTTGGGGGCATTGCCGTGACTGTTGCGGCTGGCGCAGACATGGGTGTCGGTGCCGGTGCAATCATGGGCACTAAAATGATTGCTGGCATGGACATGGATGTGGGTGTGGATACAGATGTAGGCGTAGGTGCAGGCGCAGAAGTTGGTGTAGTTGCTAGTGTTGATGCGGCAGCGAGTGATGATGTTGGTGGCGCGATGGTGAACACTGACACAGCTACGGTTGTTATGTCAGTTGGAGGTGTTAGTGTGGTTGTCAATGTAGTTGTGGGGATCATCACACCATTGGCCACATGTGCGCTCACAATTGGTGTGGGAGTTTGACCAGGGAGTAAAGGTGTTGATGTGGCGCTATTTGTGTTGATATTGCTTTGGAATTCATTATCCCAGAGGCCATTTCTATGAAAAACCGGCTCAATATTGAGAATACTAAAGCTCTTTGGATGTACAGTGGATTTGTTATCTATTTGCCTCACCGTGGTTGCTTGTAAGCTGAGCACTATGAATCAAGCTTGTAAGGACTGATAAGAACAAACCTGAACGATAGCTCTCGCTTGAACCGAGGGCCTCGGTGAAGGAGCCTGTGTCTTGATTGAAGCGGCAGCATTGCTTGCTGATGCTGCTGATGGTTGGCTTATCTCCCTAACGCTGTCATCTGGAGTGTCAAAAGTGTATAGCTTGGGCTTTTTGGCCTCGGATGAATCATCTGTGAGTAGAGAGGTGATTAAACCTAGTAAATCAACTAATTGGCCCACATCTTTATCTTTGACTAGACTCCTCTTTGTCCTCATGGTGTCCTTCCTCTTCTGCCCTTGTTGAAACGAAGGATAATACAATATTGCCATCTTGTCCACCTTCCAGCTACTTGCACAAAGAGAGAACTCGAAAAATTCAGTTTCCATGTCGTTTCGAAAGCACCATGTGAGGGGTAGAGATGCTATAGTCCAGGTTTTGGGAATTGTCTTACCCTCGACTGCTCGATCAGTCCACCATCGTTGCATGAACTCTCTCATATCACCCACAACATGACCATCTGGAGTCTCACCATGACTGTTCTCCATGAATCCACACATCATGTTCTCACTGCCGACTGCCCTTGCTTGACCTTGCTATGTAGGACCCTTTGCATGAGAAGACTGTGAGCCATCTCCAACATTGATAGCTTCTGTTTCTGCCTTTGCAATACTTTTCAGATACTTTTGATCCCTCAAGAACTTGTCCCAAGCCGGCTTGTACCAAAAGCAAATATCTGGGTGGTCTTCCTTTTTTGCTGTATAAGGATTGCCTCTTGGTAGGCTCATAAGGGTGACGACACCGCTAGGACCAGATGAATTGAGGATAGGATGAGATGGGTAGGCATGCTGATGGAATTTCTGTGCTATGTCATAAGCCATTTCTTTGAAAACATACCTGCACAACATGTCAGTATAGTATACCACCCATAAACCATCCCACTCTACATATGCTATCCTAATCCATTGCTCCTACGCAGATTTCATAGCTGTCATGGGCATCACAGCTCTTATCCTATTGCAAAAGCCTCAAGGAAGAGATATGTAAAAGCACGCACTGAAGAGTTTTATTCTCAGCTCGAAGAGCAGCATTCTCCTCTCTCAGCTGCATATTTTCTTTGTGGACTGAGAGTGGCAAAATCAGCAATTCTGTCAGCTCAAGAACAGTACAGATACATACATAGATCTGAGTGGTTTTGGAAGTGTTACAAACTTGAAGGTGTTGAAGAAGCTGATGCATGAGAGTGGGAGATGGATGAATCAGAACGTGCATTCTAATTGCATGTAGGAAAAACATGGTCATCATCAAAACTTCTTGGGATCGAGAAAGACATACAAAAGCAGAAGTCCGGAATGATCCTACTGAAGTGCTACGAGATGCATTTGCTGATTGAGCAAGAAATCCCATTGTTGTGCTTGGTGAACTGGTCCTTGCAGGCAGAACAGAAAAGTTGTCATTATCTTGAAACAACCTTGATGGTCTTCTATCTAATAACGGAGACACAGTGGTAACACCAAAACCATGATTTGGAAGTTCTGAGCTTGACTGAGGGGGAAATATGAAGGAATTCAAGTGTTCCATGATGAAGAAAGATGTAGTTTGTGTTGGTCCTCGTCACTTGTATCGCTTTGTATTGGCAACTTGTATTCTGTGACTTAGCAAAGCAAGACTATTCTACATATGATGATTCTACTCTTCAGCCTCCATTGACTCTTCTGTTCCACCCATAAAAGCTATCTCTAGGCCAGGCTTTTCTGCAGCAAAAACCCTATTCTCCCAATTCCATTCATCAGCTATCTTTGTGAGTATTGCTGGCCCTTGCACCATTATTTACCCTGTTTCTAAAGCTCTCCTAACATGGTGTGGGATTATTGCAATGACTGATTCAATGCTTTTGATGTCAACAATGCGTAAGGATGTATTGCCAAGATAGGTGCAAGATAGAATTGTGTTGTATGATGCCTCTCGAAGGAAGTGATCAGGAGCCGAGTATATTGATGCCATTGCCACAGATTTTGTTTCATTATTGACCTCTAATTGAAAATAGTATAGGACTTCTCCAAATTCTATTTTATTCTGATTAAGGCTAATCTTGAAAGAGAGAAATCAAAAAACTCAATTAGCATTATATAAATGGAATCTGAATAAATGCAACATACTTTGACATTTCTTGACATCCGCACCTTATCCAATGGCTTTAAGCTTTCCTTCCACTGCGACCGAGCAATTTAACCATTTGGCAAGCGAATTCTAGCCCATCTTATGATAGAATTAATCTGCCTAGTAAAACCAGCACTGTGAAGATAATTTCTTGTAGCCTTTACTTCATCATCACTGATAGAATGGTAAGTAGTGTCTATAGCTTGAAGGAGAACATAACCATTTCCAAGATCTATTGAGCCTTGTGGGAGTTTTGCAGATTTATCTAGATCAAGATCTGGCACCATAGCTTTAAGTGCATTCACTTGTGCCTGTCATATTCCATGCTGTGATAGATTTGCATAAGGATTTGAAGGTTGCTTGACTTATTGACCAAGATCCCCAATTGTTCGTTCTAAAGGCCATTGAGTACGATAAGGCCCAGGTCCAACACGTATGACCTCTGTAGCACCATGTGACAATGCATAAATACTTTGTCAGACAAAGTCTATACGTTCAACCTTGCGTTGATAGTAAATATCTTCAAATTCTTCACAGAATGTGATTAGAGCCTAAATTCAAAAAGAATTAGGTGAGAATCCTCAAATTCAATCTATATCTTACCTAATGAGCCTGATGTATTTGATTAGATGTTAATTTATGCTGATGGAGCAATCGAATTCCAAAAACCACTTTGCAAAAATGTCTCCAATATTTTTCAGAAAAAAAGTTTAGAAAAACTACAGGGCCAAGAGCAAACACATATAATAGAAACTCCCATGCCTTATAGCCACTTGAAATTTTCAAAGCTGGATTGCGAGGAGGTTGGTCAAATGAACCAGGAAGATATAGAGTTGTGTCAGCAACTATCTTTCTATGCTCCTGCCAAACATTGCCTTGCAAAGTTGCCTAGTCCTAGCTAGTTTTTGAGTCATTCTTGTCGCATTTGAATTTTCCATGCCAGAGTAAAATAAGAAGGTTGGTAAGATTGAGAGAGACAAGGTGCATCAGATCTGAAGGAAAGCATGCAGGCATACCCAAGGTATGTTGAGACTGAAGACCACTAAAGAGAGTTGGTTTACATATCCCAGTATCAAGACGATTTGATTCATATTGAGTCTGATTTCTAGACTGCTGAACTTTTAACAAGTATTCAGAGTATCTAAAATAATTTTGAGTTTTAGATTTACTTGATTAAAAAATCAGAACAAAGTCTCACCTTTGAGCTAACTCTTCTGAGGTTCCTTTAGATTGACAGTAGCTTTGATCTGGGTGATCACAGCCTTGAACTGTGTAATTGAGAGGCTTTAGGTATACAGGAAAGTACTATCCAGTACCTGGTTTATGACGGCCCTGTTGTATACAAGCAAGACAGCATCCATATCTACCTTGATGGCCAACTGTACCAGACATATCAGCCATTCCAACCATATCCGCTGTTCCAAAGGCAAGGAAAGGATAGTCTGTGACTGTATCATTACGAGCAGCATCCCATGCAAGGAGCCCTTCTTTTTGGAGTGCAGCCAAGTGATAGAAACCAGGAAAGATAAATGAGTCCAAGTTTTTAGGCCCTTTCAGTCCAGGAATAAACCACCAGGAAGAATATAGCGCTTTTTGTACTAGACATCAGGAGAGTGATTTAAGATGACCCAGATATAGATCCAACAATCTGAAGCCTTATTTTTGTAGAGCTGTGCTCCATCAATAGAAAAAAGTAGAATAGAGTCATCTGCAGTGATTTGACCATCCTGAATAGCCTTGAGAATATCACTACCTGTGCAGAAGTCATCATACACATCTACATTGAATATGGGATTCAACTTGAACTATTGAAAGATTTCTTCAATCTGCTGGAGAGAGTGAGAATGTGACATACTGCAGCTGTTGGATTAAGATTGATCCCTCGTTCCACTGTTCTCTCAGTACTCCTTGGTCATTTGAGCTGACCACTCTCGGCCATTGGTTCCAATACTCATAGATCGGCATCAAAAGGGCGCTTTTGCCCAGCACTGCCCTGTGCAACAGTGTGTGCTGTGAGGTGCCTGGAGATCTTGTCTGGAGAGAGTGCCCCGAGTTCTGCAGGAGAAAGCCCGGTGTGTCTGCGGAGTGTCTGGCAGGATACAGCCTGTTTTTGAGTAGGATCCAGCTGAGAGCATTTGAAGCATGGATAGTAGAGTAGGGTACTAGCATTGTTGGGGCCAAGGTTTCCAGACATATCTAGCTGAGAGAAACTTTGTCCTTCAGAGATATAGATCAAAGCAAGCTAATAGAAAGAGGAGTATCTATGCATATGTATGCCTATCGAGCATAGATTGAAAGGCATAGGCAACACAAGTGGCTCCCTTACAAATCAAATGCACCAAGTCAAAGTAAATTCTGTTTTTCAACAATTGTGTGTCTTCATATTTTCACCTACATTTCGATAGATTGGACTTGTTTTCTAGCTCTCGATAGTTTCCTCTCGACGGGATTCTCACTGGGATTGAACCCACGGCCATAATCATTGATGACCGGCAATTGCCGAAGCAACCCCAGGGTAGACGGCATATCCACTCAGCCATCGTGCCCCCCGCCGCTCTATCGTCACGTCTCAGAGCCATCTATCTCCCTGCGTATGTGGTCTGTCGATTCATCATCGAAGATTGAAACTGATGCAGCGGTTCAATAATAACTATGCCCTTAGACTCAGGTCACTTCTCGTTCAAGATTTCCCGAGTGTCGAAACGCTGATCGTGTGATTGCCACTAGGGCTCATTGTGCTATCTGTCCATGCAACCAAAACGAATCCCCCCCGAAGTCCTCGCCGAGATCTTTCTAGAGTGTCTCGATACCGAGCGCTGGGAGGACCGTGATGCAAAGATGCCCAGTGGCCCTAGCGACGCGCCTCACCTGCTCACTCAAATATGTCGCTACTGGCGTGCGGTGGCGTTGTCCACTCCACACCTATGGTCCACCCTCTTCTTCCCAGACATCCCCGAAACCCGCGAACAATGCGACGGCTTGTTCGCACGAGTCCCAGTATGGCTCTCGCTGTCCAAATGCCTGCCCCTCTCGTTTGTGCTGCGAATTGAGAACGACGCGCCCGTCGAGCTCCCCCAGTACGTCGCGCTGCTGCAGAAGGAGATCCACCGCTGGAGGGCGGCGCGGTTCGAGACGAGCGCGAACCAGGTCCACTGGTTCCCCGCGTTCGTGCCCCACTCGATGCCGCTCCTCGAGGAGTTCGCGTACGACGGCTGGAGCGACACCTCGATTGCCACAACCCCGACGCTGATGACGTCCCTTGCCTCCGCTCCACGCCTGCGCAGCGTCGACCTCGCGCAAAACCAAATCTACAACTGGGTGTTGCCCTGGGCGAACCTGACGACACTGCACCTGATCTACGAGACCGTGGAGCTCCCGACGGCCATGATCGGAAGGCTCTGCGAGAGTCTCGGCGCGTGCGCATGTCTGGACAGCCTCCACGTCGGGTTTTCCAATCGCACGGTTGGCCCAGTCCTCCCATCGACGTCATGCATCGTGATCCCGGTGCTCACCGAGCTGTCAATCACGTGCAGTCACATCAAGGGCATTGTGTCCGTAATGCACACCCTCGTCGCCCCACGCCTACAGGCTCTCCACATCGACCGCACTGATTTCGAGTTCGACTATCCCCACGCCGTGATCGGCGCAAGCATCCGCACATTTGTGGCTCGCAGCAAAGGCGCGCCGATCCGCATGCTCGGCTTGGAAGACGTGCACCTCGATCCCGACGAACTCGTCGCCCTCCTCGAGTTGCTCCCCAGCCTGGAATATCTCAGCTTTCAAGATGAGATGATCGACTCACGCGTGCTGGACGCCCTCACGCTCAAGTTCGATGCCGAAGGCCAGCTCGTCTTCGGTCCGAACCCGCGCCTCCGGCACATCTCCTTTCTGCCCCCGCAACAAACCTTCGGTCTCATGGGCACATACCGCTCCACCAAAGCCGTGCTGCCTCTCTCGATGCACGCAAACAGCCCCTTTCCCGCGCAAGGGAGCAACACCCCGGACCTGATCACCTTCGCGCGGCAGCTGCAGCCGCCGCGCGAAGTGCTCCCTCCAGGTCGAGAGAGATTGACACGATGGCTCCGGGCGGTCGGGAGCTCGGCGTTCTGTGGCAGCCTTGCAGGCATGATCCGGTCGCGCTGGGCGGTGCCTCCGAATTCCGACGTCCCGCGCGCGGGGCTCGAGCTCGTGCAGTTCGACCTGCATATCCTCCAGAAGATCATGCCCGCGCGGTACGCCGACGTGATGGAGTGCTGGAGGGAAGGGATGAATTTGAATGTATGGTGCTCGAAAGATAGAATGGAGTTTTGGCGTTCGGCGACGTGGAACCCGTGATTTGTAGCATCTCTGTCAGCATGTATGTATGTACACGTACGGGCATAGTTCATCATCGTCATGTTATTCCCAGTCAGTCGGGTGGTGGGACAGATCTCACATCAGGTTCGGAAAAGGTAAGTGAAGCCACATACTATTAGGTGTCAGAATTGGCACTCAATCAGCATGGTTATCAAGTTGCTCGGCATCCGCATGTAGACTACTTCCTATGCGGCACATCAAATGCACGCCATGCCTAGCTTCTCTAGACGGAATTCGGTTGGGTTGTCTTGTTTAGTGCGCGGTATGTCTGCCGAACTCGAACTGCTACCAGTCAATTTAAGCTTCCTACTGACGGTCAAGAGCCCAGATATGGGGAAGGGTAGGTTGCGTTGGAGTGTTCACGGATTTTCTCTATAGTGTTGCAGGTGGAAATGAAAGAATTTTCACTTTCGAAGACGTCCCGCTCAACGCAGAGGACCTCCTTACCACAGAATCCTTGTGATTTCCCTGTTCTCCCTTTCATCTCACATTGCCCGCCATAGTTGGGTTGATAGTCCGGGTCTTCAATGAACCCTTTACGAACTACGTACATACGAGGCACACATCCGCTTTTACTCTAGCCGCCACTGGCCTTACATGCGCCGCGCGGGATATGAATGCGTTGATTTAATAATAAAATATAAAATAAAATAAAAATGAATGAATTTGGGGTGTCATTCAGGAGCCTCATCACGCGATGCATGTGCGTCGTGAGTGGCAGGTGATTCAGATTAAATTAAAATTACGCGCATTTTTCACGATAGGTCTGACGGTGAAGCCATTTCGGACTCTGCTCAGTGGTTTCAAAAGATTTCGCCTCCACACTCACCAGTACTCGATATCATTACGGCCATTTGAAGCATGGCCAGTCCAGAAACCCTCATAGCCGCTCTTCCGCCTTTGCTGCCCTGCTCCATGGGCACTCTTATACCTCACCTCGTCGATATCGAGAACGAAATCAAGTAAACTATCGACACGCTGCTTTTTATCAGTTTGGCAAAGCCAGGCGTTGCTCTCGCTCTTGCCTTAGAGTCGGTGGCCAGGGAGGTCACTGTGTACGTTGCAACCAATGGCAATATAGCCCGACGCCCTCGAGAGACACCTTCTGATTGTTTCGTCGAATCTTTAGCGGTCTTCGATCGCTGCCAATGATAATACATCTACGCCGCCGCAGATCGATTTCTTGGTGTCCAACCTCGCCATCACCATCTACAGCTTTTGCTGGCCAAAATTTCGAGCTCCTTTCATGAAATATGTGGATGTTTTCATCGCCCACTCCAGTTCCACAGCGGCCAGCAATGCACAAGCTCGTTCTTTTGATGAAGAGGAGCGCGAAGATCTTTTCTCGGTCGGGGATGCCTTCTCCGATCTCAAGGTGTCAATGACGGTTGAAACACCTCCAGATGAGGTTTTGCGGAATATCAGTGTCACGTTGACCGACCTCGTCTCAAAGAGGCGGCCTTATATCGACGACGAGGGGGTGGACTCGCTGCTGCTGCAATGCGAGAAATATCGTGTGTCCTGTCTCGTCACTCCTTCTCGTCGTGTCGGATTCTCACGCAAATTCGACCGTGGATTGTGTGCTCTAAGACCCTCCTTTCTTGGACACCCCCCGCTATCTAGACAAGGTTTTCTCGTTGTATATCCATATGAATACCCCCCCCCCCCCCCCCCCCGACCTTGCCCGATCTTCAAAATTTCAAACGTTGTTTCAACAGCCTTTCCGTATCGTATGCGTTCCAGGCATGCGACTTCCCTTCAGTGTAAATATGCACGACGAGGGCTTGCTGGAGCTTTGGAGCCAACACGGGGGTATAGAAGATCGATCCACGCCCAAAGAGGACGGAGAGTCTTCCATGCGCGCGCAGAGGCGGAAGTTAACCGTCCAACCGTGGCTGAACATGTTCGAGATGGGCGAGGGAAGGCCATGTCTATCAACCATCCTGGAAGGCCACAGCACCATTTTGTCCGCCATGAGAGATGTGGATGTTCATTGCGAGGCCGTGTTGGTCGCGTATCTCGCCACTCGGACCGACATTGATCCTAATGCTTATATTGGCATCAACAAGCCTGGCTCGTGCCATCCGTGCCATGCCTTCATAAAGGGATATGATCGGACACAACCGAGGACGTCTTTCTTTACTCGAGGACTCAACACAAACTTCTGCCTTTCATTTGCGCTTCCACAGATCTCGGACCAGATTTTGAACAAGGCGATGAGAGGCCAGACGGCCGCATATGCAGCATATATTTTAAACAAGGAATGGGATTATCACAGAGGACTGCGCGACCCTGTGGATGGTAGAAATCAGTTTGTGAGTTGCTTTGGAGCTTTGGAGCTTCACAGTGAGAGTAGTCTCGTCTGCATATAGGTATGTTGCAAAACTTTGAGATCCATACTATCTTATTGACTGATCATACCGTGACCATTTTGACATCTATAGTTGTCCATACGGCCCTAGCGCTCTTGTTACCATCATGAAGTGGTAAACAAGTCGTGGACGTCGTTGCAAAGAACTCCATCTAGAATCGCGTTCCGTCGTGCTCCCGAGTGTTCTCCCTCGGCAATGGACGGCAGTAGCCCTCTTCTTGTTCAGCGTCTTCGTCTTGTTCAACTTCGCCGTCTTTCTTTCCGTCTCTTTCCCCTGCATCTTCGGCCTTCTTCTGTTCTTTCGCTTTGTCCTCAACCTTCTTGACCATCTGCGCGGACAGGAAATCGATCTGCTTGAATAGCGAATTGTCTGGCGTCTCCGATAGCGACGACTGGGTTGAACGGCGGTGCGCGACAGAGAGGAGGAACGAGACGAATCTAGGACGATCGTAGCTGATTAGCTTCTGTGGGAACAGTGGGGAATGAGCGACACTCACAGTTCTTTCATGAACGCAAAGCTGAAGCCTGCCGTCTGCGCCGCGACTTTGTGCGCGATCTCCTCGTTAGATGACTCGAACTGGACACCCCTCATCACCCTGCTTGTGCCCTTGGCCCCTGCCGCAATTTTATTCAACCATTTTTTCGCGAACGCGGCGCGGAGCATCTCGTCGGGGAGCGCGAACGTGTACTTGACGTCGAAACGCGAGGGCCTGTTGACAATCGCATCGTCGATCCGTTCCGGGTGATTCGTCGTCGCGAGCGTGAGGATACCGACGTTGGCGGCGAGGCCGTCGAGCTCGTTCAGGAAGAAGCTACGCACTTTCTTGGTCACCATCGCGTCGAGGTCCTCGATCACGAGAATGCAGGGCGCATGCTTGCGCGCGTGGCGGAAGATGCTGCGGACGCCCTCTTCAGGGCCCTGTTGATGTTAAGGTTTTGCTCTATTCATGTGATGCATAGAGGGAGGCAGCACTACTCACGGCTTGCGTTGTGAAGGACTTGACGTACAGCGCGGGGTAGTTCGACTCTTTCAATAGCGCCTTGATCGACTCGGTCTTGCCGTTCCCCGGCGGTCCGAGCAGTAGGATTCCCCGTTTCCACGTCATGCCCAGCTCTTCGTAGATCTCGCGGCTCTCGAAAAAGACCTTCGTGTCGCGCCGTATGCCCTGTACAAATGCCTCGTCGAGCACGATATCCTCCCAGCTCGCCCCCTGAACCCCCTGGTACAGCTCCTCGTCCGCGCTCCAGCTCCCGCCCTGATACACCCATATCTGTTTCCTCAGCGTGAATCCGTATTTATACACCAGGCCCGCGAGTTTCTCCCCTGGTGTCGCATCGGTTGCGTCGAACACGAGGTCGTAAAAGTAGCAGTCTTCCCAGTTATACAGCCAGGTAGCCTTGTAGGCCGTGTATTCGACCCCGTTGACCACAAACGTTGAGCGCCCGGCGATCACCTCCGAGAAGACGCTGTGGTCCTTGACGTCATGGGAGTAGAGGGCGTAGCTGTCACCCGTAAGGCTCCTGGAGGTAGCGTCGTGGGCATGAATCTTAGGTGCGATATCGAGAGAGGAGAGGTAAGCGGACAGCGGAAAGGCATGCTTGTCGTTGTCGAGGACAGGGACGTGCTGTGAGGTGGGATGTGTAGCGTAGAGGCCCTTGAGGAGGGTGAGAGCAGTATTTGGGATGGGCGCGGAGAAGCCGGACGTGAGCGTTTCCCTGAATTCGGGCATGGTGTTCGATGTGGTGGTCGCGTTCAAGTGCGCGTTTGATGCGGATGAGGATAGGGGAGCTCTGGCCGTGAGCTTTTATACTGGAAACGATGCCAGCATGCATGCCTTCGGAAGCAGTGGTGAGTTGTCCTAGGATCTATATTGCATTAGGCGCTGAATTGACAACGATATGACATTCTCACGAAGGCTTGTAGCGCGCTTGCTGTGCATTCTCTAGTTCCTGTCGGTACTCACGAAAGAGACCGCACTGGGCGGCATGATCACGATGGAGCTACTTATGACGAACGATCAATACGGCTGGATCACCATGTCTCCAGCGTCCGTATACTCCGAAGTGCTTACTATTCAGGTGCACTAGGTCTTGCCCCCCCTCGAGGCTTTGTGGTTCGGGTTCGTGGTAGACTAGGAGAGACATTAGGGAGACGCATCTGGAATGACGAAATCATCATCTTGATATACTCGTGTCTTCTGATATGCATCCACATCCATCTGAATATCTTTTGAACATCCGTCGAGCGCGCGCTACTTATGCGCAGAAAGGATCTCCCCGGCCCCCCAAGACATCGTTTTGAGAACGCGCACCGCCTCATGGGGAAGATTGACTTCTTACACATATTTCTCTCCTAGGGTTTATGCCTATCTTTGAGGATCGGACTACCCAAGGATCTTTGAGAGAGCGCCAATCTACCAGTATTCTTGCTACTATATTGACCTCAGTCACTCTAGAATAGAGAAGGAAACGGAACGGATCTCGTCTTCCAACAGCACAGTAACCGCAGCATGATAAATAGCGAAAGGAATGTAATGTCTTGATGTGTATCTCCAAGCTGATATGCAGTGCAGGGAATACGACCTTCTCGTATGCCCTTCCCCAGGAGGGATAAGGATATATGTATTGATTTTGCTGTGTGCCTCGTGTCGAGATGCTCAGCCTTATGCACTTTGTTCAGAGATCAGATTTCTCGCAACTGCGATGTCTTCTCAAAAGGATGTGCTCAGTGCTGAAAGTCAGCTTTCCGCTCGTGTTCTGATTCGATCGAGAATGTCTCGTCAGATTCTCGTCAGTCACGGAAAGTGAACTTGGTGTAGCTGTAGAACGAATGGAACACAATAACGGTGGTATAATACTTACGGAGCAAGATGATACTTGTTTTATGTAGTCAAAGGCAATCGCGGAGAGGATGATGCGTATGTACTCAAACAAAGCAGTACACAGTACAAAAGAAAGAACCAAGAAGGTTGGAAGCAGGATCTTTGGTAGCTCGAGAGAAAAATGCATAAATACAGTAAAGCAAACTAGCACGGCCGTGGGCGGTTCGCCCAGAGACTGAGAGAAGAGGGTAGGAGGCAAGGGAGTCAAGGTTACAATGGCTTTGAAGCCGAGACGGAGAGACGTAGGGTTGCTAGATACAACGGTCAATATGAATGAGCTTTACCATAGTTTGAGGGAGCAGGGCGGCGCACTCTACGAGAACTTCCATCTGCAAGCGACCGTCAGTGATATGCATACGAGTAAATCATAGGGTTCACCTATTGTTACAGTTTGTGCATCTGTAGTTTCATAGCGTCACAATCAGTCAAGATACCGGAACACATGTCATATTGTTCACATACGTCACAAATGTCTAGAAGTCCACGATGAGTATACAATTGGGGATCAGAAAAAGAGGTAACGTACTGTCATAGGCTCATCAGCGCTCCTCGTCTGCGCTTGACGATAGCGACACTTTCTCTGTGAAGTTCGATATGTGTCATCGATAGTATCAAAACGAGAATAAAATTATGATATACCTGCTTGCAGCGTGAGCACTGAAACGCGTCGGTCTCAGCCTGTTGCTCTTCCGCACCCAGGGAATGGAACAGATTGTCATCCTTGATTTTCTGATCCGCTGCTCTACGTTCTTCTGACGCCATTTCCTAGATAACATCGAGGAGTCGTGTGCGTCAGATAGCTAAGATAAAAGGAAAAATGAAGAGAGTTTGTGATCGCACCTGACTTGTCATCTTCGCGAACTTCTGCGCAGAGAGATCTCCGCTGATGACACTTTCTCGCAGACCTGGGTTATTCTTGTCTTTGAGGTTGACGAAAATTTGGCGGATTTTGGTCTTGTACGCGGCGGTTGTGCCTTTGTATTCTGTGAGAACAGCGCTCTCAACGGCTTTTGCTCGGCTGAGAATTAAATCAGACGCTGGAATAGAACGTGTTGGTCAGGAAAAGTCGCCAAAAAGTTGGAATCCTTTGAGAGGTTGATCTATTGCATGGCTGACTCACGGGCACCAGAATCGGAAGCGAGCGCATCATAGACGAGCTCGATGCATTTATCGCGCGTCTTGTCTCCTGTAACGTTTGTGTTGACGCCGTCTGATCTAGATGACCGAGTAGACCCATTTGCGAGACTATTCCCAGAAGGCGTGGTGGGCGTAGTGGGCGTGACCGATGCCACTGATGACTTTCGACTAGGCACTGTACACCGAACGACCTTGAATGCATGGATACAGTGATTTTGAAAAAAGACTCACCAGGTGCTGAGGCAGAAGATTTCCCATTAGCATTGGCTTTGGAGCCACCGGCAGCCTGCTTTTCCTTCTCGACCTCTTGCTTCCACTTGCGCACCACCTCCTTCGCGAGATCGGACACCTCCTTCGATGCATGCTGGCGTAGCTTTCCCACAGCCAAACCTGCCTTACTTTCCTGTCGAAATCGACGAGCGTTGTTAGCACATCGTCCCAGATTACATGCACGTCGCACAGCCGCCACGCCACAAGCACAGAACGAAAGCCTTACCCGCAGCAAAGCCTCCGTGATTTTGGCCTCTTTCCTCAGGACATTGAGCAGATCGACGATCTCCTGAAGATGAAAGAAAGGATTAAAATATAAACATCAGTAAATTCGAAATGAAAGGGTACGCCATAGGGAAGGTTTATAGAACGCACCTGGTCGGTCGAAGAGTGCTGCAGTGATTTCACGAGTTTTCTGAGCTCTAGCGCGTCGGTCATGGCAGCTCTCTACTTGGACTAACTAACTACGTATGAGTAGAGTACAGGCAGAACCCTATTATTTGCCAGCTTTTACTGTCAATAACGACGCAGTGGCAGGGGCGCCTTTCCGCCTTGGTGGTGAGAAGCAGAGTACTGAGTTTGCTCGTGACGGGCGGCTTTCAAGAGTAGCTCGGCAAACACGAACAAACACTCTCCTCGCCGTCCATCCCATCCCGCTCGCCTGAAGACCTGATTCTCGAGTCAGTATCCGATATTGCTCACCCACTTGCTTCGGACAAAATCTATAAGACGCTTCCGTGTTGACAGCCCCAAATTTCGATTATGTCTGTTACCGGTCTCCCGCTGCTTGACCCGTTGGTCAAGGCGAACGCCAAACGAACCTACAGCGTCTTTGCGTCATGTCCAGATGCGGGTATCAGGGAAGAGGAGAAAAGGTACGTCAGAAATGACAGTGGATACTGTATTGCTTCATTGACCAGTTGATGCAGCGCACGGCTGCGATTAGCGGTCAAAATAAATGATGAATATAAACACTACAAGCAGCTTCCTTCAGCGCTTCTCGAACAGCAAGCGCCAGTAGGACCCGCGCGACCGAAAGACCAGCGGAAAATGATAACAGCAGGGCGTACGTCGTTTGTTTAGACATACAGAGAGGTCACCCTAACACTTCATGATACTCATAGCGATGTCTGATGCAAGCCGCATGATCGCTGCCATCGACAACACTCCCATCCAAACGACCTCCACTTTCTCCAACTCTTCCAAACTTTCACAAGCCCTTACACTGCACAAAACGACGCGAACGATCAAGCCAACATATCACCCACCGTGGAAGCTTGTGCGCGTCATTTCTGGACACCTTGGTTGGGTGCGCAGTGTTGCTGTTGAACCAGGAAACCAGTGGTTTGCGACGGGTGCAGGCGACCGAGTGATCAAGATATGGGACTTGGCGTCCGGAGAGTTGAAGTTGTCGCTGACGGGTCACATCTCGACTGTGCGAGGGCTTGCAGTCTCCTCACGACACCCATACCTATTCTCGTGTGGAGAGGATAAGGTATGTGTCAATATTCTCTGTTGCACTTCCCTGTCGTCTAACGAAAGAACAGATGGTCAAATGCTGGGACTTGGAGGCGAACAAGGTCATCCGGCACTACCATGGTCACCTTTCAGGCGTTTACTCTCTTAGTCTACATCCCACTCTTGACGTTCTCGTCACCGCTGGCCGAGATGCATCAGCGCGTGTATGGGACATGCGGACCAAGGCGCAGATTCATGTCTTGGCGGGACATACATCAACAGTCGCGGATGTGAAGTGCCAGGAATCAGATCCGCAAGTCATCACAGGCAGTATGGACTCAACAGTCCGCTTGTGGGATCTCGCGGCCGGAAAGACCCTGACTACCCTCACGCACCATAAAAAATCCGTACGCGCGCTCGCGATCCATCCTACGGAGTACTCTTTCGCGTCCGGCTCAGCGGGTGGCAACAATATCAAGAAGTGGAAGTGTCCGGAGGGCACTTTCACGTTCAACTTCAGTGGGCATAATGCTATTATCAACACACTCTCTGTCAATGCGGAAGGCGTGTTCTTCTCCGGAGGTGTGCTCAATTTTGTTCGCATCTGTGGATTCTAATGATGAGGACGGCGGTTTGTAGCGGATAATGGAACTCTCACACTCTGGGACTATAATACCGGGACAGCGTTCCAGAACATGGACGATATTCCACAGCCAGGCTCGCTAGAAGCCGAGGCGGGCGTGTTCTGTTCGACTTTCGACATGACCGGTACGCGGTTGATTACAGGTGGCGCTGACAAGACAATCAAGGTCAGTTTCAATATTTCTCCTCCTTACTCGATTCGATTGACCGTTTTTTTCCGTCCATTGCCTAGGTGTACGCTGAGCAGTCGCAGTAACTTTGACATCTGTACTCTTTGGTGGATGAGTGATGCTTATCCTGTCACACGTTCCAATACGTATCTTTATTTGCTGACGAATGCACATTTCCTCTGGCGTTGCGACTGTTGTTGTTGCAGCACTTGGACGTGAAGAACGATAGATGCAATTATATGACTTGATTGATTGGGCGCCAGCCATCTGTCATATACTGGCCGTGGTCAGTGGCTCCCCTAGATCTACACATGACAAGACGGTTCGTAAATCTATGAGTTTGCATAGTTGGTTTGATACGTATATAAGAACGCCTCACTAGTACAGTGTTTGTTCCGAGCAAATAACACGCTTGTCACACCAGCTGCCGTCACATTTCGCTCTAAAACCCTTGCACCGACGCGCCCCTTTCTATCCCTTCCCTTTACCACCACCCATCACTGAACCATGTCTCAAGCTGATGACGGCGAGGATATCAAGCCGAAGCTGAATCTCACCATCAATTATGAAGGCAAACGTCAGTACTGGTCAGAATGCTTGTTTATGTTCACAGTTGACGTTCTTGACTTGCGCAACACTCCCGTCCGATTTTTGTCTGTGGGTATCATGAAATACTTCGTACAATAATCGCATGAATCATTCGCTGCATCAATACCTCGGTCGCCTATCCATCGCATCAATTCACGCACACGACAGTTGTAACGGTGAAGGTGAAAGCCAATATGCATTTCAAGAAGATTTTTTCTGTGGCAGAGGTATGTATCGATCCTCATTTCTACCCATTTCTACCGATCTCAACACTGGTTGGTTGTGCTCGTCCATGGGTAGGATCGATTTGGGAAGGATCCAGGTCAGTCAGCTTTCTCGTGTCTTTGCCTAGTAGTGTGGCTTATGGCATAGTATAGGAACATTCAAGTTTGTATTCGAGGGTGAACGTCTCAATCCTGTCGACACACCAGCAGGGGTAAGTCTCGTTCGTCTCAACAGCGTGAATATTACAGACTGACTGCTTTGACGTGGCAGAGAGGAATGGAGGATGGAGACGTCATTGATGCGCATCTAGAGCAGGTGCAGTTTCCTAATATATCTTGGTTTCGAATGCTATACTGACGGTTACCTGTTCCAATAAGCATAGACGGGAGGAGGCTGTTCACGCAAAGCACATATGTACTCATAAAGCCCGGCCGTACCGAGCTTTCTCGATGTCATTGTTTCCCTTATGCTTATTCGCACTCTGCACTTCTGTCTTATATCCTGTACACTTATTGGGTTCCCAAGTATCTTATTTTCTCCTAACCTCGCTCGGCGTGACGACGTGTGATGCATCTGTGACGCGACGCGGTCGCGTTTATTTGCAGCGCGCAAACACTTCCATCTAGATCTGGATACTGTTACACATCTTCTCCTCTGCTGACGGCCCACGCGTCCCGACATCATCTACGCGTCTTGCTTCTTTCACCCGACCTCACAATCCTTCACGATGAGCGACTCTGCCGATGTGAAGCCCAGTCAGATGGAGAGAATCACAATTCAGGTGATGTTCAACGATCGGCGTGAGTGTTCTTTGAATCGACTAAACGCGATGCCGATTGTGCTTGTGGGTGTTAGCCATCAAATTCAAGTTGAAAAAGACAAGCTCGTTAAAGAAAGTATTAAATGCCGCTGCTGTGAGTGAAAATATAATTGCATCGTTGGCTTCCAGCTCATGTAGATGATTTGCGCGTGTCTGTGCACAGAAACAGCTTCATATGGAACGTGGTGCGTCATGCATATCTATCCTCAAAATTATGCGCTGAAGTGCTTCTGACCCAACACGAACGTCCGATGATCCCAGATGCCTTGAGATTCACGTACAACGGTGTCACCCTCCGGGGCGCAGAGGACGACACACCTGACTCTGTATGTGTTTGTTTTTGCAGGCGACTATGGATAATTGCAAAATAAACCCTTTAAATGGACTAGCAGTGAATTGACGTTCTTTGTGTTATAAGCTCGGTATGGAGGACAACGACCAAATCGACGCACACGTGCAGCAAGTGTGTCCTTTTGCCTGTGACTTGAGAATTTGTAATAACTCGATGACTTACGAACGTAGATCGGTGGGGTCGTCTGCACTTCTGCGACATTGACTACTAGGTCATGATGCACCGTTGAGGTAGTAAAGTAAGCCCATTTACTGAATACCTTTGGACTTCGTTTACCTAGCTATATGTCTCAGAACGAATGTCACAAGGATCTATCGTGGAAGGGGTATCTGTTGTAGTTGTAAGCTAAAGACGTAGGACATACATACCAACTGCGAGATGAGCAATTGGGTGCGACTGGTTGTACAAGAGTAAGACATGGTCATCTCAAAGAAGCCCGTTCTGACATCACAACAACAAATGAAGAGAACGTAGAGTACATGAAATGTAGGGCAAGGGAGCTTCTGGGAGTCAGACTTATGTGAGCGCAAACGATTTCATATACAAATAAGATACAAGTCGGGAAAGACTGTACTACGGGCCAAAACAAAGGTCCCAGCGAGATCTGCAGTCCCGCTAGATCTACCAACGGCTTTTGGTGGTATAATTTCCGAACAGATCCTTCACTGGATCTAACGACTCGATTGGATGCTCCTCTCCAATCATCCAAGGGTTCCTCTGAATCGCAGACTCGTGCGCGTGACCTATCTCCGTAGGTGGCTTATATTCCCTGCAATCTTCCCTGCGCGCAAAGAAGGGCACGCTGACGTCCTTCGCCGCCTTTTGGATTTTTCGCTTGACGTCCAGCCACAAGTTGATCTGCTTCCAGTCCACTTTGACGATCCAGATGTAGATGTGAAAGCAGATAATGGAGAGGCGCTCAAGCTTGCGGCCATTTTCGGAACGAAGGTAGTCGCTGAAGGCCTCCACGGCGCCCGCGTCTTCGTAGTAGGAGAGACGATCCTTGCGCTTCGGGTAGAGAGCAAGTTCGAGGCGGCGGATGGAAGAGGGAAGCTTTTCGAAGATGCTAGTCGGGGCGGGGGATAGATAGGACAGATCAACCAAGTTGGGGCAGTGAGAGAGGATTTGGACTGCGACGTCGACATCGGCCTCGGCATATCGGTATTCTTTACGCAGACGAATGTGGAGCGTGGTGAGGTTCAGACCGGCATTGTTGATTGCGAGGATATGGGAGATAATGTCTATCGGTTCGCAGTCCAAGCTGTCCAGGAAAAGATTACGCAGGGTGCTGTTCTTCGATTCCTCGTCTGGCAAGGCAGCTGAGATCAACGTCTCGATATGCGTGACGGGAGGGTTTCCTCTGTATAGGGTGAGGCTTTTGAGGTTCGGCAGAAGCGCGGGGATCTTGAACCTCGGAATGATAGCCGGAGCCCCATGCTCCAGCACAACAGGCCTGCATTGCCAGTAGCGGAGGTTCAGGTCCTCCAATCCGGTGCCTATTTGGCGGATCGCGCTAGCTAGTCGCATGTCTGAAAGCTCTAAGTCGCTCGATTCATACCATTGATACATTAGCGACTTCACAGTGCTTTTGAGATTAGGGCAAGGGTCGGTCATTGGTGTGGGGGAGTGGAGACAGCTTATGCCATGAATTTCCAGTGCACGGACCTTGGGACACAGTGTCATGATCTTCCAAGCGCGTTTTGTCCATGTCTCCACATCCTCGTCTGTTCTCAAATCATAGAGGGAGGCGTCTGCACTGATCGCCTGCACATGCTTTCCATGTTCCTGGAGCATGTCAATGAGGCCTAGAGTGCCGCGCAGGAGGGTGAAGAGGACGACATGTCGACATAGGAAGGGGGGGATCATGTAGGCCCATGTACGGCAGACGAGGCGTAGACGGGCGTATTTGTATCGCATTTCGCGGTATTGGAGAATACGAACTTGGTTGTAGTGCTCGAATTCGTCAGGGATGGGATGTTCGGGCTGGCCGAGGTCGAGGATGTGGGATATGATTTCGAGAGGGAAATCACGGAAGCGTGAAGGGAGGCGGGGCCTGTCAACAAGGACCAAACTAGGCTCGTCCTTAATCGTGTGGGATTTTGCCATGATGTCTGTGGAGCAAGCTCGTCGCAATTAGGATCGTCGAGGGCATTGTTTGAGAGGCAACGGTAGTATTTAAGTACCTTGAATCACGTGAATATGTTTCAGATAGACAATATGTTCGACGGGGGAACTGTGATGTTAGCCTTACCTTGTATGTGGACGTTTGGACGAACAAAGGAACAAGGGCCCGTCGATATGATGCGGTGAGTGGCGACTCACAATCGTTGTTGAAGTTGGCTTCTTGTCACTACTGTCGTTGCACCGGAGTTGCAAATGGTATGGGAGGTTCAAAATCGAGCTCCTCGCAACAACTTTTGACGGCACCTCTTGAAAAAATTCTTAGTTGTTTATTTAAGCACTCTTCAAGTATTAGAGTTTTTATGAGAACATAAATTGGGTGCAGCAGCGAGGAGGCAATGAATAATGGTTTTTAGGGCAGAGGTATCTGAGAGATGCTCAAGATCTCTCAGATCCTAGAGCTCAATTACAAAACTAAAAAATATTAATATGAAGAGGTATCACTGAAAGCATGAAGGTCATTTTGTCTGACTTTGAGGGCTCCACTGCTCTTCACCAAATTGTTTTCGACGGGCAGTGCCTGATGGAAGGCAGAGTGACAGAAAATCTCGGGCCGTGTGATGCTTGGTCATTCTTTGAATCTCCGCATGGTAAGTCATTCCGCAGTGCGCGACATCGGAGTTCGAATTTAAACGTGACGACGTGTGACCCGATCGTCGGCAAGATTTGCAACTCCCAAGATTTGCTCGTTTTCGGACACCCCTTCTCAATCATATCATAATAATTCTTTGAGTTTGCTCCAAAATATGAAAAAAAAATAAAAGGACACATTTAGAGAGGCTTCTGCAGGTACCTTGAAAATTTGGAGTAAGGGAGAGCCCAGTTTTAAGATACTACAAAGAATTTTTGTTTTGCAACTCTAATATAATAATAGTATGGCTAATGCTGCTGGCCCTTTTGAGGTCTCTTTTGAGTCTGTCTTGTTGACTTTACTAACTCTGACTTGTTGTTGACTATTGAACCTGTCCAGATTCTAAACAACTAAGCATACCTCTCACATCTTGTCTTCTACACAAATCTCCAATGCAAGGATAATGTGGCAGTGAAAACTATCTCTACTCAAGTTAGATCATCTTAAGGTGCCTACCAGGTATTATATATTATTGCCTGCCCTCAGCTATCTGGAGTTGTCCATCACTCTCCACAATTCACTACCTCTTGCATGTATTTTTTAGTCTTATATCTACATAGGATATCACCTAGGATTTATACTATCTGGATATTATATTTCCTGATATCTATGCTTAGACAGGCATAGAAGGAGCATTGATCATTCAGACTCTTGTAGAAAAGTGGAACCTAGGACAGTTGTACACTTTTTTCCAATATAAAATGGTTCTCTATCCCCTCTTGGTTTGATTATTATCTGGTTTATGTACATGTTGAGAGTCTGTGGTTTTTGGGACCTGTGCTAGTTCTCTTACCACTTTTCTTTGGCTCATATATGTGTGCACATCTTTGTTTCCAATATCAGCCTTTGATTTTGGCTAGATTATAAGCAAGTAACACATAGTTGCTGTGCTATATACAGATTGGGTTCCAGCTGGATATTTTAGTCAATACAAAGTGTCCACTTCTTATACTTTCACAGCCTAATTGTCTGTTCACCATCATATAAGATATCACCAAGTCCTCATATATGTTTCTTCATTGGGTTTAATATTGTTCACTTTAAGGTACTATGTATATATTAGGGAAAAGCTCCACATTAAATTAACCATAGTTAAGCATAAATATAGCTAGACTTTTGCCAATTACTATTAAGGGTTTTTAGCTTATCCCTTCTCTAATCCTAAAATTATAAGGCCTAATTAGAGCTAATTAAAGCTAATTTACTATATGGACTTTTAGAAAAATAGCAACTAATCAAGTTTTATAATTCCTCTACTATTACTATACCTTTAATTACAGAGTATATATAAAGCTCACTAATCAAACTAAAGTCACATCTTATAATAAACTTGCCCATCACCAAAATTGAACCAACAATCTCATGCCTACATATTCTAAATCACTACTCTAAACTACTAAGCCACAAGGTCTAAGTTATTTACCTGGTAACCTAAATATGACAATATAAATAAGGCAATCTCAATATCTCTAATTTTCTTACATATTTGTCTTTCATTTATTTTATATATAAAGGGGTCAATGAATGCCCTAAAAATCAGGGCTTCTGATATTTGAATTTATACACTAGACAATAATATAGTAAACCAATAGAAAATAAAGAATATATTAAAAATAAGATTGTAGCTCTTACACAATTTGGATTTAGAATGTGTAAAATTATAATTGGGGTATAGATTCCAGTAGAACTGTAGTAGTATAAATAATGTTACCTTTACTTGTAGATTTGATTATAAAGTTGATTATGGATAATATATTCTAATTAGCTCTGATTAGTATTTTGAATAATTAGATCTAATTAAAAGAAGAGGTTTTTCCAGATGTACTTTATACTTATAGTATTTAACAATAGAGCTACATTGCCTACTTTATTTCTAGATTAGTTAGAATTGTATTCAATACTCTTGGTCAAGGCTAGTCTTAACACCTATGGTAATCTTGTACTATACACTACTATAGCAAGGAGTGCTTATATCTGGAAAAACCTTCTCTCTTAATTAGATCTAATTATTCCAAATATTAATCAGAGCTAATTAGAATATATTATCCATAATCAACTTTATAATCAAATCTACAAGTAAAGGTAACATTATTTATACTACTACAGTCCTACTGGAATCTATAACCCAATTATAATTTTACACATTCTAAATCCAAATTGTGTAAGAGCTACAATCTTATTTTTAATATATTCTTTATTTTCTATTGGTTTACTATATTATTGTCTAGTGTATAAATTCAAATATCAGAAGCCCTGATTTTTAGGGCATTCATTGACCCCTTTATATATAAAATAAATGAAAGACAAATATGTAAGAAAATTAGAGATATTGAGATTGCCTTATTTATATTGTCATATTTAGGTTACCAGGTAAATAACTTAGACCTTGTGGCTTAGTAGTTTAGAGTAGTGGTTTAGAATATGTAGGCATGAGATTGTTGGTTCAATTTTGGTGATAGGCAAGTTTATCATAAGATGTGACTTTAGTTTGATTAGTAAGCTCTATAGATATTTTATGATTGGAGGGTAGTAATGGTAGAGAAACCATGGAAGTAGGTTGGCTGATATTTTCTGAAATTCCATATAATAAATTAGCTTTAATTAGCTCTAATTAGACCTTATAATTTTAGGATTAGAGGGGGGGTAAGCCAAGAATCCTGAATAATAATTGGCAAAAGTCTAGCTATATTTATGCTTAACTATGGTTAATTTAACATAGAGCTTTTCCCTGATGCTTGGGTGACAAATAAGAGATGGAAGCCTTGAGATCATCTTCAAGATCATGACACTTGATGGTTAGGTGCTTTTTAGCACTTTGTTTTTGGTCTATAAAACAGATGAGCCATAGCATAGAAAAGAGAGGGATGTACATACTGCATGGGTGCCATACCACTGTCTAATGATAGTCATATCCATAAGCAACTGTGCATACTAGTGTCTCTACAGTGCTGAATTGAACCAAGTGAATCTTGAACCAGTCCACTTATCTGGCATTGCATTTATGAGAATGGAGAAGACTCTCTCAGCAAGCCTCTAGAAATGGATAAAAAAGGTTAGTTGTAGGCAGAAGGAAGTGAGAAGCTAGGATGTCACCATCTTGGATAGGCTTGGCCCTGTCAAATGGGGCCTTTTCCCACCAATATGCATTAAGCTGTAACTAGAATTTTGCAATGGCCATGGTGCTGCTGAGCATTTTGAGTATAGGGTGCATGCCTTCTAGATGGGTATCCATATGCTCTACAATTGGCTTGAGCATCTCATCCCGAAGGAATGCTTTCATGTGGTTGAATAGACCGGAATGTCCAGAGCAGGAACTAATGCAGTCCGAGACTCTGCACTCCTAGACAAAATTATTATTTTGCAGGGAAGACATAATTGTACAGCCACAACCTTCAATATTTCCACCTGGCCCTTGCCCAAATATGTACATTTCAATGTAAATTCAAATGCTGATCATTATATACAATTTTGAACATTATTAACATCAACATTGTGCCCTCCTAGAGGGGGGCCTGTCAATGACAGTGTCAATGACAATGTTAACAACATAAGTTATTAACATGTTAGCAATCCAGGGATTTCTCACGGAACCGTATCCAGGGGAGGCCTATCTGGGAACGTGATGTGCATTATGAGCGTGTTGTCCAGGCATTGTATGTGACTGGTAGGCACATGGAACGAAAACTCAACAATAACACGTCCATTTTTAGCGAGCACACCCGTCAGAGAACAAAGCACACCGTGAGACACGAGGTGCCGCCACATAAACAAGGGGCGGTGAGGGCGAGCGGTCATCAGGCAGTAAGCCGAGAATTGAAGGTGAGTACTGTAATTTTCCCGAATGATCTGCAACGGTGTTCGATTGCGTTCTTGCCTGTTCTCGTGCTCAAGTGCGGTGATTGTTTGCACGTCTCAGCAGCAGCGTAGAGCTTTGTTCGATGTTGCGCTACTCTGGAGGTCCTAAATTTGTATAGGGTTCGCAGATGGGAGAGGGTGGAAGTGAGCCTGTAATATACTAGTCGATCACACAATGAAGGATATGACGACCAACTTGTGTGCTCCCGGCATGCGGGATACAAATTATCATGGGCAACCCGGCAGTTCCCGGTACGCGCTGGCAAGTCAACAGCTCGCTCACGTCGTTGCGACTGACATACAAATCTAAATATGCTATCTAACACAACTGAGGACTAGTAGTGAATCGGCAGACACAGGACACAGACACAGACACAAACACAGACGCAGACACAAGCCTCGCATACGAACCGGAACGAAAAACCAAGACCGAGGCACGCCACGCAGAGTCCTACGCACGACCCGCTTCGACTCGATCCGCGGGCTGCGTACGGTATCAACGAAAGGCGGGAGATCGAGAAGATAGAAGACACGGAGAGATAGATAGATAAGGCAGAGAGAGAGGATTGAAAATTGGGCGAGAGGAAATAGTGGTACATTCGCGTTCATACTGCATACGAAACGTTGAAGAGGGGAGATCGAGACTGAGGGAGAAAACTAGGATTTGCGTGCTTAACATACTTGGGAGAGTTTGTTGGTGTTGGGAGAGGAGAAGGAAGTAGCGTCCGCAGGCCTAGCCGAGGTGCACCTGGGCGGTTTGCGGGAAGCTCATGTAGCCGTTCGTCTCAGGCCACGAGAACCTGCGGAGCGGACGGTCAACACCCCAAATGACAAGCCGCGAAGATCCACAGGAAGAAAAAAAAAAACGCACCCGGGCATCATCATCGTATTCCACCACGCAGGATTCCGGATCGCCTGCATCGTCGCGAGCACATCGTCCTGCATGTTCGTTCCCGTGCTGTCAAACACAAAGTTCATCCCGTCGTCCGTCCCGCCCACTTCGAGCGGCCCCATCCCGAGGGAATACATCGCCTCCGGCTGGTATATCGGCTCCGACAGCGGCGCCACGAACGTGTCCATCATCGCTACGTTCGGCCCGTGGCTCGCACCCCCACCCGCACCCCCACTGGCGCCCGCACCGCCCATCCCGTGCCCGCCCTGCGCACTGCCGTGGTCCTGCGAGGCCGGGCTCATCCCCGACGAGTGGGTCGACGGGGTACGGTGTGGGCCCGACGGATTGCTGCGGTACCCGGGCGGGGGCTGCGTGTGCAAGCGGCCGCTCGTCGCGCCGTCGCGCCTGTGCTTGGCGAGCAAGCCCGCGAGGAAGCGCGAGTAGAGCTTGGGCGTGTGGCGCTCGTCTATCGCGATTTGCGGCGAGCCGATCGTCTGTATGAGTCGCCCGATGAGCTCAAAGACCTCCGTGTCCTGCCCTTCGGGCAAGAACTTGGCGAACTCGGGGCGATTGAGCTTTTTTTTTAGAGTAAGTAAGCCTCGATGCAAGCGTCGATCGAAAGCCAGTCGCTCACCTTCAACAGGAATGCGGACGCAAACGCAGCAAAGATGAAATGACCTATTGGCAAAGGCATCCGTCAGCATCCTCTTATCCACAAATACAGACACCTGTGCGCACCATCCGGTGAGAAGCGCATGTAGCCACTGGGAGCCAAAGAGTCGACGAGGGCCCGTATGACCTCTTTCGCGGCGTCGCGGCTCTGCAACACGATCAGAGTCAGCAAAAGACACGCTCGAGCCAACAGTCGGGGATAGGCACCTTGGTCAGGAAGATTTCGTCCTCGGGACACATGCCGCGCTGGAAGGCCTGCTGGAAGCCAAACGAGTACATGACCAGCCGCGAGTAGTTGACCAGGCTACAGCAGACAGAGCAGAGCCCGTCAGCAGTAGAAAAGCACGCGGAAGAAAAATCAACGACGCACAAAGGCAGCAGCTTGCAGCGGAACGCGCACGCGGGATCTGCGGTACAGCTCAGCATTCAACAGCGCATGACGGAGACGGACCGAGCGAGGCACACACCACTTTGATCGGAGTCCCTCGCGAACCGCCCTGCCCACTCCTCGTGGTACCGCTCGAGATGTCCGTCGTGCCGGAGCGTCACCTCCCGGAAGTCGATCGACTGGGACCGTGTTCATCAGTAAACGCAGCGCGGGTATCGAACAGGCCACGGGACGCATACCTGGTTCAGCCCGGTTGGGGTGTCGGGATCGGAGAACACGTCGTCGTGGAATTTGGCGACGATGCGCATGAGCGAACAGTACGCGTCCAGGTGCACGTCGTACTGTTCGAGACACACTCAGACGGAGCACTCGCAAGAGGCAACAGAGCGGCACCTACCGGATGATTATACCGCGATTTTTTGTACCAGTCCGTCGAGTTCCGCACGATGCTGCGATCGACGACGAACGGTCAGCAGACGCTCGACAAGCCAGGACGCGCGAAACGAGACGAGCGAAAAAGACGACGGGAAAGAGCGCTCACTAGTCCTCCTTGATCGTCGTCGGCTTGCCAAACTGCGTCGCGGTCGACCGGTCCAGGTTGAAGCAGATCTGCCACACCCGCGCCCGGTTGAGCATCTCGCGCTCCTGTATCTCGTTCTGCGGCTTCGCCGTCGACAGCTGATGCAGGTTGAGGTCCGTCGCGATCCTGAACGCACACCCGCATGGACACCAGCACCGATCAGCACCTGCGATGCGCACCGAGAGCGCAAAAGCGAACGGAGCACGCACCGAATCGCGAGGCCGGTGTACAGCCAGCTGCGGTCCTCCTCCCACCGGCGCGCAGGCACGGCGTAAATGCTCATGAGGATGTACGCCTGGCAGAGCTCGACCGACTTCCAGCCGTCGATGAGCGAGTTGGCCGCCGCGCTCTTCGCAAAGTGCATCGCGATCGGGTACACCTCGGACTTGTCCGAGTAGCGCGAGGAGATCGCGCAGACTGCGCGCGAGGAACGCGCGGGGAGCGGAGGGCGTGATGAGCTCGGGCCGCAGGCGCGGGAGAGGCGGGTACGCACCGACGGTGAAGAGGAACGGACAGCGCGAGAACGTCGACGCGGGCGTATGCAGCACGGGGTCCAAGAGCGAGATGAACGGCTATCCCCCAACCAACCAAAGCGTCAGCGTCCACCGCGCCCACCGAGGCCGACGCGCACTCACATTCACGCGGGTGTAGAATCTGCCGATCGACGGCGTCAAAAGCAAAGCAAGGCGCACGGTCAGCGCGCACTCCACCCCACCGCGGCGAGGAGCGGACACTCACATGTCAAAGAGCTTGTCGACGTCCTCGGGCGTGATGAGCCCGTGCACGAGGATGTCCGGCGGGCTGTTCTTCTCGATGAGCGTCGCGCGGAGCTCCAAGTTCTGCGCCGGGCCCGGGAGGAAGTACCCGTCGTTCGCGACGCCCTGTCAGCACAAACGACAACATAACACATGCGCGCGCGAAAACAAGGCAATCAGCACTCCGCAAAGCAAAAACCAGACCCGCACTCACGACATCGTCGTCCTCGTCCTCCTCCTTCATCACCCCCTTGCCACCCGCCGCCCCGCCCGCCCGATTCCCCGCGCCCCCGCCCACCGCGCCGCCGCGGCCCTTGCCCCGCTCGCGCTCGCGCACCTTCTCCATCGAATTGCTGATCGACAGCTTCGCGAGCAAGCCGAGCGGCACCGCCGCGTCCGGCAGGCCCGCGTACGTCTCCGCCTCGTCCTCCTCCGCGTCCGGATCCGCGCCCGCGCCCGCACCCGCGTCGCGCTCGCGCTCCGCGTGCGCCTCGGGGAACGCCTCGGGGTCGACGAGCGTGCTCGCCGACTTGGGCTGCTCCTCGTCGTGCGCGCCGCCCGCGCCCTCGGCGATGTCCGAGTCGTCGTCCGCGTCGCGGTGCTCGCGCAGGCGGTACGCGCCCGCAGACGGCGTGGAGGACAGCCCCGCGGCGAGCCCGGCGCCGATGGTGCTATCGCGCACGGTCGAGGAGGACTGGAGCCGGTCGAGCCAGGCGATGACGTTCTGCCGGTGGTTGTCGCTCGCGGGCGTCGCCATGCGGTAGGCGGCGATCGAGAGCGGGGTCGCGAGGTACGGGTTGTGCAGCTGTGCGGCGGGGTGCGTGTCAGTCTGCGAGCAGCGGGGAAGAGGAACGCGAGCACAGACCTGCTTGAGCAGCGACTCGATGATGGCGTCCTTCTGCCTGATCTGCGCGAGAAGGTATTCGCGCTTGCTGGGAAGCGAAAGAGGCGCGCGCGTCAGCGTGGGCGTGAGGGGAGGAGAGTCGGACGACGACGACGACGAAGAAGAAGAAGAGAAGGAAATAAAGGACGACGAAGAGGACGACGAGGAAGTAGAGGATGCGCGCTCGCGCGTAGACAGGAACGGCGACGAGGGGCGAGACATGGGCACAGCTAGCGAGCGAGGGCCCAGACAGCACGAGGGGAGAACGGAAGGACAAGGCAGGACCAACGAACGGAAGTGCGGTAATAAAACACGCGCGAGCGCAAGGACACGCGTAGGTACCGCCGCGAGACAGCTACGGACGCCTGGCCTCAGCAGACCCGACCGCCCCATCCAATTCGAATCAGTCGAATCGCGCCGAGGGCCGATGTCACCACGGACGGCCCACAGCGCCTGCAGCAAGCCCGACTGCCCGAACGCTCGCCAGGGCGCCCGGGAGCCACAGAATCCCTAACCACGCCCCGAGCCCGAGTCCAAATCTGGACCGCACGACGTCCCACTCGCACCACACGGCACGGCCCCCACCCGCCGTCCCAGAGCACCCGACCCCAACCTCGCCCAAACGGGCATGCTCCGCGCTGACGCGGACGCGCTGGCAGCAGCGAGTAGTCCGACGTCAGCAAGACTGGCGCCGTGTGCGCACACGCACGGCGCGACACAAGCCCCGGCCGCTGCGCCCTCGCAGCCCACCGTGCTTCCCCTCTTCTGCCCCAGCCCCACCGCCTCCGGGGCAGAAAGAGTGCCGGCGACTCGCGCCGTGGGTGGCCATGCACGCCGCATGCTGTGCGCGTGCGGAGGTGTAAATACGCCGACGGAACCCGCGCCTCAGGCTTCGGGCATCCAGACTGACACCCCCGCACCCCGCATCACCGGGTGCCGGCCCAGCCAAGGCCGAAAGCCTCGGGCAAAGGAAAGAAAACACCAAGACGAAGAGAGAGAAAAAAAAAACAGAGCGGAACAGGAGCCGAAGAGGCAACCAAAACCAAGAAAACAAAGTCGACAACCTGGGGCGCGAAACAGAAACGGAGAAAAAAGCGAAGGAAGAGGAGCGGGAACCGACACCCAAGAGAGAAACATAAACAGAGCGCGCGACTCACTTGGGTGCACTCCTGGGCTTGCGCCCCTCGACGATGCACGTGTGCCCGCCCGCCCTGCAGCGCTTGCACACGTTCTCGTTCTTCGGAAAGTCGCACTTCATCTGTGCGCCGCGCGCGCGTCGCAAGTCGAGCATCGCGAGCCAACCACCGAGAGCCAACCACCGAAATCCAAAGCACCGAAACCAAACCTCCAACCGTCAGCACAAACCCACCAAAACAGAGAACAACCAACGCACCTTCAGCTTCTTGCAGTACGTGCACGCGCCCGGACTACACCGCGTCGCGTCGCATCGCATCGCGTCACGTTACGTCGACATCGCATCCGAGGCACGCCCGCCCGCGATCCCAGCCCCGATCCCGATCCCGGTCCCGATCGAAATGCATCCCGCCAGTTCCCGCCCATCCGTCGCGCGTCCATCCCATTTCGAGCCGGCCCCGCCATCGCCGTCGCCATCGCCATCGCCATCGAATAAAGCATAGAATAAGAAAGAAAAAAAGTATCGCGACAGTTAGCAGCGCGCCCACAACGTCCACAACGCCCGCACCCGCACCCGCACACGCACACGCCCGCACGCACACACGCCCAAACGCCCCAAGAAAGAAAGAGAGCGCAACACTCACAGTCTCTGCGGCAACCCCATCCCCATCCCCATCCCTTGCATCCCACCCATCCCACTCATCCCACCCATCCCGCCCATCCCCTGCACCTGCACCTGCACCTGCATCTGCCCGCCCCCGCCCATCCCCTCATCCTCATCCTCCGTCTCGCTATCCCTCACATCCACGCGCAGCCTCTTCCTAGGCGGCACCCTCCCCGCCCCCGCCCCCGCCCCCGCCCCGCGCGGCCTCCCTGCACCCGCTCCCGTCCCCCCTCCCCCTCCCGCTCCTGCACCCGACGCACCGGCACCCGCCCCTCCACTCGTTCCCGCAGCGCCCGCACCCGACGCACCCGACGCACCCGCACCAGCACCCGCCGCGCCCCCACCCGCCCCTCCACTCCCGCGCTTCCCCACCCCAGGCCGAAACGCCGCCTCCGCCCCAATCGCGCTCGCCGCGCCCATCGCGCCCACCGCGGTCGACGCGACGCTCGACCCCGACCCCGACCCCGACGGGCCCATCGACGGCACCGTCAGCGTCCCGCCTCCAACACCGCCCAGCCCCACGCCGACGCCGACGCCAGAGCTGATGCCCAGCCCGACGCCGGGGCTCCCCCCGAGCGCCATGGCACCCCACACGGGCGACACCGACGCGGACGCTACGGACGCTACGGACGCTGCCGACGCCGCAGACGCCACGGACGTCGTCGAAGGCTGCGTCGTGAGCGTGCCTGCGTCCGAGTGCGGGGTGTACGCGCCCTGCTGCTGGCGTTGTTGTTGCTGATGCTGGTGTTGTTGGTGCTGTTGCGGCGTCGCGCCGGCATTGGACCCGGACCCAGACGGCCCAGACCCGCCGCCGCCGGCGGATGCAGATGCGGGGGCGGGTCCGTACCCGCCGTTCAGGAGGTAATACAGCTGCTGATCGCCCGCGCCGTCGTACTCCTGCAGCGCCTCCGCGCCGCGCGAGCGCTGCTGGTGCTGCTGCTGCTGTTGTTGTTGTTGGTGGTGCTGCTGCTGTTGTTGGTGTTGGTGGTGCTGTTGTTGGTGTTGTTGTTGGTGCTGGTGCTGGTGATGTGCCTGTCTCGCGTGCTGGATCTGCTGTTGGTGATGCTGCTGCTGTTGGTGCGACTGTTGATGGGACTGGGGATGATGCACGAAGCGCGTGGGGAGGCCGGTGTCGGCGGCGGCGGCGGTGGACGCGGACGCGGACGCGGGTGCGGAAGCGGGGGCAAAATAGGCGGCGTAGGCGCCGGGGTCCGCGTCGTCTTTTCCGGGGTGGGGATGGGAGGCGACGAACTGGTACTGGTTCATCAGCGGCTGCTGATGCTGCTGATGGAGTTGTTGCTGCTGCTGCTGCTGCTGGTGGAGATGGAGGTGCTGCTGATGGGGATCGTAGGGGCCCGACTGTGGGGCGGCATGTGCAAAGGCGGGGTACTGGTGGTGGGCGGTGCTGGGGGAGTAGTGCTCGGCGAGCCACTGGGCGTAGTCGGGGGCGGGGGGCTGGGGCGCGGCGGTGTCGGGGTCGTAGAAGGAGGGCGGGGGGCCGATCATGGGCTGGGGCGGAGGATGGGGCTGGGCCTGGGCGGAGTTGGAGCGCGAGTGGGCGGAGGCGGAGGAGGAGGAGGCGAGGGTGGAGGAGGAGATGGAGGTCGGGGTGGAGGCAGAGGCGGACGCGGACGCAGCGGCGGCGGCGGCGGTGGTGCTGGTGGTGGTGGAGGCGGAGTGGGGGAGGGAAGTGGAGGGGGGAGAGGAGGTGGAGGAGGTGGAGGAGGAGGGGAAGAACCAGGTGGGGGGAGGATGTTGCGGGTGGGCGCTCGTGGACGGGGACTGATGGAGCCGGGGGTGCCGATCCCTGGCGGTTGCTACTGCTGCTGCTGCAGCTGCTGCAATGTGCGTGTGTGAGTCAGCGCCGCCCGTCGCGTCGTTGGACTCGGATGGCAGGGATTTACTCACGGTGGGCGTGGGCGTGGGCGTGGGCGTGGGGCAGGCGGGGCGCGGGGGGGTCGGCGGCGGGGAAGGAGGAGGACGGGGAGGAGGACGGGGGCGAGGAGGCGGGGGCGGACGCGGACGGGTAGGGAGGGTTGCCGGAGCGGGGATGGGCGGGGGGCATCGCACGCTCGCTCGCACGCTCGGTAGGCAGGTTCCAGCGGGGGGCTCTCGTGGATCTCGTGGATCAGCCCGTCGTCGCTCGCGGTCGGGGGTGCGTATCGCCGGAGGAGCGAGCGAGCGGGTGGCGACGCTGCCCCCCGCTGACTTATCCGTCCCCCACCTGCCTATTCCGGCACACAGGCCCCGCGTCCAGCCCCCGGGCCTTCCACAGCCGACCGAGCGCCGTCCTCTGGCGCACAGCCGCGCTTCTCACAGCCGCGCACTCGCGTTCCGACTCCCTCCCGAGCTCAGTCCACCCCTGCCCTCGCTATCCCCGCACGCACGCACGCACGCACCGCCCTGCACCGCCCGTCCTTCCATGCCGTCCCGTCTCCCGAGTCTTTCGCCCTCTGTCGCCCTGCATCCACCGCATCATACCCATCCGGCCTGCCGATCTGCCCTCGCCTGCCCTCGCCCCGACCAGCCGCAAGCAATCCCCAGTACGCCGTGCGCCTCGCGCCTCGCGCCACGACCGCGACCCCTCGTCCGCTCCCCATCACACCGCCTCGCTCGGCGCCCCCGCGCGCCCCAGCCCTCCACGACGACTCGCCAACGCCAACGCCAACGCCAACGCCGACAACGACGACGATGACGGCCGCCCTCCCGGAGTCCCGGAGTCCCGGAGTCCCAAATACCGCGCGCTGCAATGCATGCCGTACGATGCGATGCGCGCGCCGCATGCACACCACGCACAACGCCCCACGCCAAGCCAAGCCATGCCGACGCGCTCGACAGGCGCGCCCGTCCCCGCGGGCCCCGCGGCGCCGCACGCACGCGCGCGCACGGACACAGCTCCTCCGCGTCCCCGGTGCGCGCACCGCACGGCGCCCGATAGTATCGTATCGCATCGTACCCGACGGCATTCGACGGTTGCAAGCGGCAGCAAGCGAGTCCGCGCCGTCCGCGGCTCGGCGCTCTAATAGCGCCCCGTGCTGCATACATACAGCGGCCCGTCGCGGTTGTGATACCAGCGCCGCCGTCGTCGTCGTCAACGGCAACATACACGGCGGCGGCGCAGCGAGCGTCCTCGTGCCGTGCGTCCGCGCCCCGCCCGCATCGCGTTTATCCCGCACGCCTCCGCGCGTGGTGTTCTCTCCGATGGGGACCTGGCCGTCGAGCCCTATGTACGAGCGTGCGTGCGTGGGCGGGTGCCCGTCCGTGTCTGCGCCTGCGTCCGTGTCTATGAAGACCGACCATCGGTCCTCCTCGATCCAGCCGCCGCTTCTAGCCATTCCTGCCCCGCCCTGCTCCGCCCCGCCCACCCCCACCCCACCTCAAAACCCCACGCGCCAGGGCGCTCGGCGCGCAAGCTAGCACACGAGTCACCGCACAGCACGCCCTCGCGCTCGCGCTCGCGCCCGTACACGCGCCCGTACACGAGCGGCCGGGATCGAGCCCGAGCCCGAGCCCGAGATCCCCAGTCGGTCGTTCGAAAGCCGGCGCTAGTGGCTAGTGACTAGGGACTCGACGAGGCGCGGCGGCAGCGGCGGCCAACGCGCGCGACTCGCCGCCAGTCTGCCGCCCCGCTCCGCCCTCGACCTCCCGCACGGCCGACGCGTCGACGGCCGCTGCGCCCTCGGCCCTCGGCCCTTACTCTAGCCCCAGCCCGCGGTTCCCCCACGTGCACCGGTACCGCCACCGCCACTGGCACTGGTGTGCGACGGCGGGCGCTAGTACGTACCTGGGTCGCCAGATGAAGGACGTCCGAGGTGCCGTGGCCGCTCTCTGCGCGTCGGGGCCTCGCCGTGGGGCGCCCATACGACACACCCTCCCGCTGTGCGTCGTACTTCGCTTTGCTAATTCAGGCGGTACACCTGCGTCCAGCGATATGCGGAACTTGGGCCGGCGGGCGGCGCATCGCGCGTTTCGCGCACGCACGGGTTGTTGCCGAATATCTTGGCGCGAGGGTGAGGTTTTGTTTTTTGCTTTTGGACGTGGGTGCTGGTCTGGCCGCCCGGGAGGAGCGTGTCGGTGTCGGTCTGCGGACCAGAACGCGGGCAGACGCAGGCAGCCTCGTCGACGCGCTCCGCGCGATCGCCGCCCGCCTCGCGCGCGGAGCCCGCACGCGCTCGGTCATTCCGCTCTCGACGCGTCTCGCCATTCCGTACCCTCCCTCTTTGATACAGCAGCTCTAACGAACGTCGATTCGTCGTCGTCGTCGTCGCCGCCGGGTCTGTTTGAGCACAGCAACAGCGCTGCGCTGCTCTACAAACGCTCCGCTCGACGTCGCGCGCACAGCGAGGGCCGCACAGTCGGCGAAGGGCGCGGCGCGCGGCGCCGATGCAGGATGAGTTCGCCGAACGCACGTCGGGCGTGTCTGGCGGCTCTGCGGATTGGCCGGACGCGGGCCCGTGTCCTCGGCATCGGCTCGAGTTGCGCGCGCCCTTCCTACGCCTGCCGTGCGCGCTTCGGCGCGCTACAGCCAGTCGGACGCGAGGCTGTTCTTCTGTGTGAGTACGCAGGGGTCGAACTGAGGTTCCGCTTCCCTTCGCGTTCCCTCTCTTCTCCGACCGCGAAGTCGAAGAGACGGCCCGGCGTCATGTGGGTAGCATGCGAAAATGTGATTTATTTATTGGCGGTCTGGGATAGGGTTTACGTGGAATGGGAGGAATTCGGTCTCGGGGAAGTGAGCGTGACTCGGCGTAGACGCGGAGTGCGACGCCCGTGGCAGCTTAGCTTCAAAGCACGGGTTGAACGAGGCCGCTTTGCCCCGCGATGAGTGCTTCAGCCTGAAGAAGGATGTTCGGAGCGGCGGCAGCACAATGAACGTGAGAAAAAGCGTCGGCCATTGCCCTACCCGGGCGATCCCCCTGAGCGCTTTTTCGGCGAGCTTCATCATGACCTCCGCGCGCACACCGCAACTCATGTCGGCGGCCTCCCCAGAAACTCTCATCGCGTGCTTCCAGCCCACGCTGGCGAGTGAACATCAGGTCTCTCAGCAGCCACACGAACGATTTCGCCGAAGCCTTGGCCGCCCTTTGCGTATCCGAGCCCGGCACATTTGCCGCTGCGGCCATAGAGGTCCACTCGGGCAGTCCGTGCACCTTGTATCTCGCCACTTCCGACGATGCGGTCGGCCCCCTCGAGCCCCACTTTCAGACCCTGTGGAGGAGCCTTCGGGAGGTGGCGCTCTCGACGAACAGCACACCTCCCCCGCTCGATTCGCCGGCGGCCGACGTCGCAGTCGAGGTGTACGACTTTGCTTGGGCGACGTTCTATGATCGCTTTGCGCCCGAGGTTGAACACTTTCGCGCGCAGTTCTTCCCTCAGGTCACGGTCCCAGAGATTGAGGCCATCAGCGACGAAGAGCGTCGCGATCTCCAGAACCATAGGTGATCGGTTTGATGCGCTTCGCAAGGCGGTCACGCGCGCAGAGCCCGCGGACGCTGAGTTGAGGAACATCGTTTCGACTCTCGGCCTGCTGAGTGCCGCTGTTCGGCCGCACCTCGACGACTCCGCACTGCACACGTTGAGACGCAGGAGCGCTCAAGTAGGTAAGCATCTTTGAATTAAACACGTCTTTCGTTGAGTCGTGCCCTGACCCTGCAAAGCCAAGACATCCTATATGTCTCTCCTCGTCTCTCCGAATGCTGTTGTAGCCTTACATCGTCCTATCAAAGTCCTCCTCGACGCAGCTCGTTCTGGTAAGACCCGTTCGCGGTTCACACAGCCCCACCGTGTCGTCCAGGTCCCCAACCCGTGCCTCCCCTTTGAAGTAAACATGCACGACGACGCCGTGCTCAGCCTCTGGAAGGAACACCGAGGCGTAGAGCGTCCTGGTGCCGACCTGGATGCACAGTGAGACTGTCGAATCATCAAGCCGATGCAGTATGTCCCCGAGAATGAAATGTCAGACGAAGTGTCTAGCACATTCGCAGATGGCAAGATGACGCTGACCGCTTCGGCGCGGCCGCACAGTGCGTGCGCGCTGCTTGTGTACCTCGCAAACTTGGCGGACGCAAACCCGTACCCATACGTCGGCTTGAGCTGCAAGTATCCTTGTTACGCGTGCTGGACATTCTTCAGCGCGTACAAACAATCCGGTTCGACGCTGCCTCTCAATATGCGCGGGCCAATGCTCAACTTTTACATCCCCTTCGCGCTCCCTACGTTCTCTGACCACGAGTTCAACAACACGGTTTGACGTCAAGTGAGTACTCTGGTAGAAGACGATCTATGGCAGGTTTGGGATGACTGGCAAAATGACCGGTACGACTATGGCGCCAAGGCACACCATAACGACGTTGAAGCGAACGGGTCCTCGACATAGGTAGATTCGGAATAGGTTGGTATGTCCTTTGCATTCAAAAAAGAACAGTTTGGTCATCAAATGCATATCTCCACAGTTTTCCAGGTACCTAACCTGACATCTCCATCATATCATATTTTGTCACAGGCACTCGATCAACACCCAAGATTTTGCGTACGAATGCGGTTTGGGGCGGGGCAGGAGCCTTGCAGCGCCTACGCGCGGCGCATGGTGCTCAAACTTTGCGATCACCAGCTCCTTCGATTTCTCCACGTATTCCTACGTCGTACAGCTTGCACACTTACATCTCCACATCTACCAAAGGGCGCTGTTGGAACTATATAAGGGCGTGGTAAACTGCCGGACTAGTCGTGTGCTTGATTGCGCAGAAGGGTCGAGATGGTTGTGGTGTGTCTTTAATCCATGAGACGGTCATATCAGCTACATAGCTCACCACGGACTTTCAGCGCTTCAGCATGTCCTTCGAAGGTGGTCGTTGCTAAAAATCATTTCACGATATACACTCATACAGACAACGGGCAACGGACACATATACGCAACGTGCTCGGTACACCAGCACACAATTCAGCGGCATCTATATCGTCGTGACAAAATCCAAGCCTAACAGTACACAAATCCAAATCCTTGTGCCTTGTGCGATATGGCCATTCAGTTGTCAGTGACAGAAAAACAACCATTCGCATGTGGTTAGCAGGTTTCTGCTCTTACTGGAAACGATATCGGGGTTAGAAAAATGGCTATTCGAGGAGGCGAAGTGCGCTTACAATCAACTATGGCCCCCTTGATCCACCTCCCCCTCATCTATTGGGACGAATGACGCAGCAGTGCTATCAGAATATGATCGGCCTTTACGAGGCTGCGTCCACGCAGCACGAAAGTCGTTCCTTAGAATCCTCAGCACTTCGCGTTTGACTTTATTATGCAAGTCTGATGTGCGCCCAGAAATCAGGGGAAATACGTATGGTATGTATACCTTACCATGAGTGCCCGCAAATTCATAGCGAATACGAACATTCTGGTCGTTGTAGGCACGGATGAAAACATAACAGCCGTGGCAACAAAGTTTGGAGACACCGATGAAATGAATCAGCGTTTCGTTAAGACGTTGTTCAAGGAATACCACCATAGCACATTCGCAGTGGACGCGAACGATGGAGTTGAATTTGTTTGATTGGTGGCGTGACGTGCTAGTTAGCTCCGAGTGTACTTGAGCAACAACTTTCGACTGCCATCGATCATGCGCTTGAGCAACCGCCTGTCTTCCTCCAAAGCATTGCTGCAAGAGATCAGGATTGTTCATGTCCACTAGAAATGTTTGAGATTTGCCCTGGACTAGAGTCACGTGCAAGGGTGTTGAGAACCATTGCTTGAATTTTTTGTTTTGAGCGATCCGGAATAGGGCATTGATGGAATTGTGAAGTGATACAATTTTTTCCATATACCGTTCCACGTTGAGGTAATCCTGTGAGAGTTCTGGACACATGACATCAATTTTGTGGAAATGGGTGTCAATACAGCACTTACTACCAAATCTTTGGAATTTAAGCATCGGCCTCCTCCGCATCGTCCGATAGGAGAGGCACGAGTCTCCGACTCAATTTCTCCATTGACTTTGCGAGAGACTTTCAATCCTCCTTTGAAGGGTCTTCGAGCTGGACAGAATCTCCTGGAAAATAGGCTCGATGCGTCTAAGCTCATCAAGTTCATCTTTGGTAAACGGGCCCTTGAGATTCAATGCGTCTTGGAAATATAGCGTGCACACATCTGCGCGCTTTTTGACACGTTGCTGGAATTTCTGCCAAGTGAACCTATAAATTTGAGTGATGGTCTGCCACTTAGCGGTCAAGGGCAAACGTATTTGCGCAGAGTGCTTCGATAACTGGGTTAGACTGGACCAGACACCGCAAATATGGTCCTTGACCGACTGTTGCACATTCCCATTAGTCGCGATATATATTTCAGTCCAATGAGGGCGCGGATCCAGAGTAACGGCTATGACATCTTGGCGTGGCCGTGCTACACTGATGGCGGCCAGCGCGGTGATGTAACCCTTCACCTCACCCGTATATAAATAATCTCGTGGTTTGATCATATCGTGCCCGAACGAGTCAATCTCCTGTTCTACCACGTCGTGAAAATGCGGAGAACTCTGCAAGAAGGCGCCACGAAACTACAATCGGCACCACGTATCGTGGCGCCTCACCATTACTCACTGAGGGTTTACTATTCCGTAGTGCTTCCAACTTCCTACGGCTTCTGATCGTGCCGTTCACGCCAAAGAATCATCACAAAATCATTGATTATTGCTGGATCTGATCAGCAGGTTGCGAAATGGCACCAGGTGTGAGAGATTGTGCCAGGTTGCACCGCACATCTAGATATTGGAAGACGAATCAATCAGAAACAATCACGGTATGAAGAAGCTTGCAGAAGTGGGACCACTGTAGGACCCCCAACGTCTAAATGCATGTCCGACCAAGCGGGGGGCAAATCTGGTTTAACTGCTGAATGATTTAGGCGCCTGCGCCGTGCGGTACTGTTTGACCACCGGGTCTCGAATAACCTCGGGAGACCTCTCGCTTCCGAAAAACATTGAAAGGCTTTTGAAAGGATCACAGCAATTTCATGAGAATCTCAAACAAGTTTAACTCACCAGACTAGATGCCAGACACCTGTCTGAGAATCAGGCCATGTTTCCTCAATCTTCCGCTTCCTCACGACATTGACCATCCGCCCCACCTTGAAAGGGCTCCTGATTGTTCCCGATGCGATCGATCTGAAGATTCAAGACCTTGTGATCCATTGTGGGTAATACAAACACCTGGTGTGGTTGTCGGGGGTCCTGCAGAAGTTGGCAAGAACGACTGCAAGGAGTCTGCAAGGAGTCTGCAAGGAGTCTGCAAGGAGTCTGCAAGGAGTCTGCAAGGGCCATCAGGAAAAGCGCCTAAATCTGGCGACGCCGGCGAATCCCGACATGGGCATGCATGCCCTGACAAGCACTGGTAAGCCTGGGTATGTTTTTTCTGCTCTCGCCAGGCTTCCCCAGTCGACGTCTCTACGCGGTCTCGTCCAGGTCGGTACAACAGTAAGACTACGCAATGCGATACTTTGACAGTTCTAAGCCGCTTGCTGCGGCAAAGTTCATGTGAGTCTAAGTCAATTCAGGTCAAGACGTGCAAACAACAACAAAAAGAGCTTGGGTGATGAGACAAAAAGACGGATTACAGTGGACTAAAGCTGAAATCTTCGCAAAATGAAACACCTTCATCATCCAAAACCCTCGTCCTCTGACCCCTTGTTCATAGCATTGTCAAACTCGCGCTGAAACCCGATTGGTCCGACTCGCTATCATCACCATCCATCAGCAAACTCATAACTGGTCCTAGCCAGCCCCAGAGCCCCAGATGCTCCCAGATGCTTAGGTCATCTGGAGATATCTGGCTAGATGTCTGTGTATGCCCAGATCTGGACAGATAAGGTGCTCTATCAAGAAGCTGACTAGGAGGACATTTTTGGAAGGCTGTGTATGTAATGCCAGTGCTGCTTCAGAGTTTTTCGATACAGCCTTAGATAAGAGCTAAGAAGAAAATCCCCTAGTAATGTATCAGACTGTCATTGGTATTATCTGTTAGATATCAGCTTGTTAGTGGTATTGGGATACTTCCCTGCATCATAGCTTTCAAATGATGTGTTATATGCCATAATTCTTCCATGAATGGGTGCTAAAAATGCTAAAATAGATGACACCTCACTGAGTTTAGGCATTCCAAGATCATTACTAAGTCTCAAAAAGCTCAATATATACTGGTTGCTGATATAGTATATTATGGCTATATAGTGGAGTGGATAATTCTTGTCTTAACATTGCTTTCAGCTGGTGGATGATGCAAGAGGTTCTGGGTTCAATTCCTGTCTGGTGCAGATTGATTTTTGCAGTTGTTCTATTGACAACAATTATCTAATCATTTCCATATGTGGTGCATCTGGACATAGCTGTCCAGACACCGGTGTGTCTGTCTAATCGGGCACTCGCTAAAGGCATCTGGGGGCCTAGGAGTGTCTGTCCAGGTTGGTACAGATGCCTCCCAGTTTGCTGATGTCGTCGCATTGTTGTCGATGTCTTTGCTGTTGTAAGATATGTTGTTGTTGTTGTCATTTGGGTTGCCTTCTGGGTCAAGATTCTTACCTTTGAGTGCAATATGAGGAGCCATAGACATCAAGGTGGAGCAAGGTAAGCTGAATGAGGAGGTAGAGGCATGAGACCAAGGTGCGGAGGTCAGAAACATTCAAGAGAAGCACATGTCAAAATGACAAGTTGTGTTTGCAAAGATGCGTCACTCGCACAGTCGGACTTCGAAATGCATCTTGCTCTTATCCCTCATGTCAAGTGTCGCAAACAAGGCACTCAAGACACAGTACGTCGTTATATGCACCGAGAATCAGTTCTAATGTCACTATATGCGCTGATTCCCATTATTGACCGGGACCACTGACTACACTTCCTCTGTACCTTGTCTTAGGCTTCCTTTTGAGCTGCACATTGGCCGCTTGGGACTCAGTGACAACTGGACATTGCGCTGACTTTTTCTATGTGGGCTTGGATGTGAATTTTGTGGACACTCATCCCCTGCTTATTGTTTGCGTGCCATTGCATCTTTTTGAAAATCAACACATGTAGAGGCAACCGATCCCATGGTATGTCCCCGTTATTCTCAGACTTTGACCAGTGTCTTGACATTCCTTGATGATATCCCCTGATTTAGATACTCTGCCAAATTGAAGTAAGCCACCTTCTGCAACCCTTCTTCCCCATTATCAATGCCTCGCTTTTCTGCCTAGGAGCTGCAATCATCAACTTGAACCATTCCATGTTGAGCGCGCTCTCTTGGTCTATTGAGGGCGGCTCCTTGCCTGTGGACATGCTTTGCAATCTGTTACGACTGCTCGTCGGTAACCCCAAGAGTAGGAGGTTCTTCCCTAGGTCACTCGTGGAGGATGTGTGGAACGGTGGTCTCGACTGTACGTGTAGCACAGGAGCCAGAAGTGTATTGCGATATAGCAATGAAGACTGTAGTAGGAAGACTACAGTGGATGAGGGTGCTGTGGTAGGAAGACCACAACGAACGAAGAGAATAGACTGAAGAACCTCAGCCTACTCTATGGGCCTTTTATACTACTTTAGGAAGTAGGGCGTGAGAATGCCGTATATGTATCCATAGGTATTCCTCTAAGTCGTCTCTCTCAATAACGACTACTCTTGTGTTTCTCCGTTAGTCTCCTTCCGGCCAGGAACGACTAGGAGCTCAATGCCCGATGTGTGAGTAGTTTGTAAGGCGGCGTTCCATGCCCGCTATGCAATAGGCCCGTGATACTCGACCAACGATAAGGTGATCCGTTGGGAGTGGATGACCAAGGTTACTATCTGTACCTTGTTTGTACGCCTCACCTTGTGAGGCCGCTTGATATTTGTGATGATCGTGTCGGTATAGACCGCCATTAAGGCCCGACAGAACGTGATCATAACAATACCCCCTTTCTACGTCCTATTCGCCTGGTAGGACAGCGCTGTGCGCTTCATCGCCACTCCATATACGATTTGCTTTCTTGATCCAAAAACTGGTCTCCGGATGCGACTTCCGGGACATGACTTCGTTTTCTGGGAGGAAGACCGACTTACGTCGTTTGATCCTCTAGGAGTTTTCCATCTCCGTTGAGCTGTTTGTTTGTCGAGTCGTGAGGGTACCAAACCTCCGCCCTGTGGGATGTTCTTCCTTCACCCCTCAGTTGGTGTGATCTTTCCTGGGTTCTCAAGCCAGGATGTCAGTCCGGTCGATGCCGGACAGGTGTCAAGAAAGGCGTATGAATGCGAGTGGTGTGTGGATGAATAGAAATTCTAGCATGTGGGTTCTGATTCGTGTCATCAGGTTCTTCTTCTTCCTTCTCCGAGGGCCAAACCTCAGTGTTTCCAGGATAGTCGTTATCCTCGTGATTTTTGTTGTTCCTCTTGGCGTTCAGAGGATGGCGTCCACGGGCAAGTAGGTTGATCGCTTTACAAAGGCTTAGGCCTACTTCCCCAAACTACCATCTTAACGTCCCAAGCAGTATCGCTCCCATACAGTGAGCTCATCTCCGGTGAGGTTGCAGCCATAAATCCCAAGCAGTATTGCCCCCATATGGTGGGCTCATCTCCGGTGAGTTAGTTCGACGTCCAGAGTTTGTTTGATTCACTATGCGTATTGGGTTTGAGGCAAGGATGTGAAGAGAATTAGACTAGAAGGGTGCCGTGAGGAGTAAGGAGGAGTCTGACTCCTTCTCCCGATCGGACCGTTCGCTTGCACGAATGGACATTAAGACCACAGCTGATATATTGGTCGGGTTGCGAGATATATCCACGACTAGCAGTTTAAACGTCTTGCCGGACGTTCCGTAGTTTATCGTCGTTGCGGACGATACCTAGTTTTACGTCGTTGCGGACGACAGTAGTTTTACATCGTTTCGGATGTATTAAGGCGCCCTGCGCTGCCTTGTAGTTTACTTCTAGGTCATTTGCGGACCTTCTTCATCATCAACATGGAATATCTGTGGGAAAAAGATGTTTCTGCACGCCGGAATTTCCATCGGTTGTGTGCATAGGGCCCTAGACCAGACTTTATCCCGCGGGTTTCCACTGAGGCATGATGGGGACGGTTTATACTATATCAAACCGGATAACTTATACGTCTCAATATTAGGAGACCGCTCAGTTTAACGCCGTGAGGTAGGCGACTTGCAGTTTAACGCCGTGCTTTAGGCAGGCTTGCAGTTTAACGCCGTGCGATAGGCGGGCTATCGTCTGACTATGTCCCTCGAGTCACGATAGGCTTTTCCTCCGAGGATGAGGGTAGTTTAACGTCATCTCGGACGTTGTCGACACATTCTCGTCAAGAATGATGTCGACCGATGATCCCTGTACTAAAAGGGACGAGTAGTTTAACGTCATCTCAGACGGTTGATGACCACGGTCTTGGTCAACAACCACAACTCCTATTCGGTAAGGAGCATCGTAGTTTAATGTCATTGCGGACCGATTGACAGCATGGCGGTCAATCCACAACTCCTATATGGTAAGGAGCAAATAGTTTTCCGTCATTGCGGACACATTGGTGTCCAGGGGATTGGACATCAATGACAACCCCTAGGTCCAGGGGCACTAGTTTAACGTCGTCGCGGACGCGCAGTATCTTGTCAAGATCGCCACGCACAATCCCTGTACTTGAAGGGACTAGTAGTTTAGCGTCGTTTCGGACGCGTGGGGGTAACCTTGATTTCCACCACGCACGATCCCTATGCTTAAAGGGACAAATAGTTTATCGTCATTTCGGACTAGGAGACATCCCAATCTTGAGACACATCCTAAGATCCCTAGAACGAAGGGACAGTAGTTTTACATCGTTTCGGATGCCCGTAGTTTACCGTCGTTGCGGACATCGATGCCATTGGCCTCGAACAATCCCTATGTGGAAAGGGACAATAGTTTAGCGTCATCGCGGACGTTGTTTCGCCACAAATATTGTGGAAAAACAATGCTTAGTTTAACGTCATCCCGGACGCTTCGTAGTTTATCGTCGTTGCGGATGATAGTGTGGCGGAATAGACTTGTGAGTGGCCCCCTCTTGCCATTCTTCCGCTATGCGGGTCAGACGAGAGTCGCGTGATCTAGTCCCTTCCTACTAGATCTTCGACTCGAGGCACGTGTCCTAGTTGCCTCCTGACTAGGTCTTGGAGCGGAATTTCTTGTACTTCGACTCCAGGACTAGACTGAGCGCTCCATGAAGAGATGCTTGCTCTTCCATGTCCCCAGACCCCTCGCTTGGAATTGAACCAAGTCGACCCGATATTCTTTTACCGAAAAGTGAGTGAATATCAGAAGCGCTTCGACCTCTTATAGGCAGGGTTCTGCGACGCGGATCCTCCCAAAAATCCGCGCTTCACCAGAATGCAACCACGCTCCTTGGGTCAATGGTAGTTTTATGTCATCTCAGACGAGGATAGTTTTCCGTCGTTTCGGACGAGGACTAGTTTAATGTCATTGCGGACCCTAGTAGTTTATAGTCATTGCAGACCAAGCCTTTGGTAGTTTTACATCGTTCCGGATGTGTAATTTATGGCCTCGCATCAATTAGGAAGACTTGTGAAGTAGAGGCGGCCCGCTCTCTACATCATCTCATGCGCCAGCTGTAGGATCCCCTAATGCGGAAACGATCCTGTAAAACGGGAGATCCAAAGTGGGACGTCCCAAAACACCAGTCAGACCTTGACTGTGAGGGTTCACTTAACGAGTTGTGCATCATAATTTCTTGACTCGGACTTGCAACCGGTTATGTATGGGCACTTCGCTGTACCAAGGCGAAGAGCCGGCTTGTCGACACCTACGAGTAGAGTATATGTCATGTAGAGGGTTCCCTAATGCGGAAAAACCCCTGTAAAACTGAGGATCCAAATGGGACGCTCGATGCATCTGTCAGATTAACTCCTTGACAGCGAGGATGTGAAAGGTTCCGCCGTAGGTCGTATGTGGAATTATGCCCGCTGTTGTCCTTGATTCGTACCATCATTTGAACCTAGGACTAAAATGGTCAGGTACTTCCCCTGCCTTCTTATCTTTTCACAGTTTTAAGACATGCAGGTCCGATAGTTTAGACGTCATTCCGGACGCGGGGTAGTTTAACGTCTGTTTCGGACGAGGTCGTACAGTTTAACGTCTTGAGGGACAATCCTAGTTTTACGTCGTTGCGGACGATCAATAGTTTAAGGTCATTTCGGACCCTCAGTGGGGAAGGAGTTCCTCAACTTCCTTACCCCCTTCCTCGCCCCGCAACTGGCCCTCTTTAGTAATCATAGGGTCCTTGGTATCCGTCGCCTCCTTCATCAGGCCGATAATAGGGATCGGCGTCGTCATAATTTCCCGGGTCATCTAAAGCATCCCATGCATCGAGCTCGGATCGAGTCCAAGAGCGATTTCTTCTAGCCTCCGAATCAGCGCGGCGAGTTCTGCGGCTACTTCGGTTATTCTGTCCCTCGTCTGTACGAAATCGAGCACTAGGAGGAGGCGTTCCAGGCCGGTGTCGAACACTCCCGCCAGTAGTTGTTCCGCGGCGGAGGGTTGCCTGGGTTCCTCGACTTCTTCTTCCCTCGTTTCTTCGATAGACGGGCGGTTCCTCCTCGTCGGTGCCCCCATGGGATAAGGGAAGATTTCGTACCCGGTGAGAGGGGGACGTCGTGGGATTGCTATGTGTTGGGCGACTTTCCCGTGGCCTCGGTGGAGGGCGTTCCACGACCGTGCGCGGAGCCCTTCTTGGATTTGGTACAGCCGTGGGACGTTCTCCGGGACGTGGTACATTCCAGACGACAACGCGGAAAGGGTCGGTCCTACTTGGTTGGACGGCGCCCAGTTCTCCGGTGAAGAGGAGAGCTGGAAGGAGCTCTCTGTTGACATACTGGGAGAATTCGTCGGGATAGATGAGGAGAGCTCGTGGTCGTCCGTCGTTATGTTCATACCAAGAGGCGGTGTCAGGGTCTGTTTGGAGGGCGAGTCCTCTGATCTGGAGACTGGCACTAGCCAGTCGTCGAGGTATGTCGCTATGCTCATTCCCGGGTTGCCCTGCAGCGAAGTTAGCGAGTCGTTGTAGGGCCATGGCTGTGGCCATTTGTATTACCACGGAGATAGTGCTTCGCTGGAGGAGCGCGTCCGCGTGTCGCTCCAATTCTCCAGCGTGAGGATTTGTATCAAGGGTAGTTCTTCCCATGGAGCGGGGAATCTGTCCACCAGTTGGTACTGGCGGAGGTGTAGCTCCCTGTATAATTGGTATCGAGTTAATTTCTCCATGGCTTGGGAGTTGAGCTGCTGTTCTTGCTCGTAGTCCCGAGGGACCTGCAGCTCCAACGTTCGCCGCGATTGTAGCAGGAGGTGGAACTCCCATTGGTACTTCGTCAGAGCCCGGTGGGTTTCTGTCATCAGGGTTTTCATTCCGTGATGCATCTCGTGGGGGCCCCTAGGATGACGGTCGGTGAGTTCTTTCCCTTTCTTTGAACTTGGCGTAGTCCTCGGCGTCGTCATCTGAGAAGTTATTGAGGTGTGGAGTGAGGGTGACGACGGCGGGCTCTGGATGGTGAGGGCTGGTTCCTCTATCAATTCGTCCAGCATTGCTTGGGTGAGGACTGGTTCCTCTATCCACTCGTCCGATGTCTGGATTGGACACCATAAGGACGACATCAGGGGAGGAGTTTCTGGATGGTGATGAAGCATCGTGGTCTTCGTGAAGGAGCATTTGAGCGAAGGAGAGGGAGCTTGAGAGAAAAGTGGGAGAAGATGTGGGAGGATGGTCTGTTTAGAGCTCTCTGGACGCTCTTTTATAGACTTTTCTTTCCGCTTTTCAGGGTGCTCCCGGACGAGGTTTATCAGGGTATTGGTCATGAAACTCCTTCATAGCTTCTTCCACTGTCCCTTTTAGGAGAGTGTAGGGTTCCCAGGTGTTGTCCGCCTCGGGATATCCCATCCATTTGACCAAATATTTGGTTCCCCGTCCTTGTTTCTTTGAGTCCACGATCATTTCTACTTCGTAATGTTCTTCATTGTTTAATACCTCCGGCAATGGTCTGGTGAAGTTTTCTCCGTGTGCCTCGGTTTCCCTATACTTGGTTAGCGTTGCGGCGTGGAACACCGGGTGGATTCTCCATTGTTGGGGAATTTGAAGTTTGTATGCCAGGGTTCCTATTTTTGCCAATATTTTAAAGGGGCCATACCTCCTAGGAGCGAGCTTGAACTTTGGATGGGTTGTCCGGATATGGGTTCCTTCTAGCCATACTTGGTCTCCTTCTTTCCATTGAGGGAGTTTCCTGTGGAGATCCCGGTCCTTGGCGTAATTGCTGGCTATTTGTAGGCTGGCTGCGGCTTCTTCCTGGACTTCTGTGATCACCTTAATGCGTTCAGCTACCGCGGGTACCTTTGTCTCCAGCGCAGTGTCGGCTGAATAAGGGGGATTGAACCCGTATAGCACTTCGAAAGGAGATTTTCCGGTGGCTGAATGTTTCCGCGTGTTGTGCGAGAATTCGGCAAACGGCAAAAGGTCTACCCAGTTATCTTGGTGGTAGTTGCAGAACGTTCTCAGGAACTGTTCAATCTCCTGGTTTACTCGTTCTGTTTCTCCGTCCGTCTGGGGATGATAAGCCGTGCTGAGAGCGGCGGTGATTCCTAGCCGTTTCCAGAGTTCTCGGGTGAACTTGGCCGCAAATTGAGGGCCGCGATCGGATACTATTTTGGTCGGCAACCCATGTCGACTGAAAACGTTGTTCTGGAAAAGCACGGTTGTTTCTTCTGCCGTGATCGTTTTCTTGCATGGGGTGATGACTATGCCTTTGGACAGACCTTGGTCTACTACCACGTTGATTGAGTCGAAACCCTTGCTTTCGGGTAGGTCCGTGACAAAATCTGTCGAGATGAAGCGCCAGGGGACGTTGGTGGTTTCCAAAGGGTGGATAGGAGGGTGCGTCTTGTGTGTCAGATTCTTGGTTGATTGGCATACCGCGCATCCGTCCACGTATTCATGGATGAACTTTGTCATGTTTTGCCACCAATAGTGTCGTTGTACCATTTCCAACGTTTTTGTTCTCCCCGGATGTCCTACCGCGGGTGCGTCGTGATGCGTTTTGACAATAAGTCTTCGTATGGCATCGTCTTTTGGGACGCATATGTGGCCGTTTCGTCTGGTGATTCCGTCTTCGTGTGTCCAGTGTCCCAGTAATCCTCTCATTCCTTGTGGCCCTACTCGCGAAAGTTTGGCGAGGGCTACCCTTGTCAGGGCATCATGTTCCGATTTTGAATGTCGGATGAGGGAGATGAGGTCCGAGGATGCAATTTCTGTGGACTTGATATGTCGTGTCGGGGATGGTTCTACCAGGGTTTCGTCGGATTTGTTAAAAAGGTTGGCCAGGAGCAAAATTTGAGCTTTGTTGTCAGATTCCACCCCCTCACTTAGATCTGGACGCCTGGACAGAGCATCGGAATGATTTGTTGATCCCGCTTTATAACTGAGCGTGAAATCGAATCTGCTCAAATAAAGGCTCCAACGGGCGTGTCGTCGTGAAAGATCTCGCGCCGTTTGGAAGTGTTCCAGATTCTTGTGATCTGTCTAGATCTCGAATGGGTGTCGTGCACCTTCGAGGTAGTGATTCCAATGTTCCAACGCTTTTATGATGGCCAGGAGTTCGCGATCGTGGACATCGTAGTTCCGTTCTGCTGGTGAAAATGACCCGGAAAGGAATGCGACTGGGTGCCAGTCGCCATCTTTTCCTTCTTGCAGGAGGGTGGCTCCGTAAGCAATTAGTGAGGCATCCGTTACTAGTCGATATGGATGCATGGGGTCCGGGTAATTCAGAACGGGTTTGCTGATAAATGCCCTTTTCAATCGTTCGAAGGCTTCCTGGCACTTCGAAGTCCAGCTCCATTTTGCATCCTTTTTGGTGAGGTCGTGCAGAGGTCGTGCGATAAGGGAGAACTTATCGATGAAACGCCTGTAGAAGTTTCCTAGACCTAAAAAGGAGCGAATGTCTCGGACGGTGCGTGGGACTGGCCAATCTTGTATAGCGTCCACTTTTGAGTCTTCCATTGCGACGTGGTCTTTTGAAATTGTGTATCCCAGATATTGGAGTTTTTCTTTATAAAACTCGCACTTTTCTGGCTTCAGATAGAGGTCGTTGTCGCGCAAGATCTGGAAAACTTGGTTCAGGACCTGGATGTGTTCTGCCATGTTTTTGGAAAAGATGAGGATGTCGTCCATATATACGGTTATTTTCCGGGCCGTGATGAGCTCCCTGAAGATCATGTTCATCATGGCTTGGAAGGTGGCTGGTGAGTTGGTAAGGCCGAAGAACATCACCGTGGGTTCGTAAGAGCCCAGCGGAGTGATGAAAGCTGCCTTCCACTCGTCGCCCTTCTTGATTCGTATATTGTTGTATCCCCACCGTACATCCAATTTGCTGAAAATGGTGGCCCCTTTGATCACGTCCAATAGTTCTTGGATTAGTGGAAGGGGGCACACATTTGGGACGGTGTACGAGTTCAGATGGCGATAGTCCTGTACCGGGCGCAGTTTTCCATCTTTCTTTCCTATAAAGAAAAATGGGGCTGCCATTTGTGAGGTGGATCGACGGATGGTCCCCCGAGTGAGGTGTTCCTTGATGAATTTTCCTAATTCGTCATGTTTCTCTGGGCTCAAGGCGTAGATTTTTGGTACTTGAGGTTTGAAGGTCGGTTTCAGATCTATGGCGTGATCCCAATAAGTGTGCTCTGGGAGCTGCTGCGACTTTCGTTCGCTGAAAATGTCCAAAAATTCGTGATGCGCCTTGGGGACTCTTTCCTTTAGATTGGTGACGACGATTTCGTCTTCCAAGTCCTGGTCGAAGCTGGCAAATCCTGACGGTTCGGGAGCCAGTTTCCGAATAACTGGTTCCTCTATGGCCTGTTTTCCTGAGTTTTCATGTGGGAGATCAGGTTCTCCCCTGTTTGGTGAAAGAGATGGTTTGGCTTGAGCCTTTCGTTTCTCTTCTGCGTATTTCCTTATGTCCTTTAGGAGCCATTTCCTTTTGAGGTATGCTCGTAGTTGGACACCAAACGTTCTGCTGTGATTGCGGAGTCCTACATCTTCCGACAATCTTTGGAGATGTTCTAGGCGCTGTTTTTCGCGCTCGTTAATGCGTGGTTTGTGCCGTGGCTCCACGTCTGATAACCGCCTATTGTTTTGCGGTTCTTCCCTTGCCCTAGTGAACCCATGTGGTTGCTGGCATTTCTGGGGGCACCGATCAAAGTGCACTTCACGTCGCCTCCACTCGATGGAGGGATCGTGGTATTTCAACCAATCTGTTCCTAGGATAAGGTCGTCTTTCCCTAGATTGGAGATAAACATCTGGACGCGCTCAGTATGCGTTCATCCCCTGATGTCCCGAATGGTGAGGTTTACATCCAAGGCTGATCGGATGAGACCTGCTTTATTAATGGTGTCATCGACGTTCCGGACGCGAATGGGGTTGTTGAGTGTGTAGGTGGGAAAGCGATGTCTCCTGACCCAAGTTTCATTTACTATAACCCCCTCACATGCCGAGTCGATGGTTGCCTTTGCTCTAGCGTATTGACTCCTGTTTGATACTTTCACGTTCAGGCGTATGGGAGTGATGATACGGTCGTTCATTGCTCCGATACGAATACAAGTGCGGGCATCAAACTCGGGTCGTCCTTGACCTCTCTCCTTCGCTGGCGAGGGAGAGGTCAGGAAAAACGCTCCGCGTGTCCCAAGATCACTTCTCTTGCTTCATCTTCTCCTAGTTCTCCGAGCACTGCTCCGATTCGAGCAGAATGACTGACGCTTCCGTCTCCCCGTCGTCCATTAGGTAACATAGCGCGTTGCCCATGGTTCGTTTGGGGTCGTCCGGATGGGGCAGAGTAAGGATGTTCCATCGAAGGACCAGGTTGTGGTACCCGCTGGTCGTTGCGAGGAAACTCCTCTGTCTCCACTCCTCGATGTATTCCCGCTTGGTTTCCCATAGCGGGTGCGTCGTCTTCTCCTTCCAAATCAACCGCGCGGTTTCCTCTCCCTGTCGTACCCAGGCGTCTCTTCGAGTTTCCTCGAACTGGGCGAACGCCTCTACGTGGTGACCAACAATTAGCACTAGAGTGCCCTGGCTTTCCGCAGTTAGCACAGGAGGTGGTTCGCTTGCCGTCAAATTTCCTCTTTTGACTTTCGGCGTTACGCTTTCTGGTAGCGTCAATGTCCATGTCGACCACCTGGTTGTTCATTCTGCGAGGGGCAGTTGTGGAGTTATAACGGACAGTTGGTTGGGTATGAAAGCGATTCAGATAATCACTGCGAAAGGAGGTGGAGTTGGCGAGGATGGCTTTTTGAGCGGATCTGGTTCTGAGTCGTCCGTCTATTTCGCAGGCTGTGTTAATCCAGTCCTGAATGGTGTCCTTTGGTTGTAGTTCTTTGTCATATATTTTGTCCATGACGCGCGGGTCTAACCCGCGTTGGAAGTAAGGGACTTGCTCCTTGTCGGAGATGTCGGCATCGGCGGCAATGAGAATGAATTGGTTGGAATATTCATCAACCGTCATTTGTCCTTGGGAGAAGGCCATGAGTGCGCTTCGCGCTTTATCGGTCTTGCCTGTCTCCCTAAATTGGAGCTTGAACTTTGTTAAAAAGTCCCTCCAAGTTCCTAGATCAGTGGGAGGGTCCGCTCCTACTGATTTGAGGAGGAAGTTCTCGGCCCAAGCTCCTGCCGTGCCATATCTCATGCATGAGAGCACCAGGGATATTTTGTCTTGATCGGTCTTGTACCGATCGGATTCTGCTGCGAAGAGAAGGAGGCATTGGAGCATGAATTTCTGGGATTCAATGCGGTTGCCTGAGTAGTTGTCTGGGAGTTTGACTTTTCCTCTTCCGGGTTGTACTGTTGCGGAAGGGGGGTCTGTAGAAGTCGAAGCTTGTCCCGACATGTTGGCGAGCGGTTCGTTTCGGGTATTGATCGGTGTTTGGTCTGGTGAGTTGGAGTCTGATTCTGAGGTTGTTTCCTCTTGCTCCGAGTCTTCGGGGATTACCGGCGCCGGTTCCCTGTATTGTGGGGCTAGTTCCCACTGAGCTTCTATTTTGTTCCAAATATCCTCTTCTTCTGTTCCGTCTTCAAGGGTGAAGTAATACCGCCCGTTTCAGTATGAGCAGTTATCGTAATTTGGGGGAGCATATCTGTTGTTGTCTTCGTAGACCCAGAAGTCCCCTTCGCGCCGGATAGGGCGGTTGTTGTGACGGAGTTGGTTATTGATACGTCTAGCGCCGGGTGGATATTCCTGGCCTAGGTCTTGCTCCAGAGTGTACGCAGTAACACTTTCTCGATGGGGGTCTATATCCCCACTGAGTAAGGTTATGAGAGAGAGTGTGGCAGCAAGCTAGTGCGAGCAAGGTAGGGGCAGAAGAGTCTATTCTAGTGTTACGACTGCTTGTCAGTAACCCCAAGAGTAGGAGGTTCTTCCCTAGGTCACTCGTGGAGGATGTGTGGAACGGTGGTCTCGACTGTACGTGTAGCACAGGAGCCAGAAGTGTATTGCGATATAGCAATGAAGACTGTAGTAGGAAGACTACAGTGGATGAGGGTGCTGTGGTAGGAAGACCACAACGAACGAAGAGAATAGACTGAAGAACCTCAGCCTACTCTATGGGCCTTTTATACTACTTTAGGAAGTAGGGCGTGAGAATGCCGTATATGTATCCATAGGTATTCCTCTAAGTCGTTTTTCTCAATAACGACTACTCTTGTGTTTCTCCGTTAGTCTCCTTCCGGCCAGGAACGACTAGGAGCTCAATGCCCGATGTGTGAGTAGTTTGTAAGGCGGCGTTCCATGCCCGCTATGCAATAGGCCCGTGATACTCGACCAACGATAAGGTGATCCGTTGGGAGTGGATGACCAAGGTTACTATCTGTACCTTGTTTGTACGCCTCACCTTGTGAGGCCGCTTGATATTTGTGATGATCGTGTCGGTATAGACCGCCATTAAGGCCCGACAGAACGTGATCATAACACAATCTGCTGTCAAAGCTTGCAGGCAGGTCGGCTACAGAGACGTCACATGGCACTGCGCATATCAAGTGTCTGCGTGACGCACCTGTGTACAGCAGGAAGCCATCGGACCAGCTGAGTGTTCGGGAGTCGCACTTGGTTTTGTGGTAGGTGTTGATTTTTAGAGACTTGGCCGTGGCTCTTGTTTCTCAACAACTAAGCAATTTATTGACACACAGGCTGATGCCGCCTTATGCACTATCAGACTGAAGCACAAGCCTAGTCGGAAGCGATCTTGTAGCTAGAGTCAAGAGAAAGCAGAGGAGATCGAACACCGGTGATACGCTAGAGGTGGCCCTAAGTGCCGAGCACAACACCAAAACAACCTCTAATGCAGGGGGTGCTGGAGCTAGTATCTAATACACAAGGAATTGTTAGTGATGACTTTAGAAATCGATGGCGTACTGAGAAGCAACGGGGAGTATGAGATTATAGCGCCCGAACGGTTTCGGGACTGCGCCGAACACCGACCGAACGTTCGGTCGGTCGAGTCGGGGATTCGGTCGGTAACGAGAAGGTAGTGTCGCGACCGACAACTATGTGCTTCAAGAGCCACACGGGACTCTGACAATATACGAGGGAGGATGGGGGGTACGAGCGAAGAGACGAGTACGAACGCGAATGAGGCCGAACGACGAGGATGACAAGTTTTCGGGAGTCGATGAAGACGATTTCGATGGTTGAGACGAGTGCGAATGAGCTCTGAACTGTGGGGTGCGAAAGCTGCTTTATTCCAGAGTTGTATGTAGGTTTTTATAGTAAACAGCGCCCCTAAGTAAAATATCGAACCTGAAATGAGAGTAGATGTCGAATGGGCGCCAAGCCTTAGCGATCAGAGAAGATAAGAAGGTAGGTGAGATGTCCATATGGGTTCCGAAGGTGATAAGGTAAAAGGTAATCAGTGATGTCGCAATCCCGAACGTTCGGGATCCGTCGCCCGAGTGTAGGTAGCAGGAACAGGCGTTGGAGAACCAATGAAAAATAAAGGAGAAGTATCGTACGACCAGGGTGGCCAAGCAATGGTGCAAGATCGCGTTTGACCGACCACGCGGAAGTCGGGAAGATAAGCGATAAGGACCGACCGACTCACGGAGGACATCGGCCGATACGGAATACTGGCCCCGATCTCGTACACACCTATCGTAACACTCCTGTGCGGTCATGGTAAGTACGTGAAGTATGGGCGAACTGACCCAAGTGCTGCCGAATCGTCCTTCAGTGGCTTGTCGTCAGTCGGGTGGGGACCGACCGTGTTCGGTAATAGTCGGCGTCTTCGGTACTTGTCTAGCGCTGTTCGGTATCTCCCCAAAGCTTCCCAAATACCTCCCTCGGACCCTAGCGCGGGTGCATGCTCATCACCGCATGACACCAGGTAATTCAGAATGGGTTGGCTAATAATAAAGGCTTTCTTTAACCGTTTGAAAGCTTCTTGACACTTTGGGGTCCAATTCCTTTTTTCATCCTTTTTTGTAAGGTCGTGTAGGGGAAGCGCAATGGGTGAGAATTTGTTGATGAAGCGCCTGTAGAAGTTCCCTAGACCTAAGAAAGAGCAAATGTCTCGGACCGTATGGGGGATTGGCCAGTCTCTTATTGCATCCACTTTAGAGTCTTCCATGGTGACGTAATCTTTTGAGATTGTGCACCCTAGATAATGGGGTTTTTCCTTGTAGAACTCACATTTTTCTGGTTTCAAGTAAAGGTTGTTGTCACATAAGATCTAGAAAACTTGGTTTAGGATGTCGATGTGCTCCACCATGGATTTTGAAAAAATGAGGATGTCATCCATATACACTGTTATCTTCCAAGCCGTGATGAGTTCCAAAAAGATCATGTTCATCATGGCTTGGAAAGTGGCTGGCGAGTTGGTCAGGCCAAAGAACATCACTGTTGGTTTGTAAGATCCCAATGGAGTGATGAAAGCAGCTTTCCACTCATCTTCCTCTTTGATGCGTATGTTGTTGTATCCCTATCGCACATCCAGTTTGCTGAAGATGGTGGCCCCTTTTATCACATCCAATAGTTCTTGAATTAGTGGAAGGGGGCAAACATTCGAGATGGTGTGTAAGTTTAGATGGTGGTAGTCCTGTACCGGGTGCAATGTCCCATTTTTCTTTCCTATGAAGAAAAACGGGGCTGCAGTCTGCAAAGTGGATCGATGGATGGTTCCCCTGGCAAGATGTTCCTTGATGAATTTTCCCAATTCGTCGTGTTTCTTGGGGCTTAAGGCGTAGATTTTGGGTACTTGAGGTTTGAACGTAGGTTTTAAGTCAATGGCATGGTCCCAGTAAGTATGCTTGGGGAGTTGCTGTCATCTTCGTTCACTGAAAATATCCAAGTATTCATGATGTGCCTTGGAAACCCTTTCCTTTAAGTTGGTGACAACAATTTTGTCTTCCAAATCTTGGTCAAAGCTGGCAAATCCCGATGGTTCAGGAGCTAGTTTCCAAATAACTGGTTTCTTTTTATCCCAGATTCCTGAGGGTTTATCTGGGAGGTCAGGTTCTCCCTCATTTGGTGGAAGAGACAGGCCGGGGTCTTCCTGGGCACATTGTTTCTCTTCTGCGTATTTCTTTATATCCTGCAAGAGCCATTTATATTTGAGGTAGGCTTGCAATTGGACACCAAACATCCCGCTATGATCGCAGAGTCCAACATCCTCCGATAGCCTTTAGAGGTGTTCCAGGCCCTGTTTCTCGTGCTTGTTAATTCATGGTTTATGCCGTGGCTCCATGTTTGATAGCCAACCATAACTTGGTGGCTCTTCCCTTGCCCTAGTGAACCCGTGTGGTTGCTGGCATTTTTGGGGACACCAATCAAAGTGTACTTCGCGTCGCCTCTATTCGATGGAGGGATCGTGGTATTTTAACCAATCTGTTCCTAGGATGAGGTCATCTTTCTCTAGGTTGGAAATGAACATTTGAACATATTCCGTATGTGTTCATCCATGAATGTCCCAAATTTTGAGATTCACATCCAGTGCCGACTAGATGAGACCTGCTTTGTTTATCGTGTCATCAATATTGTGTATGCAAATTGGGTGGTTGAGTGAGTACATGGGGAAGCGATGTTTCTTGACCCATGTTTCATTCACTATGACCCCTTTACATGCTGAATTGATGGTTGCTTTTGCTCCAGTGTTTTGGATCCGATTTAATATTGTCATGTTCAAGTGGATGGGAGTAATGATGCAATCGTTCATTGCTCCAATATGAATACACTTGTCTGCATCAAACTTGGGCCTCGTCTGACCTCTCTCCTTCTCTGGTGAGGGAGAGGTCAGGAAAAACACTCTGCATATCCCAAGACTATTTCTCTTGCTTTGTCCTCCCCTAATTCTCCGAGCACTGCTCCGATTTGAGCAGTATAACTAACATTTCTGTCTTCTTGTCGTCTGTCAGGCAACATGATGTGTCACTGATTGTTCACTGAGGATCGTCCGGATGATGTAGGGTACGGACGTTCCATCGAAGGACCAGGTTGTGGTACTTGCTAGTCATTGCAATGAGCATCCTTTGTCTCCACTCCTCAATATACTCCAGCTTGGTTTTCCATAGCGGGTGTGTTGTCTTCTCCTTCCAAATCAACCGTGCAGTTTCTTCTCCCTGTTTTACCCATGTATCTCTTCAAGTTTCCTCAAACTAGTGGAATGCCTCTGCGTGGTGACCAGCAGTTAGTACTGGAGTGCCCTTGTCATCCACAGTTAGAACATGTAGTTTGCTTGCCATCAAACTTTCTCTTCTGGCTTTCTGCATTTTGCTTCCTTGTAGTGTCAATGTCTATGTCGACTACTTGGTTGTTCATCTTTTGAGAAGTGTTTGTGGAGTTATAGCAAATGGCGGGTTGGGTGTGAAAGCAGTTCAGGAAATAGCTTCAAAAGGAGGTGGAGTTTGCAAGAATGGCCTTTTGAGCAGCTCTGGCTCTGAGTCGCCCATCTATTTTGCAGGCTGTATTAATCCGATCCTGGATGTTGTCCTTAGGTTGGACTTCCTTGTCATAGATTTTGTCCATGACACGTGGGTCTAACCCACGTTAGAAGTATGGGACTTGCTCCTTGTTGGAGATGTCAGCATTGGTGGCAATGAGGATAAATTGGTTGGAGTATTCATCAACTGTCATTCTTTCTTGGGGGAAGGCCATGAGAGCACTTCGCGCTTTGTCGGTCTTGCCCATCTCCCTAAATTGTAGTTTGAACTTTGCTAGAAAGTCCATCCAGGTGCCTAGGTCAGTGGGAGGGTCCGTTCCCACTGACTTGAGAAGAAAGTTTTCTGCCCAGGCTCCTGTCATACCGTTGTTACGCTAGAGGTGGCTCTAAGTGCTGAGCATAACACTAAAACAACCTCTAAAGCAGTGGTGCTGGAGCTAGTATCTAATATACAAGGAATTGTTAGTGATGACTTTAGAAATTGAAGGCGTACTGAGAAGCAACGGGGAGTGTGAGATTATAGCACCTGAACGGTTTCGGGACTGCACCGAACACCGAACACCGACCGAACATTCAGTCGGTCGTGTCAGGGATTCGGTCGGTAACGAGAAGGTAGTGTCGCGACCGACAACTACGTGCTTCAAGAGCCACACGGGACTCTGACAATATACGAGGGGGGGTGGGGGTACGAGCGAAGAGACGAGTACGAACGCAAATGAGGCCAAATGCCAAGGATGACAAGTTTTCAGAAGTCAACAAAGACAATTTCGATGGTTAAGACAAGTGCGGATGAGCTCTGAACTGTGGGGTGCAAAAGCTGGTTTATTCTAGAGTTGTATGTAGGTTTTTATAGTAAACAGAGCCCCTAAGTAAAATATTAAACAAGAAATGAGAGTAGATGTCGAATGGGCACCAAGCCTTAGCGATCAGAGAAGATAAGAAGGTAAGTGAGATGTCCATATGGGTTCCGAAGGTGACAAGGTAAAAGTTAATCAGCGATGGCGAAATCCCAAACGTTCGAGATCCGTCACCCAAGCGTAGGTAGCCGGAACAGGCGTTGGAGAACCAATGAAAATAAGGAAGAGGTATTGTACAACCAGGGTGGCCAAGTAATGATGCAAGATCGCGTTTGACCGACCATGTGGAAGTCGGGAAGATAAGCAATAAGGACCGACCGACTCATGGAGCACATCGGCCGACATGGAAGACTGGCTCCAATCTTGTGAACACCTATCATAACACTCCTGTGTGGTCATGGTAAGTACGTGAAGTGTGGGCGAACTGACCCAAGTGCTGCCAAACGTCCTTTGGAGGGTTGCGGTCGGTCGGGTGGGGACCGACCATGTTTGGTGCAAGTCGGCATCTTCGGTACTTGTCTAACGCTGTTCAGTATCTCCCCAAAGCTTCCTGAATACCTCCCTCGGACCCTAGCACAGGTATATGCTCATCACCGTATCTTATATATGAGAGCACCAGGGATATTTTGTCCTGATCAGTCTTATACCGGTCAGACTCTGCTGCGAAAAGAAGAAGGCATTGGAGCATGAATTTCTGGGATTCAATGTGGTTGCCTGTATAGTTGTCTGGGAGTTTGACCTTTCCTCTTCTGGGTTGTACTACTGTGGGAGGGGTATTTGTAGAAGTTGAAGCTTGTCCCGACATATTGGCAAGCGGTTTGTTTTGGGTGTTGATCGGTGTTTGTTCTGGTGATGAGTCGGAGTTTGAAATAAAGGGTGTTTCCTCTTGCTCCGAGTCTTCGGGAATTACCGGTGCCAGATCCCTGTATTGGGGTGCTGGTTCCCAATGGTCCCCTGTTTTGTTCCAAAGGTTCTTTTCCTTGGTTCCATTGTCAAATGTGAAATAGTAACACCTGTTTTAGTATGAGCAGTTATTGTAATTTGGTGGGGCAATAGTATTGGTGTCTTTGTAGACCCAATGAATCCCTTTGCACCAGATAGGGTGATTGTTGTGATGGAGTTGATTGTTTATACGTCTAGTGCCGAAAGGGTAATCTCGGCCTAGGTCCTGCTCCAAAGTGTATGCAGTAACACTTCCTTAATGAGAGTCTATGTCCCCACTAAGTAAGGTTATGAGAGAGGGTGTGGCAGCAAGCTAGTGCAAGCAAGGTAGGGGCAGAAGAGTCTATTCTAGTATTACAAACTGCTCGTTTGGTACCCTCAAGAGTAAGAGGTTCTTCCTTAGGTCACTTGCAGAAGAAGGGTAGAATGATGGTCTCAACTGTACATGTAGCACAGGAGCCAGAGATGTATTGCAACTTCTTGTATTTGAGAATACAAGAGGCAGTGGTGCACATTGTAGGAAGATAGTGCAATAACAAAGGAGAATAGACTGAGGTCCACCAGCCTACTCTATGGGCCTTCTATACTACTTTAGGAAACAGGGCATAAGAATACCAAATATGTATCCATAGGTATTCTCCTAAGTCGTCTCTCTCAGAACGACTACTCTTGTGCTTCTCCATTCGTCTCCTTCTGGCCAGGAAAGACTAGGAGTTCTATGCCCTGCGTGTGAGTAGTTTGTAAGGCAGCACACCATGCCTGCTGCAATAAAGGCCCGTGATACTCGACCAATGATGGATGATCTGTTGGGAGTGGATGACCAAGGTTATTATCTGTACCTTGATGTACACCTCGATCCGTGAGGCTGCCTAGTATTTGTGATGATCGTATCAGTATAGACCGCTATTAAGGCCCAATAAGTTGTGATCATAACAAGCAGTAGGGGCTCTCCACAGACTGTCACGGCCAATCGCTGATCAGTTCGGTATGCTTTACATGGTTGGCACATTTGGTCAGCTTCGGTGTCCCAAATTGGAGGCAGCCAAACACTTTGTTGACTCAGAACAGATCTCTCTTTCTACCTCTTATTGTTCTTATGCCTTCTCTTAACCTATCCTTCATTATCTTTAGAGCTTCCAAGGTTCTAAATGGTTTACCCATGTGGCATGTGGTTCTTATCTCCAGATCCATGTGGACTCACCTTGGCAATCTCTCCACTTATTTAGACTTTAGAGTTATTGCTTCTTATCTTATAGTATTTGCAATATCACTCCTTTATCTTCTTTACCTTTGACAGCTCTTGGCATGCATTTCCAATTGCTCTATGCCTCTGCCAATCTCCCTAACTTGTATCTGTTTGGACTTACTATAAAAGAGCACCTATTGCCTTGCAATACATTAGCTTTGGTTTCCCCCTCATTCTAATTTTATTTGTGCACTTGTGTCTATAAGATTTTGAGCTATTGCCTTCCAACCCTCGTTCACATTTTGCCCCTTTGTTTGTGTTGTTGCATTCAATTGCAGCCCTCTATCAGAGCCCTTGTCATCTTGCTTTCTCTCTCTCTCATCTAGTTTGTCATCCTCTACCATTGTCCAGGGTGGCCTTGCACCCATTCCCTCCCCTTTGCATCCTGATTAAATCCCAATCAAATACCAACCAACTGACCTACCAACCAACCAACCAACCAACCAAACAACTGACTGACCAACTGACTGAATATTTCAATTTTGCAGTTGTTTGTTTGCTACACTCCAAACACTTTCAGTATGCTCCTTTGTTAGTTGTTGCACAGCTTATAGTTCCTTGCACACGAGAACCAGCTCCTGCCTATCTGCACTTGTAGGGGTGTTTCTTGGGTGTGTTTCACACTCAGAGGCATCACTAGCATATCAGTGATTTGCGAGGCTTTCTGTCAACAAGACATATAAATGAAGAAGTTCATATGTGTAATGTCAAGGCCCTGTGCGGTACAGCGGCTTGTCACCATTGTCACCATTGTCACCATCCCCACCGTCGTCGTCACCATCCCCACCATCCTCGTCACTGTTGTCACTATCCTCGTCATCGTCATACACGGTGGCGGCTGCTGCGCAAGCTGCCCACCCAGGCATACAACATGCCGGTGCACTCCGCCCCAAGCTGAGGTTGTGTTGCTGGCATCCTACACACGCATCCGCATTTGAGCTTGCGGTGCCTCTCCATCTCATGCGATGATCCTGTGCTGGCTGAGTCTCAAGGTCCACATAGGACCAAAGTACCAGCTGACTGAAGTGCTGGCTGTCCCCTGATCAATCCTGATTGTTTGTCTCTCTGTCCGTGTCTACGTTCACAAACATCGCCTTTCCCCGAAACACCGCAATTGCCTCCGTTCTGTCCCGCTCAGCTGCGCCCAAGACCTTCCCCATGGCACGTACCAGACGCGCGGATGGGATCTCAGCGTATGGCAAGTCGGCCAGAGGGGACTGGAGAGAGTACAAGCGGTGCAAGTCTACTGTGTTATGCGATGTGGTGTGGTGGTTTGGGGCACCTGGCTCCCCCTGCCCCACCCTTGATCTGTGGCACGCTCATCGATGGCTGCTGTTCCGGGGGCTAGGAGCCCTCATTGCTTTCTGCCAGCCCATGTTTCTCCCAGCATGCGACATCGAACACCGATTCTTGAATGCCTCGGTTGCCAGATCCTAGATGCCGCACCCACTCTCTGCATATCAAAACCCGGTGCCGCGGCAGCCATTGCCAAAGAGCGCCTGCGCGACCTTGCGCCTAGCCGCTTTTGGCGATGTGCCTGCCTCTGTGGAGGCGCACGTCCAGGGCTGTGAGGAACTCCGTCCAACACACGGCGCATCTCCTTCTCCCTTCGGTACTTGAGCTCACGGTATGTGACCTTGGCTTTGGCTTTGCATGGATGGTGTTTTGTGCGTGCATAGTTTGTGCCAGACGACCATGCCGCCAAATATCTCAGGGCTTGGTATTTTTCTATGCAAGTCCCACTGTCTTGGACGTCGATGCCATCCACGATGCGGAGCGTCGCGATCTCCCAAACAGAATGCAGGCGGTCTCTTTGGTATTCGATGTGCTCCGCGGGATGCTCACCTGCGCAAGACCCACCTGCCACCACAAATCACATCACTCCCACCCATGGCTGGCCGTGTGCCATTCGTCGGCCTTCCTTTCTCTTGACGGAACATGCTCCGGTTAGCCCGTTGACACGCCGGCACACACATTTGGCTCCCCTCTCCTATCGACGTGTCTCGTCAAATTGTCGCCTGTTCTTTTCATCCGGACTGGCGTTGTCTTGGGGTTTGTGCGAGTGCGTGCAGCAGCGGCATTGCACTGCCCACTCTGTGCCGCCAAGGCCCATCCGCGGGCCACACAGCCACTGCGCGGCGCCCGCCTCCTATCCTTCCAGGCCAGGGTCTGGATGGTGCACATAGGTGTGGAGGACCAGGTGCAGACCCGGATGCTCGGCGGACCACGGGGTTTGGGGCACGGGGTGGGGCGCCGCTGCGGGACGGGCTCGACAGATGCGCGTTGGGTGTGTCTGGCGCATCTGCGGATTGGCCAGATGATGCTAGCCGGTTTGGCACGGGTGCGAGCACGCATCCTTTGTATCGCCTTGAGCCGCGCGCGCCCTTGCTGTGCCTGCCATGCGATCTTCGGCATGTGCCAACTGGTTGGACATGAAGCTGTTCTTCTAGACGAGTACGTGATGGGTCGGGTTGGGGTTCCGCTTCCTCTTTGCGTTCCCTCCATTCTCTGACGGTGATTTTGACAACACGGTCCGGCATCGGATGAGTAGTATGGTGAACCATGATTTATTGGCGGTCGGGGATAATTTTCGAATTGAATAGGAGGAATTTGGTCTCAAAGGAGTGGTCCAGTGAACGATAGCAAGGACGATGAACGTGCAATTCGGCGTAGGCACGAAGCGGGGAATAGTGCAACACCCAGCTCAGCTCGAAGGCACGGATAGAATGGGGTCGCTTTGCCCTGCGATATATCTCGAGGATGCCCGACTGATGCCCGGAGCCACATCCTTCTTGAACCCGTACCACCACCTTCCTCTTCGGGACACCGCCTACTTGCCTCCATCCAAATGTCCTCGAGCTCATCCACCCCTCATCCTTCCTCATCACGGGTTCCCTTCTACTCTACTACCATCTGGTGACCACTTTGCATCATCTACGGGGTAGGCTCATCAATCGACGCTCCCAATCTTGTGAGATGTCCCCTCTTTTCTGATGGGCAGGATTGTGGCTGTATCTCCACTCAGAAACCCTGCCCGACCCTTTCACACTCCTTTGGTTTCATGAGTGGTGAGTGCACGGGCGGTGATGGTGCCCCGAACGATCGTGCTCCCTTTTCTGCCTTCGGGCCTCAAACAAGGTGTCCTTGGATGCCTTTTTGCCTTTGGGCATCAAACATGGTATCATTTGATACCTTTCATTCTACCTGTGAGTCTTCAGACTTCCTCATCCGAAGGTAATGTCATGTGCTGTCGTCCACATCATGCAGAACCAACGCCCCCCCTGGGGTGTACTGCGATCGTAGTAATAAAGTGCTAGGGAGATACCGCCTTGGCATCATAAGCTCTCTACCATCTGTGGGGCTTGTGTGCCCTCGGGGGTCTGCGTGTGGGAGCGGGTTGCGGTAGTGCGCGGCAGAGCCGCACGAATCCTCTCACTGAGGGGACCCACCCAGGCCTTAAATGAGCCATTCATGGCCTAGATTACTAAACCAATCGGCCTTATGCCCCTTACTTACTCACTGCCACTGGCTTGCACTAGGACCCCTGAAAATAGGTGGGGAGGGCACAGGCGAAATTTTGTAAAATGCCCAAAAAAGTTTGGACAAAATTCCCAAATTTTGCCAAAAAAGTTTGGATTTGCCTAAGGTTTTGGGTCTGTTTTCCCCAATGTGGCCGGATGCGAGAATCAGGCATTCTGAGGGCTCAAAATCGGTCAGATGCTAAGATCAGGCCTTCAGAACCCAAATTTTCGCTCAGATTGCTAGAATCAGGCCTTTTGAGGCCAGTATTTTGTTAGAATATACATGAAAAAGACCTATTGAAACTGTAACATGCAAGTACAATGTGAGATACCATTTACAAACCATCCTGCAAGCCTTTGTCATCGGCTGCATTGTCTTGATCTTGCGCCGAGTGCTTTCCTCTGTGTCTCAGCTTCTGCAAATCCTGCACAGCAATACCAAGACTCCGGGAATGCTTGTTCAGATTGTTATAAGTGGTGAGAGCGATGTTGTCAAGCTGGAGGTGGCAGTTGTTGGAGTCCGGGACTGAGCTGCCTGGCATTAAACACAAAAATGAGTCTGGCATAAGATGCTTATATGTAAAGGCCTGGAGTAAAGCCAATCGTGTGTGAACTGCCTGGAAGGTTGCTGAATAGGATTGCTCATAAAGCTGCATGGATAGATATGAGATGGCACCAATATTGGTGGAGCTTTGCTGCCATCCATGGGCCCCCAATTTGCCTCTGCCCTGTGAATAAATTGAGATCACTGGTAAAATTGAGAATAGTCAGTACTAGATTCAATGATGATGATCAATACCGCACAACCTTTTCCCACATACAAGTGCTCGTCACTAATGACGAAGCCATAAACTCTAGCGACCAAAACCCGATGGCACGGTTGCTGTCCAGAAGGAGTGCCGACCGACGCATTGATTAAAATGCTTGCAATAGGTGGCAGAACATGCTTAGAGAACACAGGCTTCCGGTATTGATGAATCTGAAAGAGAGTACTGCTGTCAGCAAGGTATTAAATCTCATAGGTCACTAAATATACCGCTGCTGCTCGTTGGCTGGCCGCAAGCTCAGCATTTGCAGAATTACCTGTCAACTCACCGACTGCTTGAGCACTTCAGCCTCTGGGTGCAGAACCCTTCCATCTCTCCTTCCGCTCGAGGCCTGTGCCAATCCCCTTGTCCTGCTACTAATGAAGCATGGCATTCATCTCATGGACAATCTGTTGGCGAACACCACTAGTGTCACAAATGGCTGTTCAAGACGAGAGGATCCTAGGCCACAAACAATACAAGAAGATTTGAGAGGATAATCGGGACTTGATCAGACTAGTGTCTTAGAATCAGAGAAGACTGTGTGAACAGCAGTTCCTAGATTGGACAGAAGTGGATAGCCTAAGGCCTCCATACTGCGCCGCAGTATCTATAAATATGTACAAGCAGGAGCACGGACCAAGTATCAATAGAACAGGAACGCGAGGTGTAGTTGGGAGAAATGTCCTATGAGTCCTTATCAAGATGGTGAGAAAGTAAGTAAATGTAAGCCAGACGTTTCGTAACATCACCCCCCCCTCTAGGCCGTCAATGCCAGAGATGGTAAGTAAAAGTCCAAGAAAAACATAGGCAATGCACGGAGTTCAAACTATGAAGCGCATGAGATAAAATAATACTTAGAGCACAGATTCTCACTGCTCACTGTCGAGTCATGACGCAATAACCCTTGAGTACGGACATCATGATACCCTACCTCGTTACCAACCATGCAGGGACTGCGTCCTGGAACCGAGTCCCTCATCTCATCATGGCAGTGGATACTGGCCCAACGGAGTCAAACCGTCGTTTGCCCCGGCAGTTTTACGTCATACCAGATGAGGGTATCTCGTTCTTCAAACACTGCGGGGACGAAGGACGACGGGTCAGGTATTGGATTCACTGGAGTCGTATTCGATGAAGGGGAGGGGAGGTCAAGTTTGAGTAGAGGAGCAGATTACGCCCAGTCGCGCGGGTATGACATAATAGCGGGGTGAAACCTGCATGAATCTGTAGACATCCCGTCCTCTACCGAGTTCCGTGGGATAAGTCCCCGGCATTGGGCGAAGCGGTGCTCCATTTGAGGCCGAAGACGAGGTACGAGATACCACAGCCGTGGTAGGCATGTGATATTCAGTGACGGGGGTGATATCATCAGCGGGATGAAAGGAGTCTTGGAGGTGCACTGTTTGATTCAAGCCCATAAGCCTCCTCTTGCCTGCATTAATGCGGGCAATAAGGGTTCCTTCTCTGATCTGTAGAGCTCGCTGTGCGTGTTAAACAAAACTCCTTTCTTCCTCCAAGATTTCCAAGGCCCTTTGCACTTCCGGTTGCGTAGGTCCCGACACAAATTCAGTGTTCGGCGTGCCCTCGATGAGCCCCATCATGTAGGCTATGGGGGTTGTTAGATATGTTTCTCTGTTGGGGAATATAATTCCCTCATTGGCTTCATGAACGAGGGGGGGAGGGGACGGCAAACGAGAGGGGGAGATTGTCGGAGGAGTTGTAAGGTCAATGGTTGGGGGGGGAAGGGGTTTGGAGAGCTCGTGCTACAGCTGCTTCTTCTGCTGCGTTTGTGTCAACTAAGGCCTGATATCTTCTACGTTCTGCTTCTACCCTGGCATTATATTCCAGCATACTTCCTATACCTCCAATCCTTGCAAATTCGTTGCTGTCGGAGGACGCAGTCGACTCGCCGGAGGGAGAAGATGGGGTTGATCCGTCGACGAGGGTGTTTTCAGCAGAGGAGAGGTAGAGAGACTCGTTCGAAGACATGTTTGTTAGAGGAGTGAAGAAATGCTTGAAGGGATGAGGAGATTGCGATGATTGAGTTTGGGTTTTTATACGTTTTGGGTTTTGTTTGTTCGATGTTTGCGAGAGCTGTTTGTAGTAGTAAGTCATGATGTCTCGCATCATATGCTTCCAAAATTTCTTTGGCATTCCCTAGGTTTGCCCTTGTGATCCATTCGTCTGCGGAGTTTGGATATCCTTTCCAGTGTACCAGGTATTGGTATCCCTGTCCATGTTTCTGTTTGTCAAGGATCTCTTTGACTTCATACTCCTCCTGTCCATCTACGAGGTCAGGTGGTGGTTGTTCAAAGTTGGGGCCGTGTGCGGTTGTTTCTTGATAAGGTATGATTAATGAGGCGTGGAACACGGGGTGTATTTTTCATGTTGGTGGGAGCTTTAATTTGTACATTACCGATCCTAGCCTGTTTTCTATTTTGAATAGTCCATGCAGTTTAGGGGCTAGCTTGTCCTTCGGGTGCGTGGTGTGTATATTTTTTCCTGATAGCCAAACCTTCTGTCCTGCTTCTAACTTGACTTCGTTTTTGGCTGTTTTCCATTTTATCAGTTCTGTCGCAACTTCCAAGCTGGCTTTTGTCTCTTATCGTAACTGTTCCAACCTTTCCAATCTTTATTCTACGCCAGGGATGTCAGACCTTGGCGTGATCTGGGGTGCAAAGATTGGGTTGTAGCCATACATGAGTTCAAATGGCGATTGGTGTGTTGCTGAATGTTCTCGAATATTGTGTGCGAACTCTGCATATGGCAGTAGTTTGGGCCAATTTGTTTGCTCGTAATTGCAGAATGCTTGTAGGTATTGTTCCAATTCCTGGTTTACTCTTTCCATTTCTCCATCTGTTTCCAGATAATAAGCGGTTGATAGCGCTGTTGTTATCCCTAACTTTTTCCATAGTTCCTTTGTGAATCTAGCCACAAATTGTGGACCTCTATCAGACACGATCTTCCTTGGAAGCCTGTATTGTTTCCAGATGTTTTTCATATAGAGGTTAGCAGTTCCTTCGGCGTCTATGGTTTTATCACATGGGGTATAAACAATGCCCTTGGTGCTTCTGTCTACGGTTACGTAAATGGCGTTATATGGTCCTGCTTGGGGAAGATCCGTGATGAAGTCCATTGTGACTGTTTGCCAGGGTCCTTCTGGTATTTCATTTGGAATAAGCGGGGCACGTGTGGGATGCGTGATGTTTTTGGTATATTGACATGTTGCGCATCCTGTTACGTATTCCTTTATGAATGTGGACATTCCTGGCCACCAGAAATTGTCTGATACTAGGACATAGGTTTTCCATCTTCCTGGGTGTCCAGTTGCTGGTGAATCATGGTACATTTTTGTGATTTGTCTCTTAAGTTCATCATCTGGCGGAACATATATTTTTCCTCTATGCCAGATGAGGTTGTCTTCATAATTCCACTCTTGTAAGCCTTTTGAGAGTGCTCTAGGTCCTAATGCTTTGATAAGCTCCATTGCTTCCGTTACTTCTTTATCTTTAGCCGTGACTTCTTTTAGCTTTTGTCTTAGCTGGCTGTCAAGCATTTCAACTGTTCCTCGTCCTGTTGCACTTTTAACGAATATTTGGGGTTGTAGTATCACCCGATCTTTGTTGTCAGATTTTACCCCCTCTTTTAGGTCTAGACGCCTGGACAGAGCATCGGGTTGGTGGGTAACGCCGGGTTTGTGTATGAGGGTGAAGTTGAAGCGAGAGAGGAAGAGTGACCAACGTGCTTGGCGATGGGAAAGAGTTCTTGCGGTAGAGAAGTACAGGAGGTTCTTGTGATCGGACCAAATCTCAAACGGGTGTCATGCGCCCTTGAGGTACACGCGCCAGTGATTGAGGGCGTTGATGAGCATGCACCCGCGCTAGGGTCCGAGGGAGGTATTCGGGAAGCTTTGGGGAGATACCAAACAAGCGCTAGACAAGTACCGAAGACGCCGACTATTACCGAACACGGTCGGTCCCTACCCGACCGACGACAAGCCACCGAAGGACGTTCGGCAGCACTTGGGTCAGTTCGCCCACACTTCACGTACTTACCATGACCGCATAGGAGTGTTACGATAGATGTTTACGAGATCGGAGCCAGTATTCCGTATCGGCCGATGTCCTCCGTGAGTCGGTCGGTCCTTATCGCTTATCTTCCTGACTTCCGCATGGTCGGTCAAACGCGATCTTGCACCATTGCTTGGCCACCCTGGTCGTACGATACCTCTTCTTTATTTTTCATTGGCTCTCCAACGCCTGTTCCTGCTACCTACGCTCGGGCGACGGATCCCGAACGTTCGGGATTGCGACATCACTGATTACCTTTTACCCTATCACCTTCGGAACCCATATGGACATCTCACCTACCTTCTTATCTTCTCTGATCGCTGGGGCTTGGCGCCCATTCGACATCTACTCTCATTTCTTGTTTAATATTTTACTTAGGGGCTCTGTTTACTATAAAAACCTACATACAACTCTGGAATAAACCAGCTTTCGCACCCCACAGTTCAGAGCTCATTCGCACTCGTTTCAACCATCGAAATCGTCTTCATCGACTCCCGAAAACTTGTCATCCTCGTCGTTCGGCCTCATTCGCGTTCGTACTCGTCTCTTCGCTCGTACCCCCCATCCTCCCTCGTATATTGTCAGAGTCCCGTGTGGCTCTTGAAGCACGTAGTTGTCGGTCGCGACACTACCTTCTCGTTACCGACCGAATCCCCGACTCGACCGACCGAACGTTCGGTCGGTGTTCGGCGCAGTCCCGAAACCGTTCGGGCGCTATAATCTCATACTCCCCGTTGTTTCTCAGTACGCCATCGATTTCTAAAGTCATCACTAACAATTCCTTGTGTATTAGATACTAGCTCCAGCACCCCCTGCATTAGAGGTTGTTTTGGTGTTGTGCTCGGCACTTAGAGCCACCTCTAGCGTATCATTTTGGAGCCCACCGTGAGGGGTTAGTATTCAAAATTACCTCAAGGAATCTACGTCGCTCGTCCCGACCAACAGCGGAGCGCGAAGAACGACAAACAGTTATCGATAGCTTCAATACTCAGGAAACATCTGCCGACCGAAGTTTGTTCGGAGACGCCGATATAGTCCCAGAACATTTATCCCACCATCACTACCTTGATCTCGAATCCTCGCCATCGCTCTCACCACCACCCGACTCCACTTTCTTCTTAACCCCACCTTCGTCGCCGAACCGATCGCTACTCCCGCCGATTTCCCCCATCCTCGACCTTGCACTCTTAGAACAATCACCCCCGTCTCCTATCCCATCTCTCCACGACTCCATCTCTCCGTTAATCCCACGCAGCCCCGTCTTCTGGACGCCGACCATCCGACCGACTTCACTAGAACGCTCCTTCGAACCAGCGACTCCATCCCCGATCACCTTAGAAAACAATACCTTCTCCCCCACCTTTGACTTTCTCACTATGGCGACCCCATCCATGCCCGCTCGTGGAGATCGAACGGCCCCGACCTTTGACCCCCATCAACCCCGCGAATTGAGACGATATTTCTCCGATCTGGACTTCCACTTTGGTCGGTCTGCGGTAGGGGACGAACAAGAAAGAAAGAAACACGCTTGCCGATTCCTAGATGTCGACACCTGTGAGCTTTGGGAATCGCTCACCACTTTCACCGACGCCACGAAGACCTTCAAGGACTTCTGCGAAGAGGTCTACAGGCTGTACCCCGGATCGGAGGAAGAACGCAAATGGTCGGTATCGGATATGGACAAACTAGTCGGCGAAACGAGCAGGGTCGGCATCTTGTCCCTCAGCGAGCTCGGCGACTATCATCGGCGATTCCTGGTGATCACGGTATTTCTCCTCAGCAAGGCACGAATCTCAGTCGCCGAACAAGGACGCGCCTTCGCTAGAGGATTCCAACCGGAGCTATGGGCAAGGATCTCTCAACGTCTACAACTCAAGTTCCCCGATCATTTCCCAGACGACCCATACAACCTCCAGGACATCCACGACGCGGCCCGATTCGTCTTGCACGGCACCACGGCTGCCTACAGCGCTACCCCTACCGACATCTCTCGAGCAGCCCCCGCCGCGCCGCCCACCAACGCGATCAAGGCCGAAGACCTGGCGACCATGTTCGAACGGCTCACCGACACCTTTGTCAAGGCCATCACAGCTCAGGGGACGTCCAGGCCAGCCGATCGACCATCCCGACAGCCAGGACAAGGCGGCGACAACTGCATGTTCTGCGGCAGTCCCGAACACTTCATGCGCGCCTGTCCCGAGGTCACCGAATACATTCGGATCGGAAAATGCAAGAGGAATATCGAGGGGAAGGTTGTATTGTCAAGTGGGGCATTCGTACCCAGAGAAATCACGGGTAGTAACCTGAAGGACCGAGTTGACGAATGGCACCGCAGGAATCCAGGCCAGCTTGCGACCGGACAGATGATGTTTACGGTAAACGCGGTGCCGACTCACCCGATGACAATAGCCTCCCGTCACGATTCACCCTCATTGCTGGATGTCACCCCGACTTACCAACTCACCGATGTCCAGCGAATCGCGAGCCTCGAACGCGAACTATTCGCGCTCCGAACGCGGGGCACAAGGGCACGCGAAATGGCGCAGACAGGACGTTCGGCACCTACCCCTTCACCGGTCGCCGAACGACGAGCGATGACCGAAACTCCCGAACCCGAACCCTGACCGACCACCCCGACTCAGCGACCGCCCCCGGTACCAGCCAAGGACGATGCTCCGATCCACCCATACGCCAAAGCCCAGGACGCCACCTATGCACCACCACACGAACGCAACATGGGAGCCCCGGCGAAGATACCATCAGCAAAGAAGGACGCTCCGGCCTACAAGACTACGGCGCCGATCTACGACGAGAAGGTAGCAGCCGAGGTCTACAACAGGGCGATGGCCACTCAGGTGACGCTTACCCAGCGCGAACTACTCTCCCTCTCCGCCGAAGTCCGTTCGCAGGTCAGGGAAGCCACGTCGGCACGCCGATCGCCTGCCAGAGACGCCAGCAATGTTCGGACCTTCTACCAAGATGCCGATCTACCCTATGCCATCGACGATCTCGAACCACCGACTCGACCGACCGTCTCCTCCTTTGTCAATGTCCTGCACCAACCGGAAACACCCCCGCCTGGCGCGATCATCATCCCCGACATGTACGAAACGTACCTGAAGAATCTACAGCCCGGTCAGGTTCCTCAGCCATTGATAGTTGCTAAAGAATCGTCTGCCCTAAGGTCTATTGTTCCCCTCGTCGATCATCAGCAGGAAGTCGAATGCGTCATCGATCCGGGCTCACAAGTCATCGCCATGTCGGAAGGCATTTGCAATGAACTGGCGCTCATCTACGACCCCGAAATCGTCCTCAATATGCAGTCGGCGAACGGCGAAATCGACCGATCCTTGGGTCTGGCACGCAACGTTCCATTCCTCATCGGCGACATCACCCTGTACCTCCAAGTCCACATCATTCGAAACCCCGCCTACGACGTTCTCCTCGGTCGGCCCTTCGACATCCTCACCGAAAGTATCGTCAAGAATTATTCAAACGAAGACCAGACGATCACCATCAGCGACCCGAACACGGGACGACGAGCCACCATTCCGACGATCAGACGAGGACCCCCTCGAGTCCTTCACCGAAGACAAGCGGGTTTTCGCGACTCGATGAATTGATCCGAGATCAAGGAGAAGTTGCACTGATCATTTCCACCGATCATGATACCCCCAATTTCCCACTTATCGAAGCGTCCTCAGATTTCCATTCTCCATCTCCCTCTCGTCGCGATCGTTGTCTCAAGTACATTATGGCCTCCGATTTGGGGCCCGAAAATCATCTCAAAAACAATCTCGATTCCGATATGTCATCCTTATTTTCCTCAGTCATCCCCGGTTCTTTCCATTCCACTAATATCGCCGACCCGGTCGCCATCTTCGCCGCCAAGTGCAAGTACAAACCGGTCGCACAGAAAACACGACCAGTCTTGGCCGACCTCCCCGAAAAGTTCCGAATCGTTCGGAACATCCTTGGTGACTCTCTCGCTACCCTTCCGACACTGACACCGAACCCCCCACCCTTCGCGCCGACCGGCAGATACACAGCCGAACGACGCGACCTCATCGACAAAGTCCACTCGGACGACTTCCTTTGGCCGGCCGAACGACAGCTCATGCACCATTTCATGTGTCTACAAGAGATGGGATTCGCCTGGGACGATTCGGAACGCGGACGTTTCCGCGAGGACTTCTTTCCTCCAGTCAATATGCCGGTGGTCGAACACAAGCCCTGGGTTCAACGCAACATTCCGATTCCACCAGGCATCTACGACGAAGTGTGCCGACTCATCAAAACCAAGATCGCTGCTGGAGTCTATGAGCCGTCAAATTCGTCCTACCGATCGCGTTGGTTTACAGTCGTCAAGAAGACGAATAGCACCTCCACTGGCACCAAACTCCGAATCGTTCACAGCCTCGAACCCCTGAACGCAGTCACCATCCAGCATTCAGGTGTGCCTCCATATACCAATCAGATCGCTGAACAGTTTGCAGCTCGCGCTTGCGGCGGCATTCTGGATCTCTATGTTGGCTATGACGAACGAGGGCTCGCCGAATCATCTCGCGACTTCACCACGTTCCAGACCCCATTCGGCGCCCACCGGCTCGTCACCCTGCCCATGGGATGGACAAATTCGGTCCCGATCTTCCACGACGACGTCACCCACATCCTCCAGCCAGAGATCCCAGACACCACCATTCCTTTCATCGACAATGTCCCGATTCGGGGCCCACCGACCCGATACGAACTGCCGAGCGGTGGCTTCGAGACGCACCCCGACAACTCCGGCATACGACGATTTGTGTGGGAACACTTTCAAGGCCTCAATCGGGTGGTTCAGCGAATGAAGTACAGCGGAGGAACATTTTCGGGACACAAGGCGACACTCTGCGCAGCCGAAATCACGGTGGTCGGCCATCGCTGCACGTACGAAGGAAGATTACCCGACGAATCTAGGGTAGAGTCAATTATGAAGTGGGGACCTTGCAGGGATCTCTCTGACGTTCGGGCATTTTTGGGGACGATCGGTGTCGTTCGGATCTTCATTCGGAATTTTGCACACAGGGCGCATGCACTGACAATGTTAACGCGCAAAGATTTTCCATTCGTGTTCGGCCCAGACCAGATAGCGGCCCAGGACGACCTCCGGTCGGCACTTCTCGAATCGCCAGCCCTTCGGCCCATCGACTATGGGTCGGCAGCCAACGTCATCCTCGCCGTCGATACCTCTCAAATCGCGGTCGGCTTCCACCTCTGTCAATGCGCACTCGACAATCCGCGGGTTCGGTACTATGCTCGATTCGGCTCCATCACCCTTAACGACCGCGAATCGCGATTCTCCCAACCCAAGCTCGAACTCTACGGCCTCTTCCGCGCCCTCCGATCGCTCAAAATGTATCTCATTGGCGTTCGGAACCTGATAGTCGAAGTAGACGCACGCTACATCAAGGGCATGCTCACTAACCCGGATCTCGAACCCAGCGCCAGCATCAATCGGTGGATCGTCTCCATCCTCACCTTCCATTTCACACTTGTCCACGTCCCCGGCACCTCTCACGGCCCCGATGGTCTCTCCCGACGACCACCACAACCCGCCGATCGACCCGAACCCGAAGACGACTTTGACGACTGGATCGACAATCTCTACGGCTTCCTCCATCAGATCAACAACACGTTTCCCACCGCCAACTCAACCTCGACAACAGCCATCTTTACCTCCTCACTCATAGGCGACCTCCCGACCGATGCAGACTCCGACGACGAAGGCCCGACCATCGACTATTCGGATATCCCAAGATCGCAAAAAGCTTTGGAAGCCGAAGAACGCCTATGGTCGGTCCGCAACTGGCACCGAACATTGGTTCGGCCCCCTTCTCTCTCCGACTCCGAATATGCCACCTTCCTACGATATTGCACTGAGTTCTTTATCGCAGCCGACAAGCTGTGGAGAAAAGACTCACACGGTCGACACAAGATTGTTGCAGCCCCCTCTAGTCGGATCACAATTCTCACTGCCGCCCACGACGACGTTGCTCACAAGGGTTTCTACGCCACGACTGCCTTGATCGCCGAACGCTTCTGGTGGCCGCACATGAGGCAAGACATTTCCTGGTTTGTTCGGACCTGTCACCTTTGCCAGATTCGCCAGACTCGCAACGTCCTCATTCCCCCGACCATCGCTACGCCTGCACCACTCTTCGCGAAGATGTATATGGACACCATGCACATGCCGACCGCCGGTGGTTTCAAGTATCTCGTGCAAGGCCGCTGTTCGGTATCACACTACCCCGAATTCCGGATGCTGCGACGCGAAACAAGCTCAGCTCTTGCCGACTGGATCTTCGAGGATATCCTGTGCCGATGGGGAACACTGGTAGAGATCGTCTCCGACAACGGACCAGCATTCGTCAAGGCGCTCGACCAGCTAGCAAAGAAGTACCACGTTCGGCACATTCGCATTTCGGGCTACAATTCCCGCGCCAACGGCATCGCCGAATGACCTCACTTCGACGTTCGGCAGGCTCTGTTCAAGGCCGTTGATGGAGACCAGGCCAAGTGGAATCGTGCAGCTCATTTCGTATTCTGGGCTGATCGCATTACTGTTCGGCGCCGAATGGGTTGCTCGCCATACTTCGCAGCGACCGGAACCCATCCCCTCCTTCCCCTCGACATTGCCGAAGCCACATATCTTCTACCACCACCGACCACGGCCCTCAGCACCACCGACCTCATTGCTCGACGTGCCATCGCTTTGCAGAAACGCTGATCGGACCTCGCCCACCTTCGCAGCTCGGTAGTCGGCGCCCGTGTCCAGGCCGCCATCCGATTCGAACAACAGCATTTGGCCACACTTCGCGACTTTAATTTCCACCGAGGCTCACTTGTCCTGATGCGCAACACGGCCATAGAAAAGGCGCTCAATCGGAAGATGCGTCCACGGTATTTAGGACCTTTGCTAGTAATTTCTAGGAATCGGGGAGGAGCGTATATTTTGGCCGAACTCGATGGATCGGTCTTTGATCGGCCAGTTGCAGCATTCCGCGTTATTCCTTATTTTGCTTGCAGGTCTCTGAAGCTCACCGACCTTGAAGCCCTCCTCGACATCTCGCAGGAACGCCTTCGGGCCATGGAAGAATCCCGATCGAGCGACGACGACGCCGAAGATGATAGTGCCGATGAAGATACCGACACCAGCTCAGTCCGATCGGCGGAGGACAACGATGCGGCTTCGGTGACCTCCGACTAGATCCCACCCTCCCACCCTTCGCTCTCTTCGGTCGGTGACTGGGGACAGTCACGATTTCAGTAGGGAGGAGGATGCACAGATATACCCATTCCTTATCTTCGTTTATTCGTCACAGACATGGACTGACGCCCAATCATTTCCACATCTCTTAGTACTTTTACCACCGACCGATCGCCGACTGAATAGTCGGCACTCATTTTCCCCATCACTCCTTCAAGTACCAAGCCGCATTGAAGACTTCTTCCGATTTGCGCAAAACCATAGGGTTTTATGCCTGTGATGACATACTGAGGCTTCCCCTAATATTCCAATTTATTTTCTTCATTTTGCCGAACGCTTCGCTTACAAGTACATTCACACAGTCATTTCGCCGACCGATTTCCCGAACGACACCTCTAGTCTTCGCCAAACGTCTCATTCATCTCAGGACAGTCCTTTCACTGTTATTTTACATTTTACTGTACTACCGACACCTTGAAACTACTTTACACATCGGGAACAAAGTCGCCCGACACCGACATTCCCGAATCCTCGGCATCCGACGAGTCTTCCACCAACACCACATCCGAAACTGCCGATCCACCCGAACGCGCCTCAAGAACCTCCAACTCACCCTGCCACATCGCGATCGAACGCGCCAGCGAGGCACGAGTACCTTCGGCCACAGCAATGCGGTACCGAAGCTCCGACGCGATGCCTTGCGCGACGACAGGAGACAGGCGAGAGGAGTCGGGCAGGGCGGGGACAGCAGAAGAACGGGGACGGGAAGGGGCCAGGACGGTACGGGTGGTGGTTGGGAGACGCTGGACGGGCTTCCGAGCCCAAACAGCTAGACAAGACGATGAGCTCACAGCCCAGCAATGACGAATTGATTACTCACCTTTAGTCCGTGCGATACTCTCGCCGACAGATCGTTCGGGGATGAGTACCTCGACCTTACGCTTCTTAGTCGGGCGCGATGGTTCCGGCTCCCCCGACTTTTCGGCCGCCTTCGCTTTCGACTTCCCTTTCCCCTTCGACTTCCCTTTGTCCTTCGGCATCCACCCGGGCTGGAAGCTACAACCTTTCTGCTCCTTGGAGCACTTCGTACAAGAAACTTGGCCGGCCCTCGTGTAGCACCGAAAAGCTACAGTGGTAAACTCGGTGGCGCACCGATGGCACGCGTATTCGGCCTAGAAGAAAGAAGGGTCAGCAAGCAACAAAAGGCGGCAAGAGGGAGGGGACTTACGAGGACGTCATCCGGCAACAACTCCGGGGGATCCTGCAGCAACTTACCAGCTCCGTTCCGCTCCACAGGAGGCCGAACAGACGACATTCGGCCTGTGCCAGGACCCAGAGGAAGCACGACACGTCCAGCGGTCGGCGTCAGTTGAC